TTGTCACCTCAAGATAACAACCTCACAAGTATTCAACCCTGCCAAACTCATCGCCTACGGACGGCTTGCCAGTTATTTAATCCATATTGACTTCGAAGTTTACCTAACATCAAGGCTTCCCTCCTTGGTAGTATTTTCAAACGTCGGGAATCAGGCACTACGCTCGACTTTATATATTATGCGGGAAACTCTGCCAGATAAGGGCAGGACACATTAGTTTCAGCATGCCCAACCCAGCTCAACGCCGCTATATCGCACGGTCAAAAGATCACTGGAAGAGATCGTGCATGTTCCAACAGCTTATTACTACCACAACACTGTTCAGCATAGGCAATCAGCACTTCTTGAACGGTCGGGATTATGACGTCTCCTATATTCTATCCTAATGTCTACTACAAATCATCTCTCTTTCCAACCAATTCTCTATCACGGGCATCAAATCCTGACAAGGACAGACTCCTCTTCGACACTATGTCGGAACAAGCAAACAGACGAATAAACAGAAAGATACATTCTATTTTCCAAACCCGCCTTTTATTCGTTGGAAGACAACACGCAATGGAGATGCTATCTCCCCTATCTATAGTATGTAAATCAACCGGCATCCAAAGCCTACCTTACCTACCTACTGAGCTTCTTGTTAATATGTTTACAGCTCTGTATAACGGCAACGATGTCAAGGCACTACTTCAAACGTCAAAGACGTTGTGCGTTTGAAGAACGTCTCAATATATTCGTGGGCAATGGAAGTCACGAGAACATGCCGAGCATACGGTATTGACGATAAAGTCCAACAGATATGGCAAATATTCAATACTATAGATGCGGAACTACGACATGATGTCCCACAACCAAGCGCCACCTGGTCAATCATAGAATACATGACGAACTTGAAGATGTATATGCCGGAAATGCCCATCACATTGCTAAGGAGCACATCCTCCGCGAATGTAACCCGAACGAGTCCGTTCTCAGTTGTGGCTAACTCGGGTTTCGTCCAGACAACATCCAACGCCTGCTGTAGATCAGCCAATGATGCACTTTTCTATAGTTGCACGACCCCAGATCGTACTGGAAAGAATAACCATTCGGCTTGTTCATGGCGAAGGAGATCTTGCTCCAATCCAGACTGTCACGGTACGGTTCTATAGCATAGACCCTGGCGGGTCACCATCGTGTGTATAAGGTAGCTAGATGAGGGACTACCTACTGGTTCCCTTTTCCCTCCTTTGTGCAACAACAATTATCTCTACTCAAACCTTGACACAGACTCTCCTGAGGTCTATTATCGCTAGAATCCCCTGCTAAAGAATAGCCGCTTGGCTTCTTCAGGGGATCGACTGCTTTTCGCGGCGTCAAAGGAGAGTTTGAATTGCTCGCGTAAGTCGGACTGCTTCGAAATTCGTCACACTCGGTTGTGATCAAGATGGGCCAGCAACCCTCGGAGACCTTATTATACTCTCAAGTCTATAATACCTTGGCAACCATCCGTCAGTATAGAGGGGCCAATGACTACCAATTTACTGCCTTAATACTGGTCGGAGAGTATTGTCACTGGTTACTTGTCGTGTATTCGCAGCTCCTTGGCGATTCCCGAACCCCCTTCCCTTGTCATCACCGTAAATCTGCAGTGCTTCGACAACATCTTCGGCTGGCAAGGCGAAGCTGGCACACAACCTTTCGGCCGCGAGGTCACCCTGGAGGCGATGGTGGAGAAGGCGATTCAAGTGGTGGCCCAATGGTAGTACGAGGTCCTAAAGGCTCCTGGCTAACGTTGGTTTTGGAGTCTGGAGACTCCGAGTCTCTATCTGCCCTCCAAGATGATATGAGGTAGTGGTTTTCAGCGTCAGGCCACGACGTTAAGATTGTGCCTATTGCTAAGTTTGAAATACACTATCTACACGGATGTCTTTGCCTTTATTTATCGATTGGAGGATCTTACCCGATCACAAGGAGAAGCCAAGATTAAAGCCGTTTGATCATCGTACTTACAGCGCACGGCTCAACAATGGCTAACCACAGAGTTGTCAGGGATGGAAAGAGACGCCATGGCCATGGGTAATATAGAATACATCTGTCAAAAGCTTATTGGCAGATTCGGATAACACCCTAACGTCGCCTACCAAGATTTGAAGAACCAGTCTTTTATATTGCTCAACATGAAGAACGGAAAGTTACTCCGTCCTTTCGTAAACAGTGTGATCCGAGATGCAAAAGCGATTATCCAGTAAAGAACCACTTTGAACACGTGTTCAAGTTTTTGGAATATTGGATCTAAAGATAATTGATTAGGCCCACCGCCGCCACTACTCTTGGCCAATTCCTTCACGAAATAGATGAGAGAGTCAATTCTCCTCCAGGAAGCAAAGTCCATCTATAAAGACAACTACAACGACAACAACAATAACTGGAACAACCGCAACAACGCCAATTATCAGAACAACAACTATAGCAAACAAAACAATTATTCCCCCCGAAACCACCAGAACCAAATGATTATTATCGAGAGATAGGATGTCAGACAACAAGATAGTCATCGCTTTTCAGGCTTATCGATTGTGTCAATAATGATCTTATCAAAGACTAGTCAAGATAAAGGAAATCCTAGTCTCAGTCAGATATCTCAGATAGTTTGAAGAATACAACAATAAGATCAAGATCATCAGTCCAAGTCCCAACATGGGAAGAAGAGGCACAAACCCTGCCAACCGGAATTCGCCATCTGCTGGAGCCTGGAGGTGACAGGTTCAACCTGGCAGGCAGTGGGAGAAGGCAGAAACCTGCCTAGTCACAGGTAGACGGCGAACGGGTGTGGAGGAATCTATTTCACAAGCGGCTTCCAACAAATGGTCCTTATTCACGAACCTCGTCGACCTATCGTTGGTGTTGTCCGACCAGGACCGACGTCAACCCTATGGCTGCCGAGCTTTCCGGTTTCTGGGAGAACCCTTTGTGCAGACTGATCCAGAGTGACCCATCCAGATCAAGTCGTTTTCATTCTCCTCAATCAAGTCAACACAGCGACATAGATCCAAGAGCATATTCCAAGCTGATAGACATTGCAGTTTTCTGCGTGTCCGTAAGTCGGGCAGTCCACCACATCTGGGCATCTCCCAACCTGGATATTGTGAGGATAAAACATACATAAGCCTTATTAAATAGCACGGGTTATCGTCAAGTTAAGAGGAAGTAATAAACGAGGAAGCACTATGTCCCGAAGGATTGAAAATTTCGGAGTCAAAAACCTACTACGCTACACTAATAAGCGCAGAACAAGCAAAACCAAAGTCAAAAAAAAGGTCAGAAAGCCAAAGTTAACTGACCATCGAAAACTGCAAAAATTACACAAAAAGGTGTATAAAGTCTATCAGTCGTTAGACAAGAGGTATGCAAAGATAGTAAAAGAAGTTCAAAAGTTACATGAACAATCGACTAGTTTGCAACAAACTATCTCGCTACTTGATGCTAAAATCGATAAGCTCATAGAAGCAACAGTACCAAAAGCCCAAGACGAAAAGAAGCGCTTGTTCAAGCGCATCGGATAGTTGTTGGAACAACGAGGACGTTGTCTTTTTCTTTCGTGGAGGCGGTGCTTTTTCTTTCTTTCTTTCTTTCTTTCTTTCTTTCTTTTTTTTTTTTTTTTTTTTTTTTTTTGAAAGAGGGACATATTGTGAGGATAAAACGTACACTAGTAAACTCTGTTAGAGAGTATGAGAAGATCTCGGAGGATCTGTTAGATTCTTCTCTTTTAATCAACTTTTTTCACTCTGAGAACTAGGTCTGACAGATAGTCTCACTTGTAACGTATCAATCCATCGGCTTCCCGTTTGATCAAATGGGCATTGGACCTTGTGCGATTGATAGCAATTAGTTATTTTACCTGACACCAAGAGACAGACAGATAGGGTGGTTTGTGTATATTACATATTGGGGTTTGAATCGCAACAAAGGTGGCGATATCGATAGCAGCCTTTGCTAAGTGCTCTGCCCTGGTATATACTTGACTATTGATGATAATAATGACTCGACCACATTCTAAATGTTCTGCCATTCACATATACTGTCAGGGATGTGTGGGTATAATAGGAGTAGTATACTATACTGGATATATATAGGGTAGTAAGTTCCCTCATAAGTGTATAGGAGGCTAGGTGTGACTATTCTCTCGGCTCGATATACTCTATGTACGACACTGACACTCGCTCTGTAGATGATATCCATCAAGGGTACTGGCCTCACCCTGACAAATGATCTCTGAGAGCGATGTAACTTCAATGGGTGTTTATAATAACGCATGCTATAAAACCGTACTTTTATACGCTTACGTCTGTCTTCCTTTGACTTCTATAACCGAGTATAGAACCAACACTTAGTAGTCAATTATGTACCTAGACCTAAGGTACTCCTTTCAACTGGAGTTATCCTTCGACTCCCTAACAGCAAGAGATAACACTTGTATAGGAAACTGCTCAGCTATACGACAAGATACTGTTCGTCAACAGAGCCATTATTACTACCTAAAACACGCTACACAACATCACATACATGTAAAATAGCTAGCTAGTAACATCGAATGAGAAACAAGTAAATCAAGGCTTCGCTAAATGCTACGATAGACAAAGGAAAATGGGGGTATCATCGAACAATCTGCCTCTCTCCTCATCATAATGGTCATCGTCGTCATTTCCGTTCGTTGATCTCGTTAGCGTAAATAAATATGACATAGGAAATATCGTTGGCGTCGTTGGCTCGTGGATACGGTCGTAAGCGTGGTGGGAGCGCATATCTGTCGTTTCGTTTCGGAAGGTCGGTGTGGCTATTGTCGCATATGCTTTTTCTTTTTCTTGTTCCTTTTGTTTTTTTATGTCTGAATCGTACAAGGCCCATTTTTCGTGCGGGCGGACCGATTAATACTCGAGATTAGGAGGCTCGGAACGATATCCGAGTTACCTAGTACTGCCTTGCGTAGAATCCGTGAGAAGAGGAGAGATGAATTTCATGGGGTTCGAGGGTGCCGTTATTCATACGACACGACACGTATTATATCATGCGTCTCCGGAGGGGTTTATTTACCCCTTATTACCCTCCCCCCTTCGTCCAGATCAGTTCACCCACTAAGCAGCCTCGTCGACCCTATCGTTATGCTCGGAAGACTCCGGGGCGGCCGACGCAGCGGAGACGTCGGGCGACGAGGCGAACAGCTCCTGGAACCGGGTGGCGGCCTCGCTGTTGGCGAAGGCGAGCTCGAAGGCGCCGAAGCGGCCCTTGCGCTGGTTCGTGGGCCGGTATTTCTCCCAGAACACGTACGGCTGGATGTCGCGCAGCCAGATGTGGCGCCTCGACTTGCGCAGGAGCCAGGATGAAGACACGTTCGGCGGAACTATAGGTACGAGGAGGAAAAGTCGCGGTTAGTTGGCGATACCGTTAGTCAAATGAGTGAGTGCATGGCCAATAACGTACTGAATGCCGTCCATATCGGACACGCTCGTAGCTTGCCTTCCCACTCGGCAGCGTGGAGGCGGCAGCCACCTGTAGCCTTGTCTTCGAATACCATGAGAACATGTCGGTAACCGTCGTCGATAATTTGACTAGACACCGTGTATATAAGGTATATATCAGTCTCGCCGCTTCGCCAGGGACCTATCTTCTTGGGATCTTTGTAAACTTACGCTTGGAACAGACGCCTCTCCCTGTGGAGGCGGTATTCATCGGGGTTCACGTTGAGCGTAAGTTGGCTGCGGACCCTTAGGCACAAGAACGTGCAGTAAAAAAGCACCATTTCTACTTCAGAGTCAGCTTGGAGATTTTTCTTTTTATCTAATTATTTTTGATTTTTCAGAGTTCCCAGAAAAAAAAAAGAAGAAAAGGGGGGCGAACCTTCCCAGGTCAGGAACGATAAGCTCGCCCAAGGCTTTGCTTTGTGCTCCGACCGACTCCATCGAGAGAGGACCAGGACCGAGTCGCTCTCCCGCCGGATAGACAGCTCGTGGACGCCGAGGACGGACACCCAGATTCGGCTGGTGTCTTTGGACCGGATCAGGAGAGACGGCGCCTGGTCTCGCAGCTGCAGGAAGAAAATGACGGAGATACGATCGTTATCGAATGATCTAGGAGCGTGTATGTCGTTAGCACAGCATGCGTACCTAAAGTAAGTACCTAGCCTGAAACCGGCGCTACTGCGCTATGAGGGAATTAGGTAGACGGGTGATTACCTCTTGACCAGGATCTTGACGTCTCGCGGCAGCGGCGGGAGGTGACCGAGCTGCTGCAACGGGCCGAACGCATCTGAGCTGTACGATGTCAGGTAACTGCAATTTTTGATCGTAGAGCATCTAATGGGAGAAGCGAGCAGGCAAGTAAGCAAGCAGCCTACCTTCCTTGATGTTTGAATTCCCTCCGAGACGGTAGGGGTTGGGTGAAGATGGCCTCGGCCCAATGCGAATTCTATCTAGTTTCAATACAAACTACCCCCGCTTGGAAGAGAAGAGGTCCGCAACACTTACTGTCTCTCGATTCCAGAACTCGAGCGCTTCATCTCGTCTGATCAGATCCGTTCTTATAGGGCTGGGCGGGGCTAAAGAAGGCATGAGATATGTCTTAATAACAATAACAATAATAGAGAGGACATAAGTCACTAACGCATCTTCCGAGCCGCGCGTAGTTGAAGAATACGGAGGCGCAAAGATTCCATTCCATTCAGATCGAAATTTGGAGACCTAGTTATCAGGTAGTTAGCAGAAGGACGTATCAACGAGTTGTCATAGATGGTAAAACTCATTATACCTTGTAAGAAGCTCCTGGAGCAATCGCAGGAACTGGTTATACATGATAAATCTAGCCGGCAGCGTGGTGCCAGGGAGTTCGTTACCAAGTTTATAGTACATGGTTCTCCATCGATACTCTTTGCTCATCGACTTGTCCTCGTAGAACGACATGATATCTCGGAGCGTTTTGCAGAGGCACGGCAGGATGACATTGAGGTAGTCGAAGACTGCGGGCAACTGGGAAACGTGAATCTGGGCCTGCTCTGCAAGGTCTCGTAGCAAGCGGCTCGTGTTATAGATCTCTTCGATGACCCCGCTCAGGTGGGCGTGGAACTGCTCCGGGAGACAATTTCGTAGCCCTTGGAGATTAAGACCAACAATATCGGCGCGATCAGCCTCGAGAAAACAGCCATTGAGCAACTGAGGGCCGAGCTGTTGGGCCGCCATCCTGGCGGTTGGCATTCCGTTACGGCGTAGAATCGAATCCATGGCTGATGAGGCCCTTATGGTATCATGATGGCAGGTAATCAGAATATCTCACCGCAGAAGAAGAGGAAAAGAAAAAAGTTGCAGTTAACCCGTCCAGTTTCTCCTCCACAGCCACCACGGAATTCGGTTCGGTTACACACTAAGCCTGACAATATTGGTAGCTGATGGTAATTTTAGAAGGCAGCAGAAAGCGAGCAATATTAATTTTGGTTTCGGGAACACTAAGATTCTTATTACTCGGTTTTTGATAAGTACCCGGAAGATCGTCGTCGACTCCACATGAGAGAGTTGGCCGTATGGGAGGGAGGGGGAAATCGACAACTTAGCGAGAATCAAACCCAAGAAGTTGTCTTAGTTATACCTGATAAGTTCTAGAAACAATGGGAAATCTTGCCCGCGGAAAGGAACATCTGCTTCTGCAATTCTCATAACGTGAGTTCCAGAGCCCAACGACGGTGGGGTGACGTGTTAGGTATGCATTCCCCCAAACAGAGAATAGGCTCGATGCCGAGCAAAGTCGTATGTGCCGTGTGTGGAGTTGGAGCGGAACAAACACCGAGGATAGAAGGGAGAATGAAAAAAAAGAGAAAGAAGCTATAACACCAAATATACTATACGATGATACGGCTTAGAATCGTATGGAAAACAAACTAGTGACTATACAATCTCAGATTTGAATTTTCAATACTCTAGTATTTTTTTTCACTATGCCATTGACCGAGATATGTAGATGGACGTGTGTATGTGGCTTAGCTACCGGGATGCCGGTGGAAGGTGCATGAAAATAAGAAATTAATCGACGGGATGAAAAACCGACGATACCCAATAACCCTTTGCTCCGGGTGGTAATCCAAAAGAGAGATGATTATCAATTATGTCGTCTAATGGAGGAATCAGCCGACGTAGACGTACATAAATGAACGTAAGAGAGAGAGCATTCAAGATGGGGAAACAGTATAAAATCAAATAGGTAAGAACGTGGAGAGATTAAAAAAAGAAAAAAAAGAGAAAAAAAAAAGGACCAATTGGGCTTGACTTGTCTGGTCGGGAAGTTTGCCATTGCGGGCAGCTCTGAAAGATGGGTTGGGTTTCTCGAACATTATTTACCCTCGACTCAAGTAAGATACTGCCACGAAGCCCAGCAGCGAACCTCTAAGCAAGCGCGCGTATGCATCCAGATCCAGGGATTGGTGGATCGTTGGCCGTAAAAGGCCGGATCAGGCGTAGAGCAGCCATACAGTGCTACCATGCTCACAGCGCGGAGAAGGGAGCACTTGCATAAGACAAATATGCAGGGAAGAAAGTGGACTGGATGAGAGAATGAGGGGAGAGGAGGGGGGGCTTGTCAAAACTGACGATGCTTTGCCGGGTAGCTTGCAACTTTCTTTTGGTCGGTTCTTTGTGACATGGCGCAAACTGAGATCAACGAATACCAGAAAAACAAATCGATAAGACTAGTATGTCCACAGCACTTTGTCGCAAACACTGTCGCTTTGTCTGGTAAGCGCCGATAGGTAATAAGTGTTTCAGTCTGCCATAGATGTTTGTCGGCGCTTGTTGTTGGGCGGCTAGAAAGCATTGCTCTCAAAAATAATGCCTAGGGACAGTCAGTAAAAAGAGAAAGGCATGTATGCAGAAACGTCCGTATTGTATGGTGATAAAAATATCAGTAGTATATCATACCATATGCCCGGTAGGCTATCGGGTAGCGTAGGATATATAGACTGAATGTCGTGTTGTATATCGTCGAATATGCAACATGATAAGACCAGGATCCATACCTTAGGCCATACCTTGGGCCATACCTTATGTATCTAAGATAGGTAGGTAAGAGAAAAAGGACACCAGCATCATCTCTAGCTCTGCTCTAGGGATCGATACACTGCTCCGATCGAGGATCCGATGGCGTGCGATAGACCCCAACGTTTCGTTGCGTTGCTTTCGCAACAGCGCTTGCATGCCTTTTCTAGGTACATTTCTAGCTCTAGTCCCGGAGCGAGTTGGGCAGCTAGCACCCCACGAGCGTCAGATCTGACTGATCTAGGCATTATACTAGATCGATATGTAGGGATACGTATGTTGTATGACGGGAATATCTTGGTGAGTATGCTGCCCTGCATATGCTACTGCCGCGGTCGCCGAGGGCTCGACTGGACGCTGTAGTTTGGTTTAAGATGTCTGATGATTGGCTGGATTGTATCAACGATGATTCCCTTTCAATCGGGGCCAATCTTCAGTCAGTCTGGCCTAATAATGGCGGAATGTTGAAGACGAATAGCAATGTCAGTTCGAAAACCCAGTCTTGACGTCGCTTAGATGGATGTATTTAGAGATGGCTGACAGGCTGTATGCAATCCTCTTAGGCTAGATAGCTTTTTGCTTCTACAGCCTTGCATTTGCGGCGTTGTTGTTATAAGGAGGGCAAAGAAACACATGTTTTATGATATGTACATAGTAGTAGGCAAGGATCTCAGCCACGTCTGCTTCCACACCTCTCTTAGTCGACCCCTGACCATCCAGATCTCCGGGACAAGATCCTCGCATGGACCTGTTTACCGGGTAAGGGTCAAGGTGGGTTGGACCTAGCCACGTGGGAGAGCGGCGCGATTATTATGAATGCGTAATCATTCTATCACAAGCCAAGATAGGCCAGCTAGGACTAAATGCTAGTGAAGTGTGCGAAAAACTCTCTTGAATGGTAAGAGCAAACTATTTTTACATCGCGTTGTTGAGGAGCACCGGCGTGATAGCCTCGTGCTTCGTTGTAAAGGTAGCTTATAGCAGCTGCGACAACGCCACCAGACCAGAGTAATTCCCCGAGCTCTGGTCCAGTTTAAAGTGAAAATGTAAAGAAAACTAAAGCACAATGTCCCTTTCCCTGTGCATCAACACCGACCGATCCCATACGCATTAGACTGGAAAGGAAACTTGTGCCATTTACCACGGTCAAAGGCTCCCCTAGGCCGCACGACCGGAGTCATTTCGTCGTGAAACCTCATGACCAACAAGCGGGCAAGATAAGAGGACATTACTATTCGCTCTCGTCATCTCCGCCAGCCTAATCGGATTCGGCCTAATCAGCTACGCTCAGCGCTGTTATGTTAACAAGGAGAGCAGAAGTGGCTTACCTGGTAGGCTTGCTTCTCGTCTTCGTATCGCTTCTTGTCGGCAGCGGCCTTGGCCTCGTAGGGAGCTCGCTGCTTGTCGTTAAGGGCCTTCCATCGCTCACCGAGGATCTTGCCAACTTGGCCTAGGGATAGGGGTTAGCAGAAGGGCGGAATGCGCTAGAAAATAGAAACCTACCGAATGAAATGCCAGGGTTCTCGTCACGGACGTTCTCTCGTTGCTCGTTGGCGAAGAACATGTAGGCAGAGAGACCACGCTTGGGCGCGTTGGGGTCTATTGTCCAAATCAGTTAGTTGGTTATTTATCAATGCTAGGCTTGGGATGCAGATGCATCAAGCACTTAAGTATATAAAAAATAATTGCAACTATGTATAACTTACCCTTCTTTCCCTTTCTCTTCTCGACCTTGCCGGTCTTTCCACGCTTGGTTGTTTCCTTAGGCATGATGGATGATCTGATTAAATCCCATGTTAGTTCCTGCAAGCCCAGATAAATGATGTGTATTTGAGATTGATGAAATGTTGACGGGTAGAGAGCATGTAGAGCATGTAGAGTATGTAGGGTAATGCAAGGTAAAAATGTTGAAATGCGCTGCATCACGAGAACTTGTTCGCTGGGTGGCGTTGGTCGTGCGACAGCTCGAATAGGTGCGAAGGAGGGGCAGAAATGGGAATTAAACATGTTTGAGGTGGTGATGCATGGTCATGTTGAATGCGATGCGCTGTTGTCGCAAATGCAATTGTATGCGCCAACGCGTGAAAACCGCGTCTTGAAGCTCGGAATCGAGCAAACCAAAGCCAAATGCATACCTTGGAGGACTTGTCGAAGATTTGGACAGTAATGTTGTGGTGGATGAAGCTGTTGCGCGCAATGGCAGTCAGCGGGATTGTCCAGTCCAAAATGCAGTAAAACGCAGTAAAATGCAGGGTTGAGCTAGGGAAATGTCATGATGGGTTCGCAACGAGTTGGTGCACTTGTCAATTTCATAAGAAGCTATTGAATGAGCTTCAAAAACATCCAACGACGATGCAAATTGTGTAAAAAACTTGATGCATCTATCCAAGGACGAATTGACTCGCCTACGCCAACAGGATGCGCGCAATGCAAGGAAGTGGTTGTGGTGACTTGAGGTTTGCAGTGAAGTGCCATATAAATGGAGGTACTCACGATTTGTATGGGTAAGTATTGAGGTTGAGTGTAGGCGGCGTTTGTATGGGAGACGATTTGGGTGGGAGATTTGTATGTGGGAGAAGAGAGGGAAATTTGTATGGGGGGAGCGTTGGCCTACTGCCTTTTTACTGCGCCTGGGTGATTGTGTGCAAAGCCAGACTTGAGACTGCCCCAATTTCTAAGGGAGGGTGCAAAGAGGGAGGGGGGTCTGCACCCAAAAAGCGGGCAGGCGTCAAGACAGACCAGACCGTAAGGTAAGGCACAGTGACTGGAGTGATTTTAGCTGGCGAGCTACCTAGGTAGGTACTTGAGCAGGTGGTAGGGGAAGCAGGGAATTGGAAGTAATCAGACCGACCAAACCCAACCGAGTAGGTAGCCACTGCCTGTCACTCAGGTTCCAGGTTACAGGTCAGAGAATTCCGTGTGCACGCTTCCATTGCTCAAGTCAAATTTTGTACCTCCTCCACCCAAATTGGGTAATGAGGTACTTATTGTACCTTGTGTATTAGTACCATACCAGGTTCCGCTGATTATAATTAACCGTTTCGTAATTATAAACCGTCTTTTTACAGTTACTTTTATATGAATATTCAAAATAATAAATATTAGTAAATACTAACGTTTGACACGCTTTTAATAACAAATCGGATCTAACGTTTGAAAAGAGTCAAAATACTTAAATATATTAATACCTTCGATATTTTAAATCATTCAAATGATTCAAACGTTCGAAAGGCTTTCGAACGTTCAAGCGTTTATCTCCTTCCCGTTGTCCCTGTTACCTTGATCCAATACGTCTTGACGTACGTACGTACGTACCTAGGTAGGTAGCAAGAGGCCTGGAATCGTCTATATAAAGGCCTCTCCCTCCCTCCTTTGAAAGCGATTCTTCTTTCTTTTCTTCTAAGTTTTCAACTCTCAGCCAGCCAGCCGGCCAAGCCACTGTGGCCAGGACCTAGGACCCAGGAGTCATCGTAGCCCCGTAGCCCCGTAGCCTCGTAGCCTCATCACGTAGCATCGTAGCATCGTAGAATTGTAAAATCTTTAATAGCCTTTCAATCCTACTGCTTCTAACTGCGTTTGTACGTTTATTTGTACGCTCGTATGTATACGTACCTTATATTCCTTCCCGTTAGCTCCCGTGGCTCCCGTTGACTCTCCCGTAGGCTTTTGTACCCCTTTTCGTAAACGCGTAAACGTTCGAAGTCGATTCGAACGTTTAAAAGATTAAATTCTTCATTAAATTTTAATAATTTAAAAATATAAACGCTTGAAAGCACTTCGAATATCTGAGATCTTCTTGAACGCTTGCCAAAGTTATTCAACGTTCAAGAGGTTGGAATTTTATTAATGAATTTTTTTTAAATGGTGAAAAGACGGTGAATTAACGGTTTACAGGAACCAGCAGAACCTGGTATGGTAGATTTGCGCGTTGCAATAAGCACGATACAAGGAAGGAGCAGGTCCTCTATACTACGGTGTTGATTGTACTGTAAGGACCACTGCCCACAGGTGCTAGGTACCTTTGACCATACGTATTTGTATAAGCTAGGTAGGTACGTAACATAAACATTATTTTTATTTAGTTATAAACGGTTCAGCGTTACGGGAAGGAAAGGTCCATACCTCCATTGCCATGTTTCTTTGTCGCCTATTACTCCATTACTAGATCACTCACTCTCCCCCCCTTCACCAATTTGGTATTTCCATTTTCATTTATATTCTTTCATCATAGCATTCATAGCGACAACAGGTTTAGCAAAGCTGGTTCTAAATAGTCTTTTTTTTCTTATGCATATACAAAGTACCTCATGCTTTTCATTCCTACCTAAACTAAGGTATCAACTATTTTTTTTTCTTACATAGGAGGTACCTAATGCATAGTGGTCACTAGTAATATCTCTTCTATCGCCTACGTACATCCTGTTGTCCTTCTTAACCTCCCCCCTCCATCCGCCCATAAAAGTAACACGGCCGACACGGGAAATGGCTGTAGTTTCTCCGAAGAAAAGAGCTAGGCACTAAACGAAAAAGGGGAAAAACTCAGTGTACTGCATCACCAACCCCTAGTACCTACCCTACTATGTACAATACGCAGGTCTTAGCCTGATATCTAATACTGTGTACCTCGATGAAGTGGCATCACTGCCCAGCTGATTTTCCATTTTCCTCCTTTTTTATTGTCAATGCTTTTGCGGATTAGAATCAATGTCTAATCACTTACCTAATAGGTCGTCCATACCTAAAACGATCGTAAACATAAGACTCCGTTTTCGCTATGATGCTTCAATTATTCGTCACAACTAACCCTACATTTTATTCCCTACATACATTTACATATGTACATGCATCCTACGTACTTCCTTAACCTCACATACTTTGTACGTATACCTACTAGGTATTGTATTGTACAGCCATGCTTCTTATAAGAGGTAATTATGCATGCTTGCTTAAGTGCGTATAACAGGATTAATACATTTATAGCAGCCCCAATGAAAGCGCATAAAAAAAGGGGAATAAAAACCACAAACTTTAAGGGAATTTGGCTAGAAGTGCAGCATTGAGCCCAACGGGAAGCGCGTACGTACATACATGTCGCTCGGATGCATTCAGTACTTAGCTACATAAGCATTCATGATTCAGCAATGATGGTAGCACGCTAGGTACCTAATGTCTAGGTACGTATGGCACGCAAAGATGTACCTTACACTTCCTTGTTAGTGCGAGGGTACATCACCCATGTTATTGCCTTTTACATATCAGGCCTGGGCTCCCTGGTGAGGGAATGGTCTTTTTTTTTTATGCCTTTTCTGCTTGGTCTGGTTCTTCCCAGCTGATTGCCACCACACGAAATTTCTAGCTGTGGTTCTGGGAGTCTGACGCTCCCCTCTTCACGTTTGCACCCAAATTCTCTGCCTCTCTCCCCTTTCTTACGCATCCCACCCCCAAGCAAAATCGGCCCCTCATAATTTTATCAGCCACTCAACACGACTTTACCAACATTATCTGTCCATAGTAGGTACATGGTTCGGTGCATTTTACTTATCCTAGCTTGATCAATAATAATACGCCATTTTAATATCCGTTTCCGTCTCGATTTTCGGTTTGCTTCGTTTTTTTTATAGGAAAAAAAAAAAAAAATAACTTTAACGGCGACGTTTTCTAGCTTGTTGAGATATTCTCCGTTTCATTCCCAGTTCCATCCCCAAAGTGCTAAGCAAATCTAGATTTCCAAAGCCCACATCCTGTTATTTTCTACACTTGACCACATCAAAGCCCGATTAGTTATTGGATATTATCCATTGGCCATCTCTGGACCATTGGAGAGATGGGTCACGTAAATCATCCATACACGCAGGATATTCCTACTAAGAGAATATTACCTAGGGGCTGTTCCAAACCAATACGTTCACACAGGCAAATATCAGCGCAGTTATTTTATCGACCAATAATCTTGAAGAGCTTGCATTGCGATTATCCTAGCTGTTGTACTGGCGTAACTTCATCCCGCAGAGTCCCGTAAGCCAGCTTGCTTGAACACGCCCATCCTTCGAGGAATAAGCTCCCCCCTATATCGTAGCAATATGAGCAATGCAAGCTTGTTGCACCAATTTGGAGGTGTACCACCATATCCACCATATATTATCGAGTCGCATTACGGACAGGCATTCGCAACACCTTGCTATAAACTTGTTACAACCTGCAAGCGGACAAGTTATTCTTTAGAGATGACGAAGAACAGGGTGCGAAACATCGAATAAAAGCCTTAAGACCTCGATGGATTTCATTACTCGGATCTCTGCATGATACTAATACACCCAGGCAACCTCGCTTATGATAATCCCATGTGTACCTAACATATCACTTCTATAATACGTGGTCTTCACTAACGAGGGGAGGACACTAGGCATGATCTACTGTGTTGCGGCACTCAAAAATATCGTCATATCCTGATCTTTCAAGTACGTTACTTGGATGGGCGATAAGCCGCGAATATTGTCTCATTCCTGATTCTGAGGCATCGGGTGTCTTGTCTTGCCAGCGCCAACGCCAACGCCCTCTAGGTATTGTACCACATATTTAAAAGGGCTAGGTACATCCGATTGCACAGAGCTGCGGGTTGCACTAACAGATGTTTTGGGAATAGACCCATTTGCTGTGTTTGTGTTCTTCGCTTTCCATATTGATCGTGGTGTTTTTGTTAGCGTCACAATTACGAGCCTCTTTTTTTTTTCTGTCGTTTTTTAAGTTCCCCACCATTGATGATACTATGGAAGAAAAGAAGTCGATTTCCTAAGAGGTAAAATACAGCAATCTATTCTACACTAGTTTCTAAAGCAGTTTCGATGCAAAGCCAGGGCTACCTATGCTACGCGCCATTTTATTCCCATCATGTAGATCCATCTACCTACCAAGTTAAAGCGCGCGGCTTGTCTCATTGACCAATATTTTTTTTTCTAGTTTTCCGTAGACAACCTTGGAAGCTTACATACAGATTTGCACAGCTACGACCAACTTCATGCAATGATAGATGACCAGCTGCTGAAGGAATGGCCATTACCGATCAATGCCGTGAAAGGGGTCCAAGTCCTTCCACAGGCTAACGTTCGACACATCAGATCGGAATCCTAAAATAGATTCATTTCCACGTGATTCATGCCAGCTTCGGCCAAGCCTGATTACGCTAAGCCCTATCTATTCAGGAACGAAATGCATGGAAATCTACCCATGGGCTGGCCTGGCATGGGTCTAGATAAGGACCGATGATAGGGTTATCCGTATTTTGAGGTGGTATTGTTGGTCGGCTCATAGGCTCAGACGCGTCTGTCTGAGACTTTTCTTTTCATGTGAAGGTGAAGGTAAAAGCACAGGGAATGAGTGTGTTGTTAGCTGTTACCGTGAGATTAATTAAATGATTAGATGAGTTATCGTTAGAAACGCGTCCTTACAAAAAGAATTAACCTAAGTGGAATCTCGAACCTACACGTCGTCCTCGTTTTCAGGGTCTAGCACGATATCCCTCAGCTCGGCATTTCTAGACCAGTCGACTCCACTGCCGGCAACTACTCCGCTCGCGGTGCCCTTCAGGACACGCCATCGCTGCCTGCTCAGTTTGACCTGGCCCTCGAGGCTGGATATCTCGGCTGCGCGCTCCGGGTCCATGTTGACCGCCTCTGCCTTTTTCCGGTTCGTCTGCTCGGCAAGTTCGAGCAGCGTGGATGCCAGGTCCACGTTTTCGCGACCGAGGCGCAGGCTTTGACTCTCCACCTCTGTGATCTCGTCCAGTAGCGTGCGTAACTCCGACGACTGCTGAGCTAGTTCTGAAGACGACTGGTCGCGTTTTTCTAGCATGGGTAGTAAGTCCCTACAGAGATTTGCGGACCAGCGTTAGTTTAGATGCCGTGATATACACTAGGAACAAGTAAATAATGGTAAGTCCTACCTTTCTATGGGAGTCGCTTTCGTGCCGTTGTGCACAGCTTGTAATATCGGATTGGCAGCTACGACGCTGTCGACTACTTGATTCCGCAGGACATATCTGGACCTTGAATCTAGAAGGGCTTTTTGTGCTGCTTCTATGCTGCCATCTCCAACCGGTGGATTTGTACCTAATAGTGAGTTAGATCTAATATATAAGGTATATATATCCCATAAGTTTGGAAGTAATGACATACGAGGGTCGTAATTTTTCCGAGCGGTGAGTAAGGCAATTTCTAATTGCAGCTGTTGAAGACGGTCATGTAAACCTAAGATGCGTTTCTCGTCATCCGATAGAAGGAGTGGTGTTGGCTCGCCAGTCGTTTCATTTGCCATTTGTTTCTGTGAATGGGTATATAAGATTTAAAGACTATTTGTTGAAACACGAGACAATCTTGATGTATTAAATAAAAATATTTCCTTCTTGTTGTCGCTTGTTTCACAAGACCAGAATGAAGCTATCTCTGTAAGAAGGACAAGGCTCATTAAGACTTAGCCTCGCTGTATTTAGTAGACGTGGCTGAACTTGTAAGGTCAAATGTGGCTTGATTGCCCGCGGTTACATCAATGATGTATTATACGTAATGTACTACATAAAGTGATAGATTCGCGTTTGTTGCCTCATTATCACGCCAAATAATTAACAACCTCGTTGGAGCTGGATCATAACAACATTAGTATAAACTAACATGTTACATTGTATCTATATATCATTTGTAGTTAGACGAGAGTGAAGCACTAAGTTTGATTCCATTTCGAAAAATTACTACGTAATGCCGTAGGAGTTAGACGTATTTCATTCGTAAATGAGCACAAAGGGGGGTTTTACGCGAACATTGTAGACGTTCTACCTAAGGGACTTACTTGGACACATGTGATTCGTCTAATAAGTCTATCGGATTCTCTTAGATAAGCAAGCAACAGGGGAGTCCAGTGTTTTCCGTCTTCCACTTTGGGGAAGCGGTGGTCTAGGTCTTAGTCCGCCAGCGAAAATTTGTGGGTCGTGTGTGACGAATTACAAGAGAAATCGAAAACAAAAGCCTTATGTACGAGCGGCGCCTGACTGTCAGCCAGCTGACGTTGAGCTCCGATACCAGATGATAATAAAGCTTCATTTTCCCATCTTCATTATTTTTATTTTTCTTTCGGTGGTTTGACAACCTTTGACGAGTATCCCATGCTACGGTACTGCACCTCTGGAACATGATATCTACTGTCGCATTATCCATTTTCATTTCTTTCAGGGGATGGACTGTATAAATCATGGCGACGCAGACGCAGGTGTTGATTGCCCACACGGGCCAGCGCCTGCAGGTCGATACCGCCCAGTTCTCATCGTACGTATTCCTTTGCTTTGAACTAATATGAGCCTGCGGCCTGCTGCTTTCTGTTTAAATATATGTGTTCTTCTACTAACAGTAACACTCTCCTCTCGTAGTTTAGATGATTTCAAGGCGTGGGTTGCCCGGCAAAGCTCTATACCAATTCAGAATATCGTTGCCCTTACATCTCAAGGGAAGACCGTAAAGATTCAAAATATACAATCCGAGGTTTGTCGTCCGCCATGGGAATCTTAGATCCTGCCGTTATTTAGCCTTCCTTTATACTGACATGTCCATTAGACGGAGGTATATGTCTATGACATTCGAATAACCCAAGCTTCTTCGACCAGCGCTGCCAGCGCTCTTATCTCCGAATCACCCATACCCAAACGATATACCGCATCTGCTCCCCCAAACTCGATTGAAAATACGCACTCATTGCAATCATGGCAAGATCTATTCAAGAGACGTCGCGATTGGACCCTAACGGTTGTGGAGGATTGCACTGCTATGGCCCATGCAACCCAGGCGCGGTATGATGAGATGGACGTCATACTAAAATGCCTAGACGCCGCCGTAGCAAATCTCCATAATAGTGTTAAGTTGATAGATCCAAAGCACTCGGAACTCAAGAAATGGGCAACACCCATTCAAGAAGAATATGCCAACCTGGCTTCCAAGTGGGAGCAATACCTCGAGCTAGCCCGAAGTATTGCTATTTCCCCAGCCATGGTACATTTCATGACTGGCCAGGATATTCGGAAACCACGCCAGGCAACGCTGGAAGATCTCATTGACCCCGAGCCGACGCGAAAAGCTGGGAAACTCGCCGCGACGTCCCTTCGAAAATTTAATAACAAGATATCTGAACTAGATAAAACGGTCGAAATGATGTTTGGAGGCTGCGAGGAGTTGATACAAGGGTTTAATAAATTGCTTGATCGCTCGGTGTTGGGGCATAAGCGCGACAGCATTCAACTATTAGAAGATATCGAAGCTGTCGCAAGAAAAGTCGATACGGATTATCAAAATACTCTATCATACGCTAACCAAAGCAAGGATATTCCTCAGGCCTCAAAAACAGCTGTTAATCATACGAAACAACTTTTGCCGAGCATCCAGAATAGAGCTTCTGAGATGGACGACATGCTCCGTTATGCCACTCAAGCGCGAAATGGGATCGCTGCCGATTCCCTCGCCTTCATGCGTAGAATTGCCGAGATAACCAGCATACACCACAGTGTCAAGACCCAGATGCACGCAATAAACCAAGGTGAGGAAGAGATGACCACTTTCGACTATCTACGGCTCATCCAGCAACTCCCGTACATGTATGCGTCATATGTCACTGAAGCTATACGGCGTAGAGAATGGTCGGAGAAGGTGAAAACTGACTCTTCCACGTTACTAAACGAGATGGCCGTATTTCAAGATGAGGAATTGAAAAGACGCCGAAAGTGGCATAAGATGGTTGGTAGCACCTACGGCCCGGAGAAGACTGAAAATAGTGTACTTGGCATCGAGGTAAACCTTCGCGGTGATGATGCATCTTGGCCACAGATGACGAAGCAAGAGCTTGACGAGTTCTTACTTGTATTAAAGCGCCATAATGCGGATGCAGATGTCGTAAGCGATATCACCAAGCTGATAAACGACCTTAACAATCCAACGAAGCAACAGTCAAAACGGCTGAAAGCATTCAAGAACGGCAGCGTTCATGAAGCAGCGCTTGGAAGAAGCGGTCTACTTATTCGCGGAGACGACGACCTTCTTAGAAGCCTACAGGGAGATAAGTCCAAGCTAGAGAACAAGTTGAGGACTGCTGAGAGCAGAGTACGCCGGCTAGAGGATCTCTTACATCGTCAAACTCAGGCATCGAGACCATCACCCTTGAGCAATCTATTTCAACCCCAGCAAACCGATTCAACCGGTTCCGTTCAATCGCCCCGCGTCTCAGATGATCGGCGGCGATCGGTAACATCGGAGGGCACCGAGGTTCTATACCAGCGTATTGCGCAGTTAGAAGGAGATCTAAATACCCAGAGGGAACGGTCGGCAATTTTAGAGAAGGAAGCGAATGCTTATGCCGAGTTGAAGGGCCAAATGGACGAGATCAACTCCACGAAACAAGATCTCTTAGGTAATATGGAAGCCCTAAAGAGAGAATTCATGGAAGAGCGCAAATCTTTAGAGGATGAAATCAAAACGCTAAAGGCTCGCCTCGAAGAGACCGAAGATGAGATCGAACATTTCGGCGAATCCAGAGAAAATGAGAAGATGACGTACGATGAAAAGCTCCGGTCTCTCACGGAAGAAGTTGAGCGTCTTACCAAAGAGAAGAGGGATGATGCTTTGAGGACGCAAGGACAACTCGAGTTTTTACGTAACGAAGCCCGAGTTCAGAGGGAACGCAATGTGTCTCTTGAGAGGGAATTGAAGGAATCGCGTGAAAAGGTCAAGGAGCTAAACAAACGAGCTGACACTTTCTTCGACAGCATGGAGACTCATGCTCGCTCGCTTAGGGAGCTTCACGGCCAGTTATCCCCGACGGACGAACCTCCCCAAGATTTTGCAGATCTTACAGACTCCGTTGCGACCAAGTCGAACGATGTTTTGGCCAAATTGAGGTCTCTCGAACAAGACATATCTCTTACGAAGGCTGACCTAGAGCGCGCCCAGGCCACTGTCAAGGATGTAAAGTCCGAATTACATGATACTAAAGAGAAGCTTTCTAATGAAAAGATGGGCTCGGTACACTTACGGGAGACGCTAGATAAAGAGAAGACTAGATCTGCTACTCTTGAGATGGAAGCCAACGATGCGCGAGAACAGCTTAACCAACTCCGAATGAAAATGACTGAGGGCGAGACAGGCTCAGAAACCTTGAGGAAGAAACTCGCGGATGAAGAGAAGAGAGTTGCGGAGCTAACCGAACAAGTCGCATCAAAGCAGTCCCAATTAGGTAGCCTTGAAGAGGAAGTCCGAATGTTCCAGGAAAAGCTACAGGCGTCAGATGCTACATTAGAAGCCCTTAATAGTCGATCTGAGGTACGCAATGGTCGGACTAAGGACCTTACCCAGCGGCTATATACACAAAACGAGAGGCTCTGTAGGCTTCTTGAGCGCCTCGGATTCTCGGTAACACGCAAGGACGGATCAATGGTTATCCAAAAGATTCCGCGGTCTGAACGGACATCCCAAAACCCCAACGATTCGTCTGATCCCGGTTCTTCTATACGTCGATCGGTTTCATTGACCAGCAACCCCCTCGCTGATAGCGCTGACCTTAGGTTACTATACTGGATGAACGCGGAGGACTCGAATACGGAAGATGAGCAATACCAGGCTTTCATGGCCGGCCCGGGCAACTTTGACATTGATGCCTTTTCTGAAGCCATGTATCGTCGGTTTAAAGATGTTGAGCATACTGCTCGTAAGATGACGCGAGACGCTCGGAATTATCGAGAACGAGCTCACGATGCCGCTAAGGAAGCTCGTGACAAGATTGCCTTCAGACATTTTAAAGAAGGCGACCTAGCCTTGTTCCTCCCCACCCGTAATCAGACGACAGGTGCCTGGGCTGCATTTAACGTTGGATGCCCTCACTTCTTCTTACGGGAGCAAGAGGGACATCGCTTGCGCAGTCGCGAATGGCTTGTAGCCCGCATAACTCGTATTCAAGAGCGGGTGGTGGACTTGTCTAAGAATCTACAGTCTACCGCTGCTCTTCCATTAGAGGGAGAAACTGACTCTGTGAATACTGGCGATGAAAATGACAATCCGTTTGATTTATCCGATGGCCTACGCTGGTGGCTCATTGATGCACACGAAGATAAACCAGGCGCCCCATCTACACCGGGGCTTGGAAAATCCACCGTGGCTGCGAATAACGTTGCAGCTATCGCAGATATGCACGCACATGGACGTTCGAGCAAGGGTAAATCGAAATTGGGGCCCAACGGTGGAATCGAGGGTGTTAGTAGAACCCTTAGCAAGAGTCTCGAGAGTAGGCGTAGCAGTTCAGGCTCTAAGAAAGCCCTGCCCCTTGCTGGAGTTGCCGCCGCGAAAGGCAGTGCGCTAGCTAGCGAGACAAACAGCATCACGAGCCCAACTGTTGGACAAGGGAGCGCAGGACCAAGTGGAACGCAGCAAGAACCAACAGGGGACAAGCAAAGCGCCGCGGATAAGAGCGAGGAAAGCGAGGTGCGAGACAGCAATTAACACCACCCTCGATCCCGGTGACATGGTCGCTGATGGGATCTAGCGCCGCCGAATAGATGACAACGCCAGTGCGCAGCAGTCTCAAAAGCAGAGGCTTCGGTGTCAGCTGAGAATACGATCACAACACCCGCAGCAGCAGCAGCAGCAGCAGCGACCACAACATTCCCAACTCCGCAGAGAAGTGAGCGCTGCGTCTATCGAAAGCCCGAGCCCGACTAGAAGGAGTATTGTATGGGATTCACTATGGAATTTGGATGTCAGTTATCCTGGCAGGTGATCAGGATTGGTCAAACTTTTGGCCATAACCCCCACGATACCACCTCTACGTATCACGAAAGTTTTGTGGCTGTCGAGTTGGGAGGAAAATCATCATTGTTATACAGGACGAATGGCATAACAGGCCGATGTTCCCCTGTCATATTTTCATTGGGCACAGCGCTGGCGTAAAGGGGTCTCCCGTTTCCTCGTGTTTTTTGGTTTGCTTTTGGACCCCTAATAGATGTCTGGACTAGCTAGTCCACTCGGTTATTACATTTGCTTTTTGGTGAAGAGGGACTAAGTTGTCTGCTGCATATGGGAGATGGAAGGAATGGAAAATAATGCCCACTCCATGGCTTAATCACCTAACGCCTACTACCTCAGTCTACGTCCTCCTCGTCGCTTTCCTTGTAGCAATACCTAAACATTAGAGAAACACGTATGCCGAATCAAAGAGTTAATTGACCTTGACAAGGAGCTTGAAAAGATGGGCACTGCATATATTGATACACGGGCTCAAACCTGTCGACATATATACATGTCTAGCCTTAGCTCAGCTACCCCAGCTGATTGGTATATCATACATGTACTGTGTTAATTTGTGCATAACGAATAACCTCTATAGCAAGCAATATAGTGCCTTTTCACTACCAGGTTAAGTAGATACTCCGCATCCATGAATCTTTTTTTTTCTCTATGTCCCTCGGCCTAGCTACCTAGGTACCTAGGTAGGATAAACACTTTTGAAGCTAGCCATCCACCCATTCCCATCACAATAGTAGGTAGGTAGGTACCTTACTTGGTTGGTTGGGGGGAAAGGTTTGTCCCTCCTCATCCGACTTTGACTTTTTTTTTTCCCTTATTCCTCCGGCACGACCTGGACCTGGCGGACGACGGGCTTCGAGTCCTTGGCCGGGTAGATGAGGACGTCGTAGGCGCCGAGATGCTTGATGCGGTCGTCGCCGGCGCCCTCGAGGCCCAAGCCCTCGATGCGCACGCTCTCGGCGTCGAGCGCGACCCGCCCGCCCTGCGCCGGGTCCGCCTCCAGCAGGCGCTCGCGCACGGCGGCGAGGATGTCGCTCGCGGACACGGAGCCGAAGATGGCGGTCGCGGCCGACGACTTGTCGTCTGGTTTGGTGGGCGCGGGCTGCGTCTGTTCCGGGCCGGTGGCGGCTGTGGAGGCGGCGGCGTTCGCGGCGAGGGAGGGCGATCGAGGTGTGGGGGGAGGGGGAGGAGGCGCGGGCTTGTACTCGCTGGATAGGGGCGCGGAGACGGTGGCCGGGATGGGCTTTCGCGCGAAGGTTAGGATGGGGGGGAGGAGGGTTTCGAGGAGGGCGAGGGTTTCCTCGGGCTGGTTGGGGAATCATATGTTAGCACAATATTCATTTAACGGCTTTCAAATAAAAAAAAAATCCTCAAAGAAATGAACATATAGGTTAGGTGAGGAAGATATATATATAGGGAGTGACTTACCGGCAGCGTCAAGGTATCCTTCTTGCTCTTCTTGCTCTCCGCGCGGCCCTCCTTGACCTCGGCGCCGTCGTCCTCGAGGACGACCCTGGTGCCGAAGGACCGGTCGCGCACGCCGATGGCGGCCTCGGTCAGGCCGAGCTCCTGGAAGCGCTGGCGCGTCATGTACTCGGCGTGCGCCTTGGGAAACCAGTAGTTGCGCATGCGGCCGGGCTTGACGCGGATGATGGCATCTGTATTTTTTTAGTCGTTTCGTTTTGTTAATCCAACAAATCCTAGACGAATATAGTTGATATTATATGAGGGGGGCGGGGGGGCGGGAAACCTACGTTTCCGACCGAACCCTGGGATGTCCTTCAACAGACGCACGGGGATACCCTGCAGATCATCCTCCTCGGCTTTCGTCATCGACTTCGCGCCTCGGGTCTGCAGGGCTAGGAACGAGGGGGGCGATGAGAAGGCCGCGGCGGGGGAGGACGAGGGGTGGGCGAGACGCCGCAGACAGTCGAGGCAGGTGGGCGGTCGGGTAAGGCGCGCGTGTGCCATCGTGAAGAAGGAGGGGGGAGGGGGGAAGGGGGAAGAGAGAAAAGAGCTCCAGGCCAATTGGGCGGTTTTGAGGCCTTCGTCGAGGGGGAGCGTCTTTTGTGGTGGTTTTGCGAGCAGAGCTTCCTGTTGTTGTCAAGTTTGAGAATTTTGGAGGAGACCCAAGTTTAAAGTGGTTCGGTACTTGCCGTCGGAGATTTTTGGTCCAATCATTTCGCGACGCTTAGCTTACTTGAATGCTTCACTGTATTGTACCTAACTTAATGGTTATGATCTGCCTTAGTTCAATCATAACTTATCTAACACTGATTTTGATCGTGAGGTTGTTAATTTACAGCGTTCACCAAAAACCTTATCAATCAACCAAAAATAAGAAAAGAACGTAAGGGCATACCAGATAATATAAGAACATCAGCGTGGATTACCAAGTATCGGGGGTATGAAGCGAGAGCGACAGAATGTTACATCACGGAAACCGCCCGAATTATTCCCCTCTCGACAATAAAATTAGCGAATTACTAGCCAAATGTTTGGCATGGGATAAGTCAGATAGAATGAGCTTGCAAGATACGTTGAAAATAGGCGAAAATGCGGTAACGGACAAGAACAGCCGTAGTATACCCCGTCAATTCGAGCGAAACTGATGAAGCAGTGAGAGAATTAGTACAGCAATTTATGTACGATGCAGACACAAAAAACTAGAGAGGTTGATATAATACATGAGTTCAAAAAATAAATTAACAGACGTCAAGCGTTCATATGACTTTTCGGACCGCCGGCTGGAAAGTGCTCCTCCGGCCCCGTTCTCCGGCTCTATCCCTGTCCGGCAAGCCGGACCCCACAAAACCGGAACATTGACGGCATGGAAAGGCTGGGCCATAGGGATGTATCAACCGGCAATTATTAGTACTGTGCTTTAAGTACCTGTTCTTCCCACTTATCATTAAACACGGGAATTGTTCTAGATTGTCGAGCCGGACATCTAACACGTAGTAGTGACGTAAATCCCCAAATATCTCGTGGCTAGATTTGCGACCGGCCATATATGGAGCGTCATCAGTAGATGACGTATTGCTGCTGTCAAGTGACAATTAGTTTCGCCCAAAAGTGAATGTTTCCTTAAAAAGAGCCTCATGGGTGTTTCATTTATTTTACTGACCGTCCCAAAGAACCTTCTCAACGACCAAAAGTATTCTTCATTTATCCCAAGGCATAATTATGGCTTCGACAGAACAGAACGATCAGACCAAAGCCAGCAAGAGCTTCGAAATGGGCGCTATGAGTGCCTTGCCCAATGTAGATCTATCTAGCGGGATATTCGAAGCCCCTGGCGCAATAGTAAGTTAGGTGCTTCTTGTTATCCTCCGGAATACTTCTGCTGACTCCATCTACCTAACCTGAGCAACCCGATGCGCAAGTGACCGAGCCGGTGTCACTCACCGGCGACTCACTCGATAAGCAGGCAAGTGTGAATTTCACACCCTGTTGTGTTTCTATAGGCACGAAAGGTCTGAATCCTTCGCTAACTACCTGTTACGGGTGGGACACAGGAAGAGGCGAATAGAGGTGGGGACATCGACCCCAAACGCCGCAACCCGAGGGATACAGCAGGCGCCGGTGCTATGATACTATAAGTTCTGGGGTTATTGGTGATTGTTGAAGTATTGATTGGCGTTGGAAAAGAGTAAAACCATACAACTTGGGAGGTGTTTCTGATGTGTATCATTACAGAACAGCACTCTTTAACACCATCGTAATAGAATCCGAAACTGTATTTTTTTTTTCCCTTCTTCGTTTTGTCTCCTTGTCCATTCCAAAATTCATCAATTATTTCGAGGTAGGACCCTCCTAGAATGCGTCAGGTAGTGGCTGGGTATCAGATATCCATGATCCTAATACTCATATGGATATTTATCCTACATACTTCAGTGTGAATCATCAATGATCAAGGTATAGAGCACCATTGACTGACTATGCAAGGAGACAGACGGGCCAGAAGGCTCAGATGATACGCCACGGTCTCAATATGCGATCCTTCTCCCCGTTTTGCCTACTATGTATCCTCAGTGCCAATCACATCTGTGCAATAAACTGGAAATGCCATAATTCCGAATGACTTGCCCGGGATGATCCTGAGATACCTGTATAGTAATCCCCCTCGTCGCCGCAAGTCCGTAGCCTCGGGGAGCACTGCTTTTTTCATCCTAGGCTGTGCTGACCCGATGCACCATCACCGCTCTCCCCTTTCCATCCGCACTTCCACTTTGGACCGTGAATGGGCCTCACCAGGATCCCAAGCCAGCCGCACGCCCCTATCCTACCCCAGATAACCCCAGGTTTTCCTGTTCGCGGCTAAGTACGAGCACCCCGGTTCGCAGGACGCGTCCACGTTATTGTGCTCGGCTAAATTGTGCGCAAATGAAAAAAACGAACTCGGATCCCTACAGCTTCGCACCTGTGACCAGCTTGAGCGCGCTAGTTTCCTTGATACATGGACGACAGCACTTTGAAGCGGCGCTTCAGGATGTGAGACTTCGGTATGCGCGTCGACGTTGGCGTGGCGATATGATTATGCTTTCTAATGCCCTATCTGCGATGCCCGGGGAACAACATGCTGCTCCCTGATATTTTAAAGACTTGGACCCGCTCCTGAGGCTCGAGGCGGCGTTTCATCTGTGCACTCAGTCACGCGAGGCTCTTTCTAGTTGAGATGTCTGGCAATCTATTCCTAAGCGCTGTCGCGACAGCCGCCTGGCTTTGTAAGCACACGTCCCTCGAGAGATAGACACGTGAATCCCGTCTAACTTTAACGGCAGTTTTTCAACCGTGCTCAGCTCGAGCTAATATAGCACTAGCACCACCAGTTTGCTCTGATGCCCCAACTAGCCAGACCTGGGACTATATCGTCATAGGCTCCGGGGCTGGTGGCATTCCACTTGCGGATCGGTTGTCAGAGGCTGGGCATACGGTTCTCCTTTTAGAAAAAGGTCCGCCTTCGACGGGCATCTGGGGAGGCACCCTGAAACCCAAATGGCTAGAAAACTCGACGCTGACGCGTTTCGACGTACCTGGGCTGGCCAACGAGATTTGGTTCAACCCGACCGGCGTTGTATGCACGGATGTAGACCAGATGGCAGGCTGTCTGCTGGGCGGTGGCGTAGCCGTCAATTCCGGCTTATGGTGGAAGCCGCACCCGGCCGATTGGGATCATAGCTGGCCGGAAGGCTGGAAGAGCTCGGATCTAGTCGACGCGACAGAGCGAGTGTTTGAGCGGATCCCGGGAACCACACACCCTAGTATGGACGGAAAGCTATACCTACAGCAGGGATTCGATGTGCTGGCTTCTGGGCTGAATGCGAGCGGGTGGGAGTTCCTCGTGCCTAACGAACACCCTGACCGCAAGAGTCGTACATTCGGTCATAGCACGCATATGTTCTCCAATGGCGAGCGAGGCGGGCCACTTGCGACGTACTTGGTCGATGCGAGCCAGCGCAAGGAATTCACGCTTTGGATGAATGCAACGGCGAGAAGGGTTATCCGCGAAGGAGGTCATGCGACTGGTGTCGAGATCGAGTGCAGTGAAAATGCCACAGGCCGTGCCGGTGTAGTTTCAGTCACCCCTGGAACAGGCCGTGTCATCTTGTCTGCAGGCGCGTTTGGTTCGGCAAAGCTCCTTTTCAGAAGTACGACTGCCCATTCCCTCACCAAAGCCCCGAATTCTTCCTCGTTCATATGCTGATAAAATGTTTAGGTGGTATTGGACCAAAGGACCAACTAAACGTCGTGAAGAAATCGACGTCCGATGCCGAGACAATGATATCTGAGGAATCCTGGATTGACCTACCTGTAGGATACAATCTAATTGACCACGTTGGGGTAAGTTTCTACTGCGATGGTTTATAGCCATATTATCCGAAAAAATAGCGGTGAGCTTACACTATATCAGACCGATATTGAGGTTGCTCACCCCGATGTCGTCTTCTACGATTTCTATGGAGCATATAGAAACCCCATTGCAAGCGATACGGAGATATACTTGAGTACGACAGCGAAACTACAATAGCAATTTCCGTACTGACTTTGTCATAGAGAACCGCACTGGTATTCTCACCCAGGCAGCGCCTAACCTAGGTCCTATCGTAAGTAAGTCGACAAGTTATGAAGGGTAATGATATTGATAGATACACAGTTCTGGGAGATCATTCCCGGTGCGGACGGGATAGACCGTCACTTGCACTGGCAAGCGCGGGTTGATGGCTCTAGGAGAAGTAGGCTTATTACCCCATCTCTATGTAACGTCTTCTATATACCGATGCTAACTGCGCGATACAGCTTCTATGATGATCACTCAATACCTTGGGACCGGATCAACTTCAAGGGGTCGCATGGTGATCACACCTCAACTCAATACCCGCGTGTCCGTACCTCCTTATCTCCGAGATGTCAACGACAAGGAGGCTATCATTGAAGGGCTCGAGAGGGTGCGTAAGTACTTCGCGCCCATCTCCAACTTGACGTGGGTTCGGCCGACTTCGAGCCAGACGTCGAAGCAATTTGTTGACTCGGTGAGTTGGCACCGCTCTTATCCGTTTACTAATATTCAACTACCCTTACGCGAGAGTGAAAGAAATACGCAGATAGACAGAATCGAGGCTAATACCTAATATCCGATGTAAAGATCCCTGTGATACCAGCAGTGCGATGCGCAAACCATTGGGTTGGGACGGCCAAGATGGGACTTGATGACGGCCGAGTAGTCAATGGCACATCGGTTGTCGATACGAACACCAAGGTCTACGGTACGGACAACCTCTTCGTTGTCGATGCGTCAATATTCCCTGGGATGATGACGGGGAACCCATCTGCGATGATCGCTGCTGCTGCCGAGCATGCGGCGAAGAGGATACTGGCGCTTCCCGCCTAATAGATGGCCGCAGCAAATGAGGGGATGATCAAGGAGAAGGATAATACGAAATAGCATGGTTTATTAAAATTTGGTTATCTTATAGATACCTACAAGGTACCTAGGTTAGCTGTAGCCCAAGTGGCTTTGGTAATGGGAATCCTACAAAGTAGGCCCCTAACTAATAACAAGTCCACATGTTGCCCAAAATAACATCATAAAGACCCTGCTTCTTGTTGTACTCCCACAGCTGACGGCGAAAATGACCCCGAAAATGGAGATAGGAAAGAAAAAACAAACAAACCAAAGTAAATTATTTGAATGGCCCGACAGTTCCGCGAACAGGAAGATTCCAAAAAGGATCATCAAGGAGAGCAATATCAAGAAGGCCGCCAATTCTCTTTTCATCCATAGCCACGTGCCACGGCGGAAGCTATACCCGCTCCTCGTGAGTCGAGCGTCAAACGAGATCGAACCGCCGTTGAGCTGTTTCCTCACTTTATCTTTGAGCTGCTGGTCCGTCAAAGAGCGGGCGTCGATGCCGGCATCTCGCAGCTCCTTGCCCATCTTTTCGGCCATAATCAATACCGCTTTCCAGCCTTTGCATACCCCTACTTCTCCTTGGAGGGGTAGTTGAAACCGAGCCTTGAGCCATAGAGCGAAGATTCCGATTGTCTCGATGGACAGCAATCCCAGTGCGATAAATAATTGTATAGATGAAAATCCCCATCGAAACCTCTAAAAGACACATCGTTTGGTGAGCAATAATTTGATAATAGCTAGCTACCTAAGATAGGCATATGTAGAGTAGACACCTACATCATTGACAGGTTGGCATTGACCACGTGCCCTCATGTAGTCACGGCTATATAAGATATTGTCAGAATGAGTGTACATCTTATTTGAGAATGAAAATGTGTAATAAGAGTCCATATTGGGCAAAGAACAGGCCGTAATATTTAGCGTTGGGCCCGGAATTGTTGTGTTCATCCAGATAGATGATATGTTTTTTTGGGCGTTGAATCCGTACGAAGCTAAATCTGTATTCCAGCCCATTAGTCTGTAACACTGCAAAAAAGACTGCTGATATACGGACATGTAGATAGACTGGGCGTCACCCAGGTATCAGATATCGACCATGTACTAATGTTCGTGCCAAGACGTAAATTAATGCAATTCTGAATAGTTCCGCCAGTATAGTTAACTGTATCGAACGTCTTGATTAGCAATTAGGCAATTATGGAAGTATTTCAGTTGCACTAAATCCTTACCCCATCCCGAGCCGTCAGAGTAAGAATTCACATAAATGTTATTGGTGAGATTAACTCTCTCTCCATCGTAAATGATGTATGTAACCGGCAGAAACGACAGGAGTGAAATATAGTTGTTGCTAATATCCGGAACAAACGCATCGTTGGTAATTGTATATCCAGTCATCGCACCAGCAATGGTTGGCCATGCCATGATGAACAGCATGGTTAGGATTATGAAGACCATAGATATTTTGGATTTGAGACCCCGGTTGAAGATAAAAGCTCGGATCATGCCGATTGTTGAAAAGAAGGACGGCTCGTCTTGTAGGAATACGAAGGAAAAAACGGTGAAAGTCACTGGTGCAAATTCCATAGAGGTCGTAACATAGTCCGCGAACGCTCGCCAAGATACGAATGCCATAAGTGCCTGGCCTCCGCGACCGATTATCTAGACACTTAGCTCAGCTCTTAACTTTGTCTTATAGACTGCTGCAATACTTACTATATCCCATGATATGTCAATAATCTTCGCCTCCGCAAAAGTGAAATTCCCAAATCCTATCCCTATACTGAAGAAATGCGATAGCTGCCATGAGCTATAATCGGATGAGTATATCACGAATGAACCGTCTGTTTTGCACCCTGGTTCATATCCGGCAAAGTCAACCGTGTTATACATAGTAACGAAGATAAAGAAGCCCCAAACGATCAGAGTCCATAGGATAAAAAGTGACCAGAGCCCTGCGCGTGCCCATTGAATAGAACCCAGATCAGACCATACTTCTCGACAGGTTCCGGTCCATTGTGTCAAGATTAATGGGCCGAGGTTCCGGAGAACATGCCGTTTCTGCTCGGAAGGTGTTTCTAGAGCAGCATGGTCCGCCGGAGAAGTCGACAAACGTGCCATGAAGCTTATTGGAGTCGAGTATAGCGAAAGCGAATATGAGCGATGTGTTCGTATGCGTGCCTACCTAGGTAGGTATCCAGAGAATACATGGAGTAGGATAAAATATCCCTAGGGGCCTACTTGAATACATAACTAGAGAAATAACTAATAATAGAAAGGGGCGAGCACAGTTCATGAAATCATACAATGGAAGTAACAGGTTGTATTGCAAAAGATAAATTAAACGCCTTGGCGGCTCTTGGGGGCAGGAAAACCCATACTCTAGGCTGACACGGGCCGTTCACATCTAATACCTAGTAGTGTTGAGAGTCGAGACCGAGGCTGAGTTTCTGCATACCAACTGAGACATAATAGGCAACAAATTTCGATATGTTGTGATACCTATCACACACTATGGTTCCATTGTAGTATCCTCTTTACTTGGGTTTAGAATCCAGACTATAGTGTAAGAATACCTAGTTAACTGATAATGGGGAAAGGCTTGACTGTTCACTATACATGATAATTGTGGCATAGACTGCTGAGCTAAAAGTGTATTTCTTATTCTATCTGACCCATGAGTGGTACCACTCGCAAAAATATAGCTTTCGGTAACAAATAATAGGCAAGACATCGCCACACGCTGTGGGACAATATCAGGTATAATTGGTCTGATGTGGGGTAGTTTTTAGAGTCAAATCCGCCATGCCATTGACCAGATTTGGCAGAGGGGAGATGTTCGGATTGGCTACGGGGATAAGAGCCAAGAAGAGCTAAAGTAGAGGATAGGCACCCGAGAGAGTTTCGGGATTGCTGTATGTGATGGGGGAAGATGCGGGGGTAACTTTGTGATGATAAATTAGCGTAACCGTAATCACTTAATATATTGGAGACTGTAAGACAAGCGACTTGTCCTTGTTATTGCCATTATCTTATAGGCGAACGAGTAGACTTCTCTCTTCTCGAATGCCAGTACCAATCCAATCCAATCTCTTGTGTTCTTCACTACCACTTTGTAATCATGGCCGAAGTCAAGTCAGCCATTAATGTAAGCCCCCAACTGAAATCCATCGACGCCTTCTTACCCCTGAAATATGCATGGCTGATAGAGAGACAAAGCTCAATCTCAAACATCCGGAGCTCTTCCGGGACAAAGCCTACGTTAACGGACAATGGATCGAAGCAAAGTCCGGGGAGAGGTTCGATATCATTGGTAAGTGAAATAGCAAGTAATCAACTATAGAGTCGGCCACGTGCTTATACCACAAGCGAGCAGACCCGGGGTCTAACCAAAAGTTCGCCTCGTGCCCGGACATGGCAGCGGAGGATGTCGACGAGGCCGTGCAAGCAGCCCAGGCGGCGTTCCAGGTCTACCGCACCTTCACTCCTCGGGCTCGTGCCGATCTGCTGGCCAAGTTCGACGCCTTGATCAGGGAGCACAAAGATGACCTCGCCATCATCCTGGTCTACGAGACGGGTAAGCCGCTAGCGGAAGCTTACGGGGAGATCGAGTACGCGGCTTCGTTTACGCGCTGGTTCGCCGGCGAGGCGGAGCGGATCCAGGGGACTACGTTTCCCGCCTCCATACCCGGCAGACGCATCTTCACCATCAAGCAGCCGATCGGCGTTACCGCCGCATTGGTACCGTGGAACTTCCCCATCGCGTGAGTCGTTGTTGTTAACTGCTACTTCGTTCCTAAACAACGATCAGTCCTAACCTAGAGAATTAACTATACGCTAGGATGGTCCTAAGGAAAGCGAGCGCCGCTCTGGCGGCGGGATGTACCATAGTCGCGAAACCGTCGCCCGAGACGCCCCTGTCGGCAATAACACTGGCCTACCTGGCTGAAAAGGCTGGATATCCCAAGGGCGTATTTAACGTTATGCCTACTACGTTGGCGAACACCCCGGCTCTCAGTGAGGCTCTCTGCAAACACCCGCTCGTGAAGAAAGTGTCTTTCACCGGCTCTGTAAGTCCCAATACCCCCACCACATCCCGACCTTAACCAATTAACCAAGCACTTAACAATGAGCTTGGCCAGCTGACATGAGTACCTAATCTACCCCCTAAATAGACCAGAGTGGGAAAGATCCTCTCCGCCCACTGCGCAGATGGCCTCAAGAAGCTCACCCTCGAGCTAGGAGGCAACTGCCCGTTCCTCGTCTTCGACGACGCGAACCTAGAACAAGCTTGCGACGGTAACCCAGCTCTCCCCCCCCCTCTTTTTTTTTTTTTTTCAAGCTTCCTACCTATACAGAGAAGTAGCCGACCTAACCCAACCCCCCCAAAAACAGCACTAATCCCGCTAAAATTCCGGCACGCCGGCCAAGCCTGCATCACCGCGAACAGGGTGTACGTGCAGCGCGGGATATACGAGCGCTTCAGCTTGCTGCTCGCATCCAAAACCCAGCAGCAGATCCGGGTGGGCCACGGCCTGGCCAAGGGCACGACGATGGGCGCGCTGACGGTGCGCAGCGGGGTCGACAAGGTGGCCGCGCAAGTCGAGGACGCGGTCCGGCGCGGCGCCCGGGTCCTCGCGGGCGGGGGCCGCGTCGCCGGCACCGAGGGGTACTTCTTCGAGCCGACGGTCGTCGCGGACGCCGCGCCCGGCATGCGCGTCGCCCAGGAGGAGACGTTCGGCCCGCTGCTCGCGCTGTTCCCGTTCGACACCGAGGAGGAGGCTGTCAGGGCCGCCAACGATACGAGCGTAAGTCCGCAATTTTTTTTTTTAAAAAAAAACAAAAACCCAAGAATTATAATAGATGCTCCCCGCCTCCCGTGCACCCTAACATCTGTGCTTACCTTATTACCTTAACTTAGATGGGCTTGGCGTCGTACTGCTTCACCAAGAATATCGATCGGATGTGGCGTCTGTTCGAGAACCTCGAAGCCGGCATGATTGGGTTAAATAGCGGTAAGCCGCATCCTATCCCGGCGATCTCGGGAAGAACTCGCAGAACAGCAGGCTGATAACAGGTGAAATCGCTAGGGAACTCGTCGGCAGCGGAGTCCCCGTTCGGCGGGATCAAAGACTCGGGGTTCGGCAAGGAGTCCGGAAAGGACGTTGCCATAAACGAATATCTCATCACGAAGACGGGGACACTGACTATTGAAGGGCAATACTAAAAGTGTAAGGCTGTTCGCATCGACATGTACTTGATGGATAAGTACTTGGGGACAGGTAACTGGACAGCAGTGACAGGAAGTAAAAGAGTCACATACGCGACATGATCTAGGATCCTCATCGGTTTAAAGATAATATTTTTCGCTAGATTTTTCAACACGGCATGCATGAAACCCTATTTAACGCTAGCACGAACATCACCCTCAACTGCTCGTTTTGTTCGACGTAAAATGTTAGTCCTACAACGATGCCGAATCTCTTATTGAGTGCTTCCGTGTAATCCCACATAACTGGATGTGGCGTTTGAGCCCCTCATGCCATTGTTATTGGTAAAGTCGGGTCCAGCGAGGCCATATCCACACGCACATACACATGCACATTCGTATTCATATTCATAAGCCTTCATCAGCAAGTGAACCGGCTTCAAAATGTCAAACACCCTTCCCAATATGCCAACGGACCAGAAAATGCGTCAAAACCGTCCTTCCATGTGCCGCCTAACACCATCTGTGAAATGTCTTCATGCAGTTTACACCTCGGGAGTTCGATGCACTTTTTAATTGTTTTCGCCTGTCGGTTATTTCCGATCATCATTGAATCAAAATCTTCCTCTCCTTGACTGCATCCCCCAACCACATATCCGTGGCTTGGTGATATGCGGGGACTTTACTCTTCCTGGGTTTTCCTTCATTGATCGGAATCTTCATCAGGATCAGATTCAAGATCATCATATTCAGAGTACCCCATATAGTCATCCCATGCATTTCTTATCGGTTCTTGTACGCTTTGGAATACTCGGCCTAACCGCGAGCCGGATCTCAGGACGGTTGCTTCAACCCACCCACTGGCACCTTGCTCGGCTCTGGATTTTATATACGGGTCTTCCCGCTCGTCATCCGCGGGGTCATAAGATGCTGCCTGTGTTAGATTATCCAAGAGTTGGTATACATCGCCCTATGACGCTGCCGGACTCTCGCGCTCTAGCTCGTAGAACAGCAGATAAACCTCTCGTTCCATTCCTAACACTTCACCCGTCTTAGCTTCCTTGATCTTTTCGTCGCTGATACGCCACCATCGCTCGTTTTGCTTTCGACGCTTGGGCTTTGCCCCATTCGATTTAGATGTAATCGTTTTCTCATTCACGGTAGATGGCGTGACTGGCGTCTGGCTAGCTGGACTACTTGGTCTGCTGTTTCTAGCTGAGTTTGATATTCTCGATATAGTAGATCGGGCAGACGCCGCAACTGACTTGAGACTAATACTATCTGACTCACGATCCTTCGTGGAGGACTTCGGACTACGACGAGATGAATGTCGGCCATTGGATGTCGCAGAAGTTTGGGGAGTTGAATCTGTCGACGGCCGAGGCAGAACATCAACTGACTGATTAGAAGAACTACTTCCGAACGAAGAAAACCCGAGATCCGGGATAGATGCTACCGGGCTAGGATCCCCTGATCTTGACGTCGCTGTAACGTGGGGAGTAGATGCCGGGCTGGGTGTAGCTGATTTGGTGAAGATATCGGAAGCTTGGAATGGATTTGGAGTGGAGAACGGAAGACAGATGTTCTGTCGACGGAAGGACTCGTAATGTCCACTGTGATGACTGCCCTTGTGCGTAACAGTAGCAAGTAATTTGTATTTTTTGCGATTCAATAAAGTCCCCATTAGCAACTGTTCGGGGAATGTTACCTTGGCTGAATTCTTCTGTGAGGTACTGTTGTATATGGATCTGGAAAGGTGAATAGCCATAATCTTGGGGAAGCTAGTCAGTCGCGTGTGTTTTGCGATTTTACAAGTTGGGGCGTCACTCATAGGAGGAAGCTCGATGTCCGCAGGTGGATTCTCAGGATCATTGTCGATCGCATGTTGCAATTGGGAAATCGCTTGTTGAATACTAGGCTTGGAAGCCTCGGGGATACGTCCTAACAACTGTGCTTCCAGTAAATCTTTTGCGTGGGCGAGACGGCATTTCTCGCACTTGAAGTCGTCTATGTACTCGGTCTTGAAAAACCCGTCTAGACATGCATTAAGCGATGTCGAGTTTGACTGTGGTACGTTCAACGTGAGAGTGCAGAAAGTGTTCTCTGTTGGCTTTGGTTTAAAACCACACTTTTGACACTCGATTTGACTTTCATATTGACCTTCCATTGGAAATCCATCTTCATCGTTCCTCGAGAGTTCTTGCGCCTCGCTTTCGGTTTTGTCCTCATCTGACACGGTGGTTTCGCTTTCTCCATCCTCGTTTACGGCTAGCTTTGCCAAACGCTGTTCAACGACATCGCCATCTATTGGCTCTGCCTTATTTCCTGACGATTCGCTAACGTATTTCTTTCTCGCAGCTTGCCGGGCTCTCCTTCCTGCATGGTATTCGTCGCATAACCGTTCGGCTACCACCTGTAAAAATTCCTGTGCATCCTGCTGCTGCCTACTAATACGCTGTTTGAAAGCCGTTTCGAGTACCCTGATAAAGGGGCCGGCAGATATGGTCTTCTTGTAGATGGGCCGCTCGTTCAGCGCATCGAGAATATCCTTCAAGCCTCTGGTGACGATTCCGGCCTGGAGACCATGGACCTTCCATTCAGGCTTGTTCTTATATGCAGGGTCCTGAACTATTTCTTGGTAGACCCAGGGTTCATCTATATTTCTTCGGTGAGTTTCTCGGATGAGGTAAATTCGGAGATCGGTGAGGCCGGCGAGGGCTTGGAGAACTGAGTTGATGAAACAGTCGTTTGCTGGGTTCGAAAGGCCGACGACGCCTTTCTTACGGCTCGAGTTGGGATCATTATCTAGAAAGTAGTTGGGGGCAAAAACATAGAAAAGAGTAATGGCGGCGAGAGAAGCGCCGGCCGCATAGGTGGCAACGGTGAGAGACTTCTCGGGCATGGCCGCGATCCAGCAGTTTGGTTCGTTTCACTCCCCGTCCTGTCACAACGCGCCCTCGTGTTACAATTGTCGTTACGAAGGCGGAGGGAGGAATGTAGTGGAGATGACTAGCGAATCCGTCGAGAGGGTGTCAGTATCCAGTACGCGATCCGAGGTCATCACCAGTTGCGGAAAGGGGAGACCAGGACAAAAGTCAAGAGAAAGGATGGTGCATAAGAAGATTTGTAAAAGAAAAAAAGAGGCTAAAAGATTTGGCGGAGTAGCAGACTGAAAGGGGATTGCAGGGATGATGGTCGGTATCCAAAGTAGCGATGCCAATGCAGCAATGGGAAGAAGCACAGCAAGATTTGAGAGCAGGGATAATGGTTGTTCGCTATTCGGGAATAAGGCGACGATGAAATATTGGGTAGAAGGTACCTTAGGTTAGGTAGACTTTATGTATGTACAAGAGGCTACGAATTGGGCTGTAGAATATATAATATATTACATGACGTTAATGTCCAAAGGCAGCAAAATGTTTCAATCTCAATTGCGTCACATGCTGCAAGTAGGGGAAAAATAGAAACGCGAGTTTTCAAGATGAAGGAGGAAAAAATATGTGAATACAGAATAAGTGAGTTAAATTTACATGTACGGAATACATGGGATACCTGCATCACTGAAAAGTACCGAGGTACCTTAGCATAAACTTACCTAACCTAATGTAAAAAAGAGAGGTGTACCTAGGTACCTAGCGTTTGGTAATTTTTTATGCTAGCGTAGAATCGGTCGCGGAATCTTAAGGTACCCGTCGCTGTCCGTGAACCCGCGGCCATCTTCTACAGAGCAAGTTAGGTTCCAACCTCCGCAAAACCGGGTAAGGATAGCGGATGCGCCGGTATCGAACAGGTTGGATTGGGCGCAGGTAGAAGAAAAAGAGAAGGAGGAGAAAAAAAAAAGTGTTGGCAGCGTTACATCCTTCCCCAAGTTGCGTCGCATTGCATTCGAATTGTCTATCAAATGTACGCCATTAGCATCAACCATATCATCTTTTGCCCCTTGATAATTCCCATCCCCATTCAGCCCATCAGTCCCATATTCTCCTTCCCCCGTTGTTCCACGTGCTTTTGAGCGGGTTCTAGCCGATTATTATCATTATTTTCGTCCGGCTTGTGTGGTTTAAGTAAGTCCGGATGGACGTGGGGGTCCCTTGTATTTCCAAATCACTTATCCCAACTCACATATAAAGGAATGTACTATGTAACAGTCAATAAGTATAGAATACATTATTTGTAAAAGTAAGGTATTTATCATTTATAGAACACCGCCATTGGAATGACAAATTCCTTCTAACTGTGGAAACAATTTGTCCTACCTTGACCAGAAAGGCGTCAAAAAAGGTGGCGCACTCTCACGCTATCACCTCAAATTACCCCTCACTAAACTTTAGATATATAAAATCCAAGCCAATACTGGGAAAATAAAACACCAAGATAAGGGTATTATTATCTAGGAATTAGGATTTATGCCAGTATTTTTTTATTACTATTGGAAGTGCTTCAAAAACTATTGTTGAAAGATAATGGTGTTTGTACACCAAAGATCGAGATCCCATGCTATCAGGCAGTCAGGGTCTTCGCACGGGATTTTCTTCTCAGATGCCGGGGGTCCCCATGCAAAATCTACGGCTCTTTACCAGGTTGACCTGTCGCTAACCATTTTCCCCCGCATGTTTAACAGAGACCCTGGCCGTTCCCAGAGTGGCGGATACCAAAATGCAAAACCAATCGTATCGTTATTGGTAAGACATCCTCCACATAGCTGTAGAAGATTGGCATGTGGAACAAGATAAGTGGCAGATGGGAATCTCAAATTCATTATCAATGGAGTCTATCTGCAATACATAGCAGAAAAAGCTACCTACCTCCATGTACTAATCTTTCCTCCTTTGATACCTAGCTATGCCTCGCTTGTGTTTTCAGTCTTGGCTTCAGTCTGAGCTTCAGTCGAACTGCCAGGAAGTCCCAACTCCCAAAGCTTCCCTCCCAGAACAGCCTGCCACCACATCTCAGAATACGACCTTTTTCCCCGAAGCGCGTATTTGAGGACATGTAACCTATCATCTTCTGCGTATTGCTCCTGTATGGACTGGTCCTCATTTTCCGATATCGCAACCGTGATAAGGGTGTCGGGTAGTTCGTAGCTGAGCTCCTCCTCTTGCTGCTGTGGTAGGATTTGAAGGTAAAATCTCGGATTTACGGCCTTTCTGAGAACTATGTGACTGAGTTGTCGGGATTGGGCGAATAGCCAAGAGAGATCGAACCCGATGTAGTATTTTATGATCCCCAACCGCTTGAGATTTGGCCACAGGGGCCCTCCCGTGTCGCGGTTATGAGGATCGCAGGCCATAAGTAAGATGTCAATCGTACAAGCAAGCTCCTCCAACTGGGTCAACTTTTTAAAGCAACGTCGCCAGTTAGGTTGATTCGAAGGGTCCAAGTCAATTTCCGTCGAATAATGGTCGAGAGTCAGGCTTCGCAGAGAGGCGCCGACGTGGTCGAATATGTCGAGCACTCTCCCCATGGATTCGTCACCAATAATGTTGACATACATCCGCTCGATGTTTGTGAATGCACTAGGTAGAGGATATTTCGATTGGAGCGATGTATTGAGAGAACGAACGAAACGGCGTGCTCGTGTCACACTTATGAAGATGCAATGCTGCTTCAATATCCGGGTAGCTTCATCGTGGGTTGCATGCGATACACGACTGAATGCTAGGAGCAACTGTGTACCATCGTGCCACGGCGGGATATGGGTTTTTTTATCAGCAGGAAGTAGGGATGACATGATTTGGAAAATGATTTCCTTAGGCACATGTGCCGGAGTTTTCTTGGTCGTATCCATGTTGGATTTTGGATTTTGGGTTTTGGATAACTTTGGCTGGTCGTATACGACTTGTTTGACGATGGAAGTAAAGTAATAACTACCTAGGTACGAAGTGGAGGAAGCGGCGTCCTTGCTCACATTGATACTTACGGCAAGAACGAGCAGGTTAGCTTTGTAAACTAGGCACTCACATTTTAAAATATTCTCTGAATCATTATTTTAATTCACTTACACTGTAATGTGTATTGTGCGTCCGACCTAGAAAAAAAGAAAACATTTTAAACGCAACAATCATACAGTATCAATATGCCTTAGGTTAGGTACCTTAAACACATCGAAGAAGAGTTATACTTACCTCGCTGCCTAATGCTACTGCCACCGAATTTTTTTTTATATATAAAAAAAGATATTTTCCCCATCACCCAATTCCTTGCCTTAGGGAACATTTCATCAATAGGTAAAGGCAAACAAACCTCTTTTAAATTGGATCGAAACATTAGAAAATACAAGCACACCTATTCCTCTCCAAATTACTGTAATCCAGACTATAAATCCAGATGATCTTTTCAGGGTGTTTGTAGGCTAAGGAAAAGACACCGATTCTATTATATTGTCGACACACCCATAGGAACCTGCTTGGGTTAGGTGGTCACGTTAGGAAACTTCTCAGGAGTATTCTCACTTGATAGTCGTTGGTGACAGGGACGGGGACCAAATGCGCTCCAGTAACCATGAAAACCATACCAGTTTTTGATATTGTAAGTCATCTATAAAAGGAGCAAAGATATCGGCATAACAAGGCGATAGTTAGCATCCGTCAACTTCTCTCCTAGTGATCTACACCAATATGTCAGAGACTCAACTCGAAGCACCTTGATACGTGGGGCTGGTGAAGAAGCACGAGTTCGTCCGCTGGACAATGGTTCATTACCCCTATCCCCCCCCCCCCCCCCCGGAAGAGTCCTGCGCTCTGAACGAGGAGGTTGATATTTGAGTTTTATAACAGTATTTTACACCATCTGCATCCCGCGCTCCGCTCGAGACAGTGATTGCGCCGAAACCAGGCTAAAAAACAAGGTTGACAACTACGACGCGGTGTCAACTATTACGCCCCTAGCCTGGACAACATCGCAAGCTTGTTGTCGGATCCCGAGTTCGGTGCTCGGGCATCGGAGCCGGAGAAGGCATGGATCGATCCTTCGAGAGCATCGCTGTAGATCGGTTACGAGATTGTATACCTGGACAATGGCGAAATTGTGAATACTACCTCGACGGACTGAGTCTTTAGAGGGATGGAACAGAGATGTAGCTATGGTTTCGACATTTATTCATCATTCTCTACCGACGTTGTAGTTGGTATATTATGTTGAGCAAGACTTTCATTCATATTATCATGTTAGGCATATATTCTGCCATGTACAGAGTGGGGTATCATATATGGAAGTAGTGAGCTGAGTCTATATAGCAACAATACATCTCGTTCGTAGTTCAGTCCATTTATTTCGTTTTAGCCTATTGAAAGTTAGCAATACTCATATTATATCAACCCTGCTACTCAAAGCTTGTGTACTAAAGGAAGCGACATACCTCACGAGAATTCCAACTCGCAAATCTCCTCCGGACAACAAAGAGTAGTGTACCTTCGACGATAACGGCAACGGCGATAGTAGCCAGCAACGACTTTCCGTGAGGGTGGATCCATCCAACGTTTCCGTTCAAGGCGCTAATGCCAAATAGTGAGAAATCCCAGGCCCCATGAATGACCGCGGGGAGACCTATAATCTGCGCCAGACTTGAGGTCTCCCCCCGGAAGTCCCGGCCGGCGGCAGCGAGACCGATGAGTAGACCGCTCATTACATGCATGGGAGACCCGATCAGCACGCGCTCGACGATAGCCAGGGCGAGATGTGCAAAGTCCTGATTCACCCCCACGGCAGCATACATGAACCCGATGTTCTCGAACGTGCTGAAACCCAGCGCTGCCGCTGCCGCCAGCGCGACGTAGTTATGCTCGTGCGTAATGCGTCCTCGACGTCGAGCATACACCAATCCAGAGTACTTGAGAAGCTCTTCCGGGATGCTAGCGCCGCAGTACGCGAACAAGAACATGAGCGCCCAATACTGCCAACAGCCTGCTATCTGTCTTCTCGCGGCCAGCGCTTCGGCGTCCAGACTAGCGACTTTGTTCTCGTCCCTTGCGAACTCGGCGAGAAGGGCGGACACCGAGGACGGAAATAGTGTATAACTCAGAAGATACAGTAAAAGCGACTGGGCAACAACGACGGCGAAGACGCCAACAGTGCCAACGAGCACATATGTCCAGATGAAGGTCTCAGGGTCCGTTCTCTGATCGACGGGACGCGCGCGGTCATACCATAGCAGACAGAACGTCGGAGCCAGGACGAACAGAGAGAGCAGCGCCGTCAGAGGTGATGCGATGCCGAGAGCGATGAAAATGGCCGGCAAAATGACCCAGAGTAGTATTCTCGTAGAGCGAGAAAATTGAGATGTGTTTGACACATCTACAGCTTTGTGTTTTTCCTCCATAGCCAAGGTTTACTGCTATGGTTGAAAAGTCCTTTAGAAGTGGAGGGCTTTCAGGGCGAATCGAGCTGGTATTTATTTATTTTTTATTTTTAGAAAGGATAGACATATTGCCATTATTAAATACTCCCTAATCTTTGAGAGAGCGATGATGAAATATGTAGATGCAAAATAAAATGCGACGGTGACTCAGCGAACTGGTCATAGCGACAACCCTGCCCTGGTATACCATGCATATACGCCGTATTGAGAGTCGTAATGAAAACCAGCATCACGCTCAGGGGATAAAAAAGGAGCTCAAATACGAGAAGATGCAGCAACATAATAATTCGGAATCGTTTAAGCTTTTAAGATAAAGGGAGAAATCAAAAGGTAAAAAAAAATCAAAAAGAATATCCGGTGACATTTATGAAGAGCGACGCCTGCAGGATTCGAACCTGCGCTCCCGAAGGAAATGCCTTCCAAGTTATATCGCGAAAATATAGCAGGGCATCGCGTTAACCACTCCGCCAAAGCGCCTCGCTATTTTTATTGGTGAACATTTGCTGCCACTAATAGCATTATTATTTTTGGTATCCGTGACCCCTCACCTTAAGCCGATCTAAAAATGGGGACCTTCCGAGCCGGATCTGATGTGGGTTCCACTATGTTAGGTAAGCTTATAGACGCAACAACACCGTGATAATACATGGTGTTGATGGAATCGCTTGCTTATCCTTCAATTTTTATTACGATAAAGCATGCCTAAACTCTTGCTATCCTAGGTATTTGTGCGTGGTATACAAAGTATGTTAAATTTGAAGTTTGTGATATTATTCCACCCTACGCTAGAACTCGAACCCTGATCCCTACATCTCTCGAGCTGTCTTGGAATGGGAGCTTATTACTGACAAATTGGCCCACTGTACCTACTACTTTTCTAGGTAGTAAATATCAGTGAGATATTAAGCTGCTAGATAGGCAAGCAATTTGTACCCATACCTATCTTATAATATGTGTATTAAACTTACCTCTAGGTAGGCATATGCTGTAGATCGAGTGGAGACCTCGAGCATCAAGATATATAAACGAAACTAGTGTGCTCAACATATGAGCCAATTTCGGAACTAGAACATGTCAAAACTTTCCACGGGATTCGGCATCTCTGCCTAGGTGATCTTTTTGAATGGGTTGCAACTTGCAAGATAACCAGTTCCTTTTTTTTTTTTTTTTTTTCAAACGGTCTCTTCAGTATTTAGAAGCATTTAAGACATTCACAAGTCAAGCTACGTCCATACCTAGCATGAATCTCATCACCATGACAGAAGAGCCATGATAGCAGAACACAATCGTTTCCACCAGGTTAACTTCAGATTGTGGACCTTTGATCTCCTGGAACCCACAAGCTCTCGCCGTTCTGGTAGATTTCCCGAGTCAGGTCAAACAACTAGTTCTACCTAGTCTTTCACACTAAGTGCGGCCTATTCCGCACTTGCGGCTCAACGTCATCATGAAGATGATTTGTAAGGTTAGAGAGGGTCTCGGTCGTTATAGATATTGCGGAAAAACTTTCATTTTGCCTAGGTAGAGAGGATAGGTTGGGGATGTAAAGCTATATAAGATGGCGAAGCCGGTTGTAAGATTCGTACCATTTTATATACATGCGTAATTAATGCGGCAATAGAAAATGTCTAGCATTACCTTCACAGTCTTCAAGGGTGACAAGTCCGGTGTGCCCAAGAAGGCCACTACGACTAAGCCAAAGCAATTGTCGGGAGATAGTGTCCTAGTTAGAATTACAGCGTCCGGACTATGCGGAACTGGTAAGCGTTGTCTCGAATCTATTAAACGTAAAGACGACGATAACTAACCTCAAAGTACAGATCTTCATTTCGTACGTAGTCCTTCTCACGGCCGCAGCTTAGCAATGTAAAAAGAAACTTAGGCTGACATGTCACTTAGAAACATGAAGATATGGTCCTTGGACACGAGGGTATTGGTGTTGTTGAGGAAACTGGGCCCGGGTGCATATTCTTGAAGAAGGGCGACAGGGTCGGCTGGGGATACGAACATGACTCTTGCGGCCACTGTGAGCAATGCCTGAGCGGTAAAGAGACATACTGCGCCAGGCGTGTTATGTACGGAGAGGCGAACCGGGACCAAGGCAGCTTCGCAACGCACGCCATCTGGAAAGAAGCTTTCCTCTTCAAAATTCCCGATGAGTTGTCAGACGAGGATGCTGCACCCATGCAATGCGGCGGAGCTACCGTTTTCAACGCTCTCCACGCCTACAGCACCATGGGTACAGAAACGGTCGGTATAATGGGAGTTGGTGGTCTCGGCCATTTGGCTATTCAATTCGCTGCTAAGATGGGATGCCGTGTCGTCGTCCTGTCCGGTACCGATTCGAAGAAGGAAGAGGCGATGCGATTAGGAGCCCACGAATTCATCGCTACTAAGACTACGAAGGACCTGAAAGTATCGCATCCGCTGAACCGCCTACTTGTATGCACCTCTGCCCAGCCCAACTGGAGGCAGCTTACCCCGATCCTAGCTCCAGGCGCGTTCATCCACCCGCTTTCCGTCGATTTGCATGGCGATTTCAATATCCCTTATTGGGATCTTCTAACGAACGGAGTTACCATCCAAGGATCTGTGATTGCCTCGAGATATATCCACAAGCGTATGCTTGATTTCGCTGCTCTGCACAAGATCAAGCCTGTTGTCCAGATTTTCCCGATGACGGAAGCTGGTATTAAGGAAGCCATGGAGAAATTAGACCAAGGCAAAGTGCATTTCCGTGCAGTCTTCAAACCTGGAAAAGAGCTCTATGCGGAACAAGTTGTTCGATCCTAGGGAGTTAGATGGCACGAAAGGTTTTACTATGTAAAGCATACGTTGGTTAATAGAAAGCAGTCACATAAACTTAGAGCTGGTAGAGGTTAAAAGTGGAAGGTTCGGAGGCTATCTTGTTGGATGGGAATAATAACATCATATTGGTTCAACATCAGCACCTAAGCAACTTTACGGCCCTTTTGATGAGACCACGGCTTGACAGGTTAACTACCTCCTAGACGTTACTTACATGGTGACTACCTAGGTAGTTGAGCACCCCATAAAGACACATGCCACTCTAGGGACTCTATAAAGGACGAGCTAGAAGGGCGAGTCACTCATGTACTAAAAAGCTTAATCTATCTTCAAATCATTAGAGCCTAAGGTGTCCTCATAGGCTGAGAGGTTGGCCTTTTTCTTTTTTTACGTTACTTCCTTGATGTAGATATAAATAAAATGACTGTAATACACCGAGAACATGAACTTTACTTTCTCCAATCATGCTTTATGTAGATGATATAGGTATCGTGACTGAGGTACCTTAAGGTTGATAGAAATACTCTCCTTCAGCACAATCTTCTCCCGACTCAACAAATCTCTTTACAGCCGCATCGGGATCTTCATTTCCATCGAGAAGATCGACCCAGCAAGTTTTAACATTGGGAGAGTCGAGCAGCAGGGCAGCAACATAAGCGACAGATGCGCGACTCGTTGTCCCTGCCACTCGCGGCTGCTTCCCTAGAGCAACGCCTCCCACGGGTTCTGTTGTTAACACTCCTGGACGGAGTGAAATTGCTGCAAAATCCTTTCGTTTCTTCCCTTCCTCGTACAGTACTCTATCCGCCACGATCTTCGCCTCGTAGTACCTGTTTAGTGAATTTCGTATCGTCTTGAGATATTCTTGCCAGCGTTCCTCCGTGACCCAAGACATCTTTTCATAGCGGCAGCTATTAAATGAAACCAAAACGAACTTGGTGATTGATGGTGTTGCCACAGACGCACGAATGAAATGACAGGCGGCATCGCGGTCAATTGCCTCAGTCTACCACGATGAACTTGTTAGTATGTATCGGACTTAGTAGCATTTCGGACTTAAGACATACCCTCTCTGGTGGTCCTTTTCCTGCAGCACCAGCGCTCCAGACAACATAATCAGGTTTCACTTCGTCGATCAAAGTCTTAGCTTGGGCTTCGCTCTTGACATCCTCGATGCTGCGAACAAGGACGTCTAGTTTGCCCTTGTGGTTCGTCTGCGCTCCAATCTGCTGCAATTCTGCAACCTGATCCGGACTTCTGATGATACTAGCAACTTCCCACGATCGCTGAAGGAGCATCGGTGTCAGCAACCGAGCCACCTTACCGTTACCACCGAGTAGGAGGACGCGATGAGCCGCCATTGTCATAACAGTAGTTGATATAGTTAAACTAAGAAGTGAAGTGGTTTGGAAAGAGAAGAATTATACCTAGCGGAATGCTCGGTTTTATAGACTGAGGAACCCCTTCAGTTAAAGAGCCGGAAGATTGGAATTCTGCGCCACAGACAGTCATTTCATACGTCAGATCTGCTCTTACTAATCGTATAATCTGCAACAGACCTCTTAGGTCTATCAGCCAAGGATCGGTGATAGTGATCAACGCCGACGTACAGGATAACTTAAGATGAAGAGAGTCATTTCGGGTTGGAAAAACATAAGCACGAATAAACTCACGTATTTAGTAAGAAATGAAATTTGTCTACTTCTACAATTAGTACGTCAAGCAGGCATTTCAATGTGATAGCCTTGGAATTCTAGAAAATTAGTATTTAGGCACCCTCAATACATGTGAGCTATCATTTTACGGATGATAATTTAACGTAGCTCAAAATGCAAAGCCTTCAAAGCTAGACATGTGTAGATTCCTTCCGCCCACTATGCCTATTACAAATTCAGCATCGTAAATTAAACTGAGATGCACTACTTGTATATGACTTACCATATGATTTCTCTGGTCCAACTATTTTTACTACCTCAAGGTTGCACTGACGTCCTAGATACTCCGCGTCACTCCGGGCCCGTCTATTTCCTGATTGGTAGAATACGCCGTCCTAGACTTCCTTCGGATCGGAGCTCCGATGGCATCCGGCCTAGACGATTGATCATATATCTACCCATCTAGATAGCTACACATAATTCGAAGTCTACTTTCTACGTCGTTTTACTGTCACTGCAACCTCTTTTGTTCATGAACATATTGAATACTAACGCAGGAGACAAATGGCCAATTTTTCTACAAACCCAACAAAAGAACGTATTGTAAGCTTCATTATGCAACCTCTTTTTGTTACTTAAACCTAATCATGATGTTCGAAAAGCGGCCAAGAGTTGGTATTGCAGCTATATTGAAAACACAAGGTTGTCCACCAGGCAGACGTCCTTTCCTCGGCGGTTAAGCAGCCCCATAGGCTAACACAGCATACTTAAGCCAAATTACAATTATGTTTAGGTAGGACGAAGCCTTGATCTACATATGATGAGTCAAAGGAGCTCACAGAGTTTAGGTTAGCGACTTAGCAAATTGGTAGACTCCCATGGAAAAGGATGGGAAAGGGGCATTTGGTGCAATATGTATCTTCCATATTACCTCTATAGGCTCCCCTACACAAGTTAGCCTGCGGATATTCTTCACAAGCCGTGAGTTTCGTCTCGTATTACACAGAGCTGATATCAAACATATCTTATATATGCTATTAGCATAAACAAGTCCCTAAATTAGCTTATCCTGATCATAATATACTTCCCTTACCTTTTACAGGGAGATCTATCATAACCTAAGACTGGGCAGTAAGTATTCTCACCGTCGTCGTCGTCGTTGTTATCCAGCCAGGCCTTCGAACCAGGCAGCTATACGAACCCAGTGCCATACCTATGCGGAGTCCTAGGGAATAATATATGCAGTGCCTATCTCCAGAGACGTGAATCTATTGTATGTACATTATGCAGACGCAGCCTGTGCATACCTGCCAGTTGTTTCCCTCAATAGATTATTCTGTGGGCTCTACAAAGAAGTAACCTAATACCCATCCCACTTTTGTCCAAACATGCAGACCACCTTTCGAAGCCTGTAGTTCACAGTGAGCCGCATATTACAACAGCTTTAGCCCACTGAAGCTAACTGTTGCCTTGACGAACCAAGAATTTCTTCTCAAATTGTGAAATTAGGGCAGAGAGGCTTCCTTACCTTCCACATTCTATCCCCTCTTCCATCCCACACTTTTTCTTCGCAGCCTACACAAAACTACTCCCACCTCTGTTCTGTTGACTGCTTCCTATCCAAGCTGCCATATTGCAAGCAATCTTCTACCCGGACCTTGTTTTTTACAAGCCCTCTCACTTTACAAATCTTCTTCTTCAAACTTTACTTCGCAGACCTACAAGTCACCTCCTTCGCAATGCAGCCTCAGCCCGGCCCGGCCACCCTTTGGGGTATTTTGGAGTCCGAGAACTCCCCTTCATCGCCTGGACACACCTGTGGATCAGAAGTCTCTGACTACATCCCATTCCTTCCGTCCCCGGCCCCCAACCCTGCTGCCGAGCTATTCGGAGAAGAACTCCAGAACTTGGAGATGCCCCCCTTCAACGGAGACTTCCTCGCTTCGCGCTTCTGTCGCACCGCTACTTCGCGCGATCTCGTTCGCATTAACTACGGTTTGTTCCACGATAACTACCCGAATGTCCGGTACGTACCTATACCTACCTTTATATGGTATCATTCCCTTATTTCTCTGCTATCAAGCCAATAACAGCACTGACAATCCGTTATAGCGACGTCGCGGACCCGAGCATGTTTCTGGAGCGAGGCATCGCCACTTTGGAGAGGACCCTTTTCGGAATGTAAGAACCCCCTGCTGCCCCCGCCCCCCCTCTCTCTCATCCTTCCATCTGCCTACCACTTTACTTTGCTTTGCTTAATACCAGTGGCAAATACACATTGACTAACGAGAACCCCCCCCCAAAACAGCGACCTAGGCGTCATCGTCGCGCGCGGCACCCCCATCCTCGTGCACGTCGAGATGCTGCGCCCTCTGCCGCACTTGTACTGGATGTTCGTGGACCCGCGGGACGGGGCCCGCTACCGCGTGGTGCACGTGCTCGAGTCGCCCGAGGCGTGGAAGATCGCGCTGCTGGCCGTCTACGGCACCGAGGACTTCGACCTGCGCGAGCCGCGGCTCATGGGCGAGGACTACATCGACGCGGTGCGCCTCGCGCAGCGCTGGGCCGCCGTCGAGTTCGTCCGCGACGCCCTCGTCGACTACTTCAAGTCCTACTGCACCCGGCTGGCCGTTTCCCTGCGCCGCCATAACGTCGGTCCGATCACCGCTGCGGCTGCTGCTACTGCTGGTCCGGGTAATTCTGTTGGCGCCCTCGCCACTCCGCAGCAGCTCGCTGCTGCCCGCGCGCACGAGCTCGCGCTGCAGGAGATCCAGCGCTGCTTCTGGCGCTACTCGGAGGTTAGCGGGTCCTACCGCACGCTTCCCGTGGGAGCCTTCGGCGCCTGGGCCGTGAGGGCTATCAACCAGACGTACATGCTCAGCAGACTGCCCTATCTGACCCACACTTTCCGGCAGGAGATTACTTTGGCCCTCATAGTCCAAGCCAACGCTTACGTGTTTGACTACACGCCGGATGAGCCGATCTTCTTGTTCTGATTCGTAGGGAGATTGGTCTGTTACGTGTGACTGAGCCTGCCTAAGGAGGTAGGTATTGCACTCTACGCATCGTCGCCGCTTGGCGTTTTGAAGAATACTTGAATCTTTTTTCTACGGTTGGGATACGATAGGGTACGTATCGCGACTTATCCTGGGTGTCATTCTTCTTGAAGAAGCCATAGGATGCAAGCATGTTGTTGTTGTTGGTGGTCGCAGAGATTTTGTCTCTGTTCATTGAAAGCTCGAACCATTTCATTATTTGAAGGTTCGAACTACTTTTTCATTGCATCTTTTGTGGTAAGGTGATGATGATCATGAAAGTATTCCAGGATGAATGACTGGTTTCTTACGATCGTATTGGCGCATACTGGTTAGGTTCGTTCGGCATTGAAAAATACTTGATCCCTTTCGAATTCAATCTGCATGTTTTCGAAGTTGAAGTTGGAGTTGGAGCAAGGTTTGGACCTTTCCTACCATCATAGTAACGGGTTTCCGGGGTTTAACGGCCTGCCCATCTTGTTGTAGTCTCAGTGTACATCGCAAAGTCTCAGTCCCTTAAGGACAATACAAAAATGACCCTATTATGGTATTATACTTGAATATTCCAGGAGAGTCTAATAAGACTGTTCCTGGCACTAATCAACGCGTAACACGGAATGGAAAATTCCCAAGATGGTAGGGCGCTTATACTGGAATTTCTGTTAGATGATATTGTTACTTAAAGATCTGAATTTACAAGTTAAGTGGGTAAATTTGATAAAGAATAGGCAGAATCACTGAAATATCCATGTGTCTCACTTGCTGAAGTATAATGTAGCCGCTGTTCTTTTGTGGTTGTACCCCTTTTTGGTCCGGTTCGGTGTTTTTGCCGACCGGAAAGGTTACCTATGCCGGCGCCGATCGGATCCGCTCTACGGCCCCACCTTTTACGGGACGGCACACCTGTGTATGGCAACGTATTAAACATCTTAAACAAGACCTAATCCAATACATTCAAAGTAAGAACTCCTGGAACTTTAAGCACAGATAATTTAGTTTCGAGGGCAATTGCTGTAGTCGTATATTGGATTTATTTCCTCATTTACACTTGTTATTAAGACAGGTACCTTTCATTTTTCTGCCCTTCTCTGAAAGCTTTACCGTTGCTAGAGCCTCTATAAGATATTCTGTGAGGATATTTCGTCCCTGTAGTATGTGTCTGTCGGGTACTAAAGCTTCTCCAAACCGACACGGCCCCTTGGCAACACCTTCGCGCCAGTACACATCACCCGTCTCATATAATTGCTATCTCGCTGCTGAACCAATCAATTCGACCACGCTTCCCCGCGAACCTGCTCTAATCTGTACCCAATCTCCATAACCCGTCACCCAAGTAGTGCGCGTCCTCGATAACGGGCCCCTTACCCTTCTCTTTGACCTCCTTGGTGCCCATGACCAAGAATCCCACAGCGCACGCCTCGACTTTGCCCTCGGCTCGGACCACAACTGGTTCGCCCTTCTCCAACTCCCTGGTCCACCTCTCGTCCTCGTCTAGACCCTCCTTCCCCTCCTCGGTGCTAACGCCGCTGGGCAGTCTTCCCCCGGCACTTGTCAGACCAGGTGCCATAAGCGTGGCACCAGACAGAACGAAGCGGATCGCGCCGCGATCTATGCGTATACTAGGGAACGCATCTGGGAAGCGGTGGACGAGGCGCAGGTGCGGCAGCAGCGTGGTGGTGTCCTGCTGGAAGAAGAGCGGCTGGGAGTCGAGCACGTACAAGGTGCAGCGGTCGGGAAGCTTCATGGCCTCGAGCGACCCTTTCTTCGGGAGGATCTCATCGATGTAGGGGTTGAGAAGCGGGTAGGTCGTCAACAGGGATTGGCGTAGCGAGCGCTGGACGGAAGACTTTAGCTTGGATTTGGGCGCGGCGGTTATCCTACGTGTTGGCGAAGTGGGATGGATGGTTAGCTAGACCGTAACAAGGGGGAAAACTTGGTTAATGGAAGACGGGGAAATAATGAAAAGAAAAACAAAAAAAAAAAAAAACATAATTAAATAATCTTACTCTCTCTTAAACATCTTGTCGGATTTAGAACCAATTGGCTAGGGTGTACTTTTTCTTAGGGAGTTGTTAAATGATACCTAGATGAATATTATTAAAATGATGTTCAGAGTTAGAAGCTTGTAGCTCGTGAAAGTTTGGAGGGGCATCTGATTGAAATGCCCCGCAATCGTTGTTCATTTAGTCCAAAGAAGCAAAGCGCGGGGCAGACTCGACCCCCTCGAAGCTCCCGGTCTAGCGGGGCATTTGGGGTACAAAGGTACTTGCTATGAATCAAAGCCAATGACCCCATCGTTCATCAGTGCTGATCGTCCATCATGCGGCATCTTGAGGATCTGTCGATCTAACAAAGAAAAGAAAATAAATCAAAAAATTTCACATATGATTTTTGATAAGTCATTCTCATTGCTTATGGTGAAAGGATATCATATTAAGCACCTAATACAAACTGTTCCTTTCTCACAAATCTCCCTTAGGTTTCCATCCCATCTCCCACAACTTTCTGTCTTCCATACAGAGGGGTATCAATTACGTATGTGGCATATCCATATCTAACCATGCTGGACATGGCTTACAGTGCCGTCTTCCTTGACATGAACATTCAGTCGGTCCGGGACGAAATCCTTAGTCACCATCATGCCGGGTTGAATAACACGACATTGCTGCGGGAGATCCTTCTTGCAGAAGTTCTAGGATTTGCATGCGTTTCATTAGCTTACGTCTTTATATAAAAGCTTGAGTTTGAGTATCATGAGAATACAGAGATCTTACGTACCGTCTCGCTATGGCCATCGTCGGACACCGTCTTTCCGACTAGCTTGCTGGACCACTCGGTGGTCTTGTCTTGAGAGTTGTCGGTGATACCGGGGACGACGAGAGGCATTTTGGCTGATTTAGTGTTGAGGGTTCTCGTAAGTATATGCTGGCGATGATTATAGGTGCTTTTGCTTAGAGATTTAGTTTGAAGAACGAGTGTAATCGAAGAGGTAGGACTATGACCTCTTATAAGTAAGGGCGAGGCAAGCAGCAAGGTTGAATACCTGGAATGTATGTTTCGCAGGCAATGACGTATACAATCTTCTCCGAACAGGGCAGTACCTAAGTAAGTGTCACCGACAAATCACGTGACCCCCTGTCGACTTAGATAATCAGTTTCAGATATCCTCATGACAAACCGTTCCTTACGATATTTCATCTTGACATCTCACAAATCAGAACATCTTGCACAAACGTGAACCTGTTAAACACCTCATATATCCGCTATGACATTTCATTTTTTAAACTTTTTTTTGCTTCGTCATTATTTCAACCATCCCTGGAAAACCCTAACTCATCTACAATATGTCACAGATCTTCATCACGCACTTTTGATGATTGATAGATTTGAGTAAGTTGCGTTTTATATCTTGCGTCAAAGACACTTACTCTATTTCATTGGCCAGTAGGTACCTAACCTATCTAGAGGTTCGCTGCGTCGGCGAAATTAGTTTCTGTGAGATACACAATGTATCACCTAAGGTTAGGTACTTGGAGTTAAGAGAAGGTACCAATTCAGAAGATATTCTGACAAGCGAAATACGCGGCAGTTTCTGGCGGAGCTTTGGCTCAGCCACTCCGAACATTATGCTTAATAGGTAGCATGATGCTAGCTCTGCAAGTACCATGTATGCATTAGGTACAATACAATAAGGACAGGGGTTACAGCCTTACAATGCCCGACGTGCTAGATTTCAGTAGGCTATTACCTGCAGAGCCCTGGCCTCCACTAAAGACCAGATCAGCTCAAATCAGGTAAAAGGCCGATCCCCCACAATCCTCTCTACCGGATATGTATTTTTTTTTTCCTTTTTATGTTTCTTTCTCACATTGTCATAAGGTACTTTGATGGTATATATGACTGACACGTTCTAGAGGTATATGCGTAAAATATAGTACATACTATCTAGGTACTCAGCTACTCAACTGATTCTTTCTTTTTTTCGTGCGACTTAGGACAAGGTCTTGTGCTTCCCCATGAGTCAAAATATCCGACTAGATCGCACCGCAATGCTCTCCAGAGTCCAATCACCTCCGTCCAATTATCTGACCAATCATTAATGGCGACGTGGGGCCCTGCGCCGCTCCGAACCACCCGGCGGTACCTTGTTTTCTCACTCAAGGTGTCGATATGTGATTCGTTCCGCCGCGCCGCACCACGCTGTAAGCCAGCACCAAAAATAAATCATAATTTTGCTAAACCCTCCCGGGCCCTTTCCCGCTTTTGAGGTACCTCTAAACCTACCTAAACTAACCTAGGTTGTTTTGTTACGGTAGGTTATGCACATTATCTTACAATGTATGTAAACTACCTAGGTAGTTATCAGCTAGACACTCTGTTGTGTGTTAGTAGACGTAAAGGTATGGTATGCTATGCTATGTATTTGTTACGGTACTACCTAGTGGTAGTAAGTATCCTAAGCCCGAAACCCGAACAAAAGCAAAAGCTGTTGGAAAGCTATCATGCAGCTCATTCCCTCGGTCATCGTTAGCCCTGTTAAAAATAAGAAAAGACCCTGAAAAAACACCATGAATGGGGCTGGGCTGGGTTGACTAGCCTAACCTAGCTGCATCTGGCCAACCCTTGGGAGGATGTGTTTTTCTTACATATTCAGCCAGCTGTACCTCCTGTCAGATTCTCTCCGGACTTTTCCTTCCCTCATATCTCCCATCTTTTGACCTACCTCTCGTCATCGAGGACTTCCTGAGTAGCTAAACTCGTGAAATCCGACTGACTACTACCACCCTAGCTTGTGAATGGGACAGAGACGAAAGAGTGAAATTTTTGGACGGACTAGAAGATACTTCGTTTTCGGTCTTGATAAATATTTCCCGAATAAATCGAAATACGGGGTCTATTGAATTTAACTTGCGGGGAAGAAACCACAATCTCGACTTTCGACCTTGGGCTTCTACCTACCTATTCTGGTAATTTACAAAGCTGCTGTCTCGATTAAGAAACGACGTCTATCTATATCTTCATCCGAGCAGCTGTCCTCTACCAGCACTTTACTGTGCTGCCACTTTTTAAAAACCCAAACCTCTACCTCTTCTAAACCACATAACCATCGTCATGCACGGGAAAAGATCGGGGTCAGCGGCCCTCCTGGCCATCCTTTCACCTCTGCTTCTATCGTTCCCGGGATCGTGTCTCGCTGCCAAACCTGCGAAAGGAGGTTTAGCTACGTACATTGTCAACTCAGCCGAGCAGTTCTCTGCCCGATCGTTGTGCGGTTACAGAGAATCTCTCATATCCTGCTTTAGCAACGCTCCGGAATACGCCGATGTCGAGTACCTAGAAGAATGCTTCACCAACGCCGGCTGCAACAAGCAGGAGTCTAAGTCTAGCGCCCGTGAAATCGCCGAGTCTTACTACAAGGGCTTGTCGGCTCCTGAACTTCGTAGACGGAGGCCCGATCCTACACCAGGTCAGACCTAATCCAATACTTGCATGGCTGTTACCCATATACTTACTATATACAGCCCCTACCCCAGCGCCAGATGAAGCCGTCACCACGTCGACGAACGCCGTAGTCGGCTTCCAGCCTTCGATCGAATGCAGCTCGGTGACGGTGGTGCCGACGTCAGTGTGCCCGATCCAATCGACAGGCACAGCATCGGGCAAGACGCTGCCGTGCTTCGACACGCAAGCAACGGCGACGGTGTGCAAGGCGGAGAACCTGTGCTCGACGGACAAGGACGGGAACCACCTGTGCATGCTGCGCAAGGACTCGTTGGACACGGGGGAGATCGTGATGACGATCATCCTGGCGACGGTGTTCGGCCTCGGCTTCGCCACCCTCCTGTTCTTCTGCGTCCGCGACAAGGCCGACCAGCGCAAGCGCCGCGCCCGCGCCGAGGCCGCGGCTATCGCCAAGACCGCCGCCGTGAACAAGACCCCGAACCCGTTCGCCAGCAGCGCTGCTGTCGACGAGCATTCTGCTATCCTGCCGAAGCGCGAGCCGAGCGCTGCTTCGGGCGGTCACAATCCCTTCGTCGATGCTCCCTACGATGCCCCGCCGGCTCAGAATCAGGCCCACTACTAAGGGGTGCCTAAGGTTGCGTTGGTATCTTGGAAACGAGTGAGTGTGAGTGGGATGAATAATCCCTAGGAGTCGAACCTGCAGCACAGTCTGGGATATATGTAGCTACCTACCTACCTAGCCGGGCTGTAGCAAGCCACGAAAATTGACGAAAGAGACAGAAAAAAAAAAGAGCATTCATGCGGAGCGGACCTGATGAATTCACCATACCATGGAATCAACGCAGAGAGTCAGTTGTAGCATTACGTTAGTACAGGGTGTGTGTATGGGGGGAAAAGAGCACGGGACTTGCGGGCTCATGATTATGATCATCGTGATGTTGCGGTTTTATACTCAGATACCTCGGCGGGTTAATTGGAGTTTTGCTTGTAACTCATTGTCTCCGCCTTTGCTATAGCAATCACAATGACAATGACAACAGCAACTACTACTACTACTACTACTTACTGGTAGTATCATTATAGAGTATTTTCTACTCTTTTTCTTCGCATATCCTCTTCCATCTTGTGCAATGATAGCCCGCCCTTCTTCTCACGTTACCGCTTCGCAATGCCATTCTATGATGGATGCAATGACCGTTAGCCTTTGCAAATTTACCTAGGTGCCTGTATGTGATGTGATTGAATTTAGCTATAGTGAGCTTTCGTATAACACAAGCCGTTGAATTAAGCTATAGGTAAACGGATGGGTTTGTCTTCTTCGTAACTACCTAGGTAGCTCTAGCTATAAGTACGGAATACCTTAGGTAGGTAGGTATGTTAAACTGCCAATAGCGTCGTAAGTAACACCGTACCATCCATCCATGCACATCTGTTCTGGATGAGATTTTTTTTTTCGGCTATAACTTCACACAACAGTACCACTTACCTCACCACAACACATTCATTCATTTCACACCGTAGAAGAACCTTCAAGCGTCTGTCTACCTATTCCTCGCCGCACTGCCTTCCATTCACTCACTCACTCACTCACCATACAGGTACATACATACACAGTGGTATAAAGACGATCTAGTACTTCCTTAAGAACAAGCACTTGCGACTCAACCCATTAACTTTGGGCCGCAGTCTTGTGAAATATTAATTTCGCTAATACTGAACAAAAAAAGGCGCTCTAGTACGGATGCTTAACGAGGTTTTTCCCATTCATAACAAATGACGTTTGCTTTAACGGCCCTAAAAAATCCGGGAGGGAAGCGCAGAGAGAAAAAGAGGTAGGTTCGGTAAGTAAAAAAAAAAAAAAAAAAGACTTCACTTCCTCTCTCCCATCTCTCTCTCTCTGAAGGCATAGATAACTATCCCGCATGTGTATGTGCTCTGACGACTATTATTCCCCCCGAGGGTAGTCAACCTATTGGTTACACACGTGCCGCGACTGCTCACCCAGTAGTGGCCCGAAATGTACACAATAGACCCCTAACAGCCGAACACATCCTCCAGCTCTGTACGAAGAAGAGAATCTTAAGATGAATCCTGATCTTGACGTCGACCCATTATCCCCAACTTCCTGCCAACGACTGAATTACCCCATATCCTTTTAAACCTTAACCACGCGGCATCGGGTGCCTAGGCTGGTGGTCCCGCACGGTTAGGTGAGCCAGCTACTACAATGGGACTGCTAATCTCGCCGGGGGCTCCGAGCACGTTTCGTCCCGAGACCGATCCCCTGTCGGCTTCAAAGCGAACGAAAAACTTCTTCCCACCGTCGTCAACGCGCACATCAAAGCTTCCGCCGCCATTATGTGAACTGCCTACTGTATCGCACATATCCAACAACTCTTCGTCGGAGACAGGTTCTTGTCCTGGAGGATTGATACTATTCACGTGGTTTTTGATGGCCAGTAGGTCGACATATCCCTTTGGATCCGATGTGACAGGTTGTAGCTCTTTGCATGCAGCCACAAGCATCTGGCGAACGGCAACAGGCCGAGGCTGAGAAGTTCGCATGCCAGGGACAGGAGCGCCAAACGTTGGATTCATAGGCCACGTAGGGTTAGGATTGGCAAAGCCGGGCGGCGGAGAAAATACGCTCGGAGGCCCCCATGTATTAGCGTTGAGTGGTGAGACGAGGAACGGGTCCATGAAAGGTGTGCTTGGGAACGGAACTCGACCTGGAGCGGCGGTGCCTCGTCGGGGTGAGTTGACGGTTTCCAAGGGTACATCTGTATCATCGAGAAGAGCGCTGCTACCGAGGTGATTGCTCACGTCATCAATATCGGCTGCTAGGTCGTGGCTCTTCTGCCCGTGAACAACGCTTCCCGGTCTACCAATTGGTGCTGGTCTGCTAATCGGTTGAGATGGGGCGCCGGATAGAGAACTTGCGTCAAAAGAAGCAGACGTCTGTCGAGAGTGGGACGGTGGCCGTCCCGATACACTCTCCGGTGAGAAGCTCTGGTGAGGCAGATTCGGCGGCGGCTGGTCTGCCGGGTGGTGAAACCCTGGTGGTCCATGTTGAGCTAAAAAGGATCGATTGCTCATCGGGCTGGGAGCGGGAAAGCCAGGAGGTGTTGGCATACTACCCATAGGTCGGAAGTTTAGGTTTCCAGGAGGGGGGAACATGGGCTCGTGCATTCGATTGAAACCTTGCGCCATATGCGGAGGTGGTATTCCAGGAGGACCTTGGAGGTTTAGAGGCAGTCCCGCGAACGGACCCTGATGCAAATTAGGTGGACTCCTGACACCCGTATGCAGAGGAGACGCTGGGTGGGCAATTGGAGTTCCTATATTTACCGGTCCGGTTGACGAAGCTTTCCTCGGCGGGCCGATGGGACCGGGGCTGGTATGTAGCGGAGTTTGAGTAAGCGGCGACACATTCTGGCTCGGACCTGAAGCAGAATGAGAAGCCTGCGAGGCCGATCTCGTTACCTCATGGGATACGGAGCGAGGCTTCATTGGCGTGGGGGCTTTAGGCAAAACAGGAGTTGCAACTGCTATTTGCGGTGATGCGTGATTCGGTAGGGGTTGTTGAGGCAACGCGGGAATCGAGACGGGATGTTGCTTTTTAGCAGGCTGAGTTGGAATAAGTGCTATAGGAGTTGCTGTTTTGGCGGCTGCTTTCTCCTTTTCTTCCTGCTTTGACTTTTCCTTTGCGTCTCGATCGGCTTTCGCTTGGGCTGCTCTTAACTCCTTTTCTCGTTTATCCTTCTCGTGCTTCTCTCTCCTTTCCCGAGTCTCGCGTTCCTTAAGCTCACGAGCCTCTTGTTCCTTACGCCGCTGTTCCTCCTTGAGCTTCTTCTCCCTCTCTTTCGCTTCGCGGGCTTTGCGTTCCTGTTCTAGTTGCTTTTCCTTCTGCTCCTGAGCGCGTCGCTGGCGCTCGGCTTCCTTTTTTAATCTATCTTCCTCCTCGGCCTTTTTCTGCGCCTCTTTTTTCTTGCGCCTCTCTTCTGCCTTAAGTCTGGCCTCTTCTTGCTTCCTTGCCTCTTCCGCTAAGCGAGCCGCGTCCTCTGCTGCTTTGGCGGCCTCACGCTTCGCCTTCTCCTCGATCTGGGCTTGCTTCTTCTGGGCCGCTTTGTCTTTTCGTTTTTGGGCTTCCTTCGCCTTCTTGGCCTTTCGTTGCGTTTCTTGTGTCTCCTCTTCTTGAAGTTCTTCAAGGAGCTTCTCCTGACGTTCCCTCGCGACCTTTTCTCGATATGCGGTCAATACTCTCTGCTCAAACATTCGCGCGGCGAAGATCTGGAACATTCGGCGGCCTTCTTCCATTCGTTGTTCCTCGGTCATCGTGTCCTATTTAATTTATCAGCCACAAGGCGCGCCTACGGTGGATGCCGGCTAGCTACCTCTTCCTCTTCATAGTCTTCATCCTGACTATACTCCTCCTCCTCTTCTTCCTCCTCCTCTGACTCGTCGTCCTCGAGAGGCGGATGATTATGAGGTGTAGGTAAAGAAGCGCCGTTAACAGTGTGACCGTATGCTCCGGCGTAGTGATCTTTAGCATCCTCCTCGCGCGCCATTCTTCGCTCGGCCAGCTGTTCCATCATTTCTATGAACTTCTTGCCGTCGTTCTTGAGTAGATCGTCTGCTACAGTAAGAATGCCGCCTAAAACATGTTATTCAAACACGCTGGACACACGTATGAATCGGGTTCGTATAGAGAAAGCAGCTTACCTTTCACAGTGAGACTTTGACCGAAGTTAAAGAAATCGTTAGGATACGAGTCGCGAGGGATCTCCTCGGGCTCATCTTCATCCTCATCCTCGTCGTCCAAGCCATCCACGTCACTATACTCTTCTACTTCATCTTCCTCGTCTTCCTCATTGTCCACGTGTTCCATTATGCGGCCATGGGACGGGTGATGGTTCGAATACCTGGTTGGAAGGGCTCCGGGGGGGTGTAGTCCACTCATGGGTCCGAATCTCTTAGGTTCGAACATGGGCGGCGCATTAGGATGGTTGTGAGGTTGGTTCGCAAATGATTCCAATTCCTGATAATAAGCATCGTAGAGACCCTCCAACTCCTCCTCAATTGCTGTCCGTTTGCGCCCGCAGACAGAACAACTACAAGTGTGCTTTTGCTGCTCCTTCATTTTTTTGAGCACCGCATCCTTCTCAACCTTGACCAAAGATTTTCGCTCCTCTTCTCCCAAACCTAGCCAGAACTGTTTAATACGTTCTCGTTCCTGCTCGTTGGAAGTATTCCATATCTTCTCTTTGGATATGCCGGAGGGATTATTACTAACGGGTTCCTCGACCGCGTTCTTCTTTTTCTTTTTCTTGGACTTCTTAGAGGGTTTTCGCGCTGAACCGTTGACGGGTCCGGGATGTTCCTCGTCACTGTCGGTCTCGTCTCCCCAGTCCTCGCCGTTATGCGTGTCGTTATGTGAAGGGGGAATTTCGCTCGATATCACATTTCGGGGGTTGTGCGCATCCCTTTTTTGCGACTCTGTTCCGATAGGTAAAAGCACGCTGCTCGTAGACGCGGGGCTAGGGAGTCCGTTCGCGGCGGCCTCTGCTCGTTCGGCTGCCGCCTTCGCCGCTGCTTTCGCTCGGCGTTTTTGCTTTTTGCGATTTACCGGCTGCGCAGGAGGGATATCAACGGCCGCAGGGGGATTGTTTAAAGCACCACCTCTGGAGGATGTGGTTGTCGTAGGCGATGGCTGGGGGGGAGGAGTAGAAGCCGAGGACTTGGGAACGGATATATACTTGGTTCCATCCTTGTTCGTATATTTTGCCGTGCCTTTCGCAGCTGGGGGCTGTTGGCCCTGCGCGGCCGACTGTCGATTGGTGTTTTTGCCGGGCATTCTTAAGGGAGGTTATGACGCGAAAGCGAGAGGAGTCATGTGCGATCTATTCGTAAGAGATGGTTCCAAGTCAAATGGCTGAAGGGTACCACCTAAGTTTAGAAGAAGAAGAATTAGCCGCTGGATAGGTTGATGTTATGATCGATTCGGCGAAAGAGAAAAAAAAAAAAAAGAATCGTTGGTTGTGCCCCTCTCAAAGCGTGCAAATGCAAATGCAAATTGGCGACTGTCCGATCCGCACCGGAAATAGGTGCTGCAATCTACGAGATGGTGGGTTTTGTATCTAACCTTTTAGCGCTATAATTATGTTAATGAGTGCAACGCCCGGCAGGCCGTCGGAATGAAAGGCTGATCACCGCAGGGCGAATTATGTTCGGTGGTCAGAAATGTTGCTTGTAGTCGACCGAGATTTTGAGGTTGATGTTTCTTGCGTCTGGCTTTTCCATTCGAGACGTCGAAATCTGAGGTAGACAGGGTACTATGTACGAAGTACGTACCTACAAATCTCGAAAAGTACCTAGCTTAGGTACAAGTACTTTGGCTTGTAAGTTGTGGCACCTCTACCTAACTTCTTAAGCCTATTGGATCGGTTCAAACGTAAGGTACTTGCTAACAATCATTTATGATGTATCCGCTTAGATAAGGTACCTATCTACCTCAGGTACGTTAGGTACATTAGGTAGGTACATTAGGTATGCATTTTACAAAAGTTAGGCAAGGCCAGCTTATCGGTCACCCAGGTCATCACAGCCTCATCTTTCATCAGCCCTAGTTTTGCCGGTTGGCACGGAATTCACCTTTTGAAGCTACCTAGGTACCCACTAGGTGATCTAAAGTCACATGATCCTGAGTAACCCCTCCAGGTTTTTTTTTTTTTTTAATTTTTTTTTTTTTAATAAACCGTGAGGCAGCCAGGGTAACCCGAAATTCCCAGCAATGGGGAACGCCAATACAGCACGTTAATGCATGCACCTTGATGGCTGGGGTTATCAATCGTCACCTAGGCCCCCCCAGTTAATACCACTAACAAAACCCCCAAACCCCTTAGGACCCCCTGAACATACATGTCCCGAATCGAGATGGTAGTTTTAAATCAGGGTATCGACAATGTCTAATAACAACATTTTAGTTAACTATTTCATAAATGTTTAACTATTTCATTTATACCAACAAATTGACTTTACAATATGATAAATCAATTGATCAGTTACTTACAGATGGATCGCGTTACATCTTCAGAATAATCTTGGGGTTTGCCTGATAGAATCAGATCTAACAACAACCTATCCGAAACAACAGCGTAGCTACAATGTGTTTCTATTTCTTTTTTGCTTCTTAAAATATAGAAATATAGAAATATAGTTGATCTAAGAATATCGCCGGAATGCGGGTTCCCCAAAGGGCCATTCCTCACGTATCTTTCCATGTGCTGCACGAAAGGAGTTGCGTTGCGTCGTGTCATTAGCGTCGTCCCCCAAACAAATCTAACAGTTTCAGTTATTCCCCACGCTTTGTAACGGAAAGAGGAGAACATGTGTTAGGTTAGGTAGGTAGTTAGTTGTATATCTGGCTGAGGGCCAACGGACTAGTGTTCCATACCTAAGGCAAGCTTGTGCTGGCAGCGACTAACATGACTTGTGTTCTGTGGCGATCAATCCGTTAATCATTCCATACGAAACGTGCTACCTAGCAAGACTTGTAATTATTCTACCGAGGTAATGCCAAGAACACCAAATCGATCCTGAGAGATTCGGTTTCTTCTTCATGATGGCTGCCTCTAAAAAAGAAAGACACGGTCATCATAACAACTTACCGGCGAATTCAAGTAGGATTAAGAGGGGGGGAGTATGCAGCAGAGACCTGCACCATTCCAATTTTCCATGCTGAGACCTGCAGCCGTTGGTCGATCTTAGGCCGGGCCAGTGTGACGAAGTGGGAGCGGTCAGCTCGATGGGCTAGCTCGATTGGATTCCTCGGCGTCAACGAGTCGGTAGCTGGTAGCTCAAGATACCCTCTATTTTCTATATCATATGTTTCTATGTCGGCATAGGCTATCATAGGCTATCAGAGTACCTACCTAAGGTAGGTATTCCCAGCAAGGCTAAGGTAAGTGGACACGGAATCACCACTTTGCATATTATTGGGTTCCACTTGAATCATCCAGTCATCAAACATACTTCGGAGCACTTGGTAGCAGCAACAGCAGCAGCAGCGTATGTCGTTTACTGGTAGAATAGCAACGAAGTAGCATCGCGTTTTGCAGACGTATTTCTCCATGGTCACTGGCTCCTTTATATATGTATCTACATAGTTTTACTTACATGGCTATTCAGCAGCCAAGTCGCTCCTTAGTTATTAACTCGGCATCCTCCCATCCCATCTCAAGTTATATCGAACCAATTGCGCTAGAAATTCGACTATAATTCACTAATGCCCCCGCCACCCCTTGTTTACTTGATGCTGTGGCACGGTCTGAGCAGTTCGTTTGATCTGACCGGCTCCTTGCAACGTAGCGCTCCTCGGGGTTTAGCATGGCCACAGATGAGTGGCGGCATCTCGCAGCTTTACATCAGCTCAGCATTTCGTGTGAAAAGAGGCATGGTGATGGGTGATAGGTAATGGCAGGCAATAATATTACGATGATGGCAATGATTTTATAAGGTCAAGTTCTTTTCAATACATACCGGCAACAGAGCCCCGTAGTGTAGTTATATAAAAATGAACTGGAATTGCCCCTGTCTTGACGACGCTAACTGTAAGGCTCGCGGAGCAGCTATATTAGTGTAACACAGCTGGAGATGTTCGCAGCAAGTTAAGGTCTAGTATCAAATCTGACCAATTGCGTCGCTCTATTTCTGAAGCTGAAATATCAAGTTACAGGGGGTGACAGCACCGACAGGGACTAAGGAACTCCAAGGAATCCTTTAACGGAAGCCTTTAAATTTGACTGTGAAACCCGGCTCTGGGCGTGCAGGCCTCTCGTATTCGAACAATTTTTTTCTAACCCAAACATACCTACCTACTTAAACCTTCAGAATAACGCGGAAATACGGTAGAAGAGTAGAAACTCCGAAAAAGGACGAGATCGCATCGCCATTGGAATATCTGCAAAATACCACCTCGTATCATCCAACGCTTATTAGTGCCCGACCCGGAGTCTCCGTTAGAAAAAGCTCCCTATTCCAGATTCCTAAAGTAATAACTTAAGCTCACGTCAACTTTTTGTCACCGGGAGGCCTTAGATTCTGCGCTTACATATTCCCAATTCCCAATCCGCCCCGAGGTGACGAGCTCCCCTCCCCCAAATCGGGGATAACGAGAGAAGAGAAAAACAAAAATACAAAAAACAAAAAAAAAAAAAAAATTGACTTTTTCGAATCCGTCGCTAGTCCACGCGTTCCCGAACAACACGGCAAGTCTAGAAAGTTTATTCCGACGACGAGACCTCCGAACAAGACAAGAAACTTAACTACTTCAGCCCCCTTGGGATTGGTGCACTTCGCGTCAAGCAATGGCGAGTTCAACTCCGCAGAATGTCATTCGCAGGTATGCTCTCTCTCTCACCTTCACCTTGGCTGTCGATCCCTCTTCGGCTTGTCTTCGAAACAAACCTTCGCGCGCACCCTACGACGTCACCCCCCCCTTTTTTTATTTGGGACTTTTCCATCGTTCCGGCCGGACCAAGATCGATCCCACGACCTTTCTTTCTTTTATATATATCCTCAAATCCTCTGCATTCGACACGGGCTGTAGAATACTAATTGGATTGCTAGGAAACTAGTCATCATTGGCGATGGAGCTTGCGGCAAGACCTCTTTACTGAGCGTCTTTACGCTCGGATACTTCCCAACCGTACGTTTTTTTTTTTTTTTTTCCTTTTACCATTCCCCTATTCTTTTTAGTTTCTGCTCATTTCCGCACCTCCGAGCAAAGAAAGCATCTCGCTGACAGATAACATTAATACAGCACTACGTAAGCAGAACACTTCCACTAAACCGGACCCCTTGCCTGGCCGACGGACTAACGATTTCTCGCGCTTCTTTCTCCCTTTAGATCCCGACCGTATTTGAGAACTACGTAACAGATTGCAGAGTAGACGGCAAGTCGGTGCAGTTGGCATTATGGGATACGGCTGGCCAGGAAGACTACGAGCGACTGCGACCTCTCGCGTACTCGAAGGCGCACGTACTACTAATAGGATTCTCGATCGAGTCGCCCGATTCTCTCGATAACGTGAAGCACAAGGTTGGACAGCCCCTCCCTCTCTCTCTCCCCCTTACCTATTTCCACTCGATCTTTTTTTTCTCTTCGTCTTACATGACCAACGATAAGGGAAAGAAAGACACGTAACTAACAGAGCCGGAAAAAAAATAGTGGGTAGAAGAAGCGACAGAACGATGCCCCGGCGTCCCCATCATCCTAGTAGGGCTAAAGAAGGATCTACGCGACGACCCCGTGGCGATCGAGGAGATGCGCAAGAAGAGCCTGAAGTTCGTGACGGAGCGGCAAGGCGAGCAGGCCGCGCAGGAGATCGGCGCGCGCAAGTACCTCGAGTGCTCGAGCTTGAGCGGCGAGGGCGTCGACGACGTGTTCGAGGCCGCCACCCGCGCCGCCCTGCTTACCTTCGAAAAGGGCGAGGGCGGCGGTTGCTGCGTGATATTATAAGAAAAGGCGGCGTTCGTAGTAGCGCCCCGCATATACACGGTGACGGTGACGGTGAACGGTGAACGGTAGCGGCTTTGGCACGGAAGACTCGACGCGCGCGCGGAAAAAACAAAAAAACTTCTAGTAGACAAGGTACGGAGACCAACGGGAAAATCGACAAGACGAAAACGAGCACGAGCACGAGCACGAGATTACAGGATATTCTTAACCCCCGGGGGGAAACAGATGATCTCATCGAAAAAAATAAGAACAGGGTGGGTGTTCACAACTTGACGGAGTTTGGCTTGAGCGGAAATGAATATTCCGAAATAACTATTTCTTTTTCCTTTCACTTTGCTTTTGTTGGAATATCACAAGAGGGAGGGGAAGCCGCCGCGATTTATTATTATCATTATTTATCATGCGTGCTGGGGCAAGAAGCAATTCATCAGCAAAGTCTACCTCGAAACGAGAACTGGTCTCTCGTCGGGAGAGGGGGGCGAACCTACAAACTAACGTAAACCCAAACATCTACACATCGAACCATCTATCTATCTAACTCATACTCCCCTATTTATCCCCATGTCTTATCAAAATGCCGAAAGAAGAAAATTCTATCTTTCAACTTACGATATCTTCACCCTCGCTCTCACCCCCACAGACGAAAACCCGCGATGAACAGAGACTTGATATCTGTATCCAGGTTGGAAAAAAAAACATGAAAAAAATTCAGACTGATTAGTACAAGCCGATCCTGGACGAAGAAAATCTCCCAGCGTTCTCTAATCCGAGAAGAGAAGAGGAAAAACTACCTACCCACCTAGGTAGTTATTATTAATGAGGAAAGGCATTGATTGAATCAGAACATTAATTTGACATTGATAATCGTTCGCCCTTTTGCACATCGTGAAGCATATAATAGGATTCCGATGAAGTATTCCCAACAGTTGCGACGTGGACATGTTTACAGATTCTCCTCCTATTCATGAACTCTTACCTACCTAGGTACCGAGGGCTATCCGGGCCAAGGGGATAAGATAGAGCGAACAATACATACATTAGGTATACATACCTCCCCAATTAAGCATCTCCGGCGCTATAGCCTTCTGTAAGCGTTGCATCTACATCTACGTATAATATCGAATGATGTAAATCATTGCGTCTTCCGACTGTCTCCCTCTCTATAATGCCAAGGTAAAAGTGGCGATCCATCCAAGCAGACAGGACGGAGGGGAAAAAACAACGCAACGCAACGCACGTAGACGGGTGTCCGAAGCTTACGCAGCATGATATGCAGCTAGCGGTTCATTGGATATGATGGCTCCTAGGTAGTCCAGGTAACCGTAACTGTAACTTTGTCGGAGACAACAACAAAATAATTCTATGTTACACGGAGTTCTTTCTTTCTAATCTTTCCAGACCGGGGAGTTCGGATACCGGATACGGAGCCGGGTTGAGGTGAGGCGTTACCTAGAGGGATAGGATACCAGGATAGGATAAATAGAATACCTAAACCTTACCTTAGGTAGGTAGTTACCTAGGTAGTATAGGTACCTCACCGGGTCCAGCCGTGATTCCAAGGCTCGCGAGCCGGGGTTTCCGTCTGCGCTCTCGCGTACTCGATCGGGATGCTGTTGTGTCCGTAAAGGCCCTTCTTCTCCATCGCCACGCGGTACAAGTATCCCTCGGCCCGCTTACCGGGTCCACTCGTCTTGCGCAATTCCTCGCAGGCATTGTGCATCGATTGGTACATCCTACGTAGGCAGTTGACCCCAATTAGTAAACCCCCAATTGTCACGTCACGTCACTTCACGACAGAGTGTTTTGCTTTCGGGGGGAGGAGGAAAGAGAGAAATAAATAAAGAAATACATACCGCTCTAGCTCATGTGCTCTCCTGTCCCGCTCCTTGCGCTGGTACAGCAACCAGGCGCGGTGAATAGTCCAGTGACGCAGCGCACGGTTTCGCGCGAATCTCAGCGGGGCGGGGACGGCACGGGGCATCGACATCTTGAGGTTGACGATTCTCGGGTCGGGGCCCTCGCCCTTCCCGGCCTTCCGCTTCTTCCTCCCACCTCCCTTTCCGCCTTTCCCGCCTTTCGCCGCGCCTTTACTACCCGAAGAACCCTTTCCGGTGCCGCCCTTCGCATTTTGCGAAGCCGTGGTATGGATCTGCCGAGGGGAAACGGAAGAAGATGTGGGGAAGAAAGCCGCTGTCGCTGCGGCAGCTGGATATCTCGAGGGCGCGCCGGAGAGGAAGCTGCTGGAGAAAGATGTCGAAGGCAACCTCGTAAAGAGGCTGCGGAACGTAGGTGCGAACATGATGATATAACGGGGTATCGTATCGTAACAGCCCGTCGCTCTCTCCCTCTCGTCTAAGCCTATGCTTGTCCGTACTTCCGTATAACCGCTACTTGTCGTTTCGTTTTTTACCCGTTTCCACCAGAACCAAAGGCCACAAATAAACTAGGTGCTATCCCCCCGCGCAACTTTCCACCTGATACTCGATATCCGGTCTGAGGCCAAGCAAGCGCAAGCTTCGACAATTCTCCCCACAACTATGTTCTTTCCAAGTTTTTCGGCTGTGCTCTCCTGCGGAGACGTCCTTATATCTTTCCAAACGCAGGCCCTTCGTATATCTACCCCAAGGCCTCCTGTGTCTCCGGGGATAAATCGGGTTAAGAGTTGCTGAATTGCTTCAATTGATGGATTGCAGGAAAAAAGAATAATGTGGATCAACGATTTTCCAAGCTTAGGTACCTCTTGGTGGTGCTAAGTGGGGATCCCTGTAGGTACAAGCTCGAGGTACATGTGAGATACCTACGGATCCGTACTATGTATTGTACCTAAGATAAGATATCCCAATTATCACGTGGCTCCCCCTATTTATATAAAAAAAAGGGGAGGAGGAGGTAGCTCACCATATTATCTTTAACAAGCTAAATTCTATCTATGAATGCCTCTCAAACGCATACGGAATACCTAATTATTAGGTTAAGTGATTACGGACCATGTTTAGGAAGAGTTGTCATTTGGCACTCATGGGGATTGGTTATTAAATGATAATTGCAACAATCTCTAATAATTAATGTGAAAGAATACAAAATTGGCTATTAGACAACAGCTGATAAATCACAGTTCCACTCATCTTCAACACTAAAGACATTAATATCTATGCTTTCAAATAAGGCATACTCTATGTATTATCTGCCGAACTACTCTAATCAGTATGATAGAAATCTTCTTTTTAGTTGCCGTAAAATCCGCTACGACTGATGCAAGGACGCTGCACCACGTCTCTTATAACGAATCGTGAATCTCGTCGGTGATATTTGATAATGATGTCAAAACTTAAGTTGGGAAGAGAAGTAGGGATGTCCTGATTAATGGATACGTTCTTTTAGTGGTAACTATAGGAACTGAATCGTTGAGAATAGGTTTGTCTGGTAGTGCCAGTAATAAACTTTGTATTGTGGTTCTTGTGGGAGCGAGGTTTTCAATTTGTCGCGACTTCGTCTTCCCTGTTTTCTCGAGTTGGTTGAGCGAACCTGTTGCTGAATTTAACTGCCGACGGCTTTGACTTTCCCCTCTTGGTGTCTCTTGCTGAATAGTTCTGCTTTGTCCTCTTCGTCGTCCATATCTCCGTCGATGTCTTCTTCGGTTGAACGTAAATTCCAAAGTATGACCCGGGCCCGAGGAGCGATCTCTCCCTTATCGGAATACTGATCCTCCAGAGCCCACCATGTCCCTTAAGAACGTTATGATAGAAATATACTACGTTGGTAGCTCTATTGACGAGTCAATGTGACTAGTCTCGCTAGCCGCGCCGTTCTAATTTGCAGTAAATAGCAGCTCGCGGGCTCCCCAAATATTGACTTGCCCTAGTCGGGCTCATTAGCATTGACCTCGTCGCTCTCGACCTTAAGGTAGTTGTGTCAGTGGCTCCTTGTAAGGTATCCGGAGAGTTTCAACATGATTGTACTTTGAATACCAAATGATAGAAACGGATTGTGACGGGAACATGTTACTATAGACGCTTGTCGTTTTGTTTCCCGCCATTATCATGTCTCAAGACAGACCCTCACCACAGGGAACATCGGGGGTGGCCGTGTTCTGGTCTTTGTGTCCCCCCCCCCCCTATATAACGGTAAGGAGAGGAAGAATGAAGATGTTTGATGGTGGCCAGGTGAGGTAGGATAGTAAGAAGGTAATAGTGAGAATAGAAAGTATGATGCACAGATATCTTCTTAGCTACAATAGTAAGGTTAGCGAATGGGAACAAAGGGTTAATATATATGGCTGATAAGGTGGGCTTGCCCTTGTATGATAGTTGACTTACCTAAGAGATATTTGAACAATAAAGTATAAATGCTCTTGTAGGGTCAGTAACGATCCAGGTGTGTAGTTGTCACCTTGGATAGTTGTGAGACTGAGAGAGAGGTGTAGTGTCCCACGGCCCAAGCTGCCAAGAGCCGTTTGAATATTCAAGGCGACCAACAGCAGTAATAGGATAGGTGTAAGGGAAACTATTGGGTATAATGTATCACGCGGAGATGCACGAGTTGGGCACCTGCACCAACACCGGAGATGTTTCGGCGCTTAGGTTGTAAAATACGTACTTTAGAACGTTTACAAATAGTCTTGAGTCTCGCACTTCGAAAGAAAGGAAGAGACCATGGCCCTTGAGACTATTAGAAAATTATTATTGAATTGAATATTCCAAGCCCTTGCCAAGCCCTTGTCACATGTAGATAGACGGAGGTTTTAAAGGATGACGACCTAGCCACCCCTCTTTGGGCCACAAATACCACTGTGGTGGTAGAGAATAAAGCTAGATTAGGATCTCTAACACACCCTAGTCAATACTTAATGTTGAGGTGCTGTATCAAATAGCGAGAATCTAAGCATTCATTCTTGTGTGTCAAAGGTCAAAGCACAAGGTGGAGTTCATGTATCATTTTGTTTTTGCGCCTGTCCTTTTATGGCCCCTATCGCGGTAACGTTAGTAATCAAGAAGCAACCAAAGATCAGATAGAATATATAGACTAAGGTAATTCCAGCTTTGGAAATGCAATAGATGCGAATGGGCATAGTTAGGTTGCTTGTTGGGAAGAGAGTTTGAGAAGAACACGAAGAAAAGAAACAGAAGAGGTATATTATGTTAGGGTAGGTAGTGATCAAGCAGTCATAGAGAACATACCTTTGGCCATGTGCTTCACGTTCAGAGCGGAGTATCCCATCATTAGTCCGAGGGTAGTAGCCTATATCCTTGATTCCAAGGGAGACATGATCTGTGCTATTTTGCACAACTTGGTATATATGCGCGTTATTGTGTAAGTTGTGATAATAGATTGTTAGGATAAGGTGAATAATCCCAGATCGTGCTATCTCAGCGAGATTCCTGGGATAGAGGAGGACGGGAAAATAAACGTATTAAATTATCAACGTGTTGAGAATAAAGAATAAAGAATAAAGTGTTGGATTGATAAGGTATGTCAAGTAATACGACATCGTACTAGTAGAGAATAGGAAAAGAATCAAGAATCAAGAATAAAGAATAGAGGAATGAAATTTTAATTCTAAAGGGGATCGCCGTGTTTATATAGGCGTCCGAAGAAGTTTCTACCTAACGCTAACGTCTAAGTGGGCAGTCACCTAGGCAGTTACCTAGGCAGTTATCTACCAAGGTTAAGTTTGGAAGTTGCTAGGTACGGCGGGACAAGTACCTAGATACTGCAGTAACGGTTGTATGTGACTTCCAGTACGGCAGGTGTATTAGAGAATTATTGCCTGCCTGGACAACGCCGCTATGGTACCTCCCTAGGTAGCCTACCTACCTTAGGTAGCAAATCAATTTACGTTGCGTTGCGAAGCAACTTGAAATGTACTTTAGGTACCAACCTAACTGGCTCTTATCTTGTTGTTCCTGTTCTAAAAGGAAGGCACAGACTCATTAGCGCATCTTGGGTGTTATCTCCTTTGGGCAAAATCTGTATTCTTTGGTGTTTTCCCTTCATAATTTCCAGGAACGATGTGGAGGATACTCCGTCCCGGTATGATATTATCACTTGTTATCTCCCTTATGTACCTTAGGAACTTTGCCGTTGATTACGTTCAGCAAGTTATTATTACAGCTGTGCTTAGCCATATCCATCATGTTTTGAATGTCTCTACGTTGATTGAGTTGTCCAATCCTTATGCGTACTTACAGACCACTACATGTTATCTCTCCTTGAAAGAAACTCCTAGCAAGCAAATATCCTTTGTAAATAACTAAGACCATCCGCAAAGAATATTCAACACGTATGGATCGGTTCCTCTCCCTATATGCCCTTTTACGCATACCCAGAGCTTCTTCTACAACTGTTATACCTATTAATCTTGCGTGATAACGAGAATGGTAACCCAAGCAGAGGCCGAAGTATTTAACCAAAGACTAATCAGTATGGTGTGGGATATACGATATAGGGACTAGGAAATCCTAGAGGAACTGTCCAAGATCCCGACCAGAGTCACTAAGAGCGGCGGCACGAATCTTGCGCACTACCTAGCCCTCATACGAGCAATATACGGAGTACTATCCAAAAAACGCCCAGAGCTACAGGGTTTTTTACTTTTCCAAGATCCACAAAGTATCGCGGCCGCACAAGAGAAAGATGCACTCAAGCTCGAAACACTCGAAGAACTGAGGACTTTCCTATTTAAATCAGGACAGCTTGCGGAGGATCTCAAGCCCAAAAGGGCGCCATCATCCCCACCCAAGAAGGAAAGCCAAGCCGAAAGGTGTGGCGACATTCATCGCATGACTGACTCTGAAAATAAGGATTTTGAAATATTAGTTCAAATTTTCATGGATATTTCGAACCCTCCCTGGAGACCGCAACCTCCTCCTCGACCAGACCTTCGTACAAGAGCCGTTCGTCCTCCTCGAGCTTCTTCCTCCAAAAGTCCAAAAGAGGCTCGGAAATCTAGTTCATCCAAGGGTAAGGAAAAGGGCACATCGGATCAAGAACCGAGTCAAGGAACAGAAAGGGAATATAGTGGAGTTTGAGCGTTTTGTGTTTCGAATCCTTATGGCGCGTTATGGGATATCGAAAAAAGGGCTTAGCAACAACGAATATAATTTGGAATATGTCTTTCCAAGTTAGCGATTGATCATAGAAGCGGAGTATTCAACAAGTATGCTTTTTACTTGCAATAACTTCTGTTCCTTCACCACCTACCTGATACAGTCCATGGCAATTTTTCCGATGTGTTCCCTTAGGGCGGACAGGTAGGTGAAAACTATTTAATTCCTGCTTTACAACAAGCATTGTGACCCCTGAGTTAACCCCTGAATCTTCATATTACATAACCAAGTTACACCTTATATGCAATTATTCATATATACCAAATCTGCGAGTTCTAAATATTCCGCATACCGAGGTTCATCCGAATAAGCAATCGAGTTGTCGCTCAGTCGCGACCTTTTAAAGTGACGTAGACACCTGGGCATACCTAAGGTACCTCCTAAGACTTCCTCTTGCCGCAAGATAACCAAACCCAACATGGATCAATCAGTGCAAAGAAATTCCACGACGGGCCACGCGAGGAGTAAATCAGGTACAAAGAGTGAGTAAATCTCCGATATGATCTTTTCTATGTTCTCAATTTAATTTTATAATGTAAATCCGATAAGTTGTATTGTACCTCTATAGGAGCTATGTACCTAAAGTCCGTCTCTGAGCTCGGCGATCGCAAATGGATGAATGGATGCATGATAGGCTATTAATAATTTTATCATGGCCGCCTGCAGTTGCGGTCGTAAAGGGGGGAGATAGCAACATCGATTGACTGCAAGTGCGTCCATCCTATAGAAATGTGATAACCCAACCCCCCTCACGCTACATCGGGATTCACTTCTTCTCTCTCTTTACTCAGTATCGCTTATCATATTCGGTATCGCTTCAAGCAAGAACAACTATAACTATGTTAAATAAATCATGTCCTTTGCTGACCTATTCCGTTCTGTAGCTCTTCGGCCGAGATCATCAACCAAGGGACCGCTGGATGCGGATGAGTAAGCATCGATGATCGTCGAAGGGGTTGTATGATGTGATACTTGCTTACACTGAGACCCCCCAGGGCTCCCGTAGCATCGTCTCCCATCCAGTCCCAGGCCACGCGCTTCAGCAGCGCCCAGCAGGCTAGTCCGAGGCCAAGTCTCTCCCGGGGCCTCTCTCCGGCCCCCAGTTCTTCAGCACCGTCTATCGCGCCGGTGACCTCCAAGGACTTTTCCTTTCTCCTCCGGCCCGAGATCTACCACCAGCTCTCCCCCTTGTCCATCCCCGCCCCCTTCCGCAACCCCTCCAGACAGCCCGCGCCCGAAACCCCCATCCCGGAGCTCCTGAGCCACGGGCACTTCCGGGCCGCGGCCATCGCCGCCGTCCAAGCGCTAACCAGCAGCCCCGTGTCGGCGCTCTCGGCGGCCGCGCACCCGCCGGTCGGCCCGACGGACCACGCGCGCATCTTCGACCTGCTGTACACGCGGCTCGCGTGCCTGTGCCTGATGGACGCGGCCTCGCTCGCCGCCCAGGAGTCCAAGGCCCTCGAGGACCTCAACTCCGCCTTCTACCTCGACCCCTTGTCCGGCGCCCACCTCGTCCCCTGGCACCTGCGCGTCCTCGGCGTGCGCCTCCAGGCCATCGGCTTCGGCGACCCGCGCCGCGCCGTCATGAGCTACTACGACCTCGCGCGCGAGGCCCGCGCCCAGGTCGCGAAGGCGGCGCAGGCGCACGACCACTCGACTTCCGAGGTGTGGAAGCGCAGGCTGGCAGAGCTCGGGGTGAAGGTCGCGGGCGCGCTGATTGAGATGGACGATCTCGCGGGTGCGGCGGAGCACCTGGCTACGCTGAGAGATGGGAATCAGCATTTTAATGTGGGTGGTGGTAGTGGTGGTGGCAGTGAGGGTGATGGACGGCTGGCTATGAGCCGGGCTTTACTTTGGCTGCATCTGGGGGATGTGGAAGCAGCGCGGCTATGTGTGAGGGATGGAAAAGGCGGCGAAATGGGAGAGCGCATCGTGGACGCGCTAGCTGATATGGCAGATGGCGAGTATAAGATGGCTCTGGAGAAATGGAAAGCCTTGAAGGGCACGATGGAGGAAAATAACGTCCATGACGAGATGATTGGGGTTAACCTGGCTGTGTGCCAGCTTTATACGGGGAATATGACCGAGGTGAGTTTATATCTACCTTCAGCGCCGAGCTATCCTTGTGCTAATACTTGCTAGGCGAGAGACACCTTGGAGGCTCTAGTTGATGGGGGTTCGACATCGCACACGCTACTATTCAATCTGACTACGATGTACGAACTCTGCACCGACAGACATAAGAACCTGAAGCTTAGACTCGCGGAGCGGGTAGCTTCTAAGCAGCCTACGGCGTTAGGATGGGAGAAGACGAACGCCGATTTTAAACTGTAGAAGTGCAGAATACGATACGGGTTAGCTTTCGTGTTTCTGAGAATAGGTAATAGGTTTATTGCGTCATCAAATCTGGCTGGAGAACTAAAGGATAGTAAATCAGCGCTTTATATTATGTCTGGTAGGTTAAGCTACCTAGATGCCTATTACCAAACGCTCTCTAATCTCCATACTATGCTGGTATTTACCTAATGTCCCTAAGTCTTTCAGTATGGTAAACTAAAGACTTATATAACACAGCACATCAGCCCATCCCCTTAGGTAGCCTCTAGACCTTTGCCTCTCCGTATGGGTACCCAAATCTATGTGTTAGGTACCTCTAAGGTGCGTCTCTATTAGATGCCCATGTGAAATGTTCATGCTAGCATTGAGCAATGCATTTTTCCTCCCACCATAGGCCACCTCTTTGCTTATCTCACTCTTTAGTTCTCATCTTCCGCCTTCCCACGTTCAGCTAAGTTTCCTTCAGCGACTTTAGACTTGCTCTTAGCAGTCTGCTCCGCGAGCTTTTCAGTGGATTTCTTCTGGTTCTCCTCCCAGGCAGCCTGGCCGATTTGTCTCCAATTATCCACGACGAATTGCTCCACGCGCTCTTCGATGTAAAACCCGTCATCATTACGGAGCGGTATCGGCGGCCGTATTCCTAGGCTGTAGTCGTCGCTCATGACGATCTTCTTCAGCGCTTTCGCCGCCAAGCTGCGCAAGTGTCTCTTCTCGACCTCTTCGTCTTCTTCTTCTTCATCTCCCTCCCGACGCTGCGGTATCGACGCCTTAATAACTTCCCTCCAGAGCCCGTACCGCTGGCGCTCCTTGCGCCACTCCACCAGCCGGTTCTGGTATACCTGTCGCGTGCCGGGGAACGTCTCGAACGCCTCCCCGCGCACCGAGTCCCGCGTCGCTCTGGGCGTGGCGAAACGGCCTGCTGCGCGACACGCGGGGATGAACTCTTCGTACCACCGCCGGAAGAGTTCGCGGGACTTGGCTCGCCGGCGGTCGGTGGACTTCATCTTGTTCTTATCAAAATCGCCGCCCTCGCCGGCCTCCGTCGCGCTGTTGTCGCTGTTGTTATCCTGCTCGGGGCGCACCCAGAGGAAGCGGCACGTGGCCGCGTACTCCATCAGCTCCTCGGGCGAGCCGAACGGCCGCTCCCACTGCGCGCTCTCGTACCTGAGGCCCAGGAAGCGGAGGATCTCGAAAGGGTCGGTGGTGAGCAGGACTTTGGCTTGCTTTTTGTTGAAGTGCTCGATCTCGGGGATGCGCATGTACAGGCCGACCTCGTCGACGGTGAGCCCGTACGGGCGGATGGTGCTCCCGAGGACGTTCCAGAGGTCGCCGTGGGCGTTCTTGAATAGCATCCAGTTCAGGTGCTCTATGGAGTCGTACACGTGAAGGTCGACCTGGATATAACGAGGACCGTCGTCGCTCGGTCCTTCCGAGCGTAACTCTTCTGGCCAGGGGATGGCCAAGTGAGCGGCGGTTGGAGATTCTTTAATGACATGTTTGGCGCCGAGAAGGCAAGCGGCAAACTCGAGGGGGTAGTGCCCGAGCTCTGAGGATGAGATGCCGTCGGCCTCGGAAGATGGCAATACCACATCCTTTTCCCACGCTACGAGGATATCGATATCTCCGTAGTCCTTCTTCGCGGGTCCCTCGATGGGACTGGCAACTACAGTGAATAGCTCGCGAAGCTTTGCGTGGCACGTATCGAGGACATGACGGTATACATGAGGAGACATCCGAGGAGTGGAAAGCGGATTGCTTCCAGAAGAGAATGCAGAGCCACCCATGGTAGCAAATACAAGAGGTATCTTATCAGTCGTTATTTGGGTATGCTAAGCAAGTGCATAGGGTAGGTTTCGTTAAGTACCTGGTATAAACGAGGCAAGTATAACCGAGATGCTGAGAATTGTTTGATGAGAAGGGCCAAATCGTTATCGCGAGAGGGTAGCTACCTAAGCTGAAATGTCGAAACTTGGATTCATAGTTGGAATGTCCAAGCAACGGCGGCAAGTATTAGTTAAATAGCAATAGCATGTATGACAGATGAGTAGTAACTGACTTAGGTATCTAGTCGGCTAGGCAGGCTCCGGGGCTATGTGAAGTAGAAATACGAGTTGCGTGTAAGTTGCAAACACCACAACAGCTACTACTTCTTACCAGGTACCTCATATGGGCCTCAAATGCACCTGTCATGCACGCACGGACCACAAATATCGAGATGATTCCTGATTTATCAGTTGCAATTCCACATCATGCTTTGGTGCCAACCTGAGCCCGAGGCCTACACATGAACACAACAAAGTGATAATGACGATGACAAAGTCCCCCTTTGAGGCGATAGAGGCATAGGAGTGGAGCGTCCATGGCTGACAGCTAAGGTAGTTCTTTGACTTAAAGTATGACTCAAGGCAAGCTACGGCTGCATTACAATAATTTAATCCGATTAAGCTAATAAGACGAACTACCAATTACCAAGCTTGATTATCAGCTAACTTAACTCAAAAAGTGGTATCTCATTCGTCTCTAGTATACTTGGAGCCTTGCCGCCATTTAGAGCCATATCTCAAAACTAGCACCGGGATCGGTGCTAGAAGAAGGCTTCCTGCTCCCAACATTGACAAGCCTATACCATACCCAAACCTATCTACAAGGGGCGCGGCGGCTAACGGTAGGAATGTACCTGCCAAGCACCTTGTGACAATCACCGCGGTCATGGCAGAGGCGGCATACAGCCCAAAAGCGTCTACGACATATGCATAGAGCGGCAGGAATCCCAGCATAAGCGTGACGCCCAAGAATGCAACGGAGATGAGGAGTACTACGATCGGAACGCGCAGTTGCGCATTCCATCCGTACCACGCGGCGACCAGAGGTAAGGTAAACCCACCGACGATTACTAAGGGCAGACGGTATTCCGGTTGCTCGACCCCCTTATTGCGGTCGCGAAGCTTGACGTAAATTCTGTCTAGAGTCTGGTTGCAGAGTGCTACGCTTACAGCGGAGCCGATGCCTAAGTATTGTACATCAAGGTTAGTATAGCGCACTTATAGGATACACAGATATATATGATAAGAAATAGATGAGGCCCTACTGAAGCTGATGAGCGCGGATCCGGCACCCGCAGGTGACAGGCTATAAAAGGACTCCACGATGTCGGGAAGAGTCGTGCAGATAATGTAAAACCACGTGAAAGTGATAGAACCGAACAGCGATAGCATCTGCAAGACGCCCGAGCCCGCTAATACGGAAAAGGGGCGAATGATGGCGCCCCATAACTTGTCGGATCTCGAGCCATCATCCGCGTCAAACACGGTTCGAAGGGAAGCGTTTCCAGTCTCGACTCGGAGTCTCGCCGCCTTGCGTCTTAGAATCGCGACTTTATACGTCTCGCGGAAGCACGTCAGGAAGATCACTTCGCACGTGGTAGCCAGTATCACACACATCCACATTGTGCTGCGCCAGCCCATAGTTTCGGCGATAGCCCCGCTGATAGCAGGGCCAACGGCTCCGCCAATTAGCGGCGCCAGTTGGATAAAGCTCATAGCTGAGCCTCTCTGCTCCGACGCGAAGATATCGCCTACGATAGCGGGGTTGAGCACATTGGACGCCACTGCGAGACCTGTTAGAGTTCTTGCGGCGATAAACAGGGCTGTGCTCTGGGACAACGCAGCGAGAATTGTCGCGGTGATGAATAGCACGTTAGCAACGTTCATGACAGGGTACCGGCCGAAGACCTCGGACAGCGGCGCGATAAGCAGGGGTCCGGCAGCTTCGCCAAGCTCCCAAATGGTTACCAGCAGCACGCTAGCGGATTTGCTAGAATGGCCGTGGTCAAGATCATCCACTATACGCGTTGCGACGGGCACAACGGAGATGCACGTAAATGTTCTACCGTGACAGTCAGTTTTGGCGATTGCTTTAAGTAGAGCGAGTTGGCAATACGCACACGGTGAACGCCATCAAGGCGAGCAGGGCCACGATCGCCCACTTATACACCTGCGGCCATTCCAGTGGGTTCTCCTCGTCGCCATCCGGGTGGAAGTCCACGATATCCTTGATCGAGGCTTGGTCTGGTCTCTCGTTGAACACTAGATGCGCATCCTGCAGTAAAGGCTGAGTTTCGTCCATGGCGAATCCCGCTCTTCCTTTTCCTTTATAGGCTATTACCTTAGGTACCTAACCTAAGGTAGATTTCTAACCTATTCAACCTATTCGAATGTGCTAAGTTGAGATTGGGGGAAAAAGAGAACAAAGGGAAAAGGGGGAAGATTGAAGAAAAGTCCATACCTTATATGAGTTTTAGTAGCTTAGGGGCCTATTATAATGGCCCGCTCCGTAAAAATTGTCGGCTTTGTCGGCTGCAACGTTCAGCGGTGTGGATAGCCTATGTACGCGCCCTTCTCGGTTGACGACATCGGACAAGGTCGATGGCGAAAGTGGAGATTAGGCGCGCGTATCCATCTGGGCTAAAGCCGATCGGATCTATCGCAAACGGCAGATCTACAAACCAACCCCAATTTATTTATTTATTAAGATCGAACGTCTATCTAAGCTAGAGCTACTCCGTACGGAGACTGGTGAGAGTTATAGCATTATTTCGATTGAATGCCACAGCTACAGGGTCCCCCGAGGCTTTGAACATAATGACCGGTTTTGACGAGCGGCTTCGTCGTGTTTTCGAATAGCGCTTAACCGTGTGATATGCTAGCAGCACATTTACAAGCCTGTCTGCGTGGTCAATTGCTGCAGCATATATCAAACATTAAAGACCGGGAAGCTCACGAAAGACTTCCCCATACTAACATAACCCACGGTTTAAAATCGACGTGACCAAAGTACGGATTGAAAACCATACCCACGGAGATAGAGGTGACGAGCATGTCGAGGCATATGTGTGTAAGTAAACCGATTTCCGGTGCACTTCCACAGTCCATATCGATGGCTTGCATCAGTGCCCAGAATAGTTCAGCGCCGAACTAATAGAGGTAGGTATACCGGGTTAGAATATTAGACACCTAAGAGGTATCTAACCTAATGCTTTCCAACAAGATAGTTTCGTTTGACAGACATACAGAGGCGAGGCTATAGTCACGGGCTGGATACTGTAACTTGAACGCTAGCAGCAGCATTGACAGCGATAATAGTATTCGGCTGAGTCGTAATATCAACCCGCCAAGGCCATGTACACGTTGAAAACGGTCCATCGTGAGATAGCGCCTAGTTTAATGTAGATAGGAGTATTTTTTGAGAAGAGAAGAGATCCTACACCGAAAAATCAGAAGTTTACTAGACCTAAGGTCAGGCCTAAGGTCGGGCAATCGGCTTTTGTTGAGACATTGGGGGCGGTTCCTGGTAGATTACCTAGGTACCTACCTAGTGAGCGCCACGCGTGCAGGGGCTTATGCTGTATGAAGCTATCTTAGTCTTTGTAGTACAGCAGTATAATTGAGTTGTTGTAGTCCTCTTCCGATATGATGACGTTGACAGTGTGGCGCTATGAAACTAGGTAAATAATAAATAATTGTAGAAGTAATAACCTCCTTATACTGCAAGGAATTCTAGCCTCCTACATATGTAGCTATCACGCTATGTAGTATTACTGCCTTCATTTGCTTCCGTTACTCTTACCTATGTCCTATTTCTATATGCTCAAGCATATGTTCAGATAGCATGGCAAACTAATCCTCCCCCTTATTATTTTTGTCATTCTCATCTTTTTTCCCTTATATAATACTTATGATAAGTGGCACGATGAAACTCTCGCCTATCTCCCTCCCCAAAGAAGGATGGAGGCGCACTGGTCTTGTCAATCTCGCGTGTACATGTAGTTGTGGTATTCTGCTGCTTGCTTATCTAGTTGTTATGATGACCCAACGGGGATCCGCACTTAATTCTACTACCATCATCCTCGAGGGCGAGTGCCAGAAAACGCGCCGGGCTAATTCAATTCTTCATATCCTCATAAGCGTTACGTCTACTCTCATCCTCGCCTCGTCCCGCTTCTTCATGCAGATATTAAGCTCGCCGTCGCGTTTGGAGATCAACCGCGCCCACGTACGACTTCGCTCATTGGAGATTGGGATTTCATCGGTGAAGAATCTTCGTTTTCTTTCCATACATAAGACTATCGGCTGGGCTGTACTTCTCATTAGCTCAACTTCAATACATTTGCTTTTCAACAGCTCGGTCTGGGAGACTCATTTTCGAAGCTCGGAGTGGCACCTTACCGTGGCTTCAAGTTCTTTCAGCACCCTCGAAGTGGATTTCTTCCCACCTGGAGCTAGCTTGGCAAACGCCGGATGTCCGAGTCTCAGTTGGAATGATGCTCCGGAAGACCCAGCATGTCGAGACCTCGCGGGGTATGGCGAATATGTAGCCTTGGAAGACTATTGGGACAAGAAATCTGCCGCATTCCGCAATATTACAAAAACGGCGAATGAATCAAAATATTGGCAGAATATTACATCGAGTGACTGTAGGAAATACTACGCGTCTTGCAGGCCGAAAGAGAAATATCGGGATGTCGTAATTGTTGTCGATACCCAGGTTGATAATCCGGGAGGATGGACACGTACCCAGGTCTTCAGGGACCCGTCAGACGTCCTGGGTCTGATTTGGGACCTACATATGCCTATAGACGACCTGAATTCCTTGTGGTATTCTACGCAATGTAGCGTCAAGCTCCCCACAGCTTTCGTCTATCCTGACCAAGCTGACCTGTCAACTGCTTATTGCATAAATAGTTGCGGACGTGCTCTCGGATTCAAATCGGAAGCCATACCCACGAACCAGTCGGCTTCGCCAGAGGCAGAGTGGATATTAAATTTGCATAGACCATCGCCATGTAGTGTTTCTAATGAGAAGAGGTTCGGATACAACGACACATTCAATCACTTTCCTGTACGATATTGTCTGGCAGAGCCATCTCCAATATCGCAATGCTATGTCGGGCTATCAAATATCCTACTACTCATCACGATAAGCTGCGTTTTCATAAAGGCACTCGTATGTGCATTAGTAGTGAGCTACCTCCCTAATACCTCATTAGTCACGCTAGGAGACGCACTCGAGTCGTTCATCGCGGATCCAGACCCGGTAACTTCGGGCTTGGGCACTTTTAATGTCTACGATAGCTATCGGATTCAATCCGAGCCACTCGCGGATGCCAGGACCGGTAGCGCAGATGAACTTACCGATATACCTCGGCCTCGTGTTTGGAAGTGCGGTGCGAAAAGACTTATATCTGTCGTTCCGAGAAGCGCGTGGTCTGGTACCCTGGTACCCATAGTCTGCTTCGCATGTGTCGGGATGTATTATGCGAATCAGTTGTTCGTATTCGACAGAGTGAGTCTGTAAGTGAGCCTACCTACCATCCTTTTTATTTACAACGAATACTTTGGGTGCCTCAAATAAGCATGTGCTATTATTGACGACAACTTAGTCAAGGAAATCTAGGGACGACTGGGTTACCCTTTTTCAGCCACGGACTTATTAAAGAACATGGGTACTTGAATATGCTACTCGCAGCCAGCTTACCGCAGTTTATACTGTCCTACTCCTTTTATTCGTACACGTTCTTATTTACACGTTTAATATCCGAGATTGAATTCAATTCCTATAGCCTGGTACCGCCTAAACCACTTCGTGTATCATATCCCACGGGCGACCAGGTTTCAACCTATTGGCTGCAGTTACCATATCTTTATAGCTTGCCTCTTCTTGCTGCGAGTTTGCTTCTGCATTGGCTTGCTTCCAGCTCGCTCTACATCTTCGCAACCCAAGGGAGTAGGTAACATGGCGAATTGCTGCTATCGTAATCCGTGTACTGACCGAGCAATAGGCTACCTAGCAGATGACTATGGCCAGGACTCCTGGAAACCCAGTCATAAATGGGGCATAATTGACGGGACAGTCATAGTGCTAGGCTTCTGGCCCCTTGGCATCGTAATTACCCTATGTGCGGGTCTGGCGATGGTAGTTTTCCCAATCATATATGGTCTTCGTAGGCTTCCGGGCAATATGGTATTTGGGGCGTGCGACTCGCTCGTGTTGTCGGCAGCGTGTCACCCCCACGTATCATCATCTTCTATACCCGACCAAGATAGCCTTTACGCAGGCGAAGGTTCGGAAAGCGAAAGTAAGTAGAATCTTGTATCATAGGTTTGTGCTAACTTTAATAGACGGAGAGACTAGTCAGGTTGTTGAGCAGGAATTGTTACGTGCACTTTCCAGGGGGAAACTGAGATGGGGTGTTACAGAGATACCCTCAAGTATACCCACGACAGCGGACGATCAACGGAACATGATGCACTTGAGCTTTACTGGCGCTGATGAGTTTTTATCCGAGCCTGTGGATAATCACTTATATGTTTGAGCAAAATACTGACCGAGATTGAGAAATAACTAATATAACTCTAAGAACTACCTAAATATCATATAACTATCTCATTCAAGGATGCTTCAGTTCCTGGACTACCCAAGATTAGGCAGGTACAGATCTTATCCCACAATACCAAGCATCTGTAGCCCCCGCGTGAAAAAGCGGGAAACTAACTATTTCAGTAAGAAAAAGGATGTGCTAGCCCATCAAAAAATACACATACGTACTGCATGAAAACCCAACGTGTTCTGTCCCCAAAATAAAACCCATTTACTTAGCCGGATCAGTCTGCGTTGCACTGTCTTGAAAGAAAAAAAAAGGAGAAAGAAAAAAATTGAGAAGACGCATAAGCCTTTGCAAGCCGACTCTCCTCGCATAATGATCTATCGTAGCCACATTCCAAATTCCAAGGTAGGTATTCCACGTAGGTAACTGCCAGGGGCACCTATGTCGTAAAGCAGGGCTTTGCCGTCTATATAAAGGGTCGCCAGCTCCCTCGTAAGAGGATAGAAAGTCAGGCGTCAGTTCAACCCAATATACTTGCTGCATGTACGACCCTGACAGTAACTCCTTCTACACTCCTCTCTTCGCCTTGAGTCCTAGTCGAGTAGGCGGATTATATCGAGTCGTCCATGGGCTCAGGGCGCTCCGCGCGATCCCTCCGTCGGCCGCTGCTCCTTATGGGCTGCCGGTGTATCCACTGGTCGGGATCCGTACGACCGGCTACGGGCGGGGGTAAGAACGGGTTCTGATATATGGCGCCGCGGCGAGCCCAGCGATTTGGTGGGTCCCGGGCGTCTTCGGCGCGAGGCGTATGGTTGAAGGGATTATCATCTTCGATGGCGGGGTGTCGAGGTCGGACATTATTATTAACAGCTTGTGTCTGTCGACGCGGGGGCCTCTCCTCTCCTCTCTCGTAGGGCGAGTTGTCGCTGTAGTATTGACACCCCTCCGCGTGCAGGCAGAACAGATATAGTCCTTTGTCTAGGTAGTACGGTTGAAAGCACACCCAGCACCACTGATGGCCACATGGACCTTTGATAATGGCACGGGTTAGTTAGTTAGATGGCCCACGACCAAACGGGGATGGACGACTTACATGTAACATGATCGCATCCTGAGTATTTGTCGATATTCCTCTCGCATCCCGGACACGGTTTGCTCATTTCCTGGATCTTTCTTTCGGAGGCTTCCTCGTTTTTCCTGTGCCGACGCGTTCTTTTATCATATTCGTCGCAGGTTTCTCCTCTGTGCCACGGGACGTTATGCCGTACGCAGAGGCTACGCTTGCACCCTTGGCACTTAGCCTTTGAACAGCCGGCTGGGTTGATCTGGCCGTACTCGCAGCCCAAGTGAAGACACCACATAAACTCCGGGATGCTCGAAAGCAAGGCCTTGGTCGCTAGCACGTCGTATTTTTTCAAGACTTCCCGTGAGGCCAAAGCTCGGACGTCCTCGTATTTAAGGAATTGGGGGCACTCAGGACATAGTATACGGTCCCATGGTGTTTCTCCCAATCTTGAGCCTATCCAACGGCCGAGGCACCGTTTACAAGCGGTAGCATCATGGTCGCAATCCGCCGTCGTTTTTCTCCTGTTCGGCATCTCGGAGACTCTCTTCTCTTCATTGCATATTGTGCATATCTCTGTAAGAGGAACTAGCCAACTCTCGACGCGAACAAACTTGTCCTCTATGGAACGCGGAACTTCAAAGTCGATGGTAGCCCCGGGTTGGATGTGATTGTTCCTTGGGATCGTCTTACCATGGTACGTCAATTTGATATCTTCCAGGTTGATATGACGCCGATGGGTTTTATTGTCCGAGGAGACCGCCGATAAAATCTCGTTCTTCAGCCAGTTCTTGAGTTTGGACGAGTCTGCATAACCGCGGTTGTTGACACATGGCTTATGGCAGACGTATTGTTCATTGAACCCTCGAAGAACAAAATAGCCGTCGGCCGGCTTCATACTAATAACAATATACCGACAGAGCCATTCCGTCACGTTGCGTGCTTCCCAACTATTTCCTTCTAGCAATCGCTGCTTTAGGCCTCCTTCACATTCCAGTACGATCTGATTGGCATTTTGTAGTAGATACTCTTTGGTCTTGTTCGTTTCCCGCAGGAGGGTTGCTACTGACTCTCGGATACTACCTACAGACTTTCCCGCAGTAATTTCACGAGCGATTTCTTCCCTCTGGGGCTTACGGAGTTTCAAATTGTTTCCTCGCCAGACGACCCGGAATGAACCATCATCGCCGTCATGTAACACCCTATAAGGTAGCAGGTCAAGATCCTGAGGGATACGATCACTTGCATATAGGCGCTTATTGTCCGAGAAGAAATGTACCTCAGCATCATCGGGAATTTCTTGGGCTCCTTCGGGGAATTGTTTTCTCAGGGACTTAGCAACGTGGCGCAATTCCCAGGACTCCTTCACGGTGATTTTTACGGGATTCCGCTCTGTAAAGGTATCGTCAAGATCGACGAGGTTTATCTTCCTTCCTTCTTGTGAGGGATCGCGACGTTTTGAACAGTGTGCGCGCCCGCCGCTGCGATGCTGCGATGGTCCCGCGTGGGAAGTCATGAAAGCGAATGACCAGCCTGGTGTAAACATGACTAAAATTGCGAGTAAATTGAGAGTCACAGATGGATGGTCGCTAGCACCAGGGAAAAGATATAGCTGCTTGACACAGATGCATGTGGCAGAATTAGAGTGGTTAGAAATGGTATGACCAATAAGACCAAGGGTATGAATACTAGAATATTAGATAGAACAATTATTTATTGGCGAAATCTTCGAACCCGAATCATCGTCCAAATAAAGCTCTGGTGAGAGTCAGAGCCTACACACGCAACGGGCCTATAATATTGTCAGGCCTCTGCGGGGCAAGTTGTAAGTTAAGGTATTCCCCGAGCCTCCTCTACGCTCGAGTATGCATGCTTGAGTTAGGTACGCACGGTCAAATCCGGTACCCTATCTACCGTCCATGATTCCACGGGCGCCTAATTGGGTAGCGAATTGCCACCGCTTCGTTTAGATGGTGCGGTGGCACCAGGCATTACATGAAGCCACCTGAGACAATCGGGTACAAAAGTGAGCTATAACAAAGTATAACCAAACGGAACAACCTGCTAACTGCCTCAAGGAGCTGTCATTCGAGGGAAAATCACAACGGTTTAAACTGTCGAGCTGGTCAGCTGCAACCATAAATAGTAGAGCTGACGAATGATTAAAGGGGTGATGTACATAAAAGCACTTAAAGCAAACCTAATGTAATAAGACACCCATCATTCCAGTAAGATAGGTACTCTTTATATCCGATAGTCCCCGTTTTGTAAATGGACGTCCCACTTCCGCGAGCCAACGCCCTTATAATCGAACACCTCGGCGACCTATGAGAAGGGAATCCCGATGGATTGTCCTTGCTTGGCGATGTTACACATGGCCTAGACCCTGATTATGCTCGTGGGAGCTCTTCCCGTCATATACACGTGCCATAGATACCCTAGACACCGTTCTTAGGCTGCTTAGGTACTTACTTCATGGTTGAAGACAGGAGGAATAGCTGCAGAGACGATTCGATTTTGAATACGGCCTCATATTGATTATTCCAGTTTCAAATTTGTTTTCAACCGGAATCGGAACGAACAGAGCTTGTCCGCGGCTAAAGTTTGAACTTAAATGAGGTCATGGGCCAAGGAGGCAAAGGGGTTACGTGGTGAACGTTACCTGGTATGAAGTTTAAAGGGCAAACTGTAAAAGTAAATACTACATAACATCATGGTACTGTGAGTGTGCTGCTTATGAGCCACGTGGCTCATGCTAAGTGACATGCATGTGGCTTGTGATGTGTTACATAAGCATCGCCTATTTATGTACTTGGAATCTCAGGGCTTGGCCCCACATTTAGAAACCTTTCCCAATACCACATCGTTTACCATCGTCAAATATCTACAGGCTCTTTTGCTCTCTCTTAAGCATGAGTGATTGTTTGTTAAAGAAAAAAAAAGACACATTTTTCTTTCACAAGGTACCTGATGGAGTCGCAACTTACCTCGACGACAAGATTGAATATGACTTCGGAAGTTCTTCTTTCATCATTTTATTTTAATTTAGGTAATATTAAACACAAATCTACTAGGTAGGTAGGGTACCTAGGTAGATTTCGAATTCTCCTTACTAGAATTCTTATACCCTATACCTATAGCTACAAGGTACTCGGTCACCCTTTTCAGAATAGAACTGACCAAAATACTTGGCTACCTAACCAATGTGTATTTTACTGAGTTTATAGAGATCAAGCAAAAAATATATCTATCGATTCATCTATCAACCTATCAATAAGAATAAGTTGGCCTCCAGGACGTAAGGCCTTCAAAAAAATCTTGACCCAATTAGGTTCTCCATCTATCTCATCCACCTCTTCGATAAGTTCCATTGAGTATACATCATAACTAGTATCAAAGCTATAACTCTTTAAGCCAGCAATAACCAACAGATTCAATCGTAACCAGCGGCACATCTCTTGCGCCCGCTTAATAATCTCGCCTTTGCCGATGCACCCGCGCTCAGTATTAAGGTCGTGGCTGTAGATGCGTAGGTCGAGTAGAACGCTTTCTAGCATCGGCATTTGCGACCAAGACAGCCAAATAGGGGAGCCTCGATCGAGATCGATCCTCCAGTTGAGGTCCTCGAGGTTGTCGTTGTTTATCTGAATCTCTGGCCCGACCATGCTACGGGCATCAACCTTCATGAGAGCCAGCGGTGAGCGAACGACAATATGGCGTAGGAGCTTGAAAATCAGAGGCGATCCACTTAGCATCGTTTTCTTTTCAGCTCCAGGCTGTTCATCATCATAGGGGAGAATACCTTTTGAATGTTTTCCCCGGATGGGAAAAATATCCACTCGGTCTTTTAAAAAGGATTCCTCGGCGACGTTGTGAGGAAGGCCGTCTGCCGTCAGTTCGAAAATTTGTGCGCCTTCGAGGAGACATATTCTCATATTTTCGTCGTTCCAACACTTGTTGATCATCGACAAACGACTGGGAATCTTGACGGGAAGAAATACATGGCCGTCATTTCCATGTCCAAAGTTTGTTTTTAAGCTGCCAAATTTGCCAGCGATACCTCGTGTATATGTGACAACCCTTGTCAGATTCAATGTGTTGTTCGATACCAACGGGTTATATGGCTCGCAGGCATGCCAATCGGGTACTAATAAATCAAAAACGCATTGAGATTTGCAATAAAGAGATCTGGATGAAATCGCTGAAATAATCTCGAGGGGAAGCGGAGTAACGGTTGTTGTCTTCGCCGCCATCCTCCTTCTCTCCTTCCCTCGAATATTCTCGTCCTGTTCGCCGAGTTTCCGCTTTAAGCTGTTGCAGCTTCCGGAGCGAGGATCTAAGGATCGAAATTGATAATGGACCAGTCGATCTATACGCGATAATTAATTGGTAAGCATATCTAATTCTGAGCGGCTGCTGATGTTGTTGTCTACATCTGTCGGAAAGGGGAAACAAATACCTCGTCGTACCTGACCTCCTTCTCCTTCTCCTTCTCCTTCTCCACGCCTTCCGTCTTCATCTCCGTGTACGCGTTCTCTCTTAAGCAGAGCCTCTTCTTGTCCGGGAGCCCTAGCTGGAGGTTTTCCCGCTCTGGTTGTCCTGGCCGTTGTTCCTCCAGTTTTCTCGGGTGTTCGATCGACGCCGCACGCTTTTTCCATTTATTTCTACAGTCTTGACAGGTGTACTGCGGCTGATTATCCGGCCGTATAATCTTCATGCGAAGACTTCCAGCTTCTACTTTGGGGTGAAACCGCGACGTACAGACTAACATCCAAGGCGGGTCGACTATTTCTGAGGTCCAAAATGGGGGGGAAGCAACTTGGCGATAGTCTCTCGCAAAAAATCGCGTCACGTGCGATGGCCTTCGAAAAGATTTTTCATTAGAGAAATCCATTTTAGTATATAATTACAGGTGGCTATTGACCGGTCGTCGATGATTAGAGATTGAAACGATACGGGGGCTTTGAAATATTGATACAGGTAGCTTTGTCTGCTTGAAACAAGTGTACTGTTTAGGTTGCGAGAATGTCTCCTCACTACTAAAGCTTTGGGCTACAAGATTTAAGCAGCAGTGTTGTTATATTTGTTAGGTCATTCTAAACGCGTAAACCTGCCTGGCTTTCGATTTAAGCATACTTGTGAAGGAAACCTTGATGAAGGCCAGTTTGCCCCCAAGGCAATAGTTCCCTAGGAATTCGCCATAACTTAAAGCTAGCATAATTCCTCGACATACCTGCTTGCGGCTCCGAACTCTCCATATCCCGTAGTTATCCCCGATCAAAGTATGTAGAGCATAGGTATGCCCGAGGTATCTATCTAAGGTGCTTCCATGATCTTCTCGTAACCTCACGCTAAGAAAATGTGTTGCAATAAGTCAATATCAGATAGGTTAGGTTAGGTACCTAGCCTATTCAACGAGCAGATCCGGGCGTTATTTCATCAAAATACCTAGGCGCCTCGGGTCAAATGTTCAAAAGTACCTAGACACAAAGTTTTCACGTTTAATCCGTAGCCTGCCTGACCATACCTAGAGCGAGGTTTTAATATATACCTGAAGTATCATCTTTGGCGGTTGGTTGATCCTAACCATGCATTTCTTTTCCTTTGTTCAGAAAAAAATTAGATAAAGCCTTTATACACAATCTAATTGAGATCGTATCCAACCTCACATGACTAGACGGCGACTGTAAAATTTAAGAACTTGATTCCGCGATCTTGAATGCCATTGGAGGCATGAATCTTACCTAGGTACCTACCTGTCGGTCATCCTGCCGGACTTTGATTTTTGGTGCTTTAAGGGGATCGTGCATTATAGAGTTTAGTATCCTCACCTACCTACGTACTACTAGGTACCTGAATTGTATTCATCATCACTGAGTACCTCATCTCTCTCGAGGCGTAGCGAACGTGCCACCATACGTAAGCATTTTTTGGGGTGTGTAAGGCTGGTGAGGCTATTACTATTTTAGACGGGAAGTTTATATGTTGCAACTCTATGCGATCCGTGCACCTACTAGACTCTCACCAACTCACTTATTTCAAATCTCTATATTAAATTGAAATAGAAAAAGAAAGTAATTCCATGGGACAATTCTTTATTCAATTCTTAACTGCTTCAAACTTTTACTATATTCCGATTTACCTTTGTTAAATTATAATATTTCTTAAAAAGGTGTAGGTTTTCGTGTAAAATAAGAGGTATGTATGTACGGACACTTTTGTCCACTCAGTGTATATAGTACGATTATACAAAACAATTTATTGTTGATTCCTAGCTCTACTAAGACTAGATCGTCTTTTGGAGCGGTGTGCGTGCAAGTTGCTTGTATGATATTTATGCACGGTTGTGGTTCAATAAACATAAGACCCTTGTTCTAACTTATTTTATAATATTAGTAATCAGTTCGAAACATGTAACCTAGCTTGGCTCGCTTTGATATCAGCTTTACTATTCAACTATGATTGGATGGGTGCTTTGTATCTTAATACTGTAAAACTGTTGCCTAGAGAGGTATGCATGTATTATGAGCAGGTAAGGCCTCTTTCCTACTGAATAAAGAGTTAGCTTATTCAAATCTGACCCGGCCAAGAGTTATCATAAGCAAGGATTTGAAATACTGTAACCCTCTAGTTCTTTTATAAAGTTAGCCTTTAATTGGCTTGCTCGTAATTGAGTCTTGTCGACCCACCGATTTGTCGCTCCACGTTTGGAGATATCAATTACAAAATCCCATCCCGACGGATAAGAAGACTGGCTCGCATCTGGTAAATTTCCTAGGCCGGAACTACTGCCAAGTATTGCTCGTGCACCTCTCAAGTTACTGTTGGAAATGGCTCGGAAAGGAAGTCATAAAGTTAGGACGGGTTGTCTAACTTGCAAGTACGTTTGAATTGGACTATCACCGACGATATACGTAGTAACTCTAATTCGCGCTAATAAATGTCTAATAGAGCACGCAAGGTGAAATGTGACGAAAGCAAGCCTCATTGTAATCGGTGTATTGCTACGGGGCGCCTCTGCAGTGGCTACCTCACTAAAGTGAGCTCGGGGCTACTCTGGCAACGCCCGCGTCAGTTATTCCAGAGTATAGACAAGCCCAGTGAAGGAAGAGCCCTGCAATACTTCTGTGAGAAGACGGCCCAGTTTTTATCTGGGGCTACCGATCCGTACTTCTGGACCCATCTAGTTATGCAATTCTGCAACTTTGAACCCGCTGTTAACCACTCAGTCATAGCCATAAGTTCGTTATATGAACAGATGGAAGACGGAGACGGACGGTCCCACTCCGGCGTTCAGCTGAGAGACAACAGCCTTGCACTTCAACACTATAATGCAGCTATTCGCGAACTGAAGACAACTGATAACCAACCTCTAGTGCTATTAGTCTGCATTCTTTTCATATGCATAGAATTTTTGCAGTCAAACAAAGATGCAGCCATAAAACATTGCAAACATGGCATTGCTCTGCTCGACCGTGCTGACTACTCCTGGGCAAAAGAGCACTTGTTACCCGTGTTCCGGCGTCTAAGCTCGTTTCCGTTCCTCCTCGGAGCGGGGCCTTTCGACTTTCCCGACCTTGCATCCCTTGACAGCTCTCTTCCGACATCCTTCAACAGCTTTGATGACGCAGCGTCAGTATTGGATTTTTTACAAAGTCGGACGCTACGTGTTGTAAGACTGGGGGACCCGTACCGTGTTGGAAAGTTACGATACAAAACGGTCCCATCTGACCTCCTGGAAGAACAAGAGGCAGTTGCATGTCTTTTGGACCAATGGCATATTTTATTTGAAAGCCTAGACTCTGGGTCGACGTTGCCGGTAACGCCCGCAACAGAAATTTACAACTTGGGCATGGATTTCATCGGGCTGATGTCCCGTGCCATTCTGCTAATACGCTATGAACTTAGCCGTGTCACGCTAAACACGGCCTTCAAGGCGGACGAGATATGTTACGATCAATATTTGAAAAATTTCCAACGAGCCCTCGATGCATGCGCGCTTATCGACAGCGTGGTTCCCGAAGAAGCCCGGGATCCGTCTAGAAAACGTGAGCCCCAATTCATCTTCGAGACAGGCTTCACGGTGTGGCTTCACCTTATCGCAACAAGATGCCGAGATCTGGCTATGCGATTAGAAGCCTTGCGATTAATGGGATTACTTGGAGTTCCACGAGAAAACTTGTGGGAACTACGCCAGATGCATGCATTGGCGCGCCGAGTGATCGAGATTGAGCACGGTACGATACTAGACGACGATGGACGGCCTGCTACTCCGGTCCAATACCCTGGTCTACCGCCAGATGAGAGGAGAGTACGACATACCAACATGGAACCTAAGCCGTCAGTATATATCGATTTAAATGGAAAGGAAGTGTGTGGGTGGAGTGTAGGATTTGTTATGCGGGACGAAAAGGACGCGATCGTGACCCGCACCGAGTTTATCATCGCCCCTTAAGGTGTTGCATAGTATGGACAACTTATCTTCTCACTAGGATATGTCAGAGACCTCGCGTGAACGACGAACGTCCGTTCCCCTAGAGGCAACCTGGCTTTAGCTTCGCCAAAAACTCGACAGTACCAGTCGTATCATAAGAGAATAGAGGTAAGGCAAGTAGTTAATGTGAACGCTAAGATGAGATATGATATAAGTCACTTTTTTCCTATTTAGCACCCCTAAATACGGCAAGTGGGATACATCAGTGTGTTGGAATGTTATCTCTCTGTCAGTTTTCTCGAGTCCACACAGACTTTGAATAGCTACTGATAGAGTACAATTCCCAGACGACAGCTTTACCATGCAAAACACAGCTTCTTCCATCCACAGAATTCATAGCCTGTTACGAACACGTCGATTCATATTTACCCCTGGGAGATAGACTAGGGCGTTGAGGGGCTCGTGCTGAATTTCCCCCCGTTTGATCCGGGACTGTGGTTGTATTGACAATATACATTAGGTACCCCCACTGACGCCCAACTTATTTTGTATTATTAACCGAAAATCAATCTCATCTCAATAACAATCACCTTCATTAGATTCGCATATATGGTATTTTCTCTATTTACTCGTTCAGCTTATCTTACCCTATAATTCCAACAATCAGATCAGTCAATCCAGTGTTTTTATTACCTTAGGTAGGTATATCTGTCATATTAATTTACGCCTTCAGTTTTTATGTTCACTTGTATACTGCTTTTAATTAAATGAGTAACGTCGTGAGTTGAAAACAAACGCCTGAGATATACTGCTTAGTCGAATAACCTTGGTGAATGCATCACTACACCTCCTTTTGCACGGAATCATTGAACACAAAGCTCACCGTCTCTCTACAATCTAACTCGAAAGGGAATAGCGTTATCTCCACAGTGACGGAACAAAACAAACCTTCTCCCTATCTCGCTCTCACTATCTTAGGTTCACACTATTCATACCTTCTCATCCAGGTATACAAATTGATTAGAGCCGTGAATACCATGGCATCAACACTTCACTGGTCTCGAACTCTTTTATTAGCGGTGCTGGGCACCGCTACAGCATCTGAGTTTCAAATTCCTTTAGTGGCCCAGAAACCTCTAGGGGCAGGAAACGCGCTTACCAAACCGCTGGTCAATACCGAAGACCTGCAGGCAAGCATCAAGATTGAGAACCTTGTTGAACGCGCCAAGAGCCTATATAGCTTCGCAGAGCTCTCAGAACCAGAGTATGGACACCCAACTCGAGTTATTGGAAGCAAGGGTACGTAGTAGCATGAATTCAAAGAGAGAAGAAGAAGAGCGCGTCTGACTTATATCACAGGTCACAGCGCCACCTTGGAATATATTTATTCTGCCGTAGATAAGCTTGATGGTTACTATACGCTTTCGAAACAGCCATTCCCGGCTGTTATGGGAAACGTCTTCGAGTCTCGTTTAGTCATCGGCAATGAAGTTCCCAAGTCTGCTTTCCCGATGTCCTTGACTCCACCTACGACTAACAAACAGCCCGTTCACGGCGACCTGATCCTTGTGGCCAATGAAGGGTGTGATCCATCTGATTATCCATCTACCGTAACTGGAAACATTGCTTTTGTCCTTCGTGGAAAGTGTTCTTTTGGTGCTAAATCAGAGCTCGCTGGCAAGGCGGGTGCTGTGGCCGCTATTGTATATAACTACGCTTCTGGGCCCCTCTCCGGTACACTGGAGAGCCCCACCCCGGATCATGTTGCTACTTTCGGTCTATCAGGTGAGGACGCCGGTCCTATACTAAAAAAGTTAAAAAATGGCGATGGTGTCGATTCCATTGCATACATCGATTCAGAAGTTAAAAAGATCGAAACCACGAACATTATTGCTCAGACCGTCGAAGGCGACCCGGACAATTGTGTTATGCTTGGAGGTCATAGTGATAGCGTGTCTGAGGGGCCAGGAATTAACGACGACGGCTCCGGTAGCCTTACTCTCCTCGAAGTGGCTACCCAATTAACTAAATTTAGCGTCAACAACTGCGTACGTTTCGCTTGGTGGGCTGGGGAAGAGGAAGGACTTCTCGGCTCCGACTACTACGTCGAAGTTCTACCGAAGGAAGAAAATCTAAAAATACGCCTTTTCATGGATTACGATATGATGGGTAGCCCCAACTTTGCTTACCAAGTCTATAATGCGACAAATGCTGCTAATCCTGAAGGTTCGGAGCAGCTCAGGAATTTGTATGTGGACTGGTACAACGCGCACGGGCTTAATCATACTTTCATTCCTTTCGACGGACGTAGTGACTATGACGCGTTTATTCGCCACGGTATTCCTGGAGGGGGTATTGCTACGGGCGCCGAGGGTGTAAAGACGAAAGAGGAGGAAATCATGTTCGGTGGGAAAGCAGGTGAATGGTACGATCCTTGCTACCATCAATTATGTGACGATGTTGGAAACGTCAATTCAACCGCTTGGCTACTCAACACTAAGGTCAGTTCCTCAGCCCCATTCAACCCTTTACCTAAGTTGTCACTAACATTATATTACAGCTTGTTGCCCACTCTGTGGCCACTTTCGCTGCCTCGTTCAAGGGCTTCCCTGAGAGATCGAACACTACAGTATTCGAGTCCAGTGAACAGCGTGCCAAATACCATGGGCATCGTCTTATCCTCTAAGTATATATCGAGCGGAGATAGAATTTACCGCCATTTAATCGCTAGAATACGTACCTACCTAACCTACTTAATTATGGATCTCCGACGGGGTTGGAGGCTTCAGTGCCACTAATTTACTAACCACATATTCATACCTCCTATCAGGTGTGCCAATTCCGTTAATCTAGAACTTAATGTCAATAAGAGTTTTTATCAAGGAACTTTCATGGACTTGACACGCAACCACGTCGCTAGTCACAAAGGGGGCCCGCCTCAATCCGGTTCACGAAAGCATTGCACAGGTCGAACCTAGCGTGTTACGATATTGTACGCGTAGAGACTTATTCTAGGTGATATGTGTACACCGGTCTGTGTGTCGCAAACTTTTCCGCAGTTCGAGTAGATGTTTCCCGATGTTATGTTATTTAGGTTGTTTTAGTATTGTAGTATCCTGAAGAGATGTGAAGGATTAACTCACGTCAATGCGGACATTCGAGGCCCGATAACACTAACCCGCCATCTGAAATGGCTACCTACCTCGCAACCGGTTAACAGAGATTAGCGGGGCCCGGAGCGCGATGCTGCGAGTGACCCGAAGTGCTAGCGTATCACAGATGCCGGAATTCGTACGGCGTAGACATCTACGTGGTGCCAATTCTATCATATACTTCGGCGTGGGATATAGATCGCTGCAGGAACAACGCCGTTGTATCACGACGTAACTCTAACACAGATTGTCGTCAGTAGGTTCAGTAGCCATTTCCCTCTTCTCAAGGTGAATTCTATCGAGTCACTACGAATTACCGGTACCAGCGCAAACTCGCAGATCTTGCCAATATGCTTACAAGCTACGTCCATGAGTGAATACATCCGCAGCGGCATGCTCTCAGGAACAACCTCTATATAAACTAGTTGCAGTCCGCCCAGCTCCTGTTTTCACATCCCTCACTGGCCTTTATAGTCCTCAGGTAACTCTTGAGAATTGCTTACTTTCCTCTAAACAAAATCGAAAAAATATGCTTCCTAACATGTCTAGCTCCGCCTTCATGGCACCGGTCACCTTGGCACTGCTTGGATTCTGCCATGCAGCTATGGCAACTCCGATAGAAGACGTGTCGCCGCCCGCCGTAACGCAGCCTCCACAGGTTGCCACTGCAGTCGGTCAGGCAGAGGAGTTCATATTCACTGTGATTAACTCTCACACGGCAGCTGTCTCTACTCTACATGTAGCAGGCGCCGGTAGTCCGCCGGTAACCAAGGTGGTAAACGAGGCGAATACTATCGCGCCGGGAGAGACCATCTCGTTCGCGGCCCCAACTGGGGTAAGTCCTATCCCAGCCCAGACGCACCCCCCCCCCCTTATTTCCTTGCACATAGGTAGTTTGAAACGTATTTCCGGACTTTGGTTTATGAAAGGCCGCAGTAAATTATAGAGTAAGCCCCTCTACAAATACAGATTCTAATTTTATATTTCTACCTAGTGGTTCGGACGACTGGCCTTGTATGAGCATGGGTACGATATCGTTGATCGCGCTACCCTGCTGGAGGGGTCCTTTTTCATGAACGGTGACCATGCGTCTATGGCGATGGACGTCAGCTATGTGTAAGTGATCACCACTGAGAATATTGATATTAGACTTACTAATTTCTGGATAGGGACGCTTTCACCGTCCCAGTGGTTTGCGAGTGTGAGGGCAAAGTGCAATTAGGTTGCAACCTCGACTTGCAAGAAGTGTGCCCGGTTCGTCGCTATTGAAAGAACCCCCTTACGTTGTCGTACCTATAGCTAATTCGTGGTCACAGAAAGAGCTTCAGTTGAACGGCAAGACTTGTGTAAATCCGTACAGAGACGATCCGCAGCATCCACCTGGAGCCGAGAACATCTTCAAGGATTGTCAAGGTATAGCCTATACATTTCCTACCGATGACCTCGCCACCAAGGTGGACCTACCTGGCTGTAGCCGCAGCATCACATGCTGCATAGGGACAGCTTGTAAGCACCATCCTGGGCAGTTGAAGTGTCCCATGAAGGATGGTTATGCACAGGACTGTGCTAAGGGTGCGTAATGGAATATTCAATTTGCAGCGTGGGCGTATAGAGGTATTGATACATGCCTACCTAAGGTAGGTACCTAAGGTATCTAGGTACTCTGGCAGTCACATTCTTGTGCTATATGGGAGGACGTCTCAGGGTGCGTTTACTAAATCAGTCACGCCAACATGATAGGGGGGATTCGTAGTTACTAGTTAATATAGGTACATTATCTACTAGAAACAACGTCTCGCAATTCGTCTATTGAATGTACAGGTGAAAGTATACTTTCACGCCGTCTTGGGTGCTTCAGCGTATAGCAACAGTCCACGCAGCTCCATATCAGGAGGATAACTCTCAGGGCACTACATCGATTAACATGACTATGAATTACTGCCACTTAATATGCGTGACTGAAACTCACCATATTGCGATCGTGACGGTAAGTGATAAGGAATCGGTGGCCTCCCAGGGGTAAGGGGCGTCGGCGGCCGTGTCATGGACATTGCTCAAGATGATCAAGATAATTGAAGGGACCGCTAGACAAAGAACCAAGAGATCTTCGCAGATTAAACAAAACGGCGAGACACGGGGTATTGTGCGGGTTGAGTCAAGTAACCCGGTGCTATAACAACAAGAAGTCAGTGATAAATTTTCCGAGCAATGATATATATGGACCTCGGATATAGGTATAGGAGGTATTTAACAGATTTATAAAATTTTCTTACACCTCCGAGCCGTCGACTAACAACGCAATCACAGCCTAGAATTGGATTCAGTAACGACGATTTACTATGGCATAAGCATTCCACGCGGTATTTTAACATCTTACCACCGAGACCGAAAGCCCCAGCATCTTTCCCCAGTTGACGCTCTCATAGATAAGGTTGGCCAGTAATACGACGGAAGCACCTAAGCCAAGGATTCGGGCGATCGCGCCCGCAATGGCCGCCGCTCTTGGCGCGCGAGGCCTGGTCATGTCTCGAGGGAGCGGAGATGAGAGAGAAAGGTCAGGGAGGACAACGACAACGACAAGGTGAGAAGTAGCCCACGGAGAAAGACAAAAGTAAGATGATTTTTATAATGTTACATATCCCGTAGACTAAAAGAATACCTGCCAGATTAGCGAGAGCTCAGTAAGGGGGTTCGGGATCGTTGCATATTACCCGTCCATTCGGATACAGACGTCGTCTTGGCGGCGAGTCATCAGCGCAGCGGCACTGTTCAGGCTTTAACTGCTATAGTATAAGAATATTTGGGACCTCTCATGCTATTTCAGTAATAGGCTACCCACCGCGAAATGCGTCCTGCATCTTTACGTAAGGAGTGTCTCTAGTTATCATAACCGCCTAACTTAGATATCTTAGGTAGGAATCTCGGTGATGGTATTACAATTATATCACGATATATGTATCGATAACTACCTGAGCTGATAAATAAAAGACATTTTATGAATATCTACCGTTGCAAGGGGCGTTCGGACTGAAACTAATGAGGTATAGAAGAGCTATCGCCGAGCAATAGGAAGTCTACTCCGTACCGTCCCGGGTAGCATAATTGATACCTTATATGGTGGCAACGTTCAGGATCAACGATAACTTTGCGGGAAGATATATGAGACGTCAATGATCGGTAACCAATACTTCGAACCCTAATTCAGTTTCAATCTACCTAACCTGTTGACAGGATTAAGTACGGAAATACTTTGCCTCAAGCATTTATTTCTATGAAGACTTCATATTTTGCATGAGACAATAAAATGAATTCGTGGCATGTAATTAAAGAAATATGCGATTAAACGGCTTTTCTCAGTTACTTTACTTTAGGTACCTGCAGAAGTGGGGATGTTTCAGGAAGATGTGGGGAGCTATCCTGATCAAGCTAGGCACCTAAGTACCTAGGTATACTTTTAGGTAATCAGTCAGAGGCTGGAGGATTCCGAGGTTCAAATTTACAGGTAGTACATCCACTATGGAGACAGGAGCCCAACAATGATATCAACTACAACCTTAATTACCTACCTTCTATCCAAGGTAAACTTGCACATATTCACATCTTACTCCGTACATACCTTACCTAGAGGTAGCCTTACAACGTAAGGTGAAATAAATTTAAAATTTATAACACCTTCTATTTTAATTATCGTTTGAAAGTAGCATGGCATAGTATAATATTATCCATTAAATACTTGTTTTTGCAGCTGTCACCGGGAGCTCCATCATCATGGCATCTTCGACAGCCCAGACGCCTCCCATTGAAACGCCAAACGACGATATAACTACTCCAGCTCCCCAAATCACCGACAGCGACGAACCTAGAAGCATTCATTCGTTAGCCGCGTCTTCCGAACCCCCGCCGAATACCCATCGATGTTTTATCTGCCTTGTCGATGAGCCCGAGGCTTCGCTTCCCGCCGACTGGTCGACGCCATGCACATGCACGCTGGAAGGACATCACGAGTGTCTGATGGCCTGGATAACCGACCTAGAAAACCAGTCCAAGGAAGTGAAATGCCCCATCTGCAAATCGCCCATCATAGTTACGGGCCGATGGGATCTTGCTATATACCTGAATAATTACGTGATTAATACCTTCTCGAAATGGTCTCCTCAGATCCTGTTCGGGTTTATTGCTTCGGGTGCTCTGGTGAGCAGTTCCATCTATGGTCTTAAGGCTATCGATTTATTCGCCGGTCCCGAAGCTACGATGGAGTTCCTGTTCGGCACCGAGGACCGCGTGCTCTTCGGCCTTATACGCTATCCCATCCGCGTAGCAGATCGGACGCGCATACCGCCTATCAACTTGGTCAACTTTGCGATATTGCCCTTCATCGCCCCAGGCCTAGTACTCAACCGAATACCTTTGGATGGTGTTGGTTTATTTCCTACTTCAGTCCTAGTAAGCAAACTCAAACTTCACGTACTACCTACCATACATACAATCGGCCCCCCATCCCCCTGACAGCAAGAAACCTGCTTACCACCAAAAAATAAAATAGTATGCGACGTTCGTGGCGCTCATCAACCACGCAGACGACTATTTCACGTGGCCTCCGTCCCCTCAACGAGCCTTAGCCATCTACCCGGCCGTCCGGTCCACGTACTTCCAGCTGCACAGCACGATCTCCAAGAACCTCGAGAAGAAATGGGAAGCCAAGGCGAGCCAGCAGCAGATTCCGATACCGGCCCGGGACGAACAAGCGGCGGTCGGGCGCAACTTCTTCGACTTCGACTTCGACATGGCGATCGTCGACGACGAGGAGGCGATCCGCCGCCAGCAGGGCAACAACCGGCGGAACAGGGTAGCGCAGGGCAAGTCGCTCGAGAACTTCCTCGCCGGGTCGTTGCTCTTCCCCGGCGTGTGCTACGGGATGGGCGAGTTACTACGATACGTTCTCCCCTCGCGCCTCGTCAACCGGCCCGCGTCCGGATTCCCGACGGGCCTGCTCCAGGAGCGGTGGGGACGCAGCCTCGTTGGCGGGTGCCTGTTTGTCGTGCTCAAAGACGTGTTCTTCCTCTGGGTTAAGTACAGGAGGATAATGACCAGGTCGTCGAGACGGATCAGGAATGCGGAAAATAGGACCCGTCGAGGTTAGAAGGAGGTAATACAACCACTCACCCGGGGGCATGATGATGATAGATAGGAGGTACCTAAGGTATTAAGGAAAAATTAGCTGGCGTTTCTTGGCGGGTGGTTTCGTTTCGCGAGGGATCATGTGGACTACGGTACGGTGCTCGGTTATGGAGGCATACGAAGGTATATGCTACCTAAGGCACGGGGATATAAGAGTTTTGCCCACGGCGCAGAACTAAAATAATTTGTCGACGGCACCAGAGGTCATGGGCCCGGAAGACGTATGAGTTACGGTCTAGTTAGTTACATTCTAGCCTGCTTCCCATAATCATACTCGAATTTGATTCCAAGGATGTTTATAATGGATATCCCCCTATTCCATGCTTGCCTTGAATTACCGGTGAAGCTCTACCCCTAACAAGGGCCGAAAATCGGGCTCAAGTAATAGGACGTCGTGACGGAGTGGGCGAAGCTGAGAGACGGCATGAGGCATCCTTTTGGAATATGGATGGGATTGATTTGTCTATCCCAGGTGGCGGTATTTGCAATACTTGAGCTACGGGATTTGTTCTGGAGAGCAGAGAATCATCCGGTTGCGGCGGGGGACGTATGTTGGGGAGGCTGTATGAGGAGTATTGCTCGAGGTAGATACTCAGGCATGAATAGAGTTTGCTAGGTGGAGAGTTATTGCTTAGGATAGGAGGTACCTATGATTGATACAACGATTGGTCTCCGCCCCTTTACGGGACGGGATAAGTGATATTATACGGCAGATGAATCTGTAGTCCTCCACGATATGTGCCAATTAATTCCCAACCGCGAAGAGTGACTCCGCCCAATGTCTTTCGGGTATGGTATGCCCCTGATCTATCTTATTGGCGCACTAACTCGTCTGTTCTGTCGTCTTCCATTCCCCAGTCTGCGGATCATATTCCAGGAAATATTACAACATCTTCGTAACCGCCTCACCCGTATGTATACCTACCTACTCATACATAACCTCCAAATTAGGCTCGCCATAATTCCCCGTAACCTCTAATCCCAACTTCCTTTCCGCTCCCGGATCCAAGTCACAAGCCACCTCGAAAGCTACCTACCTAGGTAGATATTGAAAGGTTCCGCGCGAGTCCCCCGCCTGCTGTGCTTTCCGAGCTTCGCTGAGCGCAGAAAAGTGGCAGGCGTTCCATCCACGTCGACGCCGCAGATTCTCAACTGGTGACGGTCCTCGCCCGTCGTTTCGCTTCCATCTACTGCACAGTCCGATGACGGCGCAGGATGAACGGCACAATAGAGATGGATATCAAGGTTAGCCATCACGCGAGCCATCAGCTCGTCCGTTCGTCTTGCTATAACTCCGCCGGTCCGCGAGCCCGTCCAAATCGGCGTGTCCTGCAGATCGCAAACGACAAGCCTGGATTATTTTCTCCTCCTCTCAACAAGTTAGTTCCGGGATCTCATTTTCCGGGCTCACGATACCTAAGTGAAGAGCCGAGGGCGAGACAACTCCCGCTCCCGTGAAGACGATGAAGTGCTTGCTCGTCTTAATAAGCTCCGCGAGAGCAGCGGCCTTCTCGTCGACTGCGTCGATATTTTCATGGCGTGCTTCCGCGGGGACTCTTGGCGCGGTATACGCCTTGGGTGTTCAGGTAGGCTGTCGCGAAAGAGTCGATTTAAAATAACGATGCCGCTTGAGCCAAACCTTGAAGGTATGTTTTATGCGTTGCCCGCGTGATTTCCAAGTCGGAGAAGAGTAGATGGGAAACCCATGGCTGACGCCGCGTGATATTATTCTCAGGACTTGGGGGGGAGTAGGTAATTAGTACCTAAGCGCTCATTTATAATGAATTGATGCGCAATGATGGTTTGCTCAATTTTGGGTATACCTATCTGTGACACTCTCAAGGCATATGAATTTATGAGTCTATTTTGAAGCTTCAACCTATTGTTACATTGTAGAAGCGATGTTCATAATTAGTCAACGAATGTAATATTAACAGGGGTTTCCTATACTATAACCTTAGGTACCTAACCTAATATTCGTTTCAACTTCTATTGATACGTGATGGATATGGTAGTTATCTTGAAGTTCAAATCGCTAATACTGTTAGGTATTTCTACGTTGATCTAGTCCGCCTCCTATTCAATAGCAATGCCCAAATGGCTCATGGTTATTATTATAATTTATCTCATGATAAATTGTTAAACTTATAGTTACCGAGTAATTGCCTACCTACCTATATAAGGTACAAGTAGCATTGTGAGTTTGATAGGTATTAACGTACATAGAGAGTTATTACTCATCAGTAGTCGGGTTGATTAGGAGCTTCTTTTCTTACTTGACTATCACGGTACCGTCTGTGAGGTAGTCCTTATAGATGGAGATAGCAACGTCAACCCCTCGAGTTGATATCGTTCTACCTTTTGATAGTATAGGGGTTTGATAGCTATCTCCCGAACCCTTGCAATGACTTCATAGTCTGGAAGCATTATAGTTGAGGTTTAGTTAAGGAGTGTCAGCTTTCCTTACCTTATGATCAAGAGCAAACCAGCAAATTTGCAACTTATCTACCTAAGTACCTGTGTAAGCAGTCTATCTGCTTAGCTCTGAGCTTTTCGGTGAGAGAGAATGACACCCCTGCCGATGACCATCGTATTAATCAACTGGATCATCTGGACTATCTAATTTTCAATCAGGTATTCGAATAAATCACTATCTTGCCAGTCGATCTCCGATGAAAGTAATCTCCGCGAATTAAAATCCGGTACCATAGGCTGGCAATGCAGGGAACGATGTGACTTTAACGGAGAGGAGATCGCAAATGTTGGTGGACATAATAATATTGAAATTAAATAAGACGTTAATCTCGTTTTGCTAATCCTGTGATCTGATGATATCGGCCGATAAGTTACCCCATGGAGGATATAATACTACCTACCTACGCGGTTAACCGTGGCTGCTATTGGTTTGGAAATCCTTCTCTTACCTTGAGGTCCGTTGATTGCTGACCGAAACCGACACCGATGTTGAAGCTGTAGGCGATCAGCCGCAGGTTCTTATTATTACCTAAGATAACAAGTCTCGTGCCAACTTGTTCATGCTGGCTTTATGTAGGCAGTAAGACGAACTGTCAGCACGTTACTAATAAAGTTTTTTTTTTTTAGCATTTCTCAGTAGAGCCGCTAATAACAGTCAGTCGTAATCTGTATGTGAGTCGTGAGTCAGGGGATGAGGTGAGATGTATAAAGTGTTTTTTCGTGCGGAATATGGAATAGGTAGATGTTGAAAATTTTCGTAGTAGTTGAAATAGACCATGATTTTCAGGGCGGTCAAAAACGTTGAAGTTGAGATGTTACTAGTCAATGTGATAAACAACTAGCGGACCAAACTCGGCTAGAAAGCGGTAAAACGTTAGGGGGTTTGGGACGAGTACCTAGCGGTAAGGTAAGTGATGGGAGGCCGCAGTTTATGATATATCACATCTCTATCGTATCTGAATAACCCTTACTCGGACATTACTGTACATATGCAGATAAAACTGCGTCCGACCCGCGCTGATAAAGCTGATAACTGAGATGATTGGATCGGGAAGCCTGTGGGCTTGTTTCTCAGTGGCATCTCCGAGGAGTAACGGGGGTGACGGGTAACGGGTGACGGGTGACGGATAGATTTGGGATCGATGATCGGTTGATGTCGGTGACAGGATAATCGTGTTGCAGACGGAACCAATGTGGATTTAATCCGTACCATGGGATATAACTTCCTGGAGTCATGTAATAATATAACAATTATACATACCTTACTTACAGATGACTTGGGTACGTAATACATTTAGAAGAGTTAAAGTAAGATTCTTAAGCAGTCAACACTTTGTGTAAGTCAGATGTTCCACGAGGGAAGTAAGCCAAGTTAGGTAACAGGTACCTATCTATAGGTAAATGTTGAATTTCGTGTCGTAAAGTATGCGCAAACGAGATGCTAGAAGTTTGATGATACATGGAACGAGTAAGATCCATCACGGGCAGGACGAAGAGGTTTGATTGTCGGTCAATACCTAACCTAACCTAACCTACCTAGTAAGGATGTACCTAATGTAGGTAGGCACACGTACAGGTATTGTACCTCCCTAACCCCGTACCTAAGATGTTTGTAGGGTCACCGCTATTGTTACAGTATTTGTACCACCTACTTCACTTATTTGTATGTTCGTACCATAGTATGCACGCATGGTGCCGGTACCGACGCAGCTTCTTCAAAATCTACATGTACGGCAGCAAGCAGCTACACCCTCCCCCCCACATATCTCTTTCCGAACCCCTGGCTCCTTCTTCACCACTGGCAATTGGATCCATCCGGTCGGGTCGCAAATCATTTTTCACTTGGACGCTTTTGTACCTTAGGTAAGTACCAGTCCACTTTTTAATTCCTCTCCCTCTTCTTATTTTCCTTTTTCCACCAACAATTTCTAGTACCAGATGCTCCAAACTGAATCAATACTATGTATACATATATGACCCTTTTCCGGTGTCGTGGAAACACCAATGTCTCTGTTTTCCCTTGTCTCACCACCGACACGTGTTCTGGGAACATCGGCGCAACCCTGCAAGACGTTTGTAGCCGACCTTTACAAAGCACTAACCACTACCTTACTCAACCACTAACCGCTGTGAATAAGAAAGCGCGGCAAATCTCTCAACGGTCCAGTCGTGTCACCCTTCGAGCTGCCTTTCCGGACACAAGACTGTGGTAGTAATAGATCCATCCAGTTCCCGATACATAGTCATTGACTCACTCACCCACTCACCGAGAAGACGAGTCAAGGAGTTGGGGGCCGTCTCGGTCTGCCTCCTTGTGCTGTACCTGCCAGCATGGGAAGTCGAAATTTCCACCAAATTCAATTGTCAGTGTCGTTTGTCTTGTTAGGGATACGAACGCGGCCCGTGGGCGTTCGCGCATTAATCCCTGTTTTCTCTCTTCTATTCCCTGTCTCTTACGCTTGTTAGCTGCAAATTTTTTAATTCCCCTTTTCACAGTGATATTCTCAGAGTTCCGATTAAGTTGACGTGTCACCGCGCGACAAGTTCCCGCAACCGACTAGGTGGACTCGTTAAACTGCTGGTGTTGTTAAACGGTACAGGACCACAGAAGATGTTGGCATCTTTCCAAGTGGATGGAAATTCTGCTTGGAATTAAGTCACGCGCGGTCCCCAGTTCCCCTGCCCAGTGCCAATCCCAACTACTAACTTGACAAGCCGGCAGACTAACCAGTGGCGTCAAATGGCACGCCTTAGCGTGATCCACGTTGCCGTGTATGCTGGACCGCTGGGTCGGATGAAATGAATTTAAAAAAGACCAGAGTCAGCCCAGAAACAAGTACTCTTGGCTCACGAATAGGGCATTCCGGCCATGCTTGGGGCTAACATAGTTAATGATTGCCCGGCCTCGTATCACTGTCGAGTTGTTGTCGAACCTGCATTAACTCCCTCCCTTCCCTATGCTTCCTATACTCCCCATGATAGTTTGCTCTCAATTTATATCATCTTTCGTGAGATACGTTTTCAGCTTGTACATGTCCGTCGTACACCGCTGTGGCTACGGGAAACGAAGGTGCTGTGATACTCGATGGTGGGCTTGGCAACAGAGATTTCGAACCTTTGAGAAGGCATGGATTCCCTGCTGTCCCATGCGGCTCATGCTGGTCGATGCTATGTTCCCTTCCTTGGCCCCATGCTCTTATCTAGCGTTAATGATGACCGGTTACTTTAGCCGGAGGGCCCGCGACGAGCTTAGTGCCGCTTCTAGACTCCTTGTTTTTGGAACCCGTGATGTAAACCTGGAAATTAGATGTGCAGATCTTGGGGAACGAACATCGGCGCTGGACCCCTTAGAAACTTAATATGCTAGCAGCTTTCTATGCCGTATTTTTGTTCCACATTAAGTCATGTGTCTCGCTTCGTCTAGACGTCCCTCCTTCGTTTCGCTGGTGCTTAACTTGACGTCCATCGACACACAAGGCCTAGTCGGGCGAAAGAGTCGTAGACCTAGGTCTTTGCCAGTCTTACCCCGTCAGCCAACATCCGATTTGGTTCTTGCAGTTCCTTTGAAGCTGCCTCTGGTTCCATTGTTATTCCCGGTTCAGATCTGACCTCATCTAGCGTTTATCTACACGGTGCCTAGAGTAAATTATAGCTCAGGTGTGCGTCACCCGTAGGGCTGAAACCCGGCACCCGATTTACCTTTCACGTGGCTAAGGTTCGCTTTTAAAAAGCAGATTTTACAGTTGGTGGTATTGAGGCCAGAAGTTGGTCAAGGCTTTGGATATCGCCGCAGATCTGCCTCCTTGGTCAGATGGTGAATGCCGAACCTTTTATGGGCCAACAGAACCAACAGACCAACAGGTGCCGTGCCATTCGAGCTTTGAGCCTCATCAACTCGCTTGCATAAGAGAAGCACTACCGGCGTTACTAGTGGCTCTTCGATCGTTTGAGGGACTATGACCTGGTTAGGTATGTTTCCACGTTAATATCCACTTGGTTAATGTTAGTGATTCTTCCTACCTATGATACCCTCCTCCCATAGAACTACGATCAGACGAGATGTCTTGGCTGCAGAGGCTCCTCCCCTCCTACATGACCTACCTAACCTAACCTAACCTAACCTAAACTACCTGCCTATTCTGCTATCTGCATCGGGCATTGGCCGCTCACTCGATCAGAGACTATCTAAGTAGTGGTTTCTTATGATGTTATCCCCTTCTATAAACACCCATTCATATATTCATTTATTATTCCTTTATCCCCCCTATTAAGAGCTTCTAACTTTTAAAGCTTTACCTGTATAATTGTTATTCATGTAATGGTGTTGGGATGTATTATAGTACCATCCCATTTATTGTTGATGCCATCCCATGGTGTAGTGGGAAAAGACTGTTTAAAAACTTGGGGGCTAGCTATTAGTTACCTTAGTCAAGAAGTTCGGTCACCTCCTACCTTCTGTCGACACATCACCACGTTCCTGCCTTTCAACACACGTATGTGCTGAAGAATGTACCTAGGCCAGGAAATAGGAAAGAGCCAACGGCAGCTCATCATTAGATGAGGGAAGAGCTAGACTGGAGCCAGCACTAAACTTAGAAATAGCTTAGTCCTTGGTCCTTGGCCCTTGGTCCTTCTGTTAGATATGAGTTGGATGCTGTTTCGTACACTAAGTGATTTCATCCAACATACGTCTTTTAACTTTCAACTTTCTCTCAGTTTTTACTACCCAACTCAACCCAACCCACATTCACCCATCTTTCATATTTGAAAAGAAAAACAAAACAAAACAAAAAAGCTACGCTACCTTACTTACTACTGCACTCCTGTTACTCGGACAGGAGTAACCATATGCAACCTTCACAATTTCGTCGAGCCTGCTGCTGCTGTCAATCTCTTCTTCCATTACCCTATTTCAATAACTCGAGAGGACTTGGAACTAACCATAAACCATCCAGGACATATCTATTTATTCACCGCTTCTTCATTGTTGATCTGCACTGAACTCGCCTTAGCTCATACAGCTATTTCCAGACCTGTACACGATCTGGACTCAGGCTATTCGACCAGGTAGCGGCCGAGAGAATGACGGGACTGGAGCTGCAGGGTGTGCAGGCAGCGCTGCATTATATCTACCCCCTTGTGGTGTTCCTATACTTTGCCATCACCTCAGCCGTTGCTATATGCACACTACAAACCTCGGACTCGAAGAAGTCAACCCACGTTCGGCGCAAGGTTATATATTACCTTCTTTGTTTCTTCATCAGTACCTTCGTTCTTCAATTTATTGTCAAGATAATTGAGATTATCGTATGGGGACGATGGCCATCCCAGGACACAGTTATCGGGTTACTATCCTGTATTCTGATCTTTGGAATCCAGCAGAATAGTCTCGGGGACGGTTCCGATACCGTCTGGTACCCTTTCTTTGGATCGTGGCTTATCGCGTTCCCATTTGAGCTTTTAAATGCTGCGCTCCTATTTATCGCAGCATCTGAGCCGATAGTAACGACCCCAAAAACTAGTAACAACTCAGCAACATTTCTCCGACTGGACGCCTCCATCGTTATCGCTCGCAGCGTTCTTGCCTTAGCCGCTATTTTAGCATATTTTGTTTGGCGAGAAGATGGGGTCGATGAAGATGATGACGAGGAGCGAGCCCCTCTGCTTCCCAAACCGGGTCAACGAGCGAATGGTGTCGACACATCTACGGATAGCGGCTATGGGACCAACTCGGAGGGTACAAATACAGAAGCGACTAACACAGAAGCAGCTAACTCTCCCAGAGACGTGGAATCGCCATGGGAACGTCAGCAGCGCATTTCCCGCGAGAAAATTGAGAAGCGTTTGAAGAATGAGGGTAGCTGGATTGCGTACGCCAAGGGATTTCTCATCTTCTTTCCGTACATTTGGCCTGTCAAGAATCGCCGTCTCCAACTCTACGCTGCTCTCGTGGGACTCTGCCTGTTGGCTGGAAATGTGCTCAATTTCCTGATTCCTCGGCAGTATGGTGCCGTGATGGATTCTTTGAGTGGAGTTTCCAAAAGTAACCCTTGGGTTCAGGTCGCAATCTTTGCTGCACTTCGACTTTTAGCCTCCGAGGCTGGCATTAACCTCTTGAGGCAGATGTTGTGGTTGCCTATCGAGTACTACTCCGAGGAGGCCCTCACAGCAGCCGCGTATTCTCACATTATGAACTTGTCCTCCGAGTTCCATGATTCTAAGAGCTCATCGGATCTAATAGTGGCTATTTCGAATGGTACCTCCATTTCGAATATGCTAGACTCGATATGTTTCCAAGCATTGCCGATGTTGATTGATTTGATCATTGCATTCACGTACCTGTCGACAAAATTCGGGCCATACGAAGGGTTCATTACCATCGCAACTGGTACTGCGTTCATCCAAGCTGCCACTCGCATTATTGCAAGCTTCAAGGAGAAGCGAAAGATGATGGTTAGGACGTAAGTTGCGCACTTTTGATGTATTAGTAGTCCATGAAGGACTTTTACTCCCGTCTCGAAGGATTGCTTTTCCGTTGTTGAGTGGCTAAATTTGGATTGTTATTTTTTATAGGTATTTCGAGGAGCATTATATCCGCCAGGCCGGCATCCAAGGTTGGCAAACAGTCAGTGCATTCAACCAAATTCCGTACGAAGAAAGACGATATGGCGTGGCAGTCAATTCTCGCGTCTCATCGGCGAAGTCTCTGTATTATAGCTACCTCGTTGGACACGCTTTTCAGTACTTAATTCTTCTTGCGGGATTACTGGCCGGTGCGTTCTTAGCTGTATATCAAATTACTAATGGCCAGGCTACTGCTGGCGACTTTGTCATGCTCTTGACATATTGGGGTCAGCTCACATCGCCTCTACGCTTTTTCTCTCAGCTCGGAAAGAACATCAGCCAGGATCTGGTGCATGCCGAAAGGCTTCTTGACGTAATGACGACAAAGCCAACCGTAGTTGAGAAGCCCGATGCCAAACCCCTGAAGCTCAAGGGTGGTAAAGTTGAGTTCCGGAACGTCAGTTTCAGCTACGACAAGAAGAAGGACATCTTGAAGAGCGTGAAAGTGTCCGTTCCATCTGGTACCACTGTGGCATTTGTTGGCGCCACCGGGGCTGGAAAGTCAACTATATTGAAGCTACTTGATCGTTTTTACGACGTAACAGGTGGCTCTATCCAAATTGATGGTCAGGATATTCGAGATGTAACCATCTCAAGGTATGATCTGGCATTTACCCTTCTATCTTCGAACATTCGCATTTGGTGCTGGACGATCCCTAGGGCCCTTCTTGGTATTACCTCTGCTAATCTTGCTCCGTATTTAGTCTGCGACAGTCCATTGGTATTGTCCCGCAATCACCGATCCTTTTTGACGATACTGTGATCAACAATATCAGATACGCTCGGTTAACAGCTACAGACGAAGAGGTTTATAGCGCCTGTAAAGCAGCAGCAATCCATGACCATATAATGGGCTTTACGGAGGGCTATAAGACTCGCGTTGGTGAGCGTGGAGTGTGAGTTACAACATAATAACACCTAGTATTGAGATTGGCTAACAGATTTAGAAAACTATCTGGCGGTGAACTGCAGCGAATTGCGATTGCACGTGCTATTCTTAAACAACCTGAAATAGTGCTCCTTGATGAAGCAACTAGCTCCGTCGATACTGATACGGAGCAGAAAATCCAAGACGGTCTTCGCGCTCTATGTCAAGGCCGTACTACATTTATCGTAGCGTAAGTTTATCACGACTCAGTGGATTCCTTGGCCTAATCATACTAATTCAATCATAGGCACCGTCTTTCAACTGTTATGAATGCTGATACTATCTTCGTCGTTGCGAATGGGGAGATAGCTGAACAGGGAAATCATGAAGAGTTGATTTCCAAGAAGGGTAAATATGCCGAGCTTTGGTCCAAGCAGATCTTCCTTAAGCCTAAAGAATCAAAGGAGGACAAGCAAAATGAAGAAGCCACTAGCGATAGTGTAATTTCCTTAGGCGCTATACAGACAGATGGGTCTGTCGACGAGCCGGCAAATGCTGTCGACGCCTCGAACGGTACCCAGGCACCGCGACCAGTATCTACGGTCGAGAATTCTCCTGTGGCAGGGAAGACTAACGGACAGGTTGTGAAAACTCCTAATGGGCATAAAAAAGAGGTAGATCCGTCGAAAAATCATTCATGATTTTTTGATTGGCACTAACCTCTGACAGGGTTCAAGGCTGAATCCTGGTGCTCCGGAGTTCACACCTCGTTCTGCAGCAGAGCTACATTTAAATAATACATCCCCTATGCGAAATAGCTGGGCCGAGGACGTCGAAGAAGAAGCTGGACCATCTGTTAGCGCGCCACCTGTGGATTCCGATTCCTGTTCTGTATCTACCGCTGTAAAGACTTCCGAGACGATTATCCAAAGCAAAACTGATGATGCCGTTTCGCCTCTCATACCTCCTGAGTCCGCCGCGCAACCAACGGTATTTGACGCACCTAACCCGAAGCCTCGCCGAAACACCCTTCAATCTGTATCTTGTCCCGAACCATCGCCACTTTGTTTTTCGGACAGCCCGACTCGCTCCGTTAGCCAACCCATGCCCACGCCTACAAAACCCTCTCGACGAGAGGGTAAGACACCACGGGAGCAACAGAAACCCTCGCCATCCTCTCCCGAAGTTAAATCATCTGCTCAAGGTCATAGCAAGGGCAGAGGTGCCTACCGAGGCCGAGCCCGCGGTCGCTATCGCGCTGGGAGGGGTCGAAAACGAGGTCCAACTAGCCCTAAGTTAAGTCACAAGGAGAATGCGGGACTCTCGCAAAAACGTGGAGGCTCTGTCTCCCGTGCAAAGTAACCCGGCGTTTCGAATTGTGCTTTCCAATGATGCATTGTTTCTATTCCATCTCTCCTTGATTGCGAATATGTATCCCATTTTCCTGCGCGCATTTTTACGTTTCTGGTTGTACATACTTATTCTTATGAATCTTCACGGAAAACGCTTTTCGCTTCGGATACGGAAGAATACACAGTACCAGTCATATCGATTACGGATGCTTTAAGTTGCTTGTTATTCGGTTCTGATTTTTTTCATCCTTTCAAAAAAATTACTTATCGGCTAGTCATAAAGATATGGATGATGGATGGCAAAAAGGGGGACGCGAGAAACCCAAAACGATTGTGATACTTTTCCCCTCCTATGATTTCCGGGGCGGTGACATTCGAAAGACCACAAAGACGAAAAGTTACGTGTTTTAGGACTGGGCATGCTGTTATTCTTAGAGGAGAAAACGAAAGGACACTACAGCATGATACGGAGTCAAGGTGTATGAGAGGACAAAACCTAGACGAACACTGATTTAATTTTCTCCTTCCCCTTATATTACTCCTGTCCGGAACTAGGAATCCATTTATTTTTACTATCAGCAGACGCGAATTGCGATATGCCATTAAGACCCAAGTTAGCATTGCAGTGGAATTAATTATGAATAGTAAACCCTTATATTGTCGATTTTACCTTCTATTACTGCCCTGAGAACTCGTCTGTCATTAGTGAAGTCTACTCGTGATCTAGATAGCTCGAATCCGGCTAGCCGTCATCTCTCTCGCCCATTCATTCACCAAAAGGGCATAACGTAGGTAGATAAATGTAAGAACCGTCACTCATAATGATCTTATATCCTTCCTACCCAACCATCTTTTTTTTTGGTCTCTGGAAACGCTACGCTACGCTCTTTTGCGTTCTCTCGCCCGGCAACTCCTATACGCCTACTCTCCATGCTAAATGGGGGTAGGAACAAGCGCTCTAGTACCGAGAAGGGATAATACCGATCGATCGATCATCGTCCCGCGCCGCGCCCAGCTCCAGGGTTTCCGTCAGCGCCGCCGCCCATCATATTCCTAGCCATATCGGCGATGTTTGGGTCGCTCATCAGAGAGCTCAAGTCGGGCATGCCGCCGCCGCTCGAGAAGCGGTCTGCCATCTCGCGCAGGCGCGGGTTGCTCATCAGGTTCTGCATCATGTCCGGGTTCGACATGAGGTTCTGCGCCATGCTCGCGAACATAGGGTTGCTCATGATGCTGCTGAGGTCGGGGAATCCACCCCCGCTTCCTGCGTCTCGGTTTCCACCGGCGCCACCACCACCACCACCACCGCCCAAGAGACTCGCTAGACTGCCGAGGTCAGGAAGACCACCACCAGCACCTCCGCGCGCGGAGTCAACACTACCCGTCTCGGCATCCAGCTCCTCGACGCGCCTCCTCGCGGTCTCGAACCCCTTCTTCATCGCCTCGCTCCCGCCGTTGCCCTCGTGCTCGATGCCCAGCTGGTAGGCCTCCATGGAGCCGCGGGCGTCGCCGAGGGCGAAGCGCGCGAGCCCCAGGCGCGACCAGGCCTTGGTGTACTTGGGGTCGATGGCGACGGCGGCCTCGGCGTCGGCGCGGGCGCTCGCGTGGTCGCGCGCGGCGCTGTAGGCCGCCGCCCGGTTCGACAGGTAGATCGGGTTGCGCGGGTGCAGGGCCAGGGCCTGCGTGTACAGGTCGATGGCGGCGGGGTAGTCCTTGGAGGCCATGGCGCGGTTGCCGCGGACCTTGAGGTCTTCGGCGTGGGCCTTTTCTTCATCGGTGGGCTCCTTGACTTTCTCGCCTTCCTTTTCGGCCGCGGTGTTGTTGGGAGACGAGGGGGAGGGCGAGGCTCCGGATTTGTTGGCGGCGGCGGTGGTCGACTTGAGCTTCTCGTACACGCCGTAGATCTGCAGCAGGTTCTGGGTGCCGGTGGCGGCGGAGACGGCGGCGGGGTCGGTGGGGTCGACCTTGAAGGACTCGGCGATACAGTTGACGGCTACGTCGATGCTGTCCTTGTCCTCGGCCGAGAGGGTGCCGTCCGTGAGGGAGGTGGATAGGAAGTCGCAGATGGCGAGGGCCAGGCGCTGTTTTGTTGTCGCTGTTGTCGCCTATTGGTTCGCGAAGGGGGGAGGGGGTTAGTATTTATATTATCTCTAGGTGCATACGTGCTTGAGGTGCCTGATATGTGTAGGTGCTTATATAAACGGCTTGACGAGGGGTATACTAGGAGATTATTGGATAGGATAGGATGGGATAGTCGGGTGGAATATGGCATGGTACGGTAGGGTAGAATGAGAAAACGGAGAGAGGGTATTATGAGATTAGGTAGTTCGTACCATGGTTAATTTGATCTTGTTGAAGAATTCAACTGAGGGGTTCAACCAGTCAATTCAATCGCCGAGATGTGTACTTCAAGTTGTTCTTTTTCTTCTTTCTCGACTTTTTAGAATAAAAAAAAAAAGACGAATAAGGAGAGAGTATTTTCTCTCGCTGCCGTCTCAAGTACCGTAGGTGAAGGAATCGGGTAACTCAAAAGAAAGTTAGGTAGTAGGTAGTTACTAGTATATGGTTTATGAGAGGCCGGGGCTAAGGTAAGTTGTTGCTTGTTCTCGAAATTTCGGCCTGATACCTGCGAAGGTGGGAGGCGGGACAGACGCCTAAGACGGAAAGTGGGGGTTGGGGTTGGGGGCTGACAGCCGCTGGGCGGTGTGCGCTAGCAAGGCTAGGTGTGCTTGTTTAGGACGGCAGAATTTGGCGGCAGGGCGGGACAATCCTATCAATAATGAGAGGTACCTAAGTACCGAGTGTATTGTATGTACCTAGTACAATTCTATGGTATACCTAACTCATGATGCTTCATTAAAAAGACAGGTACCTACCTCTTAATATTAATAATCTAGAGAGCCTTTGAGTTATGAAGTTCTCTCTTTCTCTTAACTTAAAAATTCATATTCCTCTCTTACAGCTCTTTTTTTAGCGAAACAGCCATTACCAACCCATGCCACCACCTCATTGTGCGAAATGCTCGAGTCGATGTTTACTAAATACATTATTTACCATTCATCTCATCTAATCATCTAACCTAGATGATAACTAACATATACTGTTTACCTTAAGGTCTTTGTCGAGACTCGATTCGTTAACAATGCCGGAGAACCCGCGATCGCTGATCGATATTGTATCAGGACGTGTTGCTCATTGATTGATATTGCTACCGTACTAGATGTGCTTAGAAGCATGGCTACCTACCTACCTGCCTACCTCATCCAAAGTAAGGCTGGCGGTAAAAGGCCGAACAGTTGTGCCAATCTCATCCTAATTTGAGGCTGTGTTATCACATGTTGTTGGTTGCAATTGAATCACACCCAACGTCTTCAACAGAGTTTTCGAAACATAACTGCATGGATTCAATGTAACGGTAGTGTCTTTGCAGATAGGTCCTGTTACCAACAAAATGAAGACAAATTCCCTACGTGACTCAGATCTAGCCTATAACTTAGGTACTTAAAATCTATGAGCTGCCAAGGCGTTGTTGGGTCTGGTCGTGGCAGGCCCCAAGGATATCGTGTAAGCGCGCGCTTCAAGTGTCGATAGAACTACGAGCGCGATCCCGAGAACTCCAGGGGGTCATCACCGGGCCGGCGACATATTCCCTAGCAATACACCCGATCTATAACCCGTATAAAGATGTATTATAGCCCTCCGATATTTAGCACCATTCTAATATTACACTTATGTGCCTAGTATGCCGCCTGTACTAGGTGTTATATATTAAAAAGGATTATTTGGCAGCTCTGCCTCAATAAGGTTACTTACCTACCTACCTAGGTAGCATTACCTCGATCTCTCCTGAATATGGCGCGTTCTAGCGCATCTAGCAAGGAAGCTGCACGCCGGCTCGTGCAAAATATTGCTAAAGAACATGGCTACCTTGGTGAGGAAGTTTACGCAACTATGAGCCCAGAAATTCGTCGTACTGTTCAAGAAGCATTCCTTAATGCCTATAAATTAATAGGCGCGACTGTTCTAACGTAAGGACTCCCCATCTAACGGAGACCAGCCGATTTATTGACACAATGCTTTGTTAGGCTAGCGAAGAACCTATATACCAAGGACGTTAGATGGATATTCGAGCTCTTGCAGAATGCTGAGGATAACTGCTTTTCCCGGGCGGAAACTTGCGGCACCCTACCATACGTATCTTTTGCTGTGCACAAAGATAAAGTCGTCGTGGAATGCAACGAAGATGGCTTTACTAAGGAGAATCTTCGAGCGATATGTAAGGTTGGCGAGAGCTCTAAGACAGGGGCACAAGGATACATTGGCGAGAAAGGCATCGGGTTCAAGTCCGTCTTTAAGGCCGCTTGGAAAGTTCATATCCAGTCTGGAGACTACTCGTTCACGTTTACCCATCGAAAGGGTGACTCCGGTATGGGCATGATATCACCGGAATGGTGCGACTCAGTAGAAGATCTACCGACGCCGTTGACACGAATCACGTTGTTTTTGCATCCTAGCGACGTTTCAGGGACCGAAGATGCGCGACGGCAGAACATTTTGAATCAATTGAACCAGCTTCAGCCTACGATGCTCCTGTTTCTAAAGAAGTTAAAGCAAATTAAAGTGCGCATATACGACGATGCAGAGAACGAAGTGTCATCCCGTGTACTCTCCATAAACCACGACGACCAGCCCAATGTTCGCATACTCGAAAATGTCAATACACAAGGTGGCGATACGAGGTCTCGTAGACAAAAATACCATATTGCGGAGACTACTGCGCGCAACCTCCCTCATAACGAGAATAGAACATACTCTCCCGAAGAAGAAGCGAGAAAGGCATACAGCACGGCTCCGGTTGTCCTCGCATTTCCACTCTCGGATAAAGATGAACCTATAATCGAACAACAAGAAGTCTTTGCATTTCTCCCAGTTCGCAGAGAGGGGTTCAGCGTAAGTGATGACCAAATAACTCAATATGAGATACCTACCTCCCTGATAAGCTCAACACTGACGATGTGGCTAGTTTCTTATACATAGCGACTTCGTAACGCAGGCAAATCGTGAAGATATAGTAACCACTTCGTCGCGGAACATCCGTTTGCTGGATGCTATAGCTGATGCTTTCATTGTTGCAGTCAGAGAGATGAACCTTCATCCGACCTTGAAGTACAAGTGGATGCGTTATCTTCCGAAGTTGACAGACGATAGATGGGATACATTCTGGCTAAGGCTCGTTCACAAGATAAAAGGTCTTATTTCCGACGAAAACATCATGATTTTGCGGGATTCAATGACCCCGAGAAAGATATATCAGACAAGACGAGTCTCTCACATGATGTCTGATCAACATGGAAACCCGCTATTTGACGACCTCCAGGGTGATAAAGCCTGCTATATATCACCCTATTACAAATCCAATGATCTGGACCTTCTTAACGACTATAAGCTCTCTTTCATGTATCAAAATGAGTGGCTTGAGAGAGTAGCGAGAGACTTGTTGAGTGGTTCATCCAGGATGCGGTCTGCAGACACAGATGCTGATTGGCACACTCGTGCTGCCAAAACTCTAAGCTCGTCCTTCGAGAATAAATGGGTTGATCAAATAGCCGAGACCAAGTCGTTAGAGCTGATCCCTCTTGTGAATGGACGATGGGTTAGTCCATCCAAAGTCGATGTGCATTTTGCTACCATGGAAAATGGAGTCGCAATCCCGACCGACATTGGGTTTCACCTTATAGATCCTGCCGCCGAAAAAATACCTAACAGGAAAGAGTTATTCCTTCATCTCGGCGCAAAGTACGCCTCAGCAACTGATGTCCGCGTCAAAATCTCGAAACTATATCGCGGTGGAGGAGTCACTGGGGTCAATTACGAAGCTTCGCTTTCTCATCTCAAGTTCCTATATCTGACACACGACGCATGTCCCATGCCCCTCTCGCCTGTACCGTATCTGTGGCTATGGGATAACCGTGGATCTTGGTATCCATTGGCCAAAAATGATTCCTATTCAGATACAGGGTTCTGGGAATTAGTCCCAAAGACCAAGGAGCCTCTACACTGGGAGGGCTTTCATTTTATCAATGAAAAATATTTTGAAGACGGTCCAGGACACGGAACTCAATGTAAACTGACGTGGAGAGAATGGCTACAAACATGTCTGGGGATCCGTGACCGCGGCAGGATTGTGAATCAAGATGGGTCGAACCTTTCAAATGAATGCCTCTTCGTCTCAAAATCCATCCCTTCGAAATTTTTGGAATTTTTGAAGCAAGGTTGGGCCGAAGAAAAAGATAGCCTGAAACCGCAACTAATGGAGATCCTGAGAAACCAGATCGTACCATGTCAGAATTTTCCATTCAAAATAGAATTGTCGAAGACATATATTCCCACGCAGACGCTTTTGAAAGCACGAGGCGAGTTTATTCAGGAGGGAGATGTCTTCCCTTTTCTTGATCTTGGCGAGAATTCAGGCCCAATGTCTCAATGGGAATTCTTACACGATTTAGGGGTGATATCTAGCCTAGATATCAGATTCTATTTCGACATTCTCGATTATAAACTGTATCAATATCATGAAAAGCCGGGCTCCTCTATCGACATCCCTCTGATTGCGAGTTTATATAAACACATTCATATGAAATGCGTGGAACCCACGAACATAAAGGAACAAGAAGAAAAGCAGTCTTTGATGCGGTATGTATACATTTCCTCCCAGCTTAGATCATTACCAAGCGACCGAACTAACTCGACAGTTAGCAAGATGTTCAATCAAAAGAACTCCATAGCTATACCTGCTCGCGGTAACCAAAATGCGACTTTTGTTACTCTTAGCAAATCTATACTTAGTGGGCCAGTGGATATGGAAACTGCTTATCCAGTGATCTCTCTATATAAAGCCAAATACCAAGCTGCTATAAGCAGATTTCCCACGCTCGAAGAATTCTTTCAGGACACCCTAAAGATCCCAAAGTGTACATGGGAGCATATTGTGAAGGAGCTCAAACATCTCAAGGAGTCGGATCGCACGGGACTCTTAGACAGAGTTGGCGCTTTGTATTTCGAACTGAATACTATGAAACTCTCGGCTGCTTCGCTGGAAGAAATGAGGTAAGGTCGTTTGTCGAGTACACGAATGAGATGTACCTACTAGGTATGCTAATTAAGATCCTCATAGAAAATTATTCGAAGAAGACGCCTTAATTTTTACGGATGTCGGTCCCCAAAAGTGGCACAAATCACTTCAGTGCCTGTGGTGTGCCCCATCGCCGATTAAAGGTCGTGTGAATTTGAGCAACGTTTACGAGAAGAAGCTGGAAGAATTCTTCGTCAAAAAGCTAGGAGTGCGTGTATTGGATGCCGATATTGTCTACAACGAATTGCTGCAATTGGATCCGGTAAAGACCACCGTAAAGCACGTCAAAGAACTTCTTTGGACATTTAATTCGCAGATCGAGCTAGGCCACCCCAAAGAGGCTCCTGAGAAGTTCCTTAAACTTCGAATTTTACCAGTTAGCGATGTTGGTGGTCAAGTGTCCCTATACTCGGCAGAAACTGAATTCGGGATTGTCGACCGCAAAAGCCTCGGCGATAGTTTCCATGGTAGAGTCAAACTTCTCGATTTCAGTGTGAATGAAATTGTCCAGTTGAAACCTTTGATAAAGTGGGCGGGCCTTGAGAAAAGGTATTTATCGAAATTGGTACAGGAGACATCTGTTTTAGATTCGGGGTTCAAAGTGCCAATATCAGACCCGAGAGAAGACATCAGAAAAAAGTCTTATGGATTGTTCCGGCAAGTCAATTCCATTCCGTGCCTAGATAGTTGTTATGACATTTATGCTAACTGAATATGTCACAGCATCGCGGCTCATTTCAACAGCCCTCGGGTCGAAGGCGATGGTCAGGACTTTTACGACCTTCTTCGCAATTCCCGTACATGGAAGACACAGAGAATATCAACAACCATCATTGTCCATATTGATGGCCAGACCGTGCACCTTGTTGCCGATCGCGGCATGGTTCACATCGACGATAACGATGGCCTTGAAATATACGTTCCGCACGACGAGGACTTGCGGGATAAGACTTACGTCTCCGATCTCCCGAATCGCTTAACGACGTGGATAATGACGAATCCTAGCACAAAACTCAAGAGTGAGATCGACTCCAGCATGGCGCTCCTTATTCAAAGTGTCTTGGCGGCGAAGCCCCGACAAATCAATTATTATCTTACTCAACACGGCATTGTTGATGTTACACTGCCCGAGCAAGAAGTCCAAGATCATGTTGTCGTTCGCCAGCCCAGTCCAAGCCTTGCTTCATCTTCCACAGCCATCGGACCCTCCACTCCTTCCACCCCGAGGATATTCGGCTCGCCTTTCGTAGAGCCAGTCACGCCCCTTTTCGACAATGACTTCGTACATGAGCTCTTGGAAACACCGGCTACAGATTACACGCAGTATTCTACGCATAGGGGGAGTTCAACTAGATACCGTCCTTCACCGGCACAATCGAGCCCGTCACCTACTCCATTTACCAATTCTACTGTGGAACAACGGAGACTAGCAACTGAAGAATATCGCGATCTTCTGTCACAGGTCGTCCGAATAGCTAGGAGCAGCCGAATCCTTTCCGAAGCGATGGACCTTCATGAGCTCTTGGACGCCCTAATCGACGACAACACTGGTAATCGAGTGTTCAGCGAATATATGCTGTTCAATACTCTACTTGGTAATGGTATGCATTCAATCGAGCGCGACAAGAAGGTCGGAGCTGCTGGGGAATTATTCGTAAGTTTGCCTGTCCATTCCAGGGGCTATCGTTTAAATATATATCACATTGGGGAGTTTGACGGTGCCTAACTACCTATCCTATAGGTTTTCGAACTCCTCTCCTCGATGAGCCCGTCTCTCAGGGGCTTCAACAGAGCCAACTGGAAAAGCACGATTCGAAGATACATCACGGTCCACCCGGAATACGAAGACATGCCCATCTGGTCCGGAATCGAAACGTCGGATCTCGAGTACGAAGACGTAGACAGCAGGCTTACGTCAGTGCTAATAAGCAAGGGCCATCTCAACAGCGGGTGGCGAGGCTCGCGGCCGAAATATTATATCGAGGTGAAGACGACTCCAGGGGATAGAGATACTCCCTTTTTCATGTCGGACGCTCAGTACCGCAAGGTATGTCTATCTCCCTCCTCTGCCTAGGTACCTACCTAGGTAGTTCAAAGTGTCGCATGAGCTAAACAGCCTTTTCCCTTACTTTTTTTTTAGATGAAGAGGCTTAGCACGAGAGAATCGATATATGTCATATTCCGAGTCTCCGACCTGTATACCGGCGGCCTTACTCTTGACATCTACGTCGACCCGGTCAAGCTTGCAGAAGAGGGGAGGTTGGTATTTACCGCTGATAAATGGACGGTGAAGCCGGTTCTGAGACTTTGATGAGGGACGCACAACGCTTGTATGATTATCTGCTTTCTCCGTTTTTTTTTTTTTTTTGTATATAGTATAGGTTACGTACTGTCTTTCTTCAGGAGTTAAAAGTGTGTGGGCTGAGGGGGTTTGTGTACAATATGGCTGGAGCGATCGCATTACTCCAGGGGGTGGCTCGTTAGTGTGGCTGGGTGAAAGCTGTATGTTGATTGTAGGGATGACTACACGCAGATGGATTTTCACATCCAGAACCGAAACTGGAAATATTACATGGAAAATTCTTATAAATTTCCCAGCTCTTAGCGTATATGCCGCTACGACAGTTGTGCTCTGGTGACAACCTCGGGGCAATTTAAGGAGATAGGTACCTAGGTACCTCCTATAGTATTACGTCTCGACTCGTCCACATAATGCATCACGAGACAACATAAGGAAATAATTTTCATCGTTAGTACATTACTGACTTCTATTACAGGTAGGTAGGTAGTTTACATGACGAACTCAAATTCCACCAAGCTCCGTTTCCGATTCGTTTCCCCCTTTAACGCCGGATCAAAACTTAAACCCCAACAACGTTTCTAACCATCCACCTAGCATAAGGTTTAGGTAGGTAAACACGCAAGTACGTAAGATAGGAGATAGATAGATACCCAATCATACACCCGCCTCGTCCTCCTCGCCGCAAATAAGCTCGATATCGCCCATCTCCCAAACGAACCCCGTATCCTGCGTCTGCCACGTCGCCCAATTGAAGGCGAAGATGTCCTCGGCCTTGGCCCCCACGAACGAGCTGAAGGGCGCTATGACCCTCTGCACCTGGCCCGTGAAGTTGGCCACGTACCGCCAGGTGCTGCTGTACGTCTCCCCCGAGCAGTCGTGCTCCTGCTGCGCGGTCTGCATCTCCAGCGTGATGGACGCGTCCTGCGGGGCCTTGATGACGAATGCTATCGCGCCGTACCCGATCGTTTTCCTGGAGAAGCACGGCACCGCCTCGTAGAAGTAGGAACTTTCCTGCGGTGTGAAGGAGATAGTGTGCTTGGCGGCTGAGATGGACTTCATGGATCCGTCGTCTGTTGGGGGGTTAGTTGAAGAAGTTCAGTCTCGTAAGTATACCCTTTTCTAAGGGGAGTCACGAGAGGTAGACAGGTAGGTTAGGGAGATAAAGTAGGTAGGTAGGTAAGTGACTTACCGCTTGCCTTCAATCCAAGGTTGTTTTTATGGTGGGAAAACCCAGAGAAGTTGTCGACTAAGAGGCTCGTGTTGCATGCGAAGGCTGCGGCTTTTGAAGCTCGTAGCGCTATCGCCAGGTAACGGACAATGCGTCGTAGATGCATGTTGGAGTACCTAATTTATCGCGAAATGAATTTTTGATGCTGAAGTGATGATGATGTATGGGAGAATTTAGGAGTCGGCGAAGAAAATTGTTGAAGGAAGAATGCCAGCGTGATAAAACTGGGTTTTCATTGAAAAGAAAAGCTTTGGATTTCTGGCTAATGCTACCTACCTATCTAACGTTTGCAATCGATGATTATAGTTGGGGGTGACCATTAAAGTCCTAACGATGTGACGAGTCCGAGTGGCGACTTATGCCTCGACTATCAAGAGGCCCGTGTTCAGAAAGAAACTTTCTAAACAACCGTTTCCGAACTACTATCAGCCCGTTGGAGACGTACTAACTCAGACCCGGCGAGAGAAGCTTTGCTTTGGTCGAAATGAACTTTGGTATTATTAAAAGGGGTAAGCCAAACTGCTAAACTGATCATGATGCAACGAGCTGTGCCTGAGAAGCAGGACTTTCCGCAACATGAAGAAAAAAAAAACATTTCCCCCTTTTTGGGTTTTCCTTTTCTTCTGTGCGGTGACCACTAAGGTTTGAAGCTATCAATATGAAAACGAAGCGAGAATATTATGCTTAAAAATGATCTGCCCGGGAGTGCTATGCTCATTACCGTGACATTGAATAGCGCCATGTTCAACAGTTTCGTGCTCAATAGCACTCTGTTGAATCGTGAACTTAACGCGAGAAAGCCAGAAAGGAAAGAAAGCCATAAAACTGCGCCGTTGCAATACTACGCCATATTGCGCCATGCCATGCCATGCCATATTGTGTCTATATCGTCCAGTTCATATCGTTTTGTTTTTTGTTTTTTTTTGGTTAGGGGTTCTTTATGTTAGGGATGAATTCTTCATCATCCAATTCGCTGAAGCTAATCGCTCGCTCATGCTGCTCGCGGTAACGTCGAATACGTTCTTCGCGCTCTCGACTCTCTCGCCCTTCCTGAGTCTCCTGGGGCTGTTGGGGTGCCTGGAATGCCTAGATATTAAAATTCCGTTAACAAGGTGTCATTAAACACAACAAGTGCTGTGTAGAAGAACTTCTTACCTGTTGACCGACATGAGGGGTGGGGACTTGAAGACCGCCTAGGGTGGCGCTTCGAGGGAGACCCGGATTAGGGCCCTGACCAGCAGCGTAGACGGGGTATATAGCCGCATAGGGGGGGTACCATTCCGGACCGTAATAATAACTTCGACCCGGAATCGGACTATAACCGACGGTGGGTTGAAACGGAGGCTGCTGAACCTGCGTCGCCTGAGAAGGGGCAGCGTTCCTACGCGAACGCGCAGCCGTTGCATGACCTTCGGCTTGTCTTCTGGAAGCACGAAGAGCAGCTCTACCGGCCAGATCAGGAGCGGCGGTGCTTCGGATCGGGGATTCTATGTCGCTGGCGTAGGATGGGAGGGGACGGCCGGTCGGGTCATGTGTCCCGCGGAGGAAGTAGTTACTGTGGTGGAAGTAACTACAACAGAGCTCGCAGGTACACTCAGAAGAGTGGTCAGGTCTTTCTGTGGGTCCTACTGTCCCGTCGATGTGTATCACCGGTCGAGAGGGGGCCGAAGACGGCTGCGAACCTGCGACGTGGAAGGTATGTATTAGCTTACACCTATAAATCACCATGGATACTGTATACTATGGTTTTGTAGAAACTGTCACAAACGAGCAGAATTGATGGGGAAAAAATAGAGGGCGACTTACTTGAGTGAGGTCCAGACTCATTGACACCCGTGTCAAAGACGGGAAAATCTATTCCAGGTCGGAGCAGATTAGGTCTCTGACGAACAGGTGGGCCGCGATGACGGACAGCCGAGATATTAGAAGTCACAGGGCGAGACGTCCAAGCAGGGAACCTTGCACGCGAGAAACTAAGAGGAGCCGAAGTTCCAGAAGTGGAAGGGCCAGGAGTAACAGGGTTGATTCTCACAGGGCCGGTTGGGGTAGAAGATGAAGAATCAGAAGGTGGTCCACGACCGGAAGACTGAGATTGTTGGGTTGATGTAGTTGGTGTTGATGGACCTTCTAGTCCAGGGGGTGCAGCAGAAGCATCAGGAGTTCCTACCTGAATCTCACTAGAGTCTTTCTGAGACTCGGTCTCCTGCGGCTCGGGTGATGACATGATGAAATAGAGTCGAGAGAGAGGGATACGTGATGAAATGCTGGGTATGGACACAGGAAAGAAAAAGTAAAAAATAGATGTACAAGTCAATACAAAACCTTCCAATCCTCAGATGGACTCCTCGCACGTGTATAGAATTGGTAAAGAAGTGTGGTGGTTTGCAGTGTTGGATAGTTGGGCTTGGGATGGAAGGCTGGGTTGGGAAGAAAAGTTGTGAAGGTGGGTGGTTTCCTCAAGAAGGTGGCAGTCAGTCAGGTTCGTTTTTTTTATTCCGATTGTGGGCTAAAAAGATTTTACAGTCATGCATGTGACTATCGTAGAGACGACTATCGTGGAAGACGACTATCGTGGAAGACGACTATCGTGGAGGACCACTATTGTGGAATACTACTATCATGGAGGATGACTATACGGCGATGACTATGGCTACAGCTACGGCTACGGCTACGGCTATACTTATGGTAGACAGGGGTTAAACACTATAGTGTGGACCATTGTCGCCGGTATACTATTGATGAAATGATGGCCGTCTTTGTCTATTCTATATAGGAGAGGCCAACAACACAGAATCGTCAACTGTGAACTACGAAAACACTATTGTGAGGGGCTTCACACAGAGTCACTATCTCAGTCCCAAATACCACAGGTTCTGTTTTTACGTAGGGATGGGTCGGTATTATCTACCAGCACTCTCAGACTGTTGAGACATCTGAAGAAAAGGGCTCTTACCCCTAGTTAAGATCGTAAATAAATATTTCGGCTGAGTTGTTGGTCCTTCGTTCGTCGCTTTTTAACCAAGTAGTCTCATTACTTACTCACATCCTTGTATTGTCAACGGAGTCATTAACTGTCACTGGCTAGAACTACCTAAGACAACATGGCAACAGCTTCGTTAGCGTATTAGGAAATCTAATCTAGCTAAGAAAACGCACAGCTAGTTATACATGCTGGAAATGACATCGTTCTATTAGGCATCTCATCTATGTAGAATCATATACGTAGCTACATTATTAATTTACACAGCTAAGAACCTAATTATAGTAGCTTCCTATTAGGTATTTAAAATAGGTAATATTCCTCTTGGGTATATGCCATATCTACGTAGAAAACAAAGGGGTTAATAATAGGAAAAATAGAAGTATCTTGGGGTTCTCACAATCGATGAGGGTTTGCCAATAAGACTATCAGGCATCCCTCACTTGAAAAGCCAACGAAGCACATATCATGTTTCCTAGAACAAGCAATTTTAAGGGGGTGATTCATACTTTTAAATGTTTGAAATAGGGGCGATGATCTAGGGTTGGAGATTGCAACAGAAAGACTCATAACTCTAGATTGTTAATATTTTGATGCTTAGCTAGGTAGCGCAACCTATCTGTTAGTCATGCTTCGTTAGTATTAGTTAGGTGAAATAATAGAAAGGTACGTTGATGACCTGTGATTTATTAAAGCAATATTGCTATTTATTTACATGTAAATTCACTTGTCGTCACCGTATAGGAATAGTTGAATTTGTCTTTATTGGACTATACATCGCTAAGCATCTAGATAGAATGTCATGTTTCCAATGATTATATGTTGATGATGAAGTAAGCTAGGTACATTGTTCCTTTGAGGAGGCACTTTTGCTATGTTAAGAGAAGCAGAATGTATACATACTACCACTTATTATATCAGGGCAGCACCGTGTATATCGTTGTGATGCGTAAATAACGATTCGAGTTATAACCTCCTGACCCACTATCAATGGCCTCAAAGCGTGGATCTATATGAGTTAGGTACCTGATGTAAGTATCAAGGTATGTTAACATTTATCTTAAGTGGACGGAAACACCTCGTTGAGGAATCTAGTATATCAAACGACTTATTTGGTTCCAGTGGATCTTCATGAGAATTACTGGAGCCGGTAGCTCTGTATGGTGTCAGCAGGATGCTATTTAGTGGCAGTGTTCTGTTAGGAACACTATCCAGGTAATTTATAGCTTGTTATGGGATAGGCTTTGGTGAGTGCAGAATCCACATACCCATATTGAAGAGACGACCAACTTGAGCCCCTCTCTAACAGGACCAGATAAATAACAGCACGCAATCAACAAGTCACGTATGATCCGATGAAATGAGGCTGTCAAAATTCCCTCTATCCACTACTGATATGCACTGCATCGCCTAAAGGTACGTAAGACGCCAAATGTGTAGGAAATGATATTCTCCATTAATAGGTTGTTGGAGTTAGCGGCAGCTGTTCTATGTGGAATCACTTTCTTTAGATTAGTTACCTAAAGCTTGGAGATGAATTTTTACGATGAGAAGTGAAGGGTAAGATATCCTATAATCAATAGTACCTATTCATAGGTATGGAATAGAAAACTTTAATTCCAATAGTGTGAAATAGTATGAAATATGCACAAGAGATATCGCGAGTATAAAAGGTACCTAAGAATAGATGCAATAGGTCCACCTTTGCTGACATACCTGCAGACGGATTTCTTGAATTAGGTAATCGGTTAGGTACCAGGTATTCTCGTTTGCCTTTTCTCTTTTCGCCTTCTCTCTTTTTGTCTTTTCTCCTTTTCTCCCACTTTACACTTTACGATTCGAATTGACGATTGTCACATCATACGTCATCGGCTTCTTGTCAATTTATTATGAGAACGACTAGTTTATTCCCGTATTTCGCAAATATTGGTTTTGAGCTACCGTAGTACCGCCTGTGCCGAAAAACCATCGTCGCTACACCGCATCGCGTCCTGATTCCGCGTTGGATTGGTTAGGCCATCCCAGCATCCTAGCCACGCCCACATGCGATGCCCACCATGGTTCCAAGTTCCAACCAACCCTTTATATACTTTGTTACTAGGCCCGTCCACCAAACCCTCGCCAAAGTGTGGTTTGGGTTTTCTGGGGAGATGGGCCACGTTGATCCCAAGCGGGAAGGTCTTTACAACTTTAGGGGCTTCCGTTCGTTTTGACTCGCTCGACTCAAAACATCACTTTTCAATCTACCTGAATCTACCTGCCGCGCTAAGTCTGCTTCATCAACAACCTTAGCCATACATATCATAGTATATACAGATTGTAGAGGACCCCGCGATCTGCTTGTTCCATGTTGCATCCATCGTTCGCCGAGGCGAACCTTTCTGTTGGATAAGGCGACCAACGGTAGCCGCCCCAACTACTATGTATGTACTCTTACAAAGGACCCTGATAACGTGCAGATGCCATATTTAGAAGCTTAAATATGGGTCTTCCGGCAAGTTTGCAGGTTTACTGGAGGCTGGCGTGTTGCCCTAGGTCTTTTTGGCGTCACTCAGCCTCAGCCGTTCTCATACCATAGTTAAACTTACCATCCCACGCTTGAAAGGCCTTCTAGCGCTACCGGGGAGATGGATCGCAAAGAAGCGGTGTCCGTTGTTGCCGACAAATTCATGCGATTTTTCATCATCCGAGGCGAGTAAAACGCGATTGTTCTGTAGTTTAGACTTGCGGGCCTTAGAAGAATTGACCTGCTTGAGCCACCTTGGCAGAATCGCGACGGTCTATTGGATATCATGTCGTCGGGAGCGATGGCTGACATTTTAACAACCCACGTGTATATATGCTTTGCCGCCTGCCGGTGACTTGTAGTCACATAAAAAAAGATTTGCGAGATCCGGCCACGACAATAACCATTTTGACCGTCCAGGAACACGCTTGGGTAGACGGACATCCACGTACTGGACATTAAATGCGACTACAGATTACTGGATGTATTTAGACCTATGGTATTGCTATTGAGGAGTTGCGCCGACTACAGTTTATTTTGCGATTGTACGACTTTTACGCCATTGGGAAGTGCCAGCGAACCCTGCGTCATCAGCTTTCTTATTTTTACGTTGAGCATCTAACTCTCCAACGTGTACGCGAAGAGGACAAAAGGAACCGTATGAATATTAATGCGCTGAGAGTTGTCTGGCAATACTATCCTACCCGGCCTACACAGGTTTTCCGTGAATTTAGGTAAATACTGGGTCAGACCCAAGGCATTATTACCACGACGGGAAGCTCTGTGGCCGAATTATCCCTGCGCTCGAGGTGTAACATATTGAGAGGCGAGACGTTCCTTCAATAATGGACACTACTACGTCGTCAAACTCGGGGCGATCCTGGTATGCGGTATTTGCCCGTGCTTCTTTCTTCAAGCCGCGATCTTTAGTTCGAAAACTTCAAAAAAGGAATTCGCTTCCGGTTCAGACAAGCGACCGGAGGCCATTCAGCTCGCCGACAATTCGCCTTGTCGACATCGATGATGACGGTCAGAGCCTAGAGCACCGCGCTGAAGCCACCGTCTCCAATTATAGCTTATTGTAAGTTCTTTTTAATTCCACGCAAAAGCCCCCCCGAATGTCTTACATGGCGAGGAACATCAGCTTCCACCTCAGCTCCCTCGGCTCCCCCAGGCCGTATGAAAATCTTTCAGTTGTTCAAATCGAGACTCGAGACTGGTCAATTCTTCCCGATCTTCATACCTCAGGTACCTCTTATTCCCAAAGTTGGGTTTCCAGGTCCATCCTGTGCCAAAGTCAATGAGGATGTTCCATTCCCCTTTTCCCCTTTCTATGTTAAACTTGTTAAATGGCGTCATACGTTCCTTGGCTGCTTTTGTGTTCCTGGTGTTCCTGGGGTGATATGCCGCTCTCTCAAGGAAACACATCCGTTCTGTCAGGGGTTAATTAATTTCCACCTTGATTTGCTGCATAAAGACAGCCTCGCGCTACCAACAGCCGAGCTGGCCGCCTATTACGGGTTTGAACTGGTTTCGGGACTATTTCTAGATAGCCTAAGCCAAATATGACCAGAAACCCCAGGCTACGTAGTAGTTGTCGACAAGCCGGGAAAAGCTAGGGAGCGCTATCCTAGAGTTACCACTCTGTCTAAGCTCCCCCCGACCACAAAACCGAAAAAAGTTCGCTAGATTAGCTGATGCAAGGCACCACGCCCGGTCTTTTAATCTCTATGGACCCATCGAAACCTGCCGATCCTCACCTCTGGTCTTTCAATGTCTATCCTTCTTTTAGTCGGATTCCTTTCTTTTCCTACTAATAAACCAATTCTTTTCAACTAGAACCACGAGGCACCGGAGATCACAGACTGAATCCGCCGTCGTGTTTCGGTCAAGATCTGACGATAACGAGGTTGAGCCCGTACAATCGCTGGACGGCTCCACTATGAGCCCCTCGTATGCTTCTCGCGACCCCGGATCTACTCCTAATTCTTTCACGATACGAGACCCCTCGGCAAAAGAATCGACGATGAAGGCTGACCGCTCAAACTTCAATTCTATTGGACAAACGTACGCTCAGCAAGCACCACAGGCCCAGCAACCAACAAAATTGCCGCCGGCAATGATGAATAATTACGCGCAAATCGATATGCGACCGGTACCTAACCGTTCTAGGAGGACTTCCATCAGCGGGTCTAGCATTGCGAGCTCGGTCAGAACAAACGACACCTTCGATGCTATCCTTTCAAGTCCCGCCAGTAGTAGAACGAGCCTCGAGTCTTGGAATTCTACTCCGCGAAGGATCGAGTATGGGTGGCAGCGACCAGCACCAATTAAACAATACAGGAAGAGGAGAGAAACAGGCGAAATCTTAGCAGCTTTACCTGAAGAAGTCTTGGGACTTATTTTAGATGAACTAAAGAAGTTGCATTTGAAGCCCGGTAGTACGAGTTGTGCAACATGCATGATGAGAGACTTGTGTTCCGTCGCCATGGCAGGGCGGGGATTATTAAAAGCTGCTCAAGTTGCACTGTGAGTTATACAAAAAAACGGTGACTTGAAGAGCTAGTACTAACAGATAGATAATTGAAGATACGAGGATATCCAACTAGTCGGTGCAGATTCGCAGATGCAAAGGAAGCGATATAAGCTGAATTTTGGATCTCGTCTAGTGCTACTTCGACGAACATTGAGATCAAACCCCAAACTGGCGGCGATGGTTCGTAGCCTGAAAGCTCCAGCTGTGACTCAAGGTGTTCCTCTCGATCTTTACCAGAATTTGGTAGCTTCGGTTATTATGGCGTGTCCTAACTTTGAGCGATTGGTTGGTTTTCACCAGAACCACGACTACTCGTTCAACCGCCTGTTCCACGCATTATCAACTAGGCGTAACCTGGTAGAGATGCATTGGACCATCGAACCCTCTCAGTTTCAGAGGAAGCGTCGTCTTTCGAATGCTGCAGCCCTACTAAATTCGGAGAACCCAAAATTCCAAGAGGCTCCAGGAGACTTGCCGCACCAGCTAAGTGAGGACTTCTTGGATCTTCACACGGATTGGGAGCATTTGAAAACTCTTTCGATACACTGTCTTCCGGGTGCAACTCTTACCCCGGTGTCTCTTATACCTGACATATTATCTCGATTACCAGCTATCGAGAATCTTCATCTATCTCACTTACCTTTTACTGCTTTTAATGACGCAAACTTACTCTCGTTACCGCCTTTGCAGACACTCACATTATCGCATCTTCCAGGTGTATCCAGTGAAGGTTTATCCTCTTTCGTCAGGCGACCGTCGAGCAGATCGCTTAAAAAGCTTACCCTTCAGCATATGGACGTCGACTCACTACCAACTCTGAGCCAGGTTCTCTCGAACTTGACGGTATTGGAGACACTCTCGCTAGTACAGAGTGCCCCGCCGATTATGCCACCAAACGAGATGATCTGGCTATTTCCCTACCTGGCATCGCCCTCGTTACGCAAGTTGCACTGGGACATCACATGCAATCAAACATCCGCCAATGGAGCAGACTCCATACTCGCTAGGAGCATAGAAGCCAACGGGTTCCCATCGCTGCGGATTTTACGCGCGCCGAACGATCCCGAAGGAGTTTTCCAGTCACTTTGCAAGCCGATGGAGAAGATTGAGACATCTAGCGATAAGTTCCGCGGTCTAATTTCCAAGTGCACGGCGAGACCTAGCCCTCCGGCAACCCCGACAACGCCAAACACGCCCAAAACTCCCAGCAAGTCTCCCCTAGGCCTTACCTTCCCGATGGAAGACCAGCTCTTCCCGTCCAAGATGTCGAGCAACCTGTCGCAGGCGCGAACCGCGGCGCAGAGCCGGTTGGAGGCGGCGTGGCAGACGCCTCGGTTCTTCGTGAACGTGATCGACGATGACGGGTCGGTGGCAGAGAACTACGGGATTGCGGGGTTCATCGGGCAGGCGGAGTCTAAGATCCAGTACTGCGTGACGCCGGACGAGGGGGCGACGGACGAGAACGGCGGACTCGTCGACATCTCGGACGTCCTGGGCGACCAGGGCGAGAATCTGAAGGTCGAGGGCAGGGAGGGCTGCAACGGCCGCTGGAACTCGTACAACGGGGCTATCGCTGATAAGAAGGAGCGCGAGCGCTGGTACCACACGGAACGCGGACGTTGGCGTCTCGTAACTCTGTCTTAAGGGATGGAAACGACTTGGACTGGGTTTAGGGGGTTAGTAGGACGTGTGGGGGCGATTATGACTTTCGTTTTACATTTGTTTACTTACGTACCTAAGGTACCTACATATATATGCCTTATTCCTTATATACCAATTAGGAGAAACAGGAGGAGACTTATGTCGAACATATTTGGAATATAGGGAAAATAAGGGGGGAGGAGGAGGAGGTTGATTTGATATACGATTCCCGTGTTATTATATCTCTATTTTATGTTTATATACGATACCCCATCTAGGTAGTAATTGGAAGGCGGATATTTGAGGATTGGGATTAAATACCTCTATTATTTATTCTAAAATGTAGGAATGCTATGGTATTATTATCTCAATAAATTTCATCAACTTGTGGAACAAAACTGCACTCTGTAAGGGGTAAAGGGGAGGTACCTAAGACCCGGAAAAGCCGGGGTCACTCGGCGCCGAAATTTGGATACGCGGAATTATGACCGAAGAAAACCGCAGCAAACGTCATTAATCCGAATTTATTTTTTGTTTGTTTGCCTTGACTCCCAACACCACCAAACTTTGGAAAGATTAATATTTTACAACTCTAAATTTTTGAGATAAACTACATACCAAGGGCAAAAGAAAACGCTAAGAGCATATTAGTTTTGTTTAGACAAGATCATAAACGAGTCCGAAATAGTACCTTAATACTTCCCCGTGTCGAAATGCGACCCTCATTACTCCCTCAAAGACCTTTGCGCCGCGTTTGCGATGCCTGCAAGCAGCAGCGTCGCCATGCGACTTCGACGACTATCGCCAACGCCGCGCCTACCAGCTCTCTCGTGCAGCGCAAAAGTCTTTATTCTCGCGAATCCACATTTCTAAGACCAACCCCGCAAAGAGCGCATATCAGCGCCAACACCGGTCCAAGCTTTCACACGAGACGGCACATCGCAAGCAGCAGCAGCAGCGCGCAAGGAACAGCAGCGGCGACAACAACCACGGAACAAGGAAAAGAGCACGAGCAAGAACAACACACGCACGAGCACGCCAAAATAGAACAGCAAACCGGCAGCAAGCCCATATCGCACTACGATCTCTTCCCGCAGACCCTGCCCCGAGGCCCCCCGCCCTCCGGCCCCTTCGCCATCGACGTCCGCGCGCTGCGGCGCGAGTTCCTCACCCTGCAAGCTTCCGCGCACCCGGACCTCGCGCCGCACGGCGCGTCCTCGAAGCGGCGGGCGGAAGCGGCGTCGGCGCGGATCAACGAGGCGTACCGGACGCTGGCGGACCCGCTGGCGCGCGCGCAGTACCTTTTGCGGGAGAAATGGGGGGTGGACGCGGCGGGGGAAGAGACGGCGCGCGTGGAGGACCCGGAGCTGCTGATGCTGGTGCTGGAGACGCGGGAGATGATCGAAGATGCGGGCGCGGAGGAGGAGCTCGAGCCGCTTGCGCGGGAGAACGAGGGCAGGATACGGGAGAGCGAGGAGCGGCTCGCGAGGGCGTTTGAGCGGGACGATAGGGAGGGGGCGAGGAGGGAGGTTACGAGGTTGAGGTATTGGGTTAATATCCGGGATGCGATTCGGGATTGGGAGGAGGGGAAGCCGGTTGTTCTGCAGCATTAGGAGGGTTGGGTTGGGTTGGGCCTGGGTATCGAAGATAGGTACCTAGTGAACGAGCTGAGGAGGGCGGCGGGTGTGAAGGGGACGATATTGAGGTTTGAGGTGTTGAGAAGGGATAGGTCAGGTCGATTACTGCGAGAGAGCGATGTGCTATACGGTATAGAGGCCATAAAACTGCTGGTCTAGAGTGGGCGTTTACGTTTTTGATAGACTTGGCATTTAGTTATGCTATTGAAGTCGGTCGTGGAAAGGAAGCTTCTCTCACCAAATTCTATTACCCGTATCTACTAATAAGACCAAACCAAACCCGTTTACCGAAATTTGAGGTACACCTACCCAGTCTTCCAAAACGCCAATACTTCCTAATTCCAAAGATAGAGAAGGCCTCTATTTCTTCCCCTTCAAGAAGGCTCTGCTATGATGTGGTATACTTGGTTGTACTATTTAATTTGATGTGTTGATTCCAACAGCACAATGATACAATTCTGACATATCTCTGCGGAGGATATACAATACCTATAACTTACCAATCTTATGCGGACACCCATTGTTTTCCCACCAAAACATGTCAACTTTGGTAAGGCCATGAAAAGGTCAAGTAAAATGGTAAAAATATGAAATCTCTTAGTGCCAATAGAACTTTACGAGAACAATTTGTTTACAATAACATCTTCTGAGTTTTGACTTTAGTGGATTGATAAAACAGTAGTAAGTTGAGGAAAATATCTCTTCCAACAAAAAGTTACTTTATGGTGGAAAATGAGTTTCGTTAAAAGGTATATTTCAAGATAAAACGTACTGTACCAGTCACTGCCCCTATGATCAATAGTAAAATGTGGTTTCCCCAATCTTGAACATCTATCTTCTCTGCGATTGCTCGAGAGAGAATAGGGACAATACTTGAGTGAAGATAACTTAAAACGTACGATCCGCTTTCGAATTGTCAAGAAGAAGAGTTCTAAGTGTATGAGACGTCAAGGACAAGAAGCATGTTCAGTGAAGCATGTTCATATGTATAGATAGCTTAGATACATAGGTAGTATAGGCTCACACGATTAGACTAGATAAAAGCTGTTTGCCGTTTCGTTTTGCCCCGTGACACGGATAAAGGGTACCTATGCAATGCTGATTAATTTTGCTTGTGAATTGCTAAGAGAAAAAAGAAGGAGACAAGATCAGAGCAGAACTGGTGCTTATGGAACCATTTTCTCATTCCCTTGATACCTTCCGATTTTATACATTCACAAGTATGTACAACATGCATTAGGTACATTTAAAGCCTATCGAACATGCGTCACAACTATGACTGATGGCCTATCATCGTGGCGGTGCGCGAGTCCAACTTACCTTTCTGGTCTCTGCCCGCCCCTGAATCTTCAGGCTGCCAACCTTGAATGCTGTAAGCGCCCCCTTCCGTTTGTATGCAGTAGGGCTAGACGACCGTTTTCTTTAGAATCAGGTTATCGAGGATCTAGATTATTTTTAACTGCCGACTATGTTTGGATAGGAAAAGGTGAGATACGATTCAACTCATACACTCAAGGTCTAGTCTAACAGTCTTCACGCCGATAAGCCACTATATCATCATCATCATCGAGTTGAGTTAGAAGGCCGTTCACTTTGAAGTTATCAAACATAGTACCAATCATTTCAGCTGTTCGTACCGTGCATATCTTCCGCTACAAGATTCACACCGCTATTGTCTTTATCAGTGAATATCACCCGCCACTTGTCAGCGGCCCTGGGGATGAAGTCAACGAGCACCCGTTTACTTGGCACAGGCAACGCTCTGCCGGCTGACAGACCAATTGGTGCTGCTGGCCATTCGCCCCCAGGGGGAACGACATCGACACGCACAAGGATCAAGGCCATCAGAGCCAGCATCTCGGTACTGGCCAGATGCCGTCCCGGACACAGGACATGGCCGCCGCCGAAGCCCCTAAACGCGGCAGCCGGGTGTTTGGTGCTGGACTTGCGACGGCCCGCCTTCAAAAAGCGCGTGTGATCGAACTCGCCCACTGAAGGGCCCCAGAGTGTCTCGTCGGTATGGAACATGGAATTAGGCATGAGCACGGCGCCGCCCTTCTTCAATAGGTACTCGCCGTCGAGCATGGTGTCTTCGTAGATGAGGCGCAGCGAGGTAGCTGTGCCATAGAACCTCATGACTTCCTGCAGGGTCGACACGAGCAAGGGACATTCCGTCCTCACGCGCGCGAGGTCGATGGTGTGCGTACCATTGACCTCGTCCACCAGCCGCATGACTTCTTTCCTGCAGTCCTTGAACACGACGGGGTCGGACAGAATGGCCCAGACACATCAATACGCACCCGGTGCCGTGTTGAAAGTCGCTGCGGCTACCTGGCCGACTTCTATCCGGGCCTTGTCCACTAGGCTCAAGCCGGTGCTGTCGTTAACTTGGTTCGTGAGCTGGACAAAAAGAGAGCCGCCGTCAAGGTGTTTGTCGTTGCCGAAATAGTCGATGAAAGCTGCTACCAGGCGTTCCCTTGCCTTGTACGCCCTTCTCGCCAGGATGTTGGGCAGAAAGCCGAGGAACAGCATTGGCAGTCCGGCTTCGAAGATGGCCCAGTGGTTGAGGTTCTTCTCGGTACGGAAAGGATTGTGGGGACCATACATGGCATCAGTCGTGCCGTTGAATATTGCGTCGTGGACGAATTCATACAGATCCACGGCCGTGCGGCCTCGTGCCTCGACTCGATCAAAAGCAGCGGCAAAAACCTTGCTTGCTGACCGTGAGAGAGCATTCAGACTGGCGCCCGGTGCGCCGGCTTGGGCGGAGGCGCGTTGGTGACTGTACAGGTAGCCGTCCTGCGCCAGGAGGTTATTCCCATAGATCTTGCCGAGACCAGCTTGACTGACGCTGCAGACCTTCTTGCATGTCTGGGCTTTCATAGGGGCGAGAGGGAGGGTATCGATGTGGCGGTCGACGCGCTGGAGCACCTCAAGCGAATTGGCAATGTAGACAGGTACGCCCGGTATATTCAGCGTGTAAATAGGCAGACGAGTCTTGTCTCTACTCAGCTCATATCAGCATCAACAGCCTGCGGAGGCGACATGAGCTTTGGGCTATACCTTATTCGCTTATAGAACTTGTCCTGTTCGATCAGCATGCTGAAGAGGGGACTGAGATAGGGGATGGCGCCAAAGATAGGCTTGGGTTCTCGGGAATCATGCCTGAGATAGACGAGGGCACGGAGGAAGGAATAGATAACGGCGATTGCTGTTGCCGCCAGGGCCAGAGCAGAGGGCATGATGAGCGCTCAGAATACGGACAACCTTGACGGCAATCGAGCTAGCTGTATAACGGCTGCTGAACGGTGGTATTCAGTCGATCGAAGACATCAAGAGCGACGAAGATGGGAGAGAAGGGTGATGAAAGAATGGATAATCGAGCGCTATGGTCTTAGTTGATGGCACACACAAGATGTGCCGCACTATCTAGAACGAAAGGCATTCCGCAGTGGCTCATTGGCTGCTACGCCACATCTTTGTTCTAATACTTACCAAGGAGAAGCAAGGGAGGATATCTACAGCATCCGGGGAGGTTTCATTGGATGCTGCGCACGTAAGTTCGTTGGTAGGTCTGGACAGGCTATGTATGGCATTGCCCTTGAAGTCTGTTGGTGCATGGTACATGTATATAGTCCATCTGGACTACAGGGATCCGGTCGGCAGGCTCGACGGTTTTCATAAACTGGTGCTATCGTCTGTTGCGCCCTGTGGAAGTCACCCTTGCCCTGCTGACCCTCCATCCGACTTGTCGGGAACCTCAATACGACGTCTCAATCAATCCTACCGCAGTGGCCTGTCAAATTCAGAATTTCTCAGCATACGGATATGCGCAGCCGAGTCTCATAGGCGCATATTTGTCTAGGCGGCGGCCATGATACGTCGCGGCATGGCATTCTGCTGCTACTAGGCACGTCCGCTTGCCGGCTCGTGGATGATCTGAAACAAAACTCATTGAGCACCGCTGTCTCCTAGTCTGATTAATCCCGCCAAAGAGCTGTTTGTCGACGCTGAGAACTCTGGCATCTTCACGATGACCACCAAACCGACAAAGCGAGATGCGGCATTCCTCAACCTGTCCGTCCATGGATTCATCGCATCCCACGGATTCCAACACACCGTCTATTCATACCTAGCTTCCTTGCCCCGGTATATTGTCGACCAGCTCCGTCGAAATCGCGGCAATCGCGTCGAAATTCTCGACCGCTTCGACGGCCTAGTTCACCATGGGGAGATGCTCCTCGTCCTCGGCCGGCCCGGCAGTGGCTGCACCACTCTGCTCAAGGCGATTGCTGGCGACACACACGGCATTTACGTAGACCCAAAGAGCCAGATCAACTACCAGGGTAAGAATGCGTGAGCTTTGCCTGTGACCTCTCTGACAAACCAACGGATAGGAATCCCTTATGCTGAGATGCACACGAATTTCAAGGGCGAGAGCGTCTACCTGGCGGAACTGGACGAGCATCTAGCCGAGCTCACAGTCGGCAACACGCTAACATTTGCTGCCTCGACCCGCGAGCCGGTCTGGGGAAAGCCAGTCCAATCGCCCAAGACCAGCGCAGACACCTGTCCTCTTGGGCCTCGAGGGCGCGTATGACACGTTCGTCGGCAACGCGCTGATCAGGGGCGTCAGCGGCGGCGAGAAAAGACGTACGAGCATTGCCGAGGCCCTCGTGGGTGGTGCTCCGCTACAATGTTGGACAACAGTACCCGTGGCCTTGATAGCTCCACGGCATTAGAGTTTGTCGGTCTCTTGCGTCGACTGGCCGATGAAAGCCACTCGACCGTCTTGATGACCATGTATCAGGCTTCCGAGAATATGTATCAGGTAAGTGAGTGAGTGCGGCGCAAACCTAGGCTTTATTTCAGTTAACCAGCCCGACTCTAGAAATTCGATAAAGTCACCGTTCTGTATGAAGGCCGCCAGATCTACTTTGGCCCGATTGAGCTTGCAGGACAATACTTTCAGGACCTTGGCTTCGAGAGACCGGCACACGCTACAATGCCAGATTTTCTCACCTCTCTGACCAACCCTGCCGAGCGTATCATCCGTCACGGTTTTGAGGGTCAAGCACCTCGATCTCCAGATGACTTCGTCAAGGCCTGGAAGAAGAGCAGTCTCAGCAATCAACTTATCTTGGAAATTGACAGTTTCAACGCCACTTACCCAACTATTGGCGAGAATGGGAAGAAGAGCAAGGCAGGATGGCGAAGCAAGCTTGCGTGAGTCCCGAGCTTCTCGATATTATTCGCTAGTAGACTGATATGGTATCGTGATACTGACGTCCTTAAGTCATCGAACCTCAACATACGTCATCCCGCTCCATCTTCAGGTCTTGCGCTGTCTTCAGAGAGCGTTTCAGAGAGTCAAGAATCAGCCGGGAACTGTCATAGGCAATATCGTTGCCAGCGCCATCCTCGCCATTGTAATCGGAAGTGCTTTTTTCAACCTCCCTCAGGATTCCAGTAGTGTAGATCGACGTGCTGTTCTCATCTTCTTCTCTTTGCTATATACGGCACTGTCCCCTTCGTTCGAGGTAATTCGAGTCGGCCCCTTTTTTTCCAACGATGATCAAATCTGCACGTCCGCCTGGACATCCATGCTAACCGAGTTCTGGGGTATAGATTCTACTCATGTGGAAACAGAGGCCAATCGTTGAAAAGCACAATAGATACGCTCTATACCACCCTGTCTGCGATTCTGTCGCATCAATGATAAGCGACCTACCAAACAAGTTCCTGAGCGCTGTCGTCTTTCAGACTGTGCTGTACTTCTTCACCGATCTTCGGCGCACTGCAGCAGCATTCTTCACCTGGTTTCTCTTCGCCATAGTATTGCTACTGAACATGTCTATGTGGTTTCGCCTCGTTGGCTCCATTTCTCGGACACTCGAGCAGAGCACCGTGCCGACGACCATCCTCATATTGCTTGCCAGCATATATGTCGGGTTTGTCGTCCCCGTTCCCTATGAAGTGGGCTGGTTGAAGTGGTTTCGCTTCGTGGATCCGATCGCGTACGCCTATGAAAGCTTGATGATTAATGAGGTATGGTACATCGAACCATGGGCTGAAAACTACTAACAACGTTAGCAGTTTAACTATCGCCGCTTTCCCTGCTCCCAGCTGGTGCCGAGCGGTCCATCATACCCGGATGTGCGCCTGCAAGATCAAATCTGCACCACCGTCGGATCAGTCACTGGACAAGACTATGTCGAGGGAAATATTTACCTCCTTGAGAAATATGGTTATGTTCCTAGTCATAAATGGCGGTATACTACAGCACCCCCAGCTCGTTCGAGAGCTAGCTTAACAAGCGCTGACCCTTTCCTCTAGCAACCTTGGCATTTCATAGCTATGATCTTCGGAGTTTGCGGGCTTCATCTTCTCTGTGCTCAATATGTACCCGCCGAATCCTCCAAAGGCGATATTGTTCGGTTCCGGCGTCCAGAGTCGAAGCGGACCAAGACTCGCAGACAAGATTCTGAGGAGAACGGTTCTCCTAGATTCGCGCAATATGTCGGCGAGCAACATGTCAGCAAGGAGAAAAGTGATACTATACAAGAAGTCGCCACACCCGGCATCTTGGAGCAGTCGTCTGTGTTTCACTGGAATAACCTGAGCTACGAAGTCAAGGTTGGCAAAGGTAAAACTAAGACCATTTTGGATAACATTCAGGGCTGGGTAGTTCCTGGAACGTTGACCGCGCTCATGGTGGGTTATTAATTCACTCCCCTGCTTTTTATTGATTTGATGAAACTAATACGGCTTGCCATGATGCAGGGAGTGACGGGAGCTGGCAAAACGACGCTCTTGGATGTGCTTGCAAACCGTGCCAATTTCGGTGTTGCTCGTGGCGAGATCTGCATAGATGGTCAAGAAAGAGACGAAAGCTTCCAGAGAAAGATAGGATATGCCCAACAAGAGGATATCCACCTTCCGACCGCAACTGTGCGCGAAGCCCTAGAGTTCAGCGCCCTGATGAGACAGCTCGCAGCCTCTCGAGAGGACAAGCTGTCGTATGTTGACAATGTCATCGAGATTCTCGAAATGAAGAGCTACGCAGAAGCTATTGTTGGGGTACCGGGCGACGGTGAGACCATCCACAGCCTCCATGTGTCAACGCTGATGTCCATGACCAGGTCTCAACATCGAGCAACGCAAGCGACTTACCATCGGTATCGAACTTGTAGCCAAGCCAGAGCTGCTTCTATTCTTTGGTATCTCTACTCTTTGCGTCTTGTAACCGCCGTGCAACTGACTAACGGTGCCCACTGCCAGATGAACCGACCTCGGGCTTTGACAGCCAGACGGCATGGTCCATCTGCACCTTGCTTCGAAAGCTCTCAGCCAACGGACAGGCGGTCCTCTGCACGATACACCAACCCTCGTCCCAGCTCTTCATGTTGTTTGATCGGCTCCTGTTACTGAACAACAAAGGTCAATGCGTCTACTTTGGAGACATCGGCGAGGATGCCTCGACAGTGGTGTCCTACTTTGAGGGCCGAGGTGCACTGCCACCTGTCCCTGGAGCCAACCCTGCCGAATGGGTGCTGCAGATAACAAGTGGAGAGACGACTAACGCATCTAGTGATATTCCGCCAAGTGAGTTCTGGGCCCGAGAATGGGCTGCCAGCAAGCAGCAAAGTGATGTCGCCGGCCGACTTGTCGAGCTTAAGGCCAAGGGCACACCAGAGAATACGAGTAGCACATCTGGGTACAAGGCATATGCTACGCCATGGCTTTTCCAGATGGTCTCCGTGACGAGGAGAATCTTCCAAGAGTACTGGAGGCGGCCAGTTTACATATACTCCAAGTTCTCACTCTGCATTGGAATCGTGAGTCTCGCTGGATTTTCGGATCGCGCATGAAACTGACTGTCACATCAGGCTCTCTTCGATGGGCTCTCGTTTCAAAACACCCGCCTCGACCTCCAAGGCTTCTCCAACTTGCTCTTCTCCATGTTCCTGCTGACGCAAATCTTCGGCACCATGGACCAGCAGGTGATCCCGCGACTAATGGAGGGCCGCGCGCTCTTCGAGGGCCGTGAGCGGCGGTCTAAAACGTACCACTGGACCGTCTTCCTGGCCTCCAACGTCGTTGTCGAGTTCACATGGCAGTTGCTAGCGACGGCCTTCATCTTTGCTATCTGGTACTACCCAACGGGCCTCCAGCGGACAGGCGAGGGCGGCGTGGCTTTTGGGGTGGCAAGCCGGGGCGCGCTGTCATTCGTTATAATCCTCTTCTTCTGTCTCTGGACCATCACGTTCTCGCAGGCCTTGGCCTCGGTGATCGAGCTTGAGGAGAGCGCCGTGCAGGTCGCGACGCTGTTGTTCTATTTCTCGTTGGTGTTTTGCGGGTAAGTATTCTTAGCCTTGTCTCTCTATCTACCTACTCGTTGTTCCATTTACAGAAATTTGTGCCGCAGTGTCCTAGTCTTCCCGAAGGACCTGCCCGACTTCTGGATCTTTGTCTGGCGCGCCTCGCCCCTGACGTATTCCGTCGACGGGCTATCCCTTGCGGGCCTGTGGAACGTGGACCTGAGCTGCTCGCGAGCGCAGATGCTAAGTATACCTGCTCCTGGCGGTGGCGCAACCTGCGGCGAGTACCTCAAGGCCTTTGCGGACCAGAACTTCGGAGCGGTCATAAACCCGATGGCGACGACGGGCAGCTGCGAGTACTGCCCACTGGCCAACACGAAGCCGTTTTTCCGGGAGACGCTGCAGGTCTCGGGCGAGCACCCTTGGTATTATGCGGGGTACCTGAGTGTCTTTATTGTTTTAAATATCTTGGCCATGTTCGGCCTGTACTGGTTCGCTGGGGTGAGGGGCAGGAATGGTGGACTTTCGTGATAGGTGTCGTTGCCGCGTTGAGAGCATATAGAGGGCATGACCGTTTGTTACTCTGTCACCATTTCCGACTGTTACTCTCCGTTTCGTTGTTGGCACAACAAGCCATCGCTATGTGGGCCATTCCATGAAGGTCACTGTCATAAGGGGCGAGTGTGGTACCTATTCTAGAATCTATGTACCTATCGCTTGTATAATCCTGCCAAGGAGGTTGCAAAGTATCAGACCAGGGTAGTAAGGACGGTGATATAAGGACAGGCACTTTAGATATCAGTAATATCCCCCCGACTATCCGATCTTTCCACATTAAAAGGAATTAACTGTGGAAAACAGATAGATACAATAGGATAATTGTTTGACTACAGGTACCTTACACTCTTCTAATATGACATCTACTCAATTTGAGTATGTTCTATTCAACCTCGTGTTGTCTCCTCGCCAAAGTGATTTTACCTTCCGCAAAGCGGCGTAAGTAGGTAAACCAGAAACAACCAAGACCACTAACAGAAGAGGCACGGCAGTGGCCACATATATCCAGACTCCCGTACCAGCTATCGAGAAATTGTCGCTCATACTGAAAAGAGTTGCGACGAAGGAAAGCGGAATGAATACTATGGCGATATACGTCAACCGTTTAACGTATATCGTTTCGACAACCGACCTACGCGAGTCCAGCAGCTGAATTATAGACGCCATGATAGGTATCATCGCTTCCAGAGCATTTCCATTCTGCTCGATCTGCGCTATGATGTGGTCAATATCCCGCGTCAAAGCCTCCGCCTCTTCGACAGGTGGAATGTTTTCGGGATGTCTCTTGGAGGAGCTCATCGATGATTCAACAAACCACTTTAGGACCTGCAGCTTATGCAGGCTGTGCTGGCTCCTTCGCCGCCACCGGTACAAGTCGACGACGTCCTCGCTTTCGAAATTGCTTAGGCGGTCCTGTACGCTCTGCGTCGAGTACTCACACTTTGATGTATCGGTTCATAATGAGGGAATATGTTAGCCATTCGTCGATGATGAGGTTGATTGGACCTGTCGAGAGAAAAATCAAGTCGTAAGTTGACGACGGTTTCGCCGACGCCTCGGCGCAATCCTGTAGTAGCCTTGAAACCTCGTCCATCATGGATATAGGTCGCGCAGCCCTGGAACTAGGGTCTTTGAGGAACTCTGAGAATTTCGGCGTTCCGCTGATGCTGCCTCTCCTATTCCTGTAAGGGACTTGACGAAGGACGACGAGCAGCAGACCAGCTTTCGGACACGCCGAGAGACAGCCTATAATATCAGTTGATGTGGATTCCATCAGCATTAGACCTATTCAACATTAGCAACCGCGGTTTAGGATTATAGAACAAGGTTATCGGGTATACGATTAGAGTTAGAACCTGGAGGAGTGTAATATTCAAGGTGGACTTAGCTGCGTACAAATCCATCGCTCATCATCAATTCTCTTATAAAATATAAAGAAACACGAGCGAATAAGTCCGACGTATCTTCCGAATAGCTCTGGAAGCGCTCTACGACGCGTTGTAGCACTTCCACGAAGACGAAGATCATGTGGGATACTAGAATACGAGTCAAGTGCTCCCAGATCGATTGGTCGTTGGTAGTGAAGGTTCGAAAAGTTCTGAGAGCCGACGCGGGATGGGGTCGCTGTCATGAGGGATGATGGAGGGTCCTTTTCGATATCTACGAACTTTCTTTCTATATGCCCGCAGAAGAAATAGGGGTCGACATCTAGGATTCCACCCAAGATCTCCATAACACTAGGCCCAATGTCTTCTATGAGAAGACAAAGTCCAGTAGTCTTTGAGGATGGATCATTCGCGATGAATCTTGAAGCTACGTCAGCTAGCTCGCGTTTGTCTATCCTGGAGTAGCTCGTGGTCTCATCACTTCGAAATTCCAGGCCCGCGGCATGGCACTCGACTTCCTCAATACCCGACTGAGGACAATAGCCTGCGAGAAACTCTGACAATGGCTTTAGATCGGGTTGATTTCAAGATAAGTGCTTCACATAATCGAAATATGTCGGATCCATGAGTAGCTCGCTAGGGTAGACCAGGAGTACATGTGCCACAAGCCGTGTCCTAATTTCTTTATTTCCAATTATGAAGCCAAAACCAAATTAAACCAATATTCTATTCACAATATTACCGATATGTAACGAAGTTAAAGTAGTTGAAGCACTCGTAAGTTTTGTTGAGTGGTTTATTAGGCACTCTAGATAACTAAAATAAAAGAGTATTCTACCTACAGAGCAACACGGGGACGAAGACACAGGTAGATATACACATTCATCCATCATGAAGGAGGTATCATATTCGAAATAGTTGAATCCTCCAACTAGGACTTTAAGCCAATTGTAATTACACTCGTTCTGCACGCGATAATGCCAATGCATCGAGTTGAACGGTTGATAGGCAGCAGCTTATGTGCACAACAACACAGCCTCATTTACTATATGCCGCTATATAAAATGCCTTACCAGTCAGCCAGCCTACCAACCAGCGCGAAGATTCTACCCCGTATGAAAACTTGGATCTTGATTTATAAGACATAAACTGCTCTTGACAGCTCATAATTTCTCTGGCGGTTTCGGCTAGACTAGCTACCTGCTAATATCATGTCCCATACATGCAGGGCTAGTTGTAAGCCATGCGGCTTGAATACACCGAAATTAGCGTCTTTATATTATACGAAGTTCTTCCGTTCTAATCTGTTTTATAACCCGGATTTCTAAGTCGGTTCATCCTCGCTAGAGGTAATAGCAATGATAAAATACCAGGTCAGAACGTATCATGTTTCGGTATCGTATAACAGGTAGGCAAAGTACCTTAGCTCAGCTCCTTATATCTCCTTATACCTACGTACAGGAGTGAACAGAGCCTCATGTTAAGCGCCATCGCAATGCAGTCTCACAACCCTAGCCTGGATTCATTCATGATTACCAAATTACTCCAGCATTTCTGGCATCATACACTGCATCTAACGTCTAATTGGTTGAACGAATTGTATTGTATATCTGCCTGTTTTGTTTAATCAACTTACAGCTTGTCTTAGCTAGTACATTAGCCTGGTGGACTTTACAGTACTTGGGATTTGGTCTCCAAAGCCTTACAGCTCTCATTTAGGTACTTATACATATTGTACTCGGAACTTGACGGCTAAGGGTATGAGATGCCAATTGCTACGGGTGGGGTTGAAAGTACAAAGTATCATGCAATATGTCGACTGACTAGCAACAATATCTCAGAGTTGGACAAAGCTTTGAAAGACATGAGATGTTCCAGGCAACGATGAAATAAACTTGTCATACAATATCTGACTTGGGGCTCGGAGATATTCTTTTAAGGCGTTGTGATGACTATAACCGGAGTTACAATGATAACCGATGTATTCAACAAAAAGGTGCACTGTGCACTGAATATGTCCTATACCCCGCCAACAGCAGCACCGAAGCTTCCCCACGTTCACCAGCACGCGGCAGGTACCAACCACTGCAAGCCCCCACCTAGAGCTTGTAACATAATCACAACTTCACCTTTTACAAACGCCAAAGCCTCGTCTACATTTTCAACTTGACATAATAATAATAATAGGTACCGCCTAAGATACCTAACTTCATTCTCACACGCCAAAGAACAAACCATCCTCTCTTCATATGACGTAGAAAGGAATAATAATCTACGAAGAGGAAAAAAAAATACTACCATCCCAACGACCATGGCAAACCCAAAAGTCGCCGAGGCCTTAACCATGGTCCAAACATCCTCAATGCCAGCCATCGCCTTCGAAAGCATCCTCTTTAACATTCAAACAATATCGTCGCCGCAGACCGCACTTAATGACCTCAAAGTTATCATAGAAGCCATCTGTAACAACAGTCATAACAATAACACCACCACCACCCCCTCCTCCTCCGACTCGCAGCAGCAGCAGAAGCAGCTTGGCGTCGTCGCCCAACGCTCCCTCTTCAACTCTTTCATCGCCGCCGCCCGCACCTTCAACGACCCGGACCTCTGGGTCGCCGCCGCCAACCACGCCCTCGAGATCTTGTCCGCAGCCAGCGGCCAGGCCTCGGTGTCCGTGTCGACCGCCGCCTCAGCCACCACGTCCGGCACCTTCGCCGACGAGGTGGCCGCTCTGCTCAGGCTCGCGGCCGACGGGTACGAGGCGCTGGAGGACAACCTGGCGGCGGCGCGGGCGCTGTCTGAGATCCCGCTCGACAGCTCGCAGCGCCGCGTGTCGGCCGAGGACCGCGTGCGCGTCTGGGTGCGCATCGTGCGCAACTACCTCGAGGTGGACGACACCGCCGCCGCCGAGACCTACCTCAACAAGCTCAAGAACGTCATCTACCAGGTCGCCGACCCGGCCCTCAACCTCCACTTCCGCCTGTCCCAGGCCCGCATCCGCGACGCCAAGCGCGAGTTCCTCCCCGCCAGCCAGGCCTACCACGACATCAGCCTGTCCCCCGCCCCCATCTCCGACGACGAGCGCCTACACACCCTCAGCATGGCCGTCAAATGCGCCGTCCTCGCCCCCGCCGGGCCCTTACGAAGCCGCGTGCTCGGCCGCCTGTTCAAGGACGAACGCTCGCCCAACCTGCCCGAGTTCGGCATGCTCGAGAAGATGTTCTTCGACCGCCTGCTGGCGGCGGACGAGGTGCAGAAGTTCGCCGAGGGCCTGGCGCCGCACCAGCTAGCGACCACCGCGGACGGGTCGACGGTCCTAGCCCGCGCCGTCGTCGAGCACAACCTCCTCGGCGTCTCGCGGCTGTACAGCAACATCGGGTTCGACGCGCTGGGCGAGCTGCTGGGCCTAGGTGCCGACCGCGCCGAGGACACGACGGCCAAGATGATCGAGCAGGGCCGCCTCGTGGGACGCATCGACCAGATCGAGCGCATCATCTGGTTCGAGCACGGCGAGGCCTCGGGCGAGAAAGGGAGTGGGCGCGCCGAAGTCACGGCGGGCAAGGAGATGCGTCGGTGGGATACCAACGTACAGAGTCTCGCTGAGGAAGTCGAGAACGTTACGAATGCGTTGCAGCGCGAATTCCCCGAATTCGTCGCCGCGAATCTGGTGGTGTGAAATAGCAAGCAGGCGGGAAAGAAGGACTGCAAGCAGAAAACCATGAACGCGGGAAAAAAGGGGAAGGGAAGGGAATGGAAAGCGAGGCATTGCAGTGGATTTTCTAGATTATGAGTTATGGCGTTGCCGGATAATGACTGAATGCATAAGTTACATAGGAGGTAGATAAACACGGCGTCAAGGACGGACACGTTACGCATAGCATGACTTAGGGGAATTCTGGAGAGTAAGAAGCCCCTCTCATTCCACCATCATCAATCAAATAGAGAGAGTATCAAGGGACGAATGAATAACACGAAATGACGGTAATACTTCTTAATGCATTAGTTACCTATAGTTAGGTAGTTAATCTGATCTAATCTAAATCCGCCTTCCGCACGACTATGTAACCCTGGCTAAGCAGTCTCGGATTCCCCCTCTCCTCCTCGAAGATCAGATCCTCGATGGCCTGCCTTTGCCGCGCGTCCGTTGCGATGCTGCTGATATCCGTGTCCTGGGCTTCGGCGAGCCGTATAAGTTTGACGAGTTCCGTGGAGATGCTCTCCCCCATCAGGTCGTAGCCGGCTTCCGTCAGGTGCACGCCGTCCATCTGCCAGTACTTGGGCCTATCCGAGGGTTCCATGTCGTGGTATGGTATGGCGCTGCACAAGTCATAATAGAAGCTGTGGACTGTGATTAATACCAAGGTTATGCCCAGCAGGATGTGTAGGAAGTGGTGGAAACCACTGTTCCTCCCACTTTTTTACAGTAATAACAGTTACAGAGAGAAAGGCAGGGATCGCTTCGGTTAAGGGGTAAGTAATAAATAATAACGAAAAAATGTACCACTTACAAGTTGGGCTTCCTATATTCTTTAATGGCAGCATTTACTTCATCCCGTCGTTCGTTAACGCCCTTATATCGGGCTTTGGTATCCGGTATCGTTAAGGCGAGCACCTTGCCCCCTTTCGATAACGGTATGTCCCAGGCCCGCTTTAAGCCCGCGACGATATCTTCTACTGGACAGCCCCAACCAAGGTCGCTATACGAGCAAAGGGCTAACATTAGCGGGGGTTTGACTTATTTTTTTCTTTTTTATATTTCTATTAGGGGACACAGATGGGTCCATCTATGGCTAAGAGGAGAGGCGAGTTAGACGGGGGTTTACCTACTTAGTCCCACCGAGGACTATCGTCCAGTCGTAAAAGTTCGATCTACCCTTCCCTGATAGATTAAAGCCAGCTAGTTAGCTTCAAGGCATATATCTATCGGATTTAAACGGCTTTGGAATAGAGAGAGAGAGAGAGAGAGAGAGAGAGTAGGTTTGTGATGAGGTAAGTAGGTAGCCCGGCTGGTGGATGAGATATGAATAGGATAAGCTCACATGACTCCTGCATGCGGTCGATAAACGATCCTCGCGTCACCAAGTCCCCCGGTACCCCTTCGACCTCGTACTGAATCTCGCCGTAGCCGTGCCCCAGAAGCGCCTCCTCGAGCTTCTCCGCCAGCTTCTCCGCGTACGGCCTACCCACCGGGAACCCGAACGTCAACGAGTCGCCGAAGCAGAGGACGCGCAACGTCTTTCTCGACATCGGGCCGGTTTAGGAGAAAGGGAAATCCCGAGTTATCCGCAACGGACAACTACCTAGGTAAACTACCTAGATCGATTGATAGATAGACTTCGGCCTGGATGGAAATGCTTCAAAATGGGTAAGGTGGATGTGGGAATATAAGATTGTTAAAAGGTAGATGTCGCGAGGATCGACTGGGGAGGGTGGATAAGAGGCGGCACCCAGTCTAAACGTCAACACCACATCCACGCATGCTATGAAACAAGCATGTGCGTGTGTAAATAGATTATAAGTTATCCTATCTTGCTGTAGTTCAGCTTGGGTACCTGGCAGATAGGTACCTAGAAACTAGCAGGATGAAAATAGAAGAATACGAAGCAGTTCTCCTTAATCACAAGTTTGACAAGCGTGAGAAGAAACAGCATAAAAAAAGTGACCCGTGAGTTCCAAATGTAGCTTAGGTACAATAGGTACCTAAGCTAATATAAACATGAGTGAATAAGGCTGAAAAGTATTAACTAAGAAGAAAACATACCTAAAAAAAAGGCACGTGGGATGAAAGTCCCCCCAAAGCTCGTTTGTTTCAATTGTTGGTATTGCGACATGACATGTTGCTCCAGGCAGCTGCCCCTCCCTTAGGTACCCTGGCCGGCAGCTGCGATAAGCTTCGGAGCCATGCGGGGATGTTGAGTAAAAGCTGGGGTCATGCCTGTAGCAGCGTCAGCCCTGCGAAGCTTAAAAAAAAAGACAAAAAAAAAACAACTTCGGAGACCCTCAACAACTTAATAATGCAATACAACATCTGATAAAACTTAAAACTGGTTAAAAAAGACTTGAAGTAACTAAGCGTTATACCATTTTTTTTTACCGGAGCAATATTGATGGCCTCACATGATACATAGAAGTTATACCTACTAAGAGGTACCTAATGCATGCATACGCATAGTCATTCTATGGCATGTGTTGTGCATATGATAATAATAGGTAAATAGCCGTTTAGTTCTCCGTCGCATTCTAGATATCGCCCGTAGAGCGTCCGTTGTCCCAAGACCTATCAGTTTCCACCATGCTGCCACTACAAAATGGTGACATAAACTACCTTAGGTAGCTATGTATGAGCTCTTATTAAAACCTCAGAAACGCCAAATAAGAAGCCAATATTCAAGCTTGTCAGATTTAATAATGACCTGCTACTGGCACAGCTTTCCAGAGGGATAAAGATCGCTAGCCTTTCTATGATGCGTCTCCATCGAGGTTTAAGTACCTACCTAGCTTCCCTACGAGGCCCACAGCTTCATATAAGGATAAAGCCATCCTCAAACCTGAAGCCAAAATAAATTCATATTTCTCGAAAGAGAAGTCAAGTAATTATCATAACAGGTACCTAACCTAAGTTATAGTGTATTATAAAGTCTCATTCATATACACTAAAGACCGGTACTCAAGTACGTACCTAAAGTAAGCAGCCCTTCCTCTGATAACTTCTTCAGCAGCCCTTCCGTGCTAGAAATGTGATAACCTCCTCCTCCTCCCTCCCTCTTGGAAATGAATAAGCCGGAGGGGTTTTTCGAACGCACGAAACAACAAAATATACATAAAAAAATGAACACCGGGGATGATGCTATGCCTCACTCTCTCCCTCCGTGTGTCTTTCTACCATATGACTCGTGAATCACCAACCCTAATTATGAAAGAAGAATAAAAACGAAAAGGGAAAAAAAAAATACTGATGAGTAACTCGCTTGCGCTTCGAAAAATACCATCCATTCTTGCAAACAGTTTAGACATAGAAAATCTTCAAGGAATGGGTAAAACGCCTCAATAATGCTTTCCCGGTGAGTGTTAAGTGTTCTATGATGCAAAAAGGTTTAAAACGCCTGTCCATGGTAGGCGTGTCCTTGTCCTTGTCCTCGTCCTCCAGGTGGTGGACTATGTGTTGAGAACTGGCCGTACGGTTGCATACCCTGTTGGTGTACACGAGGATCGAAGTTCCCTGGCGGTGGTGACCTGAGCCTTGGCCCAGGCGACGGCCAGCCACCTTCCTGCTCGTACGACGACATGGGACCAGGACCTCCATAGCTCCCATAGGTAAGAGCGTGGGATACATTGCTGCGATTCATACTGGAGTACATTCCAGAGGGCGGCACCACACTAGGCGATGGCGCACGCTGTTGATATTGTTGAAAAGCTTGCTGTTGTTGACGGTGGTTGATTGCATGTTGTGCAGCCTGACTGCTCCAGCCTTGTTTCATTTGTTGTTTTTCTCGCTCCCTAGCCTCGATTGCGCCTACTAGACCTACACTGCTTTGAGCTGCGTTCTTATTACCCGGCACGTTGATTAAAGGAGATCCCGTCACACGCGCCACATGTTCTTGTTCTCGAGCTGAGAGATGAGAATCACTGGCTCCTTGTCCGCCAAGGACGGCACCGGCACCCTTAGACCCGGGACGTTGGAATGCTTCATTTGGCCCCCGAGAGTTTGGACGTTGCAAGAGGTCTCGCGAATTACTCCGGGAATGTGATCCAATATGATCTGCTCCTTGACCGCGATTTGATGGAGACGTTGGCGTACTGGCTCGGAAACCCCCGAGACTTACTGACGACGAATGCCTCTGATGCGCATATTGTGGCGTAGCCGAAGCAACAGCCGCTCGTTGTTGGACGAACTCTTCAGGTGAGAGTCCCTGCCCAGCAGTGCCAGACCCAGGAGATGCCGGTTGCCAAATCATGCTTCTTCGTCGCACGGTATCCTCTGACTCTTGGCGGCTATGCGCCGTCTCTGTTCCGGGTGATCTACGACGAGGCATCTGAGCTGGCGAATGAGGGCGTGGCCCAGGTGAGAATGATCCCTGTTGTGGGCTCACAGGGGTTGGAGTCTTTGCAAGATTCAAGGTCGGTCCAAAATCGATGTCCGGAATATCGAAATTCGCCCCGTTACTTGGCGTGGGAGAGTCGTTTGCGTTACCGACTGTTCGGAGGACACCTGCTCGTGGTCGCTCCCGGTCGCTTGATGTCGCTGTATCTATAGAAGGGCGGGAACTTGCATAGTCGGGACTATTGGTGGATGCCGAATCGTCGTAACGGCTGCTCGCTTGGCTTTGGCTGGTGTCAATACGATGTACACCAGAATTCGGAGGCATGCGGGATGTATTAAGGGGACGGACCTGTCCTAGTCCAGTCTCATCGATACGATTACCCGTCAAACTTCCACTGCTTGTGGATGGGGTCTGCGGTGTCGTATCACCACGATTTCGGTGCTGTAGGCTATCACTACGAGCTGGGAGTGGTTTTCGGTGGATAGGGGGTGAGGTATTCAACGGTGGTAAAGGTTGGCGGTTAGCTGGGGATCTTGGTCTATCGGGGCCACCTGGAGGGGGTGGACCTTGGGGAGGAAAACCACGATACATATTGTCCCGGGGTGGGTAGTTCGGTCGGCCGCGTCCCGGGGGCGGCATGTTCTGTGGGGGACGGCCGCGGCCTCTTCCGGGAGGGGCCATACCATAAGGTGGTCCTCGCTGGCCTGGAGGCATGTTACCTGGTGGCGGACCATAGCCGGGCTGTGGTGGGGGTCGATTACCTGGCGCAGGACCGGGACCTGGGCTAGGACCTCGCGGCCCAGAAGGTGGAGGGCCCATGGTTTGGTTATGCGGCGATCTCGATCTCATTCCGACAGGATCCATTTGAGGCGGTGGCAGTCCGGAAGACTGTGGCGTGTTTTCCCTTAAAGCTTCACGAGATCCAGCATTAGTAGACATCCCAGCATTGGCATTGTTGGCGTGTGTATGTATTGGAAGTTGCTGACCATGTTGATCGGGTTCCCGTGGAGGTGGTCCGCTCCCTTCACTGTCTCGTAGCTCGTCTACGGAGACGCCGCCGGCTGTTGCAATCTGAGAGAGGGTACTTATGGACAAGCGACTATTAGCCCGGCGCATCTCTGGTGAGTGGTAGGGACGGGTCGTAGGAACATGGTCAGGCGCGTGGGAGAAACGGGGGGGCTGAGACACTGGTTCTGGGCTTGGCATTCTCTGCATTGTTTCAAAATCGCGGTTTAGGGGGTCTGTTCGATCTTCGTCAGAACTCATTTGCTCCGGAGTGACCGCCAAATCGTTCACAAACCCGCGTCCCGAATTTGGTCCTCTGGTGGACGAGGCTGGGCTCGGCGCATAGGAACTGTCCTGGTGAGAGGGAGGAAGCAAAGACCCAGGTATAGCATCTGACATATTGCGAGGGCGGCCCATCTGGTTTCCATTTATCGCAGAAGCATCAGGGAGCGGCGGGGCTATCTCATTTTGGGGGGGAGGTCGACTACCAAGCGACATAGATCGAGAGGTACGAACAGGAGCAGCGGTTTCATCAGCAAAACCAACACGAGGCTTCGAAGAGCCTTCAGCAGCGGCACCAAAACTAAGACGCTTTTGATGGCTAGAAGTCTGTCCTGAACTGGAACTCGTGCTTCCTCCATCATCTGCAGTGTTCATGCGGATACCTGTCAGCTCCTTGAGCTTCTTCCTCCATTCTCGTTCGTTCCAGCCTGAACTGCCTTCAGTTAAGATTAGCCCTGACACATCCTGTATTTCTAAATAACCATAGCGCTTGTGTTTCGGCATCGCAAACATAAGAGATCTCGAATCGAGAACGCTCGCAACCAGTCTTCCTGGGCGGCCATAGAGACCGAAGGTGTCCCAGGTGGGAAACAAGAACCTGAGCATCATCTCAAAGCCGCTGACCGCCGGATGAACTTCAGGCATGATAAAAACAAAACCCTCGCTCTTGGTAGGCGGGTCGGAGTGAATAGTGATATTTCCCTCAATCTTGATCAGCGTTGATGCATCAATCAGTGACTTAGCTTGGGGGTATAGGGCATACGCCGAATAGGCGTCGCTGATGGTTGCTATGGGTAGCATCTTCTTATGCTTCTTCCCATCTTTCCTGCTGTCGTAGAATTTGATATCTCCCTTCAGTACTGGAGCATGTCGATCGTATGGTGACTTTTTCTTATGCTCTTTCTGGGCCTTTATGTATTCCTTCTCGTCTGGCGGATCAATGACACACCAGCAACGTCTCCACGGCACGCCGGCTCCAAATCGGACTCTAACCCATTGATCCATCGGCGTACGTGCTCTCTCCATGATAACACCAATATTGTTGAGTGTTTTGCCTTTGCCTGCAATTAAGGCTCCCGTATAGGCTTCTTGGAGAGTCGAATGCTCGAACATGGCAAGTCGGATACCGGCGGTCCATTGTATAAGCGACTGGCGAGAATTGAAATGCAAAAGGTATCGATTTCGCCCCGCCGTCGATATGCTCAATATGTTCTGTAAAGGTGTCTCGTCATTCGACCTCGTAGGCAAAGACTCGATCTAGAAATGAGGTTAGCTTACGGACGGTCCCCATTTTGAAAAACAAAAACCATGGTTCTGTTATAATTCTTTTAAAATCTATTAGCGTTCATACCATCTTAATAGAAGCATCTGTCAAGTTGAGGAACTTGGGCAAAACTTCCCCATCCTCCCCTGCAGCATCCAACTCAGCCGCATCCCATAAGGACAATACGGTTCCCACCAACTGCGCAAAACATTCTGTCCAGGTGCGGTCGGAGTTCGGTCTCCCCTCTGAAAAGCTGTTAGGATCCAGAAGTATTCAATTGGCCATAATGTGAACTCACGGGTATTCTGATCATCCAGTTTTAGGAAATACCCTTCCTGGTATAGCTTATTTGCATGGCTATTGAGAAAGGTAAAGATAGGCTGGAGCTCCGGAATTGTATCTTCGTTTACATCCATGAGGGGCGGTTGGTAGGTCTGTACCATAGACAGAGGCCTCGTTGAAGTGCGACTTTTTGTCCTGCGATGGGTTTCACTTGATATGGGAGTTATATCTATGGGTGAGTTGTCATGGTTAACTCGAGCGGTAGATGCTGGAATAGGTGTGGAAACAGCCCGGGCTCGCGTTCTTGTGCGGAAACCACCAACGTTAATGATATGGTGGCTTTTATTGGTAGGGGCAGAGTTCAGCTTGCCGTTGGAGGTGGGGGCCTGGCCGTCCGGAGGTGACGACAAAGGTGTGGGTGAGGCGCTTTGGACGTTTTTCGGGTCACCGTTGTGCTGGAAATGATGAGAGCCGGAGAACTGGGACATAAACGAAAGCACTTAAAGTTCGGAAGGGAACCAAGTTAGCATTAAACGGACTCATTAACGGGTTGTGTGCTTGCATAAATCGGGGTTTAATAGTTTAATGCAGGAGGTGGATGGTGGGCTTTAGATGGGCGGTGGGTGGGCAGCAGTGGGTTTAACGTTTGTGTAAAAGGGACCCTCAAATTAGTGCAGTGCAATGCAGTGTAGTGCAGTAATGTAGTACCGTGCCGGAATTAGTGGGATAGGATATAAGTTGTTAAAAGAAATCACAATGTGGATTTTTCGATTTCTTTTTCTTTTCTCTTTCCCTTAAAAAAAAGGACTGTATGGATGCATACGTCGGGGGTTATCAAGATAAACAATTAACGAAATGTGATAGATGAGAAAAAAAAAAATTTAAAATAGGAATATAGAGAAAGTTAGCGTGGAATAGCGTGTGCGCAACTTTTGAGCTTTAAATCGTAAAAAGGGTTAAGCTTGATTTCAGTCCGAGTTTGCAGTCGCAACGGCAACAACAGCCGCAACTTCGCTTCAACCACGCTTCAACCACGTATCCAGCCGTATTATGTAGCTGTGCGTAGGGATAATGAGTGGACCAAACCAACATTCAACGCCGTGCCGAGTCCAAGTGAATATTACACTTAGAATGTAAATCCCGTGTAAGATGGAGACCCGGGAATACGGCACCAACTTTCGGTGTACAATAGTCAGGTCCCAAGAAACAGAGTGTTGTTTTCTTTGTCACGGGCTTGGAATGCGTCGATTGTTGCTCGATCTGCTCCCACTAAGTTGATAACCTCGACAACTTGTCGGATTTGGGGGTTGGCGTATGTGTGATATGTATGAGGGTTGGTTATATAAGAGGGTGTGGAAATAAGCGTCATACATGTACGTTTGTTTAACATAGATATCCTTGTGTAAGGTATGATGGATGGTGCTTCACAATGCAACTTGATGGATTTGAAGAGAAGGTATTATCCCAAGATAAAACAAATACGAAAAACAAATACGAAAAAAGCTGTTACTTACCGCGATTACGGGCCATTTTATTCCACCAGGTTTAAACCCAGTAGCTCTAAATCCAAATAGAACCACCCCGAAAAAAATCCTATTCCATCAGATGAGTTGGCTTGCACGATGTTCTCTCGATTATTTGAAGTGAAGGGTGAAGAGCAAGGGTGGTCCACAAGGGGACAAGCTGAGACGGACGTTATATCGATCTAATGCCCGAGTCGAATTATTCGTTATTAGTAAGATTCGAATCCCAAGTAATTAGGCTGTATGTATCATAGTCCGTCGCTCGTAGAACAAAAGGAAACAGTGAAAATAGAATAAGTCTAAGATAATAGTAAAGATGCGAATGACCGAAAACCCAGAAAAAAAAATAGTCAAATTCCAAACTGTCTTGTAATAGGTGGGCGGGAACGCTGGTTTTGTAGCTCGGGTCCTTGAGCGTCTCCACGCGATACGAATTTGTGGAATGCGAGGGAAGGGTACAGTCTCGGATCGCCGTATACCATGTACGAGCCGTTATCCTGCAACAAAGACCGCCAGGTGGCCCAGTCTTGTCTTTTACTATAATGTCTACCTAGATAAGCTATATTTTATCGAGAGCAGAGAAAAACAAATCCAAGTTCAAGTGGAAAGTAAACGAGAGCTTTGAGTTGCTGTCTGCCGAGACGTCTCCGAGTTGCGGAAGCGCCGGACAAGTTTGGTAATTATCCTACCAGGAGTCGATTTGGGTGCTTGTCGGGATTCTATGTTTAGGGGCTAAGCGTCATCCGTTCGATCTCTTAGCCTTTGGTATTAAATAAATAGTAGGGGCCAGTCATTTCTTGACTAAAGGCCACCCCTTAGGCGATAGCAAGATAGGATAGAAATAAAAAGTAGACAGGTTGAGTAAATTCCCTTTTTAGAGCAAGAAACGAGAAACAAGCTACAGAGGTTCGTATCTATCCATCCACATACACAATAATAACGTGACATGTTTAACGTGGAAAGGAAAAAAAAGCTGATGACAAAAAAAGAGGATGACAGAACAGGGATATACGTCAGTCGAGAAAGGCCGGTATTTGTTAACGATGGCTGGAAACTAGTAATAGTAACTTCATATTAATGGGTACTTCTTCATCTGATTCGGAGATACCGAGTTGTTCTAGTGGCTACAAATATAGCTTAGCCCAACATGCTACTGCAAAGCTAGGGCAGACTATTATAATACACACGTGAGAATAGCAGTTCTGGTTGCAACTTTGCAAGGCGGTGCCGGCGTATATGCACACATACGTAAATACGTCCCTTGAGGTTGTACTGTGGTATGGAATTGTACATACATGTATATAGGTACGCTAGACATGGATGTGTCGATCAGTCTGCCAGTTCACACCAAGCTGCTGGCTAACAAAGTATTGCTGACGATAGCCGATTTGCCGGGTCCTGTATCCAGGAAGATCTACTTAATTTCGAGCCCGAGATCACTAAGATCATACATGAAGCGCTGACACCTCCTGCGTAAACGAAGAAGTTACTAAATATCCAGCGAAGCGGGTATTAAAGGAACCATGCTACCATGGTCTCTACCGACGAAAACGATTGGACAAAAGGGGCGTCGGGTGAGACGGATACTTCCATATGTGGATGCGTATGACCAGCCTCTCTATTAAGTATTTCCCTACATAGGTAGTATGTTGGGTACCTGTTTTTGGTTCCATAGTGCCATAAATGCCATAGTGTAGCTTGCTCGACCTAAGCTAGGTTATGTGTGTCTCGGTGGACCTGACGTGGCATAAAAGCCGGAGAAAGCTCATAGCGTTGACCTATTCAGGATCCGCACGCGCCTAAGTTGTATCGCAGCGGTTCGACTTTTTGCGAGGCAGAGCCAGTCACGGAACGTGCCTTCAGTATAACAGCTGACGAGCAAGCGCTCGGTTTAGGTACTTACCAGCCCACCCAGGTGAGGCGCTTAACCTTTGCTCCGCAAGGTGATATCCTGACGTGCGAGTATATGGCTCACTCTCTCCCCGTACGATAGATTCACGGGCTATGCCTCAAAAGTCCATCGTTTCATTTAACAAAGAAAAAGGGACTGCGCCGCTGAAATACCGCGCACACTCAAGCGTTTTGTGTTGTACATACCTACCATGGTACTGATTGTATCGACCCTAGTGACAGATCACACAGGGGGTCCCAAGTTTCTGACGGCCTTTATTTCGACCGCCGAGATCTGGCTTGTCTGGGCATCCATTTCCCCGGCATAGAGTGGAGAGCACAGCATTCCCCTCCGCCTCCACGCCCAGGTACAGCTATGTATTTGCTCGTGTTCGCTCATAGGCAGCCTACCAATGATAGCTAGTATAGCAGCCTCGCGTACCTAAGCCCCCAGATGACGCGCGTTTTCTGAGAAACTCTTCTGGATCCTTTTCTTTGATGAAGCAAGAAATTTCAAATATGGCGAGCCAACAACTTGCCGGTTGCCGGTTGCCGGATGCATGAAAGGAATGGTGATAAGCGGACAGTATGACAGAACGACTTTTTATGTGAAGGCTATTGTATCTATTGTACGTACAATACAACTGGGCAATTTGAATTAACTTAATAGGTACCTTAACTAAAATAAATACTACGTCATAAGTCTCCAGCCGGTTCATCGATTAATAGGGAAGCTAATCTACTATGTAAAGTGTAAGAAAACTCCAAAGGTCTAGATGCAATAGTTCATGCGAAATACATTTTTATAGTAGCACTTTATTTTCTCCTTTAAGCTATAAGCTTAAAACTGTTAGCCTTTGGGGTTAGTGGTTAGGTTAGGTACTCAAATGACTCCGAATGTACCTGATATTTAATATTCGGACTATTTTCACGAGTCGAATAAAGCAAAGAATATCTCCACATCTTTTGGGATGAAATAGAACCCCCTATCCTATCCCAATTCTACTCTGGACGCTTTATCATCCAATCGTTACAAGTTTAGAAACACCTGTCAGAAATTCAAAAAACAGATCAGCGGTTTCCACCCCACCACCTGCCAAGGCAATGAATACAAATACCCGTTATGTACCGTGAGCATTGTAAGAAATCATCAAAAAAAGAGAGTTGAACAACACTGGGCATGAACTAAGAATAACTCAAGTAGGTATGTATACCTGAATCCACAATTCGAACTTACCAAATAACTCTTCCTATGATATCAACTACCTGTCTCTTCAATATTTGATAGTTACTTACAACCATCAAGTCACCTCAAGAAGATTCACTTCAGTCTTCAGAGACTCTTGAAATATTTCCAACATGTAGTGAATTAAATTAACGCAATAACTTCATCTTTCGCGTAATCGAAAGTGATGTCATAGTAATCCTAATAAGAGTAACAACTCTATCTATCGAGTCATAATCTCCCGGAGGATTTTACCACTTACATGCATCAAAAAAGAAAAAATTCCCATCCTCTTACTCTAACCTGACTCTCTGCAGACTTGCAGTCAATTAACCCGAGATGGCACTTTATGATAAGCAAAGTTAAACCTCCACTTATCAAAACGTCGTCGGCGTTTAATAGCGTAGCGCGTTTTTATACGTGATAGGTATCTATCAATTTAATAACACCATACTTCTGGCTGCCAATCCAAGCGCCCTCGAAGGTCTACAACTAGACCTCGTTCGTGGGCATGAGAAGCTTGGCTCCCTCTTTTTTGTTGACCTCTTATTCCGGTCCAACACGGCGGGCATTAGTATCTTCTGTCAGCTTAGCGCGATGGCATCGGCGTCACCAACATACTACGGATGGTAAAAGCCGTTCTTTTTCCATCGCCACCGAAACGTCTGGCAGCGTCACGACACCTCTCCCTAACTCCGATATAAAATTACCCTTTCGCTTCGAAACCGGCTTTGCGCTATATGCGAAACGGACTCCGAGGCCGTTTCCCCCACCGTTCCTCTCCCCTCCGTCGGGCTCATTTTCGGACCCCCTTAGTACTCACCATCAGAGTCGTGATAAGCGAGCGTTCGTAGGGGGTGAGATCATCCGCGGATGGACAAACGGCGATGATGCGGTTTATGCTAGCGACCACTTCATCTGCGCCAACGACGGCGTTGGCGCCTGGTCGGCTCGACCGAGAGGCCATGCAGGGTACTTGTCCCACGGTCTTCTAAGCCTTGTGCATGGCAGTCCGTAGTTAACAATGGTCACAGCTTATGGTCGAGGTTGATACTGCACTTCTGGGTGGCGGCAATGGAAGAGGATATCTCAAAGCCGCGGCCCCCCGACCAATCATACCGCCCGGACCCTATGCATTATCTGCAGCAGGCACATGAGCGTACAATCGAAGCCACTTCGGGCCCCAACGAATATTTAGGAACCACTACGGTGACTGGGGCTCAGCTATTTTACAGGGCTGAGAGCAGCAACTCAGCGTCATCCGTATCACCACTGCTATATGTCACAAATCTTGGCGATTCACAGGTCATGGTAGTACGGCCGAGAAGTAAGGAAATGGTATACAAATCCACAGAGCAGTGGCATTGGTTTGATTGTCCGCGGCAGCTCGGAACAAATAGTCCGGATACGCCAGCCAAAGCCGCCATTGTCGATATAGTCGACGTTAGTGAAGGCGACGTCGTACTGGCTATGACGGACGGTGTTATTGACAACCTCTGGCCACACGAAATTGTCGAGAACGTGTCCGAGAGCGTCAAGCGCTGGGAGGCGGGGGAGGGGGGCCAAGCTAGCGGCCCCCGTACAGGCGGCGCAGGCGGCGGGATGACATTCGTCGCTCAAGAACTTCTTAATGCAGCAAAGGACATCGCTTTAGACCCGTTTGCAGAAAGTCCCTTCATGGAACGCGCCATCGAGGAAGGGTTAGCCAGCGAAGGAGGTGAGAATAGCATCATCAACCACTTTGAGTGCGATTGGTTATACATGGCTGACAGGAACAGGAAAACCTGACGACATTAGCGTCGTAGCAGCATTGTGCCAACGAAGCACAACATGGTGACGCGCCTAATAAATAATATAGCTAATTCTTCTACCAATAAGGCATACTTATTCTATGGTATCTACTGGAAGCTCATCCGAGCAAATCTGGGTAACGATGACCCAGACAGCTGCGTTGGAGTCTGCTCCAAGTGGGAGGCTCCAACTATTTTCCGCTGCACGAAATATCGGGGTAGTATTAATGCTGCCTAGACCCGAGCGTCACTTAGACGATTCAGATAGATATGAGATTATAGACTGTTTTAGATGAGTTGGGGGTTCACGGCGTTTGGGGGTTTTATTATATTAGCACAAGGGGGTATCTATATCCTATAGAAGCAATATCTTTATATCGAATTATAGTTAGGTACTTATCCATACTTGCATTTAGTACGGTACCCTTTTTTCAAAGAAAAAAAAAGTGACGATAAGAAAGTTAAAAAAGTCTTATCGATATCATTATCTACCATGCAGAATTCGAATTCTAGCAATTTTGGAATCCAACATATTCATGAACTGATGTTCATGATCTTGTAAACCAAACTTACCCATCTACTCAGCAAAGATGCCTCGCGCGAAACGATCGAAGCAATATCGGAAGCTCATGGAGCAATTCTCCATGAGCTTCGGATTTCGAGAACCGTATCAAGTCATCGTAGACGCCGACTTCATCGCAGAAGCAAACAAATGCAAGATGGATGTCATGCGCCGGTTGGAAGACACACTACACGGTCAAGTCAAGCCCCGTATGTTCCTATCTTCCTAAATTTCTATTATTATTGCTTTTTTTTTCTTTACTGACTCAGGTCACACAGTAATCACTCAATGCTCAATGCGACATCTCTACGGACGGAAATCAGAGCCTGGTGTGGAAGCAGCTATAGAACAAGCAAAAAATCATTTCGAGCGACGACGATGCGGTCACCATCCGGACGAGTATCCGGAACCACTTAGCGCGCTCGAATGTCTACAATCCGTCGTTGATCCGAAAAGCAATGGAGTCAACAAGCATCGTTACGTCTGCGCCGTCAACGACGAGACCGTTAGGGCAAAGCTACGACAGGTAGCAGGGACGCCATTGATATTTATCAGGAGATCTGTTATGATTATGGAGCCGATGGCAACGGTTAGCGTAAAGATTAGGTCGAAAGACGAAAAGAGCAAGTTCAGAGCCGAGCTCAAAACCCCCGATAACAAGAGGAAGAGAGAGGACGACGATAGCGACGAAGAAGACGCGCAACAAGCTGCGCCAAACGCAGGAGAGGCGGATAAACCTAGGAAGAAAAAGAAGGCCCACGGTCCGAAGGAACCTAATCCCTTGGCCGTTAAGAAGAAGAAATCGAAACCGAACCCAAACCAGAAACCCGATAATCAAAATTCGAAAGGATCTAAGGCAGAGGAAGCAGTTACTACGGAATCTACAACAAAAGCAGAAGTAACAAAACGGAAACGTTTACGAAAGCATAAGGGTAAAGGTGCTTCCACGAACAGTGAAGCAGCTGCAGCGTCTGGTGATGGCGATGGTGAGGCGAATGCGGCGGATACGAAAAATCAAGAAACTTGAAAGTCATCTTATCTTAAATGAACCTGGCGTAGGAGATTTCTCGGCGTGATTTCTCGGCGTGCCAGATACGAAGAGCATCGCAGTTTATATATTGTACAGGTACTTTTACTGGCGTTTGATACCACAATGCTACCTTAAGTTTGCTTTTGCATGAGAAATATCATTGGGACATCACATAGATATCATACCTCGAACTGACAGCTTTAAGGAACAATGTGAGCTACGCTTGAATATGTAAATGTACCTATGTGTAGATGAGGTACCTAGGTACCTACTTAAACTCTCCAACGGCATTTTGACGGGTCGCCTGGATCGCATGCATGTTCCGTCCTAGGCCGATAGTGGGGGGTCCGGGGGGCTTTTACACGTAAGTTAGCAGGGTTAGACCACTCTCAGCCTCCCTTTTCTACCTAGGTAGGCACTAAACTAGCCTAACTCGGGTATCATAGGCCTGAAATTGTTGACTTTCACCTGCAGCTAAAGAAACGATCTGCGGATTCCAACCCGTCGACACTTCATTACTTTTCTCCAAAATTTCCAATGTTCCCATATCTTTATAGGATATTTACATAATCTTACAACAGCGGTTTCGCATATCACTTCGTATCACTCCTGTCCAAATTCAGGACTTTGTTTGGAATTATTAAAGGTGTGGTCGAGGGCCATCGCTTTTGAGCTTTGACCTGCATATGACTTAATTGCAGGGGTTTGAAGCAAAATTCAAGGATCCTGACGATTTGCATTTTTGACAACTTCTTTTAGGACGCTTTCCGCCATATTACCGTGGGGAAAATATAAATTCTGTTACAACCATATTACGTTGGGAAAACTATCAGAGCTCCAGCTAGACAGAAAAGGCAAAGAAAAAAAGAAGGAAAAAGGAAGAAAAGAAAGAGGAACACCTTAACAAAGTAATTGGGAACTCGATAAAATTAATTACATGCGCAAAAGCCGGTCCCATGGCGCCGGTAGGAGGAGCCCAAGAATTTGACGATTTTGGCCTGCCCATTAGGAAATATGTAAGCCCCAAAGAGACGGAGCAAGATGGGACCAAAAGCCAAACACCAATTGGTGAGACGGGGAACAGCTCTAATATCATCACGAAAGAGGTAGAGGTAGAGCCCTCACCAGAAACCCCAAGTAATGCTGCCGATGCAAAAACGACAAAGAAGGTCGCAAAAGAAACAACAGAAACATCAAAAAATAGCTTAAACACCCCTAATAAGGTCACGAAAGCAGACGACACCTCTACCAGTAATAGTGATAACGATAATTTCCAAGATGCGCCCTCTACTCCGACACCAGAACCTGCCCCTCAAGCAGAGTCAAAAGATGTCGAAGAGGCCAAAGCCCCTGCGCCTACGCAAACGCAAACCCAATTCAAGAATGCCGACATTCTAAGAGGGGAACCAAAAGAGGAGGCAAAGGAGGGGCCAGATTCCTACGAAAATCTAGATCTGTCGCGAACGTCGAACCGCAGGAATACGACAAGCAAAGATGTGCAAGCAATTTCGGGGCCTACCTTTAAACAAATTGAGGCCAATAAACATGCGGACGAGGTTAACGAACCTCCACGTGTCGACCACAATCGAAACGTCAGCGTAGCAAGCACGAACCACGATGTTTCCGAATTTTCCCATCAGCAGTTAACCGGACATCACGAAGAGAAGAAAGACGATGACGACGAGGAGTGGCAGGCAATGCCGGCTTACGCACCTTACGACATATACGATGACGATAACAGACTTATTGCTAAAGAACATAACCCAGAAGAGGACGATCATTATGGGTATGGAAGTCTTGGTGGGGCCGGCAAAGGCTACACAAGAGTGTTGGATGACGAAGATGCGGAATCGGAAACAAGTATGGACGATAACACAAGATACCTGTTCAAAGACCCGAAGAGTACGAGCATGACAGAGATGGACGAGGAGCAACGAGATGCCGTCTCTCAGCTACAGGCCACCAAGGATTTATTAACAGAAGGACAGAGGATAGCCTACGTTGGTGTCACTCGTTTAGAACTCTCTGAGATGGTTAAGGAGTCCGAAAGTATTGAACGGCTAAAAAAGATCAAGAAGGAAGTCCAGGTGGCAGCTGAAGCAATGAAAATGTGGTCTCAAAAGATTATGATGCGACTATATGCGCATATGGAAATCAGTCCGGCCGAACAAGTCATGATTGAGCAGTTAGCTGAGCATGGTGTAATGCCGAATGATCTCACACCGACTCTGATGCAAAACGCAAGAGTTAAGAATCCCATGGCTGAGAAAGCGCCATCGACCCCCAAGACGACGTCAAAAAGTACTCGATCTTCCATTTCTACGGCGGAATTTGTTGCGGAGTCGCCTCCGCCTTACGAAAGTCATGAAGGTGATGAAATGCCAGAAGTAAGAACACCCTCACAGTTACCAAGCACCGATAGGATCGATATCGACTTGCGGTGGACTGTTCTCTGTGATCTCTTCCTCGTACTGATCGCCGATTCGGTTTACGACGCTCGGTCCCGAGTACTGCTCGAAAGGGTAGGTAAAGACTTGGAAGTCCCTTGGATAGATATCTGCAGATTTGAGAAGCGCGTCACCGATGCTTTGGAAATGCAGCAGCAGGCAGAAAAGGAAAATTGGAATGAAGAGGAGCATCTCGAAAACAGGAGGAAACTTGCTCTTAAGCGGCGATACGTCATGATGGGCTTAGCTACTGTCGGAGGTGGACTGGTCATCGGTCTTTCTGCTGGACTTCTAGCACCCCTTATCGGTGCCGGCCTTGCTGCTGGTTTTACAACTATCGGAGTTGGTGGCACCAGCTCCTTCTTGGCAGGAGCAGGAGGAGCAGCCATTATCACTTCTGGTGCCGCGGCCTCTGGAAGTTTCATGGGTGGCAAAGCCGCAAACCGACGGACGGGCGCTGTGAAGACATTTGAATATCGGCCGTTACACAACAATAAGCGTGTTAATCTCATTGTGACCATCTCTGGATGGATGACCAGCAAGGTCGACGACGTCCGTTTACCTTTTAGCACTGTTGACCCGGTCATGGGCGACATTTACTCAATCTTGTGGGAGCCCGAAATGTTAACGAGTATGGGTGATACCATCAACATCCTAGCGACAGAGGTAAGATGTTGCTATATCTGCCAATGCTATTAGGGGGCGTGGGCTAACATTATACAGGCTCTCACTCAAGGATTACAACAAGTGTTGGGGAGCACTATCTTAATTAGTTTAATGGCTGCCTTGCAGTTGCCAGTAGTTTTATCCAAGTTGACATACTTGATCGATAACCCTTGGGCTGTTTCGCTAGACCGTGCATGGGCCGCTGGCCTTATACTCGCGGACTCGCTCATTGACAGGAATTTAGGTACTCGACCTATTACCTTGGTCGGTTATTCTCTAGGCTCCCGCGTCATTTTCGCCTGCCTCCTAGAGCTGGCCCGAAAAGGCGCTTATGGGTTGGTCCAGAACGTGTATATTTTTGGCTCGCCCGTCGTCGTGAAGAAGGAAGAATTCATAAAGGCCCGTACCGTTGTAGCTGGCAGATTTGTGAACGGATATAACAGGACTGATTGGATCCTCGGCTACCTTTTCCGCCTGACGAACGGTGGTATTCGCCGTGTAGCAGGTCTGGCCTCTATAGAGGATATTCCCGGTTTGGAAAACCTCGACTGTACGGACTTTGTGGTTGGTCACATGGAATACCGAACAGCGATGCCTAGGCTCCTGAGGGAGTGCGGCTGGCTCGTTGAGAGCGACGAGTTTGGTGAGATCGAGGATCCAGACCCGGACCGCCACAGAGAGCGTCAACGGGAGCTGATCAGCGAAATCGAAGAAGCCCGTAAGGAATTAGATAAGGAGGGGTCCTCGAAGAAGGGGGGATGGGGTATTTTCGGCCGCAAAAAGAGAACTTCTCGACAGGAATGGGAAGTTTACGAAGACAACAACAAGGCGGGGTCGGAAGCGCTGTCTAAGACTGAAGATAAGGAAGGTAATAATCATGGCGTCTTATTCGACGTCGACGCGATCAGGGCGGAGCTTGCAAAGGACGAAGAATTGCAGGTTAAGGAGTTAAAGTCTACGTTGCCACCGATAAAGCTCGGATATTCACCCTCCTCATCGACGAATAGTCCAAGGGATACCCTCTACAAGACGAGAAGCGACGAAGGTATTTGGAAGAGTCCTTCCTCGTACGAGTACGGCTTATCCCAAGAACGAACGCCCACGCTACCTCCCTCTCGGGCACTCGGCTTTGGCATGCCACCGCCGGAAGAAGAGATAGAGATGACATTCGACACGGCCTTCGCAGAACATCGCGATATTCCGCCGCCCCCACCTGCGAAGGATTACTCGCTCTCTAGGCCGGAAATCAAGACGGCACAAACAACACCCAGCATGACGTTGGCGGATCCCTGGGCAGATGACGACGACGACTTTGGTAAGGAGAAGGAGATCTCGATGACTTTCGCGTAAACTACGAAGCATGGCCTGCTCTCCTCGTGAGAAGGCTGTAATACGTACCTAGGTACCTACCTGCCCATGTGCTCAACATTCGATACGGCTTGTCTGCTTTGTCTTGTTTATCTTGGGGCCGCACTTACCTAATTTTTATGCATACTTGGGACACATTTATCGGCGTTCTTCAGTTCTTTTTTTATTTGATATCGGTCTTATCGTTCATTTATTCCAAGCAAGACCTCCAGGTCGTCTTTAGAGGGTTTTAGGCTACATATCTAGATTTTATTATAAGTTAGGTAGCGAATTAGCTGGGCGATATTACAAGCGGTGATATCCAGACCATGGAATGAAAGGGGTGGAAGAGTTAACTGGCTTTGGCATGAGGGGAGCACGAAAGTAACTGAAGTCAGGTACCTGCAACTGGACGGAGATATATTGGTCGTGGGCTATAGTTTAGGTACTTACCTAATGATATAAGATATATTCAATGAGCGTGGTGAATTGTTTGTCGACAACTAAGTTTATTTACCTCAGGTAGGTACCTAACGCAAGGGTTATGATGTTGCTGATTGCTGAATGGGAAGTCTACCTAGCTTCTCAACTCAACGTGCCTACCTGTAATACGTTATTACCCACAGATATAGTTATCTAAGCCCGTGTTGACGTGAGATACTCTAACTTTCATACTGATACTATTCTTTGCAGCATTCGTGCAATGACAATGCTACCACAATAAGAGTCTTATATCCACTTTAGTGGATACTATTAACTAATAGGTACTTTAACGAAGGGTCTACCTACCTACCTAGGTACCTCTTGATCGTGAGGAAGATGTTTCTTATATTGAGAGACATGTATACTATCAAGTTAGGTAACAGGTACCTAGTAGGTAGCTACGAATTACGACGCAAGTTAAACCAAAGCCCTAGGTTATACAAATTGAGTCCACAACGAACTTTGAATATAGAAATATAGCGAAACAACTTATATATATAAGGTATATATAATTGGAAGCGTACGGACAATTCGTACGGAACTTCCGTTATGTATTCTTTTGGATAATAAATCGATGGCTATCTAAAGAAAGAGAAACTCTCTGTTAAGACAAGCTCTGAAGACAAATTGCTTACTACACGGCAAGCAAGCTGGCGAGTCATTACGAACCCCCCCAAGATCTACATATTAAGGGGATCTATGCTTAACAGGAACCTACTGTACCACGCCACGTACCTACTATAAACCTACGAATAGGTAGTGGCGTAGGCTCGTTACGTAGGTAGGTATTGCACAAAGGAGGTAGGTTAGGTACCTAGGTATGTATGATAGGATGAAGGTTTCAGATATACTACGGCAGCAGATTTTCGTTCGTCTCATGCTATTATTAAGATCATGATGCTTTAGGTACCTGTCTCGATTGAAAAGCTGACGGGTTATTGATCCTGCGGGAAGAGCGCGATTGGACAGACCCTCCCTACGGACTAGGAGGTAGTTTACCTGCCTGCCTACCCCGGAGTTGAGTTATCTTCTGCTGTGTCATTTTGGGTTTTTTTTCTCTTTTCTAGAAGATCAAAGTAGGTAGGTAGGTATAGGTAGGTGGTCTTGGCTAAGATCGTGGTATTTAAGGTAGGTAGTTTTTGCGTACTCCCGATCTGGGAATGCTTCAGCCGTTAGGTATCTAAGTCTTATATAGGTGTTGTACGTATAGTTCACTTCACTCGTTATAGAGGGAGGTAGTTCATCAATTTTCTAGTCGAAAATATTGCATTAGAATTTTAAAATAGGTACCTGTGTACCTAGGTAGTGACCTAGCTTTTGGATCATGGAGTAAGAATGTACTTGTCTATGCGCACAGCGACTTACGAATAGTGAGACATTTACAAAGCATACCTCCTGTTATGGTACTTTCAGCGTGCACAGGAGATATACTAGGATTCTAGATGAGGCATCTAGGATGGAAATACTTTCAGTATGTATAGCTGTAGGGTTACGTTAGGTACCTAGTTACCTAAGGCTATAGTTACTCGAAAATGAAGCTATTTTGCGTCTGTCTAACCAGATGATAGGAGGTCTACGTGAAGCACTAAAAGTTCTTCGCGGCTTAAATCGGCAGATTTGGCGTGTTCTGTCGCACGAGGGCTCGCGACATCTTGCCACCACATGGCTTTTAGTATGGCGGACAGCACATGGTGTATGTAGTGAGTTACTATGTATGCAGTGGGACGTTAAAAAGTCTGAATATAGGTTAGGTTAGGTTAGATAGGTAGGCTTGCTGAAAGAATATGAGAAAGTACGCGTTTAGGGATAATATTGATACCCTTTATGGGCACGGCGGGACTGTACCTACAGGTTGTAACAGCGTTGCTATTTTTGAATCTAACAGCTTACCTAAAGTACTATAACTGCAGCGATACGTTACTGTATGTCTGGGCGTTAAGGCGCTAAGAGGCGCTAAACCTAGGCGAGGGTTGATCAGCCGCAGTCTAATCTTTATTAGTATTTCTGGCTCAGCCCCGTTTCTCGTCTGACTGTGCAGAGCTCTTTTTCTTCATCTTTATGAAATTGAGACTAAACTTGGTTTCTACAACTTACCTATCAAACTACCTGTTATATCGAAAGCAAACTTCACAAATTCTAGGATCGTATTTAAGTAGTGTTACTTAACCGAGTCGGAACAAACCATATTCTAGAAGTCTAGAAGCAATGTCGTTTTATTTCCTTTGGTTTGCCTTGTAATTCAAATTTCTGATCTTACATGTCACTTTTTTAACCCACGGCTTCTGAGAGGCGCTCTTAAAATCAACCCTTGCTTCAAAGGATCCAGACCCCCTTCACCTCAATGGACCCTGTCGTCAGACGGGTACCGCTTTCAGCAAGGGCTGAACCAATCATCCAAGTTATACTCGTTCGGGGTGCGGATCCACGATCTCCAAAAAGGTCCCATTTCACTTAGCCGCTCTGCTCCTTCACCGCAGAGCACCATCGTCCATCGGATTTCAATTCATGTATCGTAAACGGCCATGTTTCGAGGTCGTATCACCCTTCTGCAACTCTCTCCTAACTTATTTCCGGCTCCATTGGTAGTATTCATACAATACAGGTCCGGCGTACGCAGTACATCCACGTAACTGCATTCGTGCAGATGCCCTCCATAGCCTACTATCTGTCTACTCGAGGGCATAATCATCGTGTAATTTGGCCGAGAACGGGTGCTCATCATCACATTCCACAGCGTCATAACCTAAGAACGGTTGACTGTGGTTCTCTAGCCTTACCGAGTAGGTATCTAGAGAGCACTACGTCTTCAGCCTACCTAGGTAGCCATGAATACGTTCGTATTAAGCATGGTCAAGCTTTGATGTCAGGACATCGGCATGATTCCTTGGAGCATTTCTGGCCAAGTCCTTAAGGTAGCCTAGTGGGCTGGGCAAAACTGGGGTCCCGTCCCATAAGGCAGGCAATAGTAGCCGGCCGTATACCTACTGTATGTACGTGTGTCTTGCAACAACCGCACACGTAGAAGCGATCTGCGTACCTATGTATAAAAAAATACAGAGATCTCGTGGGTCGGCACTGGTCTCTATAGGCTCGTAACTGATGGTGCCATCCATCCCATAAACTAGTTGGTTTTAGAGGCGCAGTTCGGTGCCCATTGGCTTACTCTTACTGCATGCTGAACATGGTTGGTGCACTTGGAACAATAGACCGGGGCCCGCACATCTTCATCCATTCCCTAGCGGCCAGCAGCTGAGAGCTGACAGGCCCGCCCCCTGCTGTTCTTACTTTCCTTTCCTTCCTCTCACGCCCGGATGATTCTCCTCGTCTTTCTTGTCGTTTCTTCTATTTGGATCTCATACGGCGCGTTTAAACAAAGTTTCCGGCTGTGTCATTGGCGCAACGAACATTCATATGCACACAAACGGCCATAACCTGGTTGAGATACTTTTAATGTCGGATATGTGCTGAGGTTTGGGTATCTGGGCTTCTGGGAGTTTTACGATACACGACGTCTTGATTTTCGTTCATACGACGATGCGGCTCGATGCCTCGATATTCGGGATCTTGGCCTCTTTAGTAGGGTTGGTGGGAGCGGAAAAAGATACCTCCCGTACTATCGATGGACCTATGCCGGCAGCGACTGTCGGGACGGGGACGGCGACGACGGGGTCTTCCCCGAACTTGGTAATTCAAGTACCACCTCTTGACATGCCCGCCATTTACAAGGCGCAAGCGGTGGATAAGACCATATCTTTCAATAAGGGGCGAGATATTAGAGAGGTCAACATTAGTGCTATCTACCTCAAGCGGTTTAGTGACAAGGTCGCCATTGGGATGGGAAAGATGAGCAGTAAAACCGATACAGGACCATCCGTAGGCTCCTTGTTAGCTGGTCAGGTAATAACAGAAAGACAAGATGATCAGTCCTCGCTGATTTCTTTCCCGGGTATGTTATGCGATTCGCTTGCTGTTCGCATGTGCAATGCTAATGATATAATGCAGCGACTGATGAAACCCTAACTCTTAAGCTTACGGGTGATCTTACAGCCACATACAGCGATAACCTTATGCAGCCCTTATACTACGAGTTCCAATGGGAGAACAACACGTCTAGTGGTACGAGTTACAGTCCAGTTCTTGCCGTTACCTACGCCGATAGATACGGGGAGGCTATGCGTCTCCTTGAAAATACCGGCATGGGTTCAAGCCCGGCATTTCAGGAAGAAATAAAGGGATCTTCAACCGGCCTAGAAAGCTCTGGAATTACGACAGCCACAGCAACCGCAGCTACCGAGACGTCGATTCGACCAACTTCAGAGGCGTCCCATGAGAGTCGAAAGCTGAGTACCGGCGCTATAGCAGGTATCACAGTGGGCTGTGCCGTCTTTGTTATCGCTGTCGTTGTATTCTTAGTATGGTTCTTCTGCTTACGGAGGCGCAATAAAAGCGAGAACGTAGGCGGCACGGAATTTACAAACGCTTCGGGTTCGCACGCGATGATCGCCGAAAAAGATATGGTCAATATGTCGGAATCATCGCCGCGTTCGGTGTACCCGCCTGACCACAGCAGACAGCTACACGATCAACGTGATAGCATAGTACGTTCCGACGACGCCTCTTACGCACCATACTCAGATCAGGCACCGTCACCTCCACTGCCTCCAGGTGCGGTATTTGCTTCGACTAGTCAGTCAGACCTGGCATCGACTGGCCGCGCGAGCACGACGGGGAACCGCTGCCAGTCCCGTTATGCGCATCTCATCGAAGAGGGCATGACGGAAGAGGAGATACGGCGGTTAGAAGAAGAGGAGCAACATCTGGACGCAGCGATCGAGGACGCCGGCCGAAATAGTCGCGCGACGCACCAATCATGACGATGATTAAACGATACATGGGTACCTAGCGAAGTGATGTTTTGTAGAATCCTTCGATGTTTACTTTTTTTCTTCTTTTTTCTTGCAAGCGGTTTCTTTTAGGAGAGGGAGTTCTATAATGGGTCCTATACACTATATCACGCTAATTTTATGTGTACGTGGAGGTAGCGCAATGTGTGAATAGGGCGAAGAGACCTAGCAAAACATAGCAATTAACCCACTCCCCCCCTTTCCCCTCTCACGCGTATGTATGACTGCTTAGCTCAACTATACTTTCGTTACTCCCTATATACCCATGTGTAGCAAGTTAGATGGGAAAGGTTCTGTATTTCGAAGTGGACTGAACTGGGGAGCGATGTGTTATGGCATGATCGTACGAGACTCGAATAGGGTTTGGTTGAAGATAGGTGATGAGGTGGTCGTGGTGTGGAGGATTCAAGTCTAGTTGGGCTTGTATACCTATATAAGATACGAATCTACTGGATTATTTAACTGTCGGAAAGTCTGTAATTGAGTACGGGATAGAAGACTTTGGATATTACAAGCCGTATATTTTGCCACGTGATTCGCCTCCGGTTCAGTCATGATCACATTGTGTATAATAACGACAAGGACAAGTCGACGCAACGATGTAGATGTCTATAGGGCAGACATGCGAGGCATTCGGTGAAAGGCACGGTGGAAACCGAGTTAACCTGTTGCGTTTTACGGGACACCTGCCCTGGAGTATAGTATCTTCACCTCAGTTGCGATTCTGGAAGACTGCCCCCTATAGAGTTGATTCCTGCTTAGTCTCTAAGTGGTAGAGATACCTGTCTTCATGTATATCCTTCACCGATGCCACTAGATGCGCGAATCTCATCAAGTCGTAAATATCATAGTATTGCATCAGGTTTCTTTTGTCCCGAGGTTTTTGTTTTTTGCTAGAATAGACAGAAAATACAACCGTGATAAGTGATAGAATATCTGCCGCCTTTTCTTTCATAATGGTATCAAAAGATATTTCGAATCTAAGTAGACTGTTTCTGTCTCCCTCCCTCCCTCTCTCTTTTTTTTTCTTTTCTTCTTCCGACCTTGAATAGCTTCGACTGTCCGCCTGTCTGGGTTTCGGGAGTGGGGCGGATCACGACCGGCCAAAGGTAAAGAAGCGCCCGACCATGTTGCTGGCGAGGTTGCCTGCGAGGTTGCTCGAATAGAGGGCGCTGCCGGCGAGGTTAGACGCCTGGCTGAACTTGTCGCAGCGGGAGAAGGCGAGGGAGTTGGTGATGGTTAGGGAGAGCGCGATGGCTGTAGTAAAAGATTAGGTTGTCAGCTTTCTCGTCTCGTCTCGTCTCTTCTCTTTCTTTTTCACCAAGGTAATAATACAATACGTACCGACGAGAGGCAGCCACATGAACTTGAGGCGGACGAAGGCGAGGATGGCGAGGGCGACCCAGAGGACGGGCTGGGCGTAGATGGCGAGCCAGAAGAAGCGGCTGTCGGTGGCGTTGATGGTGCGGACGGCCGGGTCGCTGCTCTCGAAGACCCAGCGGCTGTCGCCCGTGGAGGGGTCGACCTCGTTCCACCAGCGCAGCCCCACGAGCCGCCGGCCCGCGATGTTCTTCAGGTAGTAGAAGTCGGCGGCGAGCAGCAGGATCGTGATGATGAAGATGAGCACCATGTTGTCCGTGAGGATGACGCCGAAGAGGTACACGAGGAGCGACGCTACAGGACGACAGGTATTGTTTATTAGTTTTTAGGTACTTGAGCTCTTTACCTTAGGTAGGTTGTGCAGAGAAAAGAGAAAGACAAAGATAGGTAGGTAAGGTAGTCAACGGCTTACACATGCGGAATGCGAGAAAGGTCAGCAGCGTGATGGGATGCGAGCTGAGGCGCCAGCTTAGCTCGCCCTGCTGGGGCGGCGCTGATTCCATTCGGGGCGGGTTAGGTTGGTTGTTTAGTCTATTTAAGGGGGTATAGAGTATATCACGGAAGGAGAAATAAATATCGGGGTTAATTGAACATGGTTATTGCAGTGTTGTAAGTTATGTCCAGTAGTTTGAAGGCTTGAAGCTCAGGTTGAAGCTACTGTAGCGGGATGTTGCTGAATGATGGTGGTGGATTTAGGGCGGATTAAGGGTGGGTTAAGGGTGGATTACACTAAAAAGCCACATGCGCCTGCGCAAAGGACAACGGGCTTGCAGCTGCAGGTTGCGTTGCGTAACGACGGCGCAGGGAGTCGCGTTATTCCGATAATGTTGTTACCTTAGGTACATTTCACTTTAAACCTAGTACGGATCCGTAATGCCATAAACCTTTGAAGGCTATGCTTCTAAGCATATTAACCATCTACAAAGCACTTTACAATTCCAAACCCTTCAAGCTCAAGCTCAACCTCAGAGATTCACCAATTCTGTCTTGGAAAGTACTGACAATTAGTATGGATACGCCCGAACCTCATCTTCGCGGCTGAGGTCCAAACCCCTCTCTACCTGCTCCTCATGCTTCTTATCCAAGTACTCGAGTAGCACTTCTCCGTATCTTTCCTTTCCCTTATATCGGCTCACATCGTCTCCCCAGCTCCTAATAGCGCTAGCCAGCCGTCCCGGGACATAATCCTCCTCAGCGACCTCCGTGATGGGGTGGAAGTATGTGCGAATCGTGAATACCACTCCACCACTTTTTGGAAGCCGTCGGAGCGTTTGCCTTTCGGAACGGAAGTAGTGATGCTCAATTGCCCGGTTCTTCTCTGCTGTGTTCCAGCTCACCTCCGGCGAGTCTTCTGAGCCGATACTCCACGACCATGCTAGATCATCGTCTACCTGCAGGAAATAATTATTCCGCGCCACCATCTCCTCCGGTCGTAGGCGTCGGAAGAAGTTCAGCATACCCTTTTCTAGCTTCTCCTTGTACTGCGGCACATCTCCGGACGTATGGATCTCCGGCAGGCCCATCCCTAACTTGTCTTCCAGCCTCCAGAATCCGGCTAGCAATATTGCGCCCGCTAGCAGATAGTAATGGCCGTCTGGCTTCTCGATCATAATTGCCAGGTCGTCTTGCACCAGCCGCGCCGAGGTGCGCATCGGGTCCTCCGCTAATGGCCGTGTAACTATGTCGAAGCTCTCGCCAGACCAGAGGTTTTTAATTCCGACATCTGTCCGCTCGTACAGCGACGGATACCGTGCCGGTAAGTAGTCAACCAGGTCCTCGAGAAGTTCAACCGCAGCAGGATACGCTTCAGGCGCTGTCTTGCAGCACTTATCGCCGCGTTCCTTGATTCGACGTGCCTTGTCCGCATGATATCGTGGATAATGATTATCAAGCTCAATCCAATCGACGTGCTTAACTGTTCGGAGCCCCATGGTCACATTGTATTTGGGGCCATATCGGAACGGCCTATACGGGAGCGGTTTTGTGTTCTCGAGCGACCAGTTCGGATATGGCTCCGGCTTTGGCATGCGGAAGTCCGATGGAATCCATTTACCCCATTCGCGGGCTTGAGCATTGCTTCTCTTCAATGCTGCCTTTTCAAGTCCTGGTGTGGTAGGTGTAGACGGGCGCGTGGCGTGCTTGCTAAGCCTTCGTCTCTGGATGATATATACAAGTGTCGTGGATAGCAGCACAAACGCAAGTATGCCGCCGTATACAGATTCTTTGAAATTGTCTTGAGAAGAGAGCTTCCTCCAATAGTCCTTGGTTACGGAAGCACAACCATCGCTCAATCTCCGCAAGTCCTTATAACCCTGCCCACCCTCCTGGTCAACAGGCGAAGAGAACGCCATTCTGCAATGCCTGGCTACTCCTTCGTTATCGCTATGATGTAAAAGGGATTTTGATTGAAGCCGACATTCAGCCCGCTCGTAATTCCAGATTGAGGTGATCTGTTCGAAAGAAGACGAACATCGAGATATACGGAGGACAGGATGCTTGACGATTTATACTGTTCCCAGTTGTTCATCATTCTATGAAGACGAAGCTAGTTTGGAATCGACAAGGAAGCCCGAGGGTGGAGATATCTCGGGTTCGAGGCCGACAATCAAGTATGCTCGGCGCTCGTGACCGTTCTCGGCGGCGTTACTAGCGGCGGCGTGCAGATAAGATTTGCGAGTTAGGAGATAATACCTACATCAGAATGCTCCGGAGACCTATCAAGTTGGAAACGTACGTAGGGGAGTTAGGTAACAAAATATGCCCCAGAAAACGGCGATAATCTAGACGCCATACCTTGGTTAGGTAGGTTAACTGGTAGGTATATGTGATGCAATCTTCCCCGCCGAGTTGATAGGAGAAGGTAAAAGTCATCCAGTAAAGTGACACCTCCTTATCGCGCGTGATGCCGCGCAACGGTAGGAAGTAGATAAGGTATAACAAGACTAACACTATGTCCTCCGCAGATCTCTCTCGAGATGAGCAAACCCTGTTATTTCTCCGCAAACTAAAGAACTATTTCATCTTAGTGTTATATATATGGCCATGATGATGGTGCTATCAAATTTATTATAACTTCCTTTTCTCCATCGACGTCCAAAATTAAATTGAAAATATGCTGTTTACTGTCTCTTATTTTGGGTCCTCAGACTGTAGCTTATTTTGGCATAAACACGCCAAAGCGACTATGGATGTTTTAGGTATAGGCACTTATATATGTTATTACCACCACCGCTTATACATGTCCAATGAGGTAATCGTCTCTAGACTGATATAACTACCTCCTACCTAGGCACCTTACCTATACCTTATATGGAAGATATTCAACAGGTAGGCGGTAGAGAAGCTTCTTAGCACTACCTAGATTTGCCATGTCACTGGTACAAACTATGAGGCTTCGTTTCGAATGAATCGTTTCCAATACGAGGACACAAGTGGTAAGTATTAGACTCTAGTCTCTCTCAACTAATTTGCCGAGCATGTCTTCGTCGGAGCCCTATTCAAGTAATCGTGACATGGAATCCGCCGACACGAATCAAGAATTAATAGCCTGCGATTAGTGCTTTTATAATAGGTAGGGTATTTTATCACTTGGCTTCTAAGGAGACCGCGAAGAATCATAAATCTTCACGTGTACGCTATATAGACTAATGAGCCTGGTAGACTCGTTTTCAAGAGACTTGATGACATGCAACTGCGAATTATTCCAGCCACTAAAGAGACTATAAGATCATGCTTCCGTTTGTAGGATACTAGAGAACCAGCTCAGGGCATATCGTTAGGCAGCAGAGAAAGTTTCGCTCAGGTACCAACATAACGAGTCTCTACGCACTACCTATTATCATCTTAAGAATATTGGCATGATTTGACCACGGAGGTAGGTAATCACAAGAGCAGCTCACGGCGGCACGCGAAGCTCAACTAAGATTTGCCTCGTGAATCCCAATAGTGTATGAGTGCCGTACCTGGCGCCAAATCAGTGTTAAGATCCGTATTTCGGAGTCTAAAGGAAGTTGGTAGGCAGTAAGAGACTCGAAGATTCTTTTCTTAGGAAGCTGTGGTATATTCAAAGTGCTGGAAATACCTAGCTCCTGATAAAAGTCACATCTAAAGTCTATGCCAGCAATATGAACTATGTGGTAGAAGTGATCTGTTATTGCTTGCCTTAAGATAAGTTGCGATTTGGGCTTCAATTTGTATTATCTAACCTAGGAAAGTTCACGGATGGCAAGAATATATCGCCAATGGTTCGTTGTTCCTTGCGCCGAGTCACTTCGTGAGCAGTCTTAGTCACGTTCGCGAACACACGAAACTCGTCCAGTATCCTGATAGTCAAAGTTCACTCCACCATTGATGACATGAGGTTGTCAAAACTATCGACAAAAATCTCGACAAGACCGAAGGATTAACTCTCTCTAAAGCACTGCCCTTTCCTGGCTAGGGTAGGTACAGATGCACAGTAGGATCTCAAGACATCTTTCGCTATCACCATAAAGTAGCACGGGGCGAGACTGGATCAGCTAAACCTAGAAGCCTGTAGATAGGAATTATTATTATCCCGTCAGGATCTGGCTGCCAGACCAGCCAAGCCGAACCGTGAACCTTCACTCACAAGCGGGGGGTAACCGCGTATGAAATTAAGAATGCAGCGCATCTATGAGGGATTAGCACGCGATCACACAAGTCGATACAGCCCCGAATGAATAATGAACAGGGTTAGGCTCATGAGGTGCTACATAGCGGATTGTCGCGACCGCAGGCAGCGATCATCTCCTTTCAATCATAAGTAGATAGGCTCTTGCTCTGGCTGGAAAGGGGCACATATCGAAGAACAGGCTCGATGGACCAAGAGGAGAGCACAACGAGAGGAGTCAGCAGAACAAGGTCCTTATGGGGAGTTATCTCGAAATCAATACCAACACTGAGGCCTTGAGCTGGCGAGAAGGCGTACGTGCATTTCTTGAACCTATGTATGCGCCCATCAGGGGAACGTTCAGATTGTTCGTTAAGCTAACTTAGGTACCTGTATGTCTTCCTAACCCTTACAATAACCATGATAATGCTGCGACTTTCATGGGTGAGAGAGAATGCTCGTTTAATTCTATGGATCGTGAATGATGGGCTCGACTAAAGGGGTAGCTAAAGTTGTAGATATTCAGTCGAAACCTCGTGCTTGGTGTGCCCCTATTTTTGCATATAGCTTTTCTACACCTACCTACCTCCTATATTATGTACTTGTCAAAATGCTCACATGATTCACGTAGTATTCATTTCCTACAATTCCATGGTCTTCCCACAATAGTATTAAACTCTCTGCGCCTAGGCTTTAGGAAGTGTAGCAATTCGCAGTGAGAGCCAGAGACTTAGGGCTTCGGAGGCATCCAGCACCCAGGGGCTGGTTGATCGAAGTCCACTTAACCTAGGTACCTAGAGGTAACGAGACCTCGTATGCACTCATTAGCTAATATCCTTTGGGCAAATATTCACCTCGAAATGAAGGCTACGTTATTCCCATTCGGAGGTAAGCCATCAGCGAAAGCCCACTTCCCCGCGGGGGGCGATGCGTGGTCAGAGGGAACCCCACTATGGTGTATCTTCCGTAGGCTCCTGGGCTTGAGCCTTCTTCAGCGCCTATGGCTTGAATCTCCGGCTTAATACCTATTTGCAGATTCTGCTATCTTTCAATTTCCGGTGCCTGCGTAATAAGCTACGTGTGCAACCAAGCGGTTGCCTGCTAGATCATTGTCTCACGGATTACACATACCCGAATCCATAGAGTTAATATCTTAAGTAGCAGGTACTCAGGTAGGTTGCTGACACTTCTCCTGATTAACTACCACTAAGTAAGTGATAGTAGATAGCGAAATGAAACTTTTTTTTTTATCGAATCCATCTGCCGATAGCTTTCTTCGTCACATACCTATTTTTAGGCTTCCCTGTCTCTTGGTAGTTGGAATCAAGATCTTTCCGATAGCTCAGTTGCATCGACATGCTTCGGGCCCGAAAGGTGCTGGAACGATTGTCTCCTGAGGTCTTCCAAGAGAGATACTCTGCCCTCTTTGTTAGGTACTTTCCGTGTAAAGGAACGGCACAGTTATTTCGTCATGTCTCGGGAAATGAATCTAGGTTAGGTAGGTAGGTACCTACCACACTCCAACAGATCCTTCAAATCTGTTTACTCCGTATCTACCGCATACATCTATCTCGGTATGCAAGCGGTTTTTCTTTTTTTGGCATTTTGCTGGTTTTAAGAGGGTAGCAGTTTGAAGTAGCGGACTTTTTTTTTTTTTTTTTGAATCTTCCTCGTCGAATTCATTAATGGTTCGATGGCCGAAGGATTCCATGTATGCGCCGCTAGGATGTAACATAGTAATCCTCCGCCGTCCGAATCCGGAGTGCCTGAAATCATCGCTAGGTTTGTCGTGCGCACGTATGTGCGCCTGGAGGCTGACGGGATGTATGTACCTAGTATGAGGTATAAAATTGTGCAGGTTCGCGGTTCCTCCCGCTGGAGATCTGGTAGAGGTAGGTAGCGTTACGATCAAGCTTGATGCATGCGCCACCGTACGCTAGAGTGACGAGCCGACGACGATATATGATTCTTCATGGATGTTTTACCTACTGTAGTACGGTTGGAGTAAAGTTATCAGCCACTTGATATCCGGTGACCATTATTAGTCTGCAACGAAACTGAATCATATCTCCTATCGTAAAGTACTACCTCCTTTAAGCTTTTGTGACACCAGCCAAGCCTAGGCAAAGCGGGCGACATTGCTATGTAGTGGTATATGTAGTGGTATGTAGATGTTGATTAGGTTCCAAAGTTGGTACCGAGCGCTGTCACAATGCGGTTGGGGTATGATGCGAGGAGCCAATGGAGCATTGATCTAACAGTGCATGTGCACGACAATCCCCCATTCATGTTTTGTCAAGGCTTGGTCAAGCCACTCCCGTCTCTATTATGTAGGGGTAGGGGTCTCGCCTGGGCCTGCATTCCACTTCAGGTGAAGGAGTTATGCGGTCGCAAATCAATTTAGGTAGTCGACCAACCCGACGTTGCAGTACATTGATATAGCTTCTGCTGTTAGTCTTGGTAGACTCTATCCTCAGCCAGAACAATCAACCATATCAAGTCTGTTCTCTTTGATTCCTCCTGAATGAATCGATCAGTTGTAAGATTATTTCTCTCTATTCGGGCCGTTGCGGCTGAATAACTGAAGTGTTGGGCGTATTTGTCAAACTCTCCGAGAGTAACGTAGATCTTACTATTTACTATTGAATTTGGGGGCTATGAACTAGGGAGATGATTCGCCAGGAGCTGATTCTAGCCTCGACCATCTTATGTTGTGACTCTCTTTTCCCCTTCTCAAGAGGGTTGCTCAACATTCTTATTGCATCTACCGGCGGGTGCCGACCACCTATCGTTTCTCAAATCACTACCCTCCACGTTAGAAGCTTCATCAAGGGTTCCATGGTAGACTTTCTTGTCCCTCAGGTTGCCTCCACTCAAACCCATCAGGAATTTCGACGGCGCGATCTCGCAACCACTCCTGTGCCGCATCCCAATCTACGCACTTGTGCATGGCGTTTGAATTGGGTGTCGGATTCTGGTGCTGCAGGACCCAGTCATACGTTACCAAGCCTGTGTCGAACTTACACATGATGCTCTGTCTGATGTAGTCCACGCAGTGCTCAAAGTGCCGTTCGTAAAGCTCGGGGACATCTTCGACCTTCCGCATAACGTCCGGGAAGTAAGCGCGATGGTGATCTTGCCAGAGAAAATGCAGACAGTGGAGTTGATGTGTTCCGACTGTTGTTACCATATAACCGCCTCCGGCTTCCTTAGGAAATTGGACTGCGGTGCGGGTTGAATGGTTGACCTTCTCGTAGTCTGAAGCTGATACGGCAATCATCCCGTACTTCATAACTGAGTGCCAGGCCTCCTCGACATCCGGAGTGGGGGGTCCTTTGAAAGGCGATTCATACCAGAGCGACCCATTGAACCGGACAGTGATGTAGGGCTGCGTAGCCAAGGCCTCGTTAACCGGGGCTGGGTGAAAGACTGTGAGTTTAACCGCTAACATGTGATAAGACGCAAATAGAAAGGGAGGGGGTGGGGGGTTCCTCACAGTAATAATTATGCATGTCCCAACATCTTGCAGCTATGAGGGCACCGTCATAGGAGCGTATCAAAAGGATTGATAGAACGATAATGATAGTCGAGTTTACGACATGAGCGACCCAGTGATATCTCCGAGTTCTGTTATGAACTGCGCAATGTTTGCACTCTGTGTATTCCTCTTCCTTTTCATCAGCGGATGCTGTTAGAGGAGAGTCTAAAGAAGAGGCCGAGAGGGCGTGATAGGCGAAGTTTAGGGACATGGCTTTGATTGATAGTGAGATATTGGGTGCCAGTAATGGGATTAGATAAGCCACCTGGTGTATCGAATAAGTAGTGGGATAGCAGTAAAAGTGGTAAGTAGGTGGTAAAGTTTTCCCCGAATACGGTACTTAATAGAATTCTCAAGCTTACCTACCTGGTACACAACATATGATAATATCGGCCGCAGAAGAGGCGGGGTTTGCAATTCTTCCTTAAGGGACTTTCGTTCGGTGTAAATGGGGGTTGGAGTTGAGTCCGTCACTGCTTACGTTTGATGGGTTTGGCCAGAACGAAGACGTAGGTGGGGGCCATGGCATATGCATATTGTAACAACTTGGGATGATGCGATATCTAGGCCGACTTACCTTATAGGTTGATTTGGCCTTGGGACTGCAACTCCATAGATGAGTATTGAAGAATAGGTATCAACTCAGAATGAAACCATTGGAGTAGGCTAGGTTTTGTCCTCCACATGTAAGCCGGCCTAATCTATGGTTCTGTGCTAAGCGGCAAGGGATCTGCAAGCTTATTAGTTCCCATAGCGATTACACCCGTGCGGAGCGGGGGAGGCGTTTTCTCCCTGGCTCAGCCCTATGATCTAGCGGGCATGACAACTACCGAGCAGTATAGCACGGCGAGGCATCGAAATGATATAAAGGGGATGCTATTCGAGAGCATGTCTCAATAATTCCTCTCTTGCTTCAGCCATCATCGAAACACGCGCTACTTTGTCACAGTCGATGTCAAGTGGAACTCCTCCCACTATTTAGAAATAAATATTTGAATATCTATCCTTCGCCATGAAGAGCTTCGTTCTACTCCCCTTAATTGCCGCGATCGCGGTTGCTGTTCCAACACCGCAGCCTAAGAGTATGTCCATCCAGAACCATAAGTAATACCAGGTATCTACCAGAGAAAATGCTGATTTCATTAGACTTTGAGGCCGACCCATTACTACATGTTGGGAACTCTGAAGAGTCTTCGTACGCAGAGAAAAGGGCCAACTTTGAAGCCGACCCGTTACTACACGTGGGAAATGCGGCTGAGTCTTCATACGCAGAGAAGAGGGCTAACTTTGAAGCCGATCCATTGCTTCATGTTGGAAACGCGGACGAATCCTCATATGCTGAGAAGAGGGCTAATTTTGAGTCGGACCCTGCGCTACAGGTCGGGGATAGCGTTGAGTCTTCATACGCTCAGTAAAGGAGCTGCTGTTTTAGGTCTGGCCTAAATGGAGCAAACGGCTACTTGCTCGCCCTGTACTCTCTACTATAGTATCGAATACTTGTGAGATTTCTTTTGATATGGTTCTGACGTTCGTCTAAATTTGAATGGTTCATCTGGTATCTACCCGACTAATTCATAAAGTTTTATGTGGCGAGAGTTATGTTCATTTGCATTATTAAAGCGGGCCTAGCGTAACAACCCCATGTATCCCCGTACTCCACAGCGGGAACTAATGCAACATTATATAGTGGGTCTTACGAAATACGTTTTCTACCTAGGTACCTACGACTATGGGACTGGAAGCCTTTCGCTTAGGTAGTAATTGATATATGAAATACCTTCGTAAAATATTTGATATAATGATATGATAGGGGTAACAAAAAAATTAGCAGATAGAACTGTAGTGGAGTATGGTTGATATTAGCTGAGAACTATGTTAGGTAGTTATTAATTACTTCATAATAAGCTTAAGGGTACATCTTGACGCTGAATCACTCCCCGACGTTACTTTTGTGTAACCCTCCTTCCTCGGGGAATGGCTGGGCAATTGGATTCTACTTATATGACTGGTGCAATTGAGAGTGAGGGAGAATGAGGCAGAACCAATCCTTCAAAACTTTCTATGGAGCTTCTACTTCCAACACAAATTTCGAATACCAACCATTCGGATTGCCATAAAAGCTTACCCCCCTCTACCTATGTACTATATATGTGCAACGCGTGTATCGGAATTAACTCGGTCAAAGAGGGACCACCATGTTTCCACCATCATCCTCATTCTTCATACGAGCTAACTGTTGGCAGAAGGCGCTCCGCCTTCTCATCGCCGGTCCCCAGCGAATAAACGCAAACGGGATCGGGGTTAGAGCAACGCATAAACAGCCCAGTAATGTACAAGCCCAATCTGTACCTAGGTTCTCGTATAACGGATATGTTGTAAGGGGAATGAGAAGCGCTGCGAAGATGTTTCGCGTAAACACACTTGATGCTAACGCCGATGCGCTGTATATGCCGTATGCATCCGTGAGGTAGTTGTTTAGTGCTAGAAATGTAAGGTCAATCCCGATGCCTAACGATATGCCTGATAATGCGGGAACCGCCCAATGAATGCTTGGCCTCGCAGTCCACCCCAACCAGAACTCAGAGAGGGCGAACAGGGGACCACCCAGACAGGCCAGCGGAAGTCGTCGGTACTCTTCCTGAAGAGCCCACGGCCTTCCTCTTTCTACACTTCTTTTATGAAATTTATCCCAAGCCACAAATATAGCTATGGCAAAAATACCTCCGATACCAGTAGGGACAAACATCAGCGAAGAAATCCCGCTGGACATTGCATATGTACCGCGGAAGATCACTGGATACGCCCCAAAGTAGAGGAAGTAGATAACATATTGGTAGAGGATGAAGAGATCCGTGAAGAAAACAAGTGGCTCCGTAAGGATACGGATAGGGCGCGCCAGAATCCTCACACGGTTCCTGAGGCTTGATTGGGCTTTACCTGTTATAACAGAAGTGGTTGCTGATTGGCGTTGCTTCTCCTTTGTGGCGTTTTTTGAACTGCGAGCGTTGACTACAGGAGCAAATGTTTCGGGCATAAAAAGCAACATCGGCCAATTAGCCCCGGCAAGAATCAAAGCGCTCCAAAACTGCCACTGCCAAACCTTTGTTGAGGTAAACCCTGAAATGATAGGCCCCACGAGGGGTCCAATGTTACTTGTCAGGCCCAGCATTGTCATAGCCAGACCGCGGGGTCCTAGATCGGGATAGATATCACAAAAGAGCCCACCCGACACCGTTTGCGGTGCGGCAGCCCCACAGCCGAGCAGAAAGCGAAAGAAAAGAAAGACTGGCCAGTTTGGGGCGAGGGCACATCCTAGGGTAAATGCTGTATAGATGCCGAAAGATACCAGGAAGACTGGACGGCGGCCCCACGATTCAGAGAGAGGGGCGAATATTATGGGACCGAATACTTGAAAGGCCTTGTTAGAATATATTTCAAATAATCCCCCCATTCCCTTATTTCTGAAGCAAAGAAGTTGACCCAGAAGTTTACTTACTATATCCAATAAGGAAGACAGCTACAGGTAATGGCTTCTGAAGTTCGGACGTAACGCCAAAATGGGCGTTTAACGTATCTCCTGCTCCGCTGGGGAGAGATGAACCCAAGGTGACATTGAAGTTCATTAGAATGACTGTGGTAGATATGAACAGCTTCCGAGCCTACATGTCGGCATAGGTACATTAGCACCGATCGCTGCTCTATTATTGACTGGCGGAAGCTTACCGTAGACATACCTGCAGCCAGTTCGGCAGGAGCCGAACCAGCCACGACAGGTTCTGTAGATACAACATGGACTCCTACTGTAGGCTCTTAGCAATATAAACGGGAATGTGTTTGCGGCGTAGGGCTAAGCGTACCTTCAGAGTGCTTAGACACGAGGCCCGATTCTAGTTCGGCGGCCATGGGAATAGGGGGAAAAAAGAAAGAAATTTAAAATCTATGATCTAACTAACATATATGATGCTCTAGGAAATATAATCTAGAAGAATACGATATGGACAAATTCCAATGTACCAGCTCCTTAGCCCTGACAGGCGGATATTATAGGTTTTATATCCAGTAAAAAAAAATTCATTGTACTTGACAAGGCGGAGCAACAAGCCGGTGTTACACTCCCTTACGTCGTATTTGCGGTTGTATATGCGGTTGTATCTGTACGAGCCTTTAAGTATGTACTAACAAGTCCAACTTTTTTCTAGCGATTAAGCCGATGTGTTATCACCCGCAGATTTCGGTCAAGTACCATCTACAATGACAGATCATGCGTCTTTTCGGCTCCGCCATCACGATGTACCCTGCGTCTCTCCCTCAGTATGAGGAGCGCATAACAGATATTTGTGGCAACCCCCACCACGGCGACCGCCATACACGCCGAGTAGCCAGGATGATAGTACGGTGCGTCTTTTGGTAGAAATGAGAAAGGCGCTAGAATCCCCCCCGTATTACCAAAGCTGATCATCCAGGCGGAGCCAATGCTTCTCTGCTTATGTCCCTGGAGGTTCATGAGATACCAACAAATAACAACGGGTCCCGCACTGAAGGCACCCATACAGACTAAGCAAATTCCTGCATATTGCACCGAGAAGTTCGCGTGCGTCGTCATTAAAATCGCAAGTCCCGCGATAAGAATCGCGATTGGGAACAAGATGAATGGGAGACGACTATCTGCTCGATCTGACAGATATGTTAGAACAAGACACAATCCAAGCGCAGCTGCAAAGGGTGGAATCGAATGCAGCTGTGTTTGAACTACCGAGTATCCGAGCGTCTTGACGATTGTGGGTGTAAAATAGGCGAATGCATAAACCGGGACGACGACACCTGGTAGGACTTAGCACGGGATTACTTGGAAGGGATGGATGGATGTAACTTGAAGAAAAAAAAAAGAAAAAGAAAAAAAAGACCTACAGAAGTACATTATCGCACCGAGGTAATTTTTCGGATCCTTGAAAAACTCGATAATATCTTTCCCAGTGATTTTTTGTTCCGCAGCGGTCTCGTGCGAACGCGTTTTTGCCAGAACGAATTGCTTCTCCCTCTCAGATAGCCACTTCGCTTCGCCAGGGAAATCGCTGACGAAGAAATACCCTGCGATAGCCACTAGAATAGTCAGAATCCCTTCTAATATAAAAATCCACCTCCAGTTACTTAGGCCCCGTATCCCGTCCATTTCCGCAATTGCGGAGGCGAGCAGACCGCCGAACGCAGAAGCTAGGATGACGGAGCAGAAATAAACGGTGAACCTCTTCTGCGACTCCTGTCGCTTATACCAGAAACTTATTAGATAGAAACTCCCCGGGAAGATGCCAGCTTCGAAAAGTCCAAGGAAGAAGCGCGTTGCAATCAGGCCGCTGTAGTTCTTAATGAAGCCCTGTCCCAGCATCACCACACCGAAACCGAAGATGCAAATAGATAGCCATACATGAGGGCTAAATCGTTTCATTAAGATGTTTGAAGGTATTTCGAAGATAATGTAAGGAACAAAGAATACGGCCAGCGCTATGTTAGGCTGTTGGCCAGTCAATCCCAACTCCTCTGGTAACCTCATGGTGAGGGCATTCGATATGTTCGCCCTGGAAGACCACACCATGTTTTAGTCGGCGACCTCTCGCACACACACACATATACACATACACACATACACATAAGAGCGGCTTACTTACCTATCAAGAAAGGCTGCCACATAGATTAAAAAGAGCATGGGCAGCACGTGGAGGTCGATCTTGCGCATCAACTTCGACTCCTCGGCCTCCGACAGGGTGTCGGGGGCAGGTAACGTCGAGGTTGACTCGGTTACGTCGCGGTCTAAGCGCTTGGGTTAGCATTGCCCTATATCGTCGGCGACACAAAGTTATATTGAAGTGTGGCGTACCTAAATTGCCCATTATTGCTCAGCTTGTAATACCAGAGCGACTTGAGAGAGATGAGGAGAAAGGGGAGAAAAAAAGACTTTGGGAGAACCAAAAAAAAAAAAAAAAAAAAGGTAACCCAATTGCTTTTTGGTAGCAGATTGTCTACAAAAGTGCCCCGACAGGAACAATGCAATGGAAGGGTATCATACAAATCATAAACAACGTGGCGAAGGATTGAAAGGGAGGATCGGGATAGATTGAACCCGAAAGGGCCAATCCTTTCAATTGATAACTACCTACGGACTCGTATACATAGTAAAAAAGAATTGCCTCAATGCACCTAGTATTATTTCGCTCCGGCCCTTTCTATCATTGCTTATTTACGCCTGCCGTGTAAGGGGCTGCTGCGAAGTCGTGCAATAGGTGCATTTCAGCACGCTACGCAGCAAACATCTAGAACCTGAATTACGGCTCAGGTGGCATGCACGCCGGACTTTTGGTTCAGCACGATGTTCATCTTGTCTCATGCCCGATCGCCTGGCATAGCTGACTCGCGATGGGCTAGGTAGGTATTAATTAAGTCGTGTGGGAGGAGTTGCAGCAGGATATCATATATCATCTCCGCGCTGGTACACTGCATGTCAGAAACGGATGCAAAGACCCATGTCGCCATGGAATATCTGCATGGAAAGCTGGAAAGGAGGCGTTTATGTTATGGGTGGTGTCAGCTTTTAATGCAACTCCAACGAGGGGGTGGGAACGCCGCTGAATAAAAGTAGGTAGGTACCTCTTATATTATATTACGAATCAAACAAATAGGACATAAGCCTTACTCGCTACCATATGGAATTAATGATCCTAGGCCAGCCACCTAGGAATAGGATACCATGACCCTACAGCTTTTATATATGCTAGCGTAATCTCACTCGGCCCATTCTTCCCCCCTCTCCCTTCGCTCGACTTCGTGTCCATGGCCCCCAGAATGTCAGAGATCTCGACGGCTCCTCCTACACCCACATTTACGCCGGCCCTGGAGCCGCCGCCTGGCGTAAAATCTAACCCCGACAATCCGGCTTCCCTAGCCCGACTGGCCGACATTACCATAGGGATATGTATCCCTTTCGTGACCATATTCTTCATTCTGCGATGCTATGCCCGCATCGTCATTAAGCGCACGTGGATCTTCGAGGACTTCATAGTGACGATCGCGTGGGCGGGTACCATCGCCTACTGCGGCATTATGAGGACGACCATGTCCCACCACGGCGGTCAGCACGGCTGGGATATCACGCCGGCCGAATTCCACGAGGCTTCGTATTGGTTCAACGTCGCGTCCATCGAGTACGGCGTCATGATCGGCGTCACCAAGCTCGCGGTCCTCTGGCTGTACCGTCGCGTGTTCTCGCCCATCCGGTGGAGCTTGTTCGACATCGCTATCGTCACGCTGATCGTCCTGATCAGCGGCTTCTACGGCATCACCACCTTCGTCAAGATCTTCGAGTGTAACCCGCGCGAGAGGATCTGGGACAAGACGCTCCCCGGGACCTGCGTGCAGACGAACCTCATCTTGAACATTAGCGGAGGCTTCAACACCGTGACCGATTTCCTCATCCTGCTGCTTCCGATCCACGCCGTCCGGCAGCTCCAGATGGATAAGTTCAAGCAGACGCTGGTCGTCTTGGCGTTTACCTTTGGTCTATGGTATGTCTTTCATGCTTTATTTCTTTCCGCAAGAGAAGAAAAGAAAAAAAAAAACGCAGAAGAAGATCGTTGAGTTGGAGAAAAAGAAAGGTGTTCCGCAAACGACTTGCAGATGGCATACTTATCGCGTAACGTACAGCGCTCCGATCTTCGCGGTAGTCGGGTTTGTCGTGCGGCTGAAGAACAGCGGCAACAAAGACACGTCCTGGCGACAGCCGGAGATCCTCCTCTGGGGCGCGGCGGAGCTCGCCTCGGGGAACCTGTGCGTGTGCTTCCCGGAGCTCGCGTTCCTGTTCCGCAAGCGGAACCGCCTGCAGGCCAACACGCCGAAGCGCCCGACCGCGTCCCAGGTGCGGGGGTGGAACGAATCGAAGGGCTCGTCGCACCCGCCCTCCGACCCGTACTTCACCAAGAGCCTGATGGGCACGATGTTCAGCACGAACGGAGACGGGCCGTATATCGAGCTGCAGGACCAGGGCCACGATGTGAATGTCACCCCGCTGAGAAATGGAGCGCGCGGGGAGAAGCCGGAAGAAGGCGTTGTAATAGTGAGAAACGAGGTTACGGTTGAGCGCCAATAGCGCTCTGCTAATTGTAAGGATTCTTTGTTCCATTCTACTGCACTGCTCGTCAATTTTACTTATGTCTTCGTCATTAGGATTATCGGGGTCGGAGTCGGCGTAATATGCACATAGGGTTTAGTGCTCAGTTAGGGTATGAATGTTTGGAAAGTAAGAGAAGGTATTCAAGGCGGCCGGATGATGAGCTGAGGGATTGATGGGGTACCTACTTTCAACGAGGTCCTGCGACCTTACCTTATGACCTTATTATGTGTGTTGTACTAGGTATGCTTCAGGTCCGTATTTATGACTTACCTATGTTCTCACAAATGTATATCTCGATACCATGACGATTTCTATTAAGAAATGGACAATCTCTGTTAAAAGTGAGAATGTTGGTATCCCTATATTGAACATGAGCTTGCGTTCAGGCAGGTAACACTTATCAGCATCGATCGAGCTCTCAAGCTTTTAACTTAAGATGAACGCCACGAGACATACCCCCGGCTGATAGTACGCCTATGGTATGTACTTCCAGCCTGAGCCTTTGCAGTGAAGATTAAAGGGCAACATGAGATGTAGGTAGTTATGCCATGATATTAGTTGATCGCTAGTATAGCTGCTATATTTCTGTAGCTGTGAAGCCATTAACCCGCAGCCTGTCATAGAGCTAGACATCAGGCCGCAAGGTTAGCAATTCTCTCACAGCATTTGCCAACCGTCCCATTGGAATTGTAGGTAGCGTATTTGGTTCTAGGCCAAAGATGCTTCTTGGGTAGAGAAATGAAAGATGACAGGTTTGGCTTCAAGAAAGGGAATTAAAATCAAGAGTAGGAGGTCGTCACTTCAGATACCAAAGCTCGGACGAATGGTATTAGGTAGACACATAAACCACACAACTTCATGACCAACATTTAACATAAGATGAGGTACTTTGCGAGCGTGGTCAACACGAAGCCATCTCACCCCTTATCCTTTCAACGATTTAATATTAGGATATCAAATTGAAGTTTTTCGAAAGTATCGACACTTTCCCTACTATCTCTCATCATCCTCTAAAAGCATTTTACTCCTATATCTTTCCGTAGTTTAGACGAGTATGTACTTATGACAGGTTAGTGGTACCTAAGGAGATACCCAGAAGGCTGGAAACTCACTCTGAAAGCATGTAGCCAGTCACAGTGATAAACAAAGGACTCGCATCCCGGAATACCAGCTACAACAACAGTCAGTTATTCCAAATAAAATCAATCGACTAGGTGATTAAAGATATGGTTAATCTCCGAAACGTCAGGTGTACGTTGCTCCAGAGGCGATGAGGCGATGACTGAGGTATATCGTTGGTTGGAGCTCGCGCGTTATCGCAGAAGGGCAACTTTTTTCGCATCCCTTACTTACACCATCCGAAGATAAGAGATGACTTTCACAATTCATTCGGGCAGCACAGTATACTAATACGTAAGTAAGAATATAACTGAGCCTATTTTTAGCTATCGCCGAGGGTACTGTATTAATGTTGACAGTGCTGTGGCTTCCGCTATCGCAAACAACTTGGGTGGCTTTAATCGGAGCAACTGACTACCTCCTAGCCAGTATAAGGCCGACTCGAGGCTCTGGACAAGACTAAGTAGCATACGAGGACATCATCTACCTTAGGTACCTCCTACGGTTCTTGTTTCGCCCCGTACGGGCGCTGCTCAAACCATAGTTCAGTCGTGAGCCAACGGATTTATTAGTTAAGACTACTTTATCTAATAATTTAGGTACTTGGCTTTTGGTGTTGTTCGATATTCTACGGATTGTGTGCCTTTGGAATATACCTACGATTTAAACATCGTATTAAACCTTCAAGATAAGACATCTTTAAAAGTGTCTCCTATAATCTGATAATACATCTTTTTTTTTTCTCTAATCAGGGGTTTGTCTAGAAAGATCTCATTCACACGGTTGCCTACCTGGTGGTCTTTGTAATCGGCAAACGTAACCCCTGGCTTCCGTGTAACTATATCATATATCCGATGCCACCCGCCCTGCATGATTCAAAAAAAAAAAAAAAATCTCCCCTCCTCCTGACAATGGTCGCCTACCGCAGTCCTAGGTATATCTTGCTAGGATGGCTTTTCGAGGGTTGCTCAGCCGCCGGTTGGCGATAAATATCGCCCCAAAGCCATATTGTTCTCGTGCATTGGTTCCCGTTTCTCCTTTCACAGGTCGTTGTTCTCGCGCTAGGATACCGCTTACTTGCGCTGCTGCTACCTATTCAACATACAAACACGCGCCTCAAACATCAAAGCCAGTAAATATGGCTGCACCGCAGAGTACCGCTGGATCGTACGTATTATTCTGTTATTATTATATGTTATTTACGAAACTGAGTTGAATTAGATATACAACCGCATTTGCCCTGTTCGAGGGACTTTGGGAAGTAAGTGTCACCTTTCACTTCATGGTGGCATCGAAGCTTACCGTAGTTACAAGGCTGGCATAACGACATGCTTCGTCAATGTCGGGTCGGATCACCCATCCATCATTGAGGCCATTGTCAAAGGCAAGAGGGAGCGACCGAACTCCTGGCCTAGGATGATTACGTGCCCTTCCGAGGTCACAGCGATTTCAATGGCTGATGGGTATGCTCGCGTGACAGGAAAGCCGCAGGCTGTTCTCGTGCACGTCGATGTAGGAACCCAAGCTCTCGGCCAAGGCATCCACAATGCAAGCGTCGGTCGGGCGCCCATATTCATTTTTGCTGGCCTGTGCCCGTACACGGAGGCCGGGGAGCTTCCTGGCTCCCGCACGGAGTATATGCACTGGCTGCAGGAGGCGCCGGACCAAAAAGCCATTGTGCGACAGTATTGCAGGTATACGGGCGAAGTCCGCACCGGGCTAAATATCAAGCAGACCATTGGGCGCGCGCTTCAATTCGCGAGCAGCACTCCGAAGGGCCCCGTTTACGTCGCAAGCGCACGAGAAGTTCTGGCTCAAGAAATCCCACAGTCTTCGCTAGATCAAGCGCAGTGGGTACCGATCGGCCCAAGTGCGCTTCCGGCTGATGCGATCCACGACATCGCTACGGCCCTCGTCCAAGCCGAGCGCCCGCTTATTATCACGGGATACTCTGGCCGCGATCGACGAACCCCGGAACTTCTCGTCGCTCTGGCGGACCTCATTCCGGGCATACGCGTCCACGACACGGGCGGGAGCGACGTGTGTTTTCCCTTCAACCATGTCGCTTCCGAGGGTTTCCGTCTTAGCATGGACGACTGCAGCAAAGACGCGGACGTGGTGTTCCTCCTCGACTGTGATGTGCCGTGGATCCCGTCCCGCAACCCGCCGCCGAAGAACGCCAAGATATTCCACGTAGACAGCGACCCCCTAAATCAGCAGATCCCCGTATCTTTCTTCCCGGCACACGGACGCTGGAAAGCAGAGAGTTTCACCGCGCTCACGCAACTGGTCAACCATATCAAGAACGATTCTGCGCTTACGAAGACGCTGCAGGATTCCAAGTATGCAGCGCGTGGCGAAGCTCGCGCAGAAGCTCATAAAGCTCGTCTAGCGAGCTTCGCTTCCCTGCCGCGCTTGGACGACCAAGAACCGCTAAATGGGCACAACATCGGCAGTCTCCTGAAGTCAGCCCTCCCGGACTCCACAACCTACGTTGTGGAAGCAGTTACGGCGGGACAGATATTATATGACCAGGTACAGCCCAGTCGGCCGGGGAGCTGGATCAATTGCGGTGGGACGGGTATCGGTTGGAGCAATGGCGCAGCGCTGGGCGTTAAGATGGCGCTGGCGGATCTGGAGAAGGAGGGGACGGAGAAGCCAGGCCTCGTCTGCCAACTAGTTGGCGATGGAAGTTTTATGTGCGCTGCGCCGTCTACTGCGCTTTGGGTGGGGAGCAAGTACAAGATCCCAATTCTAACAATCGTCTTGAATAACGGAGGTAAGTCAATCTTTTTGACTTGGGTTGCGACCACCACACTGACACATTTTTCTCTAGGCTGGAAAGCTCCGCGGAATTCGACGGAACTCGTCTATCCCAAGGGCCTCAACATCTCCGCAACGGACGAGGAGATCAACGTCTCTTTCCGTCCGACGCCCAACTATGCCGCTCTGGCAGAAGCGGCGGCGGGGTCGGAAGTCGGCTGGGATAATGCGGCAGAGAATGCCGATACATGGATGAAAGGACTCAGAGTGAAAACGGTAGCGGAGTTCAAGGAGGCGCTTCGAACTGCGAGAAAACGGGTAGCCGAGGAGGGGAAGGGAATGCTAATCGAAGTATTGATGTGAAAATCAAGAAAGGGGGGTGTTTTATAATGGTAGGGGTTTACTATTATACTAGGTTAGATTTATCCGTAGCAAAACATGTCTAGGTACCAAATATAGGTACGTTATCTCGAAGATTAAGAGGCGCCTTTATATCAAGTGGTTAAATCAAACTAATTTGCTCATGACAATATGTGGGATGCTGTATACCATAACCTGGTAACCCCCTGATTACTTTGCGTGAGGCCAGTGGAGGTATATTAGGAGGTATGAATAGGGGTAATATGCCGCGCAGCTATCCCACAATACGATTAGTTAGCGGAACAAACCTTAAAAAGACCACGGCGAGTCTTTAGTCGTAGTGTATAATTTATCATTTCTTGAACACGAGAGTCTGCTCTCAGATTTTAGAGGAAAACATCCAAGGTGCCAAGGTAAGCATTTGGAGATCTTTGGGCGGTAGGCGTAAGTGGTTCAAGGTGTACTTCGTACTAGCCTTAGGTACCTAGGTACGGTACTCTAAGGCTTAGGTATGGACTTCAAGCTTGGATACCTTGAGCAGGCAAATATAGGGAAATTATAATTATTTTTTATTTCTCTATACTCATAAATTTTGTTCTACTTATGCGTCTCTCTCGTTTCAAAAATTGGTGTACGGAGTAGAAATGTTTGTTTTTAGTGGGAAGTTTAGGAGGCAGGTACTTCGTACTTCTTCACCTTAGGTACAGATAGCAACTGAAAAACAGCCTGTGTTACGTAATTAATCTGCCGCTAACGCCATTGGTGGATTTGGCTTAGCAAAAAGGCAGCTACAGCGCGTTATCAGTGTGTCCTAATCCCTAATCCCTAATCGCCTGCCGCGCCGCGTTCTTCAACATTCCGTCAATTGAAGCCTCTCCATCTTTTTTATTAATCGCATTCAATTGACTTTTAATCTTCAACGTCGTCACAGTCTGCTCACTTCGGGCCACTTCCTATCTTTCTGTTAGCCCCCTTCATGCGCATCGCTACCCCACAACTATAAATATGCCCCGGCGACCTGGTCGTGCAGCCGCCAAGCGCGCTGCTGCAAAACTTGGTAAGTCACTACAATTATCAATTCTGTTTTTTATTATTTTATGTTTTTCTTGTTGCACACGCTGTTGAAATTCGGCTGCACCTCTCGCATTTTTTAAAACCTTGGAATTTAATGTTTATTCCCCCGTCACTTAACTAATCTAAATATCAATGCCGCAGAGAGCACCCCGAGAGCCCTCGAGGAGATCGAGGATGAGATAATGCCAGATGCCGACGCATCAGATGGGGAACAGCAAGCAGAACCTGAGGAACAAGAGAACGAAGATGAATCCGGCGCCGAGGCCGAGGAGAACCAAGACTCCGATGTGCCATCCGCGAAATCACCTTCTCCTCCACCCCAACCAGTCATCCGAAGAAGACGTCTAGGCCGTCCTCCGAAGAACCGACCGCCGGACTGGGATACCCTGCCGCTCGAGACTCCCCAGCGCGATCCGAATGAAACTCCAAGGCGCCGCGGTCGCGGAGGGTGGAGAGGTAGAGGCGGTCGAAAGGGAGCTTCTTATCAGCCGACGCAGCAAACGATTGACAAAGAAGGCAATATGATGGACATTGTTGACGATGAAGTTGCGTTGCCTGAGGATCCCGAAGGAGAGACCAAGGTAGACAAGATGGGGAACTTGCAAGGAGGACGCGAGTACCGTTGCCGAACATTCACTGTAGCGGGCCGGGGAGATCGCCTCTACATGTTGTCCACTGAGCCTGCCCGTTGCGTGGGATTCAGGGATTCATACTTGTTTTTCACTAAACACAAGCGCCTTTACAAAATCATTGTGGACGATGACGAGAAACGAGACATGATCGAACGCGATATCATCCCCCATTCGTACAAGGGTCGTGCGATAGGAATCGTCACGGCCCGCTCGGTGTTCAGGGAGTTTGGCGCGTTGATTATCGTCGGCGGAAAGCGAATCATTGACGATTACGAGGTCGCCAAAGCCCGAGCCGAGGGCGTTGTCGAGGGCGAGCTTGCTGATCCTAATGACAAGTTCGTCGAGGGCGAGGAATACAACAAAAATCAGTATGTTGCTTGGCACGGTGCTAGTGCTGTTTACCATTCAGGGGCACCCTCTGTTCCTACTCAAAGCGGCAAAGTGGACATTAAAAAGAGGCGTGTGAACGTTACAGACGTCAACTGGCAATTTGAACACGCCCGCGAGGCAAGGTACGTTTATGATTATCTTCGGTTAACAATTACCGTGAGTATTTGGAATAATTATTAACTGGCTTTGTAGTCGCTTCAACTCCGAAATTGGCGCTGTTCGACGGTTGAACTTATCTGGCGTCTATGATGTTCACACTAATATGTTGCAATACCCTGCCATAATGCAGCCTACGCACGCGAGATTCGAGCAAGTTGCAGATTCCTCTGCCCCAACTGGTAGTGCTCGATTCCCACCACTGGACCCTAAGATCCCTCGTAATTTTAAGGTTATCGACGCGTATATGGAAATCCCCCCAGCCGGTCTCTCATCCGCCGTATACGAGCAGCGAGAGGTCCCGGACTTCCTTGCTGAGTTCCAGGGGCTCGGAGCGGTATCGAAAGACGTCTTGGACGAGTTACCAGCCGAATGCCGAGAAGCGTTTGAGAAGGCGCGGGAGAGGGAGAATTCTTGGAAATCTAAGTGGGGCCCGGAGTCGACGACGGCTCACCGTAGACCTCCTATCATCGATGCTGCAATCGTGCCTTATAGCAGGATGTGAGGTCATTGTGATCTACTGCCTTCTTAATTGGCAGGCATAGCAATACGCATACCATTGCTCTTTTCAAGGCCGTTTTGTTCCATAATCGCCGTTTCTCGGCTAACCATAAGAAAGCTATGTCCAACCCGGCGTTTTTTTATACTGGTAATGCGTGCACGGTCGCAGCTTCATCATGATTATGTACGAGTAGTGCAGTCGAGGGGGGGGGGCGTTTTAGGTCGCTGCGAAAGAAAGAAAAAAAGACACGACAGGATGTTGTCTTAGGTAAACGCGGCAGAGTTGGCATCGATTTAGTAACTAGGCGTTTTTAGCTTTAATGGTAACTATTAGATTCTCTACACCTGTGGTATATGGGTGTGATCCTAATTGATTCGATTTAGCTACCTCCTAATTGTTGTACTTATTTATCCATGTTTGGCCGTATCATCAGTGTTCTTATCCAGGGTTATTCCTGTAGGTACCTAACCTAACCTAGATGTAGGCCCCTGAGGCAACCCCTGCTGAACATGAATTCCGATTCGTAGAAAGGTCAATAGTAGTATTCGGCTAAGAGGTACAGTATATAGCTACGTGGTTGAGAGCCATATATCTTCCAAACGTTGGCAGAGAATGTTCCATGCATTTACCCAATAGAGTATAAGTGCTTACTTACCGGTATTGTCAAGTATCCCAGAAGCACGGTACCCAATCATAGTAGGTCCTTCAACTACAACTAGAACTACACACGTATGAGGTGCATTTTGACTGGCGGCGGTGCAACCTGATAGGATTTAAAGTTGTTGATCCTCCGGTAAACAGAAACAACTAGCCGGCTTTAGGAGTTTATACGATAGTTCAAAGTGTCATTACGATAATATAATAGACTTGATAAATTTCTTACACCTACTAGACATGACTCTTCCGGCGTAATCCCACTCCATATGGCATGCAACGTTAGTAATCGCAAACGGATTTAAGAGTATTTACGGGGCTTGGATCTCTCTTCGCAGGTACAGCAAGAGAGGCACGTTTCCTTACTCCCATGTTAGATCTCGAATTTCCCTCTCATTGAAGAACCTGTTGATGAAATGAGATAACAACTCTCAAGTTAAACCTATAGGTCATGTATAGTTTCTGCGCACTTATAAGGATAAATATGGTGATAGGGGCAGATAGATTAGTAGCTGAGTTATAATCCCAAGTACATATTAACTCCATGTACCTTTAGGTACCTGTATTTAGCTGCCGATGCTCTAGTCGGACTTAGTTGGCGTAGCTTACTGATAACTTCCATACCAGTTAATGATGACGCTACCAGCTCTTGCCTATCCTCATAATAGCATAGATGATAACTCTATGGCAGTAGTGGAGACTCAATTGCGTCATGGGCTTCCGAGTTTCTTGATAAGCTAGGGAATTGTAAGTGTAGAATGACGAGCTACAGCTATCGGGTTTATGGAAGGTGCAACAGATTGCTAAGCAAGTATATTTGTTGACGCTATGCCTAATGACTATTAGATGGGATTTAAGACATACTCGCTATCTTAACCCCATTCAATCGTCTTTTTCCATTGCATAATTTCAAAAAGTTGCACACGTATAAATTTCCACTTCCCCCCTCATGTCTCGTGTATTCCGCGGTTTTACATCCACCATCCCTATCATCCCCAGCATCCCCAGAACCCAGCTACAGCACATCAGGAGAATAGCCACAATGCCCGCAGTAAGATCCGCATACGATCCCAAGGATATGCAGTTCCGCCATCTCGGCCCAACCGGTCTGAAGGTGAGCGTGCTGTCCTTGGGTGGATGGTTAACCTATGGAGGCACCGAGAAGGGCGAGATTGTCAAGAAATGCCTCGAGACCGCCTGGAATCACGGCATTAATACGTTCGACACAGCAGAGACTTATGCCGCGGGAGAGTCTGAGCTGGAGATGGGTAAAGCTCTGAAGGAACTTGATTGGCCCCGTGATGAGTATGTTCTTACCACTAAGATCTTCTTTGGCACCGGTCGTAAGGAACCCAACACGCGTGGGCTTAGCCGGAAGCACATTGTCGAGGGTCTCAAGTCATCCCTCGAGCGTCTGCAACAACCATATGTCGACGTTGTTTTCGCTCACCGCCCCGACTATGCTACACCTATGAGAGAAATTGTCGAGGGCTTCACTCAGGTTATTCGGAATCTCAATCTGGCCTACTACTGGGGTACGTCAGAGTGGAGCGCTATCCAGATCATGGAAGCCACCCAGATCGCAGAGCGATACAATCTCATTGCCCCCGTGGTTGAACAGCCCCAATACAACGCATTTCACCGCCAGCGATTCGAAGTTGAATACGCACCGCTCTTTGAGCAGTTCAAGTACGGCGCCACAATTTGGTCTCCGCTCGCCTCTGGCCTCTTGACAGGGAAATACAACGACGGGATCCCCGAAGGATCGCGTTTTGCGAAGCACGGAGAATTCTTTGAAGGCACCATCAAATCGCTACAGACGGAGGAGGGTAAGGCGAAGATCGAGAAGGTGAGGAAGCTGACCGCAATTGCGGAACGTCTTGGTGGAACTACTGCGTCCTTAGCGTTGGCCTGGACCCTGAAGAACCCGAACGTCAGCACAGTGATCCTCGGCGCCACGAAAGTCGAGCAGATCGAGGACAACGTCAAGGCCCTGAAGTTGTTGGATAAGCTGACACCGGATGTTCTGGAAGAAATCGAGAAGATTCTTGATAACGCCCCGGCTCAACCCCCGAAGTATGGGCGTGAGAGGTAGAAGGTCGATCAAATAAAATACGACTAAAAAAATGATAGTCAGGCTAATAATAGAACTTCCTTACAAGCACAGACATTTCACTTTTCGGATCCGAAGTCATCTTTTGTGAACTTTGAATAATTTTTTATTTATTTCATTCGTGGTACCTGAAAGAGCGTCCGGCATATGGACAGCTGACCTGATGTTAGGTGCCTAATAAACCCCGGCATATCCCAAACTACCTAGGACCATAAAAAGGGGCCAGGTTCTCATCGTGTGGCCGAAGCCTCTAAACGCCTTAAGCCTTTCCTTAAGGCTAACTCATGTCCACTAAATATTATGCTGATCACATATCCGGACTGCAGGGACCAACTGTCATAGCCCCATCAACCACGAAGTTGGTACCGTTGACCCAACTTGAACTCGGGCTGCATAGGAAGAGAACCACGTCCGCAATCTCCTCTGGGATCCCCATGCGACCCATCGGCATGTGGGAAGAAATGACCTTCTCTAACGTCGGGACGCCCTTAATGGCACTTTGCACTACAGGGGTATCCACCCACGACGGCGAGACGCAGTTAACGCGAATGTTGTGTTTGATGTTATCAATAGCTATGAAGAATGTAAGCAAACCGGGGATTTTCTGTACCGGGACTGGAAAAATGTAGTGGCGCTCGCTCACCTGCAGTCTTGGTTAAACCTATTACCGCGTGCTTGGAGGCAACGCATTGAACTATTTTCGGTAGGCCAATAAGGCCAACGACCGAGCCAATGTTCACAATAACTCCGCGGGAAACACCCCGGGCCGGAAGGGCTTCGTCGATGACTATAGGCTTTTGGGCGGCCATGACCTTCGTGGCGGCCTTTATGACTAGAAAAGACCCTTGTACGTTGACGTCGAACGTCCTCCTCAACGTGTCCAGGCCCGTCTCTGATACCTCGTTGTACTCTCCCAGAACCTAAACGCGGAGCACATGTACTTGTTAGCACGGCGGGAATCGCGAGTAGTGGCAGTAGTAGCGCAAAAAAATCGTAGAACGTACAGCAGCTCCGTTTACGACGTAGTCGATGCGCCCGAAAGTCTCCGCCATGCGGTCGATGGCATTCTGGACGGACTCCGGATCCGACACGTCGAGTTGGTAAGCCTCCACGCGGAACTCGGGGTTTATGGCGACGGCTTTGCATTCCGCGGCCGCCTTCATCGCCAGATCAAGGTTGATATCCGCTATCACCAGCCCGCGTACCCCGCGTCGCGCAAGCGCCACGCAGACGGCTTTCGAAATTCCGCTAGCTATGGGGAAAAGTTAGACCTTCCGACGAGACAAATGACTACGGCTTTTCGCTAAGGGCGAAATGGGGCATTTTTCTTTTTCTTACCTCCGCCGGTGACGAAAGCATTTCCCGTGAACTCTTGGCCAGGCATGTTGGATAGGTTAGGCTAGGTATGTTACTATATGAGAAGTTGATGTAGGTATTGATATGAGGGGGTATATAGAGAGACTGGTAAAGGCGGTTAAGACGTTATAATGATGATATCAAGGGAGAGCCATATCAAGTAAAGGGAGACGCAAACATATATATATACGTGGTCGGTTCTAATAGCGTACAGCGAACTTGGACCCCTCCCCCCTGAAGGGACTAGTTATAATCCCGGCATGTTTAGAGATATAGGTAAAGACCATATCCCTGACGACATCGTACAAGTACCGCGAATTGCGGCAGGGGAGAGAAGAAGAAATTGCCTATGGCAAAACTTTTTGTTTGGCGGTGACCTATGATTCTAGCTACTAGCTACCAGCTCGCTGGGGTGGTGCCACTCACGAGGGCTTTGTATACATGTTAATTCATGCATTAGGTACCTTCAAACCAACAGCACCAGCACCATCCGAGAAATCGGTTAGCTCACGGTTTGTTTGGACCAATTCCCCATGCGCGCGTATTGCCATATCAAGCAGCCATCGACTCGGAATTGAGGGGTGTACCCTAGACGAATCGTGGTCTCCTATAATAGTAGTGCTACTACTAGTACGATATTACTAACCCCGTTGACCGCCGGACATGGGCCCCGAGAAGTATCCACACGGGGACTATGTATGAACTTTTTTGGTGCAGCGCGGGCCTGTTCCGTGATCTTATCTTGGCTGTTGTGAATAATAGTGTGTTAACGTCTTGATTTTTTTTTTTTCCTGATAGCGACTCCTGATACTGTTGATTTTGGAGTCTTGTTTACGTTTAGTTGTGTAGATCACTAATCTTTGTGTAAGAACCCTTGTTCAGCGGTCTACGGGATAGCTAGTACTAAGTAGTAGTGTGTATCTTGGTAGGTGGCTATTAGCTAGCTATGATACATACATACATACTACTACCACCTTGCCTGCTGCTGCCAGGTTGATTTCGTCACATGTAACGCTTTCCCGAATCTTTCAAATAATAGGTACAAGCTACTACTATGTCCTATAGCCGACCGACCCCTATCATACGTACTTGCTTCTAACTTGACAGATACCGTACCGAATGTTATCACGCCGACAGGGCCCCCCACATGTCTGGGGATCCACAGCCACGTTTCTACCCCCCTGGCATATACTTGGCAACCCGGTTCATATGCGCTGTCGACATTTGCCGCAGAGGGTTATTTGCAGATTCGTCGATCTCTTCGTTTATGTACTACGTATGTATGGCTTGATGATCGTCTCTCGATATGCCTGTCTATTGTTAGGCTTGCGTCTCAACTGCAGAAGAAAGGGTCTTTCCATGACGCGGTTTTCGAACGTTGAGGATCTTTCTTTTTCTTCTTCTTTTTACACATCTAGGTTATGTAGGTACTTTTGTGCAGCAACTAATAACTCCACTCGCTGACCCCAGGGCCTATCTTCCTCATGTCTCAACACTTCGTGGGCAAAGACAAACTACCTAGGTAGTTGGTAGGCAGCCCGCACAGCTGAAGGAGGCCTTGTTCATGCCTTATGCATGCACGATGTAATCCAACGAACGCAGAGCAGATGCTCTCGCCAGGCAGCAAGGGTTCCCGGTCGATATCTGCACCTACACCTCGCAGTTTCACATCGTGGACTATCTGATCCCCCCGGAGCCACATGGCTTTAGGCAGTCCATCGCATGGCATCGTGGGGAGCAGCACGTGGCTCGGCTTCCTGTCTTGGCAAGTTCTCCATGACGGATGGAGGGAGATCATTAGTCGGCCTTCTTTTTGCGATTTTGTCTTGATAGTTGGGTGTTAGTACTAGCATTGCGCGTCGTGAGGTTCTAGGTAAGTCGGTAAGCGAGCGGTTCCCTACTAACTCATGATGATCGATTCTGAACTATTGACAAGGCCCTTTCAATAATTACATAGCATAACAGGTATCGTACCTAGTTTACCGCTCTACCAGCCCAACCCCCCATTTCTTTCCGTAACGTAAGTGGATACTGGTTGGTTATTCTTGAGCATATTCAGATCCACATATAGGACCATCCCATTCGAACATGTAGTCTTATTAGCTTGACATCCTTATTATTATCCCTTCCTCGTCCCTACTTAGATCCCTATAGATATGTACTTTACCTATCTTATTACGGATTTAAACGCTTCGGAGAACACCTTGTCGTTCGACCTAACAGTCCAAATAGGGGTCGACTTGTACATTAGGTACCTAATACTATGTAGTCTGTAGTTAGTTTCATGATCGAGTTTGGGTCCAGTTTTCATCAGCCCGATGGTTGAGGTATCGAACGCCAGTCGGTCAGGGACGTCTATATTGCCTTATTGATAAAGACGTCGCAATCAGTAGCCGATAGGAACGTTTCTATCACGTGCCGGAAACTCCATAACATGCCTGTCCCATACACGTGAAGAACATCCCGGCGCATACTTACATGGTAATGTACAGGAATCCTTCCAAAATACCCCGCTAGCAAAATGAAGAAAAGAAGTAAGAATTTTAGCAAGATACTACTAGTTACGTACCTGTTACAAGATACCTATTTTCCCTTGTTAAGAAAGATCCATGCGACTTTTTGCAAACCAGGCTTTGGGAAATTAGAATATCCTGTCTGAGAACTTGCTGCATTACGTCTAACTTAGTTCAACTTAGCCTACTATGTATTGTTCTGCTGTAAGATATTTTATGCAGTTTAGTGCTTCCCATACCTATTGTCCAAACTAAAAACTCGATTATTGCCTTGCAAATACGTACTTGACTAACTAACCTAGCCTTGTTCACCTTCAGGGTTTCGTTCTACCACCCCGACCAACTGAAAGGAGTAGTAGGGAGCCGCGAGCATGGAGCATGGTAGCATTTCCAGCCGATTTTGCAGGCCGGCCCGTTTAAAGCTATTATATAGTACCTACCAGATGAGATGATGGACCACATTTAGCCTCCCATGTTGTCTTTCCTCTTAAGTCGCTCAAGGTCACTTCGCCTTGCAGCATCACATTGGAAAAAGTCAAGTGATCTGGAGCAAATGGTATACTGGCCTAGGCGTTCACACCTGCAAACAGTAGTGATTGGCAATTGGCGATTAGCGCGGACATTTCTTTTTTATTTCTCCTTCCTGCCTCGGCCAAGTGGCTCGCTACCCTCTCCTTGGGACGGTTCGGTACCTAACCTAACATCATATAGGTACCTAGGTAGGTAAGGTAGCATTGCCTTTTTTTTTATTACTTTAGGTACCTTAGGTAGGTACCTTACCTTTACCTGGTCGGTATCGCAAGACGTCGCAAATATCGGACATGCATATGAGGGTGGACCTAGGGATGTTCTCACCGCTCCACTACGTAATGCGCTTTCTCAAGTAAGAGAGCCCACGGGTTGGTTCCGAGCTCATCCGAAACGCTTCTTCCCCGGTTCTGCTCGCGGGCCGACCTTTTAGTCGCGCACCCGGGCCTCCAACTTCAATCATAATACCTTAGGTACTTTAGGTACTGGGTTGCTGGGACCTGATCTTCGCAGAGAAATATCGGGTAATCGGTAGGTTCGAAACCATAACTAACAACTAACCAACGACCAACGTAAACAAACACTCGCCGAAAAAAATCATAAGGCTTTTCGGCTTATATCCGATATTAAAGTGGCTTTCGAAGTAATAACAGGCAGCACCACTCAGTGCCACTATTATAATATTGGCTTATAGAAGGGCCTTATGTCAAACCTACCTACCTGGCTGCATAATAATAGTCTTCGCATTAAAGCTCTATAATAGGTATAGACAGCAGATGACCACCTGAATATCCCTATTCTTGTTTCGGAGATATCCTCGGGAATTGGCTAGCCAGCCAACAACCTGTGAGCAAGTATAGACCAAAGGATCACCTAAGTGTCTTTAGTCTAGGCGGATTAATCATGCAACCTACATATAATTGAGCTATAAGTGAGGCTTTCAAAACCCTTTTTGCTGATAGGTTGCTTACCTGTTTACTACCCCTATTAGGAAGGATTGACGATTGCCATACTACCTATGTATCCAGACACGCGGTGGACACTCACATGGGGGGCCCAGGAATCCGATAGTGTTCAGGCGTGTATGAATTACTAGGTGCGAAACGTGCATATCGTAATAGACGTGACCGTCTGGTTTGGGCTATCCTGGCAGCCTGGGACTGGACCGAGGACAGGCTGACAGATCCCACGTGGATGTCCGGGTTATCCGGCGAGACTTTTTCTTTCCCCCGGGACGCTCAACGGAAATGTTACCCCTAGGGGTATCTAGGTAGATAACCCCTTTTATTGTCCTATGTATTGATACCTTGGACACGTCTACACGTTAAAAGGCCCTTGCAGCTTTAGGCTACTGTTCCTACAAAAGTATCGGTATAAGTGGAGTTCCTGTGACTGAAGACACATTCTTTCCTCGTATCTGTTTAGCATCAACCCTCCTGGTCGAAATAAAAGAAAAGAAATTAGTGCATGATAGCAAAATAGGCCTATTGTATATTATTTATTCAGGTAAGCTAACTATTACAAAAGGGGTAATCGGATTTACATTTAATTTGCTGTGGTATCAGGGCGCAAAAATCCGTGCGGACCGAACCAAGTGCCTTTTACGTAGAAGTTCCAGTAAGCAAACGGCTAGAAATGGTTAGCAAGACAGCACTTAAAAGACAGCGGGCTCCTCTCCCTTCTCTGGGCGACTTACAAAGAAATCCTTCTTCAGGTGGTAGTATAACCGGCTGGGCGTCTCCTGGCCCCCGAATATATTTGCGAACGTCTCCTTGGGCACGCCGCCATATTTGAACTCGCAGAGCATGAGTTCGTTGTGGCCAGTTAGTAAGGGGCAACTCGCGTAGCCGTCGTACGACGCCTTGAGCTCCTCACCTTTCATGACGGCTAAAAGGTTGTCTATTAAAACCGGCGTTTGCGACGTGATAGCTGCCGCGGTTTTGCTGTTCGGAAGACTAGACGCATCGCCAAGGGAAAAGACGTTCTTGTACTTGGTATGTTGTGTAGTTGACTTATTCACGTCAACCCAACCTGCAGCGTCGGCTATAATGAGAAACGGAGTTAGTCACATTGAAATTGAACATAGCATCCACGGCGGTGACAGATGCTCGGAGAATACTGACCTAGCGGGGACTTAGCAACCCAGTCCCAAGGCTTTTGGGGCGGGACAACATCTATGAGAAATTACAGGTTAGTAACTAATTGTCATTACCAGCTCACATATCGTGAAGGCTTATAAGTGTGCGTAAATCCGATGCAAGAAAATCAGGGGTAGCAAGAGAGGGAAAGGAGTAAGTGGCGGTTGGAAAGATCTTACGTAGAAAGCCGAACTCTCTCTCGACCAGCGCTCCATTGGTACCCTCCGCCAAATTCTTAAACGTTGCCACCTTTTTCTTCGGGTCTACCTTAACTAGGTTATGTTGGAAAAGGCCCTCAACATTGCGCTCCTTGCGCAACTCTTCAAGTGCCTGCGAATACTTGGGGACGGCAAACATGCCTAAGTCATGTTAACATATACGAGTTGGATTTACGAGGGATGCATTGGTAGCCTTACTAGCAGCGCCAGTCGCGAAGGCGATGTTGACATTGTTTCGAACCCCATACCTTTCCCATTGCGAATGGGCCATCCACATTATCTTCTGAGGAGCGCCCGCACATTTAATAATACCTGCAGGCTGAGTGAAGATAGCCTGCCCCTTTTTGAAGTCTTTGATGTTTTTCCATACTTGCTCGACCGTCTTGTCCGAGTAGATAGACGACACCTGGCTGGCGGGATCTTGTAGAGCTTGCTCAAGACCTGAGATGCCGGCAAAGTTTGTCTCGAGACCTGGAGCTACTACGAGGTAGTCGTATGAGACGTCGACACCTTCAGCCGTCTTCACCGCGTTGTTTGCGGGATCAAAGGTGGACACTCTCAGGGGATAATGCTTCACGCCCTCCGGAATGACGTACGACAAGGGCTTGTGCATGTCTGCAAGGTCCCTCAACCCGGAACCGACAAGTGTCCATCCTGGCTGTTTCGACGTTTAGCATCTAACTCCCAATAACAAATAATGAGGACGGACTTACCTGGTAGTGGTGAGTTTGTGCAGGGTCTAGGATGGCGATATCTTTCTTCTCCAGATCCGTGCTCCGTTGTAATTGAGCGGCAACAGTGACTCCGGCCGAACCTCCACCGACAATAACCACCCGATGGTGGGCCTTCGACGGTATCGAAGTTGCGTAGGTTCTCGCAAGCCTCCGGACCGGGGCCCGAGCAAGCGGGCGAAGTACGCCGACTACAGCCATGCTCTTGAGTTTTATGTTATAACTTATACCTCCAACTCCCTAAGGCAAAATAATGGAAGGGGTTTTATTGGGCGCCAAGAAACAGAGATAAAAAATAATAAATAATAAATAATAAATTACCTGTATTTACACTGATTTAGGTAAGCAGCAAGTTTTCTTATTTTCTTATTTCTTTGTCTTATTTTATTTTTCTCTTCTATATTTTCTATAAACCCTGTTGGAAAGAAAGGGTGGTCACGTGAAAGCACGCCATACTAGTCCGTCTTTTTCGCCAACTCTATCTGGGATAGGTATCCGATACGATATCCTTTAGATGCAAACTTATTATGTGGATCTATCTATCGGCACGGCTGTCGGATAATATCACAAATCAACTATTAGCTTTTATAATAGAAATCGAAGAAATGTTGAGTCTAAACTGCTTCAATTAACTGTTAGTTAGCTTTTCTTAACTAGTTAACCAGTTACCTGTAACTACTTGTAGCTTGAGTCTTTGAGTCAAGTTAAGTTAGGTACCTAATCTACCGAGGTAGTTGAAAAGCCCATTATATTCAAGTTATTTCTTATTCAATGCAGCAAAGCCAGACTCCAACTCGAAGAAGCAATGCCGTGAATGGGTACCTAAAGGTTTGAAAGTATTTCATATCCCTCAAGGTCTTAAGGTCTCTCTCTCAATGGCTGAAGATGGTGGTGGATGCACTCATCGCTGGAGAAACGTTTCCGATGGCTTAATCGTGGCCTTTTTTTATAGGACGTGGGTCTCGACATGCAGTCGACTTACGTGTCGTGCTCTCTTGTTTCGCATATACGTCGATATTCCCGGCCCGCTGGCTTGGTATTGTTCCTTTCTGAGCTGATCCCATAAGTGACACTCCCTGTCAACTTATTATTATTTTTAAACTTTCGTCTTGTATTTGGCCACGGTGCTGTAAATATTCTATGTTGGCGAGCTTATGAGCTGAGATTTTTAGGGGTTCAAGTTCAACGAACCTATGAGAAATACTTGCCATTTTCCTTAAATCCAGTCCCAGCAGGCATTCTTACATCTTGAAATGGAAGTTGTTACAGCCGTAGCAGCGTGAGCGATATCTACTGCCTGTCGGAATATTCCTGGCAACAGCATATTAGCGCCCTGATGCAATCGGGGAATCGACGTCGAAGTGCTTGCTGGGAGGCTCTCTCCAGGAGCCAAAGTATACAAGCCAGGAGAAGATATCTTTGCCCAAGCGACAACACGATGGTCGTCTCTATACGCACCTGGAATAGACGTTGTCGTCGTCCCTAATGTCGCGAGTGACATTGCCGAAACGGTATGCTCTTTAAGTAGTTAGAACGATTCTTTTGTTTTGTTTGGAATAAAGCTTATCATGAATAGATTAAATACGGCAATGAAAGAAACGCACCCTACATAGCCGTCAATGGTGGCCACGGTGCTATTTCATCCATGGGGAAAATGCGTGGTGGTATTGAGATTTGGATGAATCAGTTGAATCCTGTCGAAATCGCCGACGATGGAAAATCGGTCAAGGTTGGAGGTGGCGCCCTATCCAAACCGGTAATAGATGCTCTATATGCAGCAGGGAAGGAGACGAGTGGGTGGCATTGCTCTTCCACCTAGTGTTTGGATCTTGGCTAATACCTAATCTCGTCAATATAGCTATCGGAGGGTGTGAATGTACCAGCATCCTAGGGCCCGGGCTAGGGGGTGGCCACGGTTGGCTCCAGGGGCGGTACGGGCTTGTTGCGGACCAGTTTCTTTCCATGGACATTGTCTTTGCCAACGGAAGTCTCCATACGATCGACGAAACTTCCGATCTTTGGTGGGCTATGAAGGGCGCTGGCCATAACTTTGGTATTGTCACTTCTGTTACTATGAAGATCTACGACGTCGAGAGCCCCAATTGGGCATTCGCAAGCTTTGCCTTTAAGGGAGATAAAGTCGAGGAGGTCTACGAAGCCGCTACAAACCATCTTCTGAAAAACGGCACACAACCCAGAGACGTTATCAATTTCTCGTATTTCATAAATCTTCCCGATATAGACCCCGATAATGTGAGTTCTCCTAATACCGCAAAGTACCTAACCCCCTGGATTCTGATAATTAGTTCCTAGTCCGTCATTGTCTTCTTCATTGTCCAAGGAGGAGTAAAAGTGGTGGATTCGGAGTTTACGGGCCCCCTTACTAGGATAGGGCCGGTAGCTACGACTACTTCTACAGGAACGTACCTCGATCTCGCGCCGTGGATACTCACCAGTAATGTGGATGGACCGTGCCAAAAGGCTGGTTTGATAAACACTCGTTTCCCCATCGACCTCGAAACCTACAACGTCCAGGCTCAGCGAGATGTATACGACCTATTCTCCTCAGCCACTCACGAGACGCCGGCGCTCAATGGCTCCGTTTTCCTCCTAGAGGGTTATCCCTTACAAGGGGTGCAAGCCGTTCCCGAAGAATCAACGGCCTTTCCCTTCCGGGGCGATAGCCTGCTACTTGCGCCGCTTATTCTCTACAAGCCAGAGGGGGAGGAACTTAATAAGAAGGCAGCCAAATTAGGTGAAGACCTCCGTCAGGTAATCCACAAAGCTACCGGCCGGAAAGAGATGCACTCATATGTGAACTATGCCATCGGTCCGAGACGAAGAAGCAGATGTACGGACACGAGGAATGGTGCCAGAAGAAAATGCTTGACCTCAAGAACAAGTACGATCCCTATCGCAAGTTCAGTTTCTACGCGCCTATTGCATAGGCGTCGGTTTCAATTCGAATACCAAGGATCCTACACCTGTCTCGGTTGGCCGCGCCGGTCGCTCAAAACGTACCTCGGCTAAAGATCACCACTGGGTTCGTATAAGGACGCTCGATGCGGGTTGCTTCGCGGTTGTTGATGGGTAGAAAAAAGTTCAGGGACTCAGTCCTGAGGATCTATATCAGAAGGCAATAGTGGCTAAGGAGTGAACGCAGAACGGGGCAGGAGTATGGGTGGTGGTGATGCGTGACAGTGACGAACTGTATGGACAAATGCCTGGAGCCTGTCTGGAATACGTTCAGTGTGGAAAAGAGATATGAGGTGGTGATGAGCTTAGGTGGCAGCTTCTGTCAAAGTCTAAGGGAGTTGTCTGCATTTGAGACTTAATGTAACGTCCGGCGTTACGTACCTAGGTAGCTTAGCAAAAGCGAATATAATATGCAAAACGTCTTGTCGGGGTAGAATAGTAGGTGGATATGGCTAAGAAATATAACTAACCTTCAATTGCTACGGCTCACGCACAACTACATGAGAGCAAGTCCTTTCAACGGGTCACCGATCTTGCGAATTCATTTGTGAACGTCTTACAAGCTGATGTGGGTGGACCTCGCCAGTGGCGAAATCTCTCCTATTTCTGGCTTGTGGCCTTCTGAAGCAGGTTTTCTTAATGCTTATTAGGGCCGGATAACAGCAGGCGTCCATCTCTAATTTAATTACCAGAGCCATTTTCTTTGGGGTACCAAGTCGAGGCTTAGATATAAACGATGTCTTCAAGATTCTTGGCGACCAACCGGACAGGGACGCTCTGGTTTCGGAGATCTCTGTAGAGTTAGATTACATATTGCAGCTGGGGAGACAGTCTACAGGCGCTTCTTTATTCCGCTCGATGAAGATGTACTGGGCGTACGAGACCAAACTAACTCCCACCATTACGGTAGAGTTGATCACGACCTTGTTTTAAACTAATCTCATGTCGACCCTTAGATGTTATCTAGTCTATTAGGGAGAGACATAGTCTCTTATCGCAAAAGGTCTAGTAATCAAGAGAGATCTGATCGGACTAAACCGGATAACGTGCAGGATATGGTCAACACGATGGTCGGAGGGTCAGAGGAAGCAGTACAGCGAAGTAGCTGGCGAGTTGGCAGGCAAGTTAGAAGGCACCGAGACTGGGTAAAAGCTTCGACGAAATAGAACGCAAACCTGGATGGATTCACACGCAGCACGATCTGATACTTGAGCCCCTTAGATATCGCGGCTAGACTTTTCGAGCGAGGAGCAAACCCCAACGCTCAAGACGCCTCGAGACGATCGCCGCTAGACTACGTCCTAATGAACCGTTCGGTGCACTCGCCTAGCCATAACTACCTACCTTTATAGTCTATCGATAGCATTGATTAAGCACGGCGGCTTGCTACCAAAAACTACGGCTGACGAGTGGTCTATGTACCTCCACTACCTCAAGAAGAGCGATGCAAGCACGCAGATTTTCAAGAACTACGACTTCCCTGCTTAGGAAAATACACCAAGCATGGAGCCAAATTATGTCCGGAGGCGAGGTTATACCAGTCCCTCTGAACGCCTTGGAGCTTCCTTTTATCTCTCTCTCTCTCTCTCTCTCTTTTTTTTTTTTTCTTTTTTTTTAAAAAAAAAATACTCGATGATCTGGCTCTTTTACAACTCTGATAATAAGTTCCATGGGCTGACAGTACTATGACGGTGAGCGTAACATACATGATTAAAGCATATGTAAAGGGTCCAAGCTTCAGTAGGTAAGGCAGACATCTTATTATGTGAAATACTCAGGTCATATACTAGATAGGTAGCTTATAAGGATAACGATGGTGATGATGATAAAGATATCATTTACATCTATCGGTCATGTGGAAATATCTTACGATAATTTTGCTATTTATTACATAGCGTACTTAGAGCATCTACAACGTGAGGGATGCCAAAGAATATATCCTTCAATGCAAACACGATTTCATAAGACCGTCTCTTTAAGTTCTATTCTATTACTCGACAACGCCATTCCGTTTACCGAACTACCCCATCGGTGTAAGGGGGAACAGTTTATGCCAGAAATGCCACAGGAGGCTGGTAGCGACAGTAAGCGGGATCGCAAATACCCAATAAATCCAGAATTTGCCTGATATGTTCCAAGCGCCGGAGTCTGCGTCGAAGTCGAAGAATGACATGCTGAAGACAGCGGAGATGAAAGTAGCCGGCAGAAACATCATGGTAACGAAAGCGACCTTCCTCATCGCGGCACCGTCTAGCTGGGCAGCACGCCCAATCTGGACGGAGATCCCCGCGTCATACTGGGCAACGGTGTTGAAGGCCAGTTGAATCTCGTTCTGCAGCCTTTCGCGGTTAGAGATGGACCGGTGGCGGAGATTGCTGAGCATATGTTTACAGAAAAGCAGCTGGCGATGGACGGCTTCCGACGCGTCAGCGTGTATCATCTGGAATGGGAATTTCTGGCTCAAAAAGTCATCGTGCTGCGCTAGGATACCTTCTAGGCATTCGGTAGCAACATTGAGAGATTCGGTTACGTGGATGGCATGTCGCGCAACATCGTGAATATGTCTATAGTCCGGCTGCGGCTTGCCTATGGGCATTCTCTGCGTCTCTATTGCCCTCACCTGGTTACGAATAGCCCAGACGGCAGAGTCCTGTAGGTCTACTACGTCGCTGGCTAATCGGGCGTATACCCAGAAGGGATCGCCAAGGCAATTAGAATCCGGGTTCCGAAGCGACTCCGGTATACGCTCCATGACAGGCGATAGGGTATCAAAGGCTAGGATGATCGTTTGCTTCGTAGGGGCCAGCCATCGTATGAAGATATTCATCTTGTGCCACTGATACTGCATTTTGGCGTCTAAATGCTTGATCTCAAAATAAGCCCATGTACCTGCAACGAATTAGCATCCAGTAAACTTAAGTACAACCGTATTTATGAACATACTGAACCCAGTGACAACCCCGTTCTGTCTAGTTATATCACTTCCAAGATAGCCATTTGAGTTTCGGCAGTAGTCTGACCACCATATCTCTGGGATACAAAACGCCCTCGTGAGCGAATTTCGACAGGCGAGACATGCGCGAGTCTCGTTAGCGCTTGCAAGACTTGAATTGGTTAGCCTCTTCGCTCATTCCTTCATTACTCAAGGATCATTCGCGAACATTATACATATCGGTGATTCTGCGTCTATCGTTTGGCAACTATTGTTGCTATGAAACTCGTCGCCACGGACCCAGCGCTGATCCCAGTTGCTATTCGCTACATACATATAAGAGGTGAGTAAGCCAGGCTCTCTGTCTTAGGTGTAATGGCGTACCTGGTTTCCACTGAAGGACCGGGATAAGAGAACACTTTTGGCAGCCGGCTTTGGCCATTGTAGGTAATGCATGGAGGCAAATAAAAAGTGGTTGAGGATTTCAAAGTCGACTTAGACAATGTTGATAAAATTTATTAGGTATCGATTAAATACAAAATGTTCAAGACAAGGCTGAATTATTCAAATGGAGGTAGACTTTTTACATTTGGCCGCTTCCGCCACGATGTTGCAGCAACGATATGCTGTGGAGGAACGCCTCTCGGCCAGGGTTGGCATAAAATATGCACGATAGGTGAACTACAGGTTCTCATTAAGAATGGTGACCAATCAAGAACACTAAAAGGTTTCCAACATATATAGCCGCCGCGCGTAAACGATGATATTTCGTTCTAAAGAGATGATTTGCTCCAGTACATAGTTGTAACCAGAATGAAATTCATTACGGGCGCGCTTCGCCGCAAAGGTAACTCAGCTCGAGACCTAAGTGGAAGCTTTGAATCGTGGATCCCCTAGCAGCCATGTGCACAGACCACCACTTACAGCTTGGACACAGTCGCCTAGATACCAAACTTCATAACGATACATACAGACAGGAAGTAGTTAACAAGCAAGTAGGTATCACTCATTGACAATGAGGTTCAGTAGATATTGATTACCATCAAACCTAACTCGTATATAGAGCCACTAAGTTAGTACGCGAAGACACGCGATCTTATTAAGTTACGCGAATACTACAGGTCATAAATGTTGGTGCAACAATTGCTTGCTGAGGTAGCCAGTTCCTATAAATAGCTGCTTTTCTTTAACTCCTAACTTCAATATTTGACAACCAACTAACATTTATTTGGTAACTACTATTATATCGGTAACTTGCGATAGAGTTACGATCTCAGGCAGGTCTAACAGAAGCTTTTTGCACATTTTGTCATTTTCTCATTTCCAGGCCGAAAGGGTTAGTAACATCCAATTACAATTCAGCTCACAATCATTTTTACAGTCTCTCTATTAACTCATATCTATACAATATTCCTATGAAATCTAGTATTAACGACCTAATGTTAATATTGCTTACTGTTGTTATGTTAGGTCTAGGTACTTTAGGTTAGTACCTGGTAGGTACAGTACAACAGGATGACAATCTTTCTCATCAAGACTAACAAGAAATATCTAGACAGAGAAATGAAACAATAATTTCACAGCTCCTCGTAGAGATGTATAGATATACATTAGCAGTCTTATTTCAACTCGCGGGGGCATCGTTAGTTTCATCATATTGTGGTTACTAGATACCTAATAACGTTGGAAGAGCTTGCAGAAGCCCGTAACAGTCCCAACACAAATTCTCGAGAGCACAACTATGGCGAACCCAGTGTATTCAATAAATCAACGACGATCAAGTGAGAAGGCGATATAAAGCGAATAATGATATACCTCCAATACTATTTATGAAATAGTATCTGCGGATAAATATGTACATTTGTTCTTATTAAAGTCTTGACTCATTACTAGTCCACAACTTCGATGTTAATGAAATACCGTAAATATGAGCTATAACCCCTAAAATAGCCACTATTCAAGTAGCAAGTAGTCAATTCGTAAATAGATATATTATGTTACAGCTAAGCAACTATTTATGAGGTGCTTGTAAGAGTTATTAGATAAAGCTGGTCACAGATCGAAGAGTCTCTTAAGTTAAGCAAGGCTCTAAGATATAAAATAAGAACCTGCGCATCACGAAGTCGTTGAAGGGCGATCTTAATTACTGACTATGGAAGGCTTTACGACATTTTCTCAAGACGTTGTGAGTTTTAGGTACCTAGGTAGGGTAGGTTAAAATTGAGGGTGAACATATAACTATTTCGTTCATACAGGTGCTTCAGCTTCAAAGTCAAACTTTCCAAGACTGGCCATACGATAAGAATTACGAAAATATGGGACCTTGTTAAAATTGAAGTTATAAAGGTGTGGCGTGTGTCTATGGCTATTGGACTGCTTGAATGATTACCTAGGTAGGTATACATTGTCTAATAACTTGTGACTTATTTCCCTCTACTTAGTACGTCTATGTCTCGTCACGGATACCCGGAAAGTTTCCTTTAAGTCCACTCGATCGACTTGGCTTATAGAATTAACATAATGTTTAAGTAAAGTTGCCTTAGAATGGAGTTTCGTCAACTCTCAGCCCTCGCTGCGAAATATGTTTGCATTTCTGGTAAGTATAATGTATCAAAGGCTGTCGTAGACCCGAGATAATGAAGTAAAGGTGGTTAATGGAAGAGTATAATTGAGAAAGTATCTGCTAGATAGATTAGACTAGGCATAAGGTCTCATCATTAAGATTTTACGTTTACAGATCCCTTTCTAGGCTTATGAGAAGTTTGTCATTTCTTGGGAGAAGCCTCATAGAACTACGTATACCTCTGGGATATAAGGAATCAATACCCTTTCTTCACTTGCACTAAGCAACTCGACGTATGAATGTATTAAGCTGGTCTCATCATAAGATTGAAACGATAAGTGAGCCAGACTAATTGGAGGAGTCAATATTTCATTGCCTTCACCAGCAAGATCAAGTATCTCCAATCACATGATTCACTAGAGTATGAGTTGTACCATTTCTATGAATTTGACTTGGCAAATCTTGAGAACCTCGTTTCGAGTCACTCGAGCTGAGTGGCCAGGGGGGCACGAAAAAGGTATGCGTCAGCCCGAGCAGAGAACTCGGTCCTTCAATAGACGCGTCATATCACGATTGTTCGAGCCTCGGCTGACATGGGGAGCTCAATATCCGCGATGAGCAATCCATCCCATCCATCCACGAGAAAGAAAGAATGAATGAACCATATTTTTAGCTTCAAGGCAGACGCCGAGAATCCGCATCACGAGGTTCACTTCCCACGATCTTTACACTATTCGGGCCATCTATCTATCTTACACGTGTAGTAGAGTACCTAACGAAGGAAAAGTTGGCATCGAGGTCACCCCGGCAGCCCGGATATACCATGGTGGTCCTGCAATCATTTTGCGCGCACAAGCCCCGAAACAAGCCGCGCGAAACCGAAACCTCACGAAAAGGAATGGAATGCAACATGAGATCGAAATGAAATCTCGCCTTCGAGAAAAAAAAAAAAAAAAAAAGACCACGCGTCGAAACAAAGAGCCGAAAAAAAAGAAACCTTGACCGGCCGCGGGGGGGGGGGGGGGGGGGGGGGGGGGGGGCGGCGGGGGGGGGGGGGGGGGGCGGGGGCGGGGCCGAGGACACGTTTTGTGGATGACGGGGCTGGATGAGGCAGTGCTGGTCCTGGTGCTGGTCCCG